TAACGTAATTCCCGGCTGTGTCGTACACCCGGTTGTCCCGTACACCCCAAACACCATAGTAAATGCAATATTTTAAAATAGGATTTCCCAACCCATAAGGGTTTATATAAGTCTAGAGGATATTCAGATGTTAGGTATGTCCCATGGAACATATATATCGGGTCAAAAATATTTTGAGGTCCTGCAATGTGTATATATATAAAAGAACATCACCTTATAAACATGTATTTATGGTAATCCATGTAAATAACCATTTACACTACTTATCAATAAATCCATGCTATTATACATGCTATCAGGAACTATCCTGCCAAAAATCAAGCAATATCATGTTCTCGTTGTTGTTGTATGGCCACCTAAAATATCGCATTTACTATGGTGTTTGGGGTGTACGGGACAACCGGGTGTACGACACAGCCGGGAATTACGTTAGTTAGTTGTTAGTTAAGTTAGTTAGTTAGTCAGTTACCCAACTAACTAACTATCTGGCTCTTGCTGATCATCACCACGCAGTCACATGAGTGGCTTGAGGGTCTAACTCTTTTGAGCTGCTCAGGATGTTCCAGGACCCCATTCCCCCCATGATGTCGGTGCTTGTCGTACCCAAAAATCACCAAAAAATTTACTAAAACTCCATGCACTTTCTGTTCATCATTTAAAGGCCGCAAACTGCCCAGCGAATTCCTCTAGTCCTCGGTCAGACGGTGCCAGTAATGCCAGCTCATTTTAGTCTTACTTTGCTACAGCTCTTGATGTCAACCTCTTGTCACATCTAATTTATTGTTGATTTACTGATACGATTGATTCGATCTATCTCTCCATTATCGCTGGTTGAGATAGCGTACAATCATCTTTTGCTTCAACATGCCGGTTGTTTCGATAGGAGATATTGTCGCTTGCACTCAGATTGCATTTCATCTATACACCACCCTCACCAGAGGACGAAAGAATGCCCCTCGAGACATGAAGGAACTAGAAGCCGTCCTGTTCGGTCTCTATTGTGCTCTCAGCCACCTCGAAAGAGAGCTTGAGATCATTTTGATTGGGCCTTCGACCAGAGATGAGCGTAACATTGTTCAGACTCAACAGCAACTTGAACGAATGATTGAATCTTGCCGAACCATCCTGGAGGAGCTCGACGAAGCTACCGCAAGCTATCGGTATGCTGCCCACGATCCGCCTCACTCGGTATCTCGTCCTTCCTATACAGTGTTTGGCATAGGTTTCTCTCAGCACCTCAGAGATCAGGCCAAGGTGCAATGGCGAAGAGTCCAGTGGTATCTTCGCAGTGACTCTTTTGCCAAGTACCGAATGGAGCTTCAGGCACACACTAGTGCTATCAATCTTCTGTTGAATACCATGACATGGTAAGCTCTACTTGTGTACTCGTCAGAATGCGATACGATTGATGCTCATTAGACTCATCTAGGTCCAACTCCACACGTTCTGGGAAGATTGGCCGACAACAGAGCCAAAGGTTAGAGCAGATCGAGCATACAACAACTCAGTTGAATGAGAACATGTGCCGGCTGTTGCAGGTTGTTACCGGCCCACAGACTGGCAATCCACATTTGGTTCTTCCTAGCTTGATTCTTCCAGTAATGGAGCCCAGGGCTGCCTATTTTCCAACTGAAAATTTGAGCCAATTTATGGATGGTACGGTCTCACACTACAACTATAAACACCGGTTGCTAACAATAATCTCGCATTTCTAGCGTCTCCGTTTGCTCTCGACCCAAGCTCTACTAATGAGCAGTACCGACAAGATCTTGCAGCTCCAATATGGTCGTTTGTTCCACGGATCCAGCATCAGCCACGTCTTCAGGTCTCTGACATGGCTAGCCGAGTCACTGAGGAGAGCGAGTGTCTATGAAACTAGGTTGTCACCTTCACATACATCCTTCACTATTATTCTTGGTCAATTGACTTCATAATCAATAGTAGATGGTACTGTTCAGTGGCACCTATCATGGATATGCCAACTATTATTTTCCTTGATGGCCTTCATGGTCTGTTCCTTTACCATGTTCGTCTTCTCAACAATGTCGGTGGGAATATATATCTCATGACAAAAGTACTTTGCCACTTCCCCGGACTTCCTTTTCGCAAATTTCAATAATAGATCTTTGAGTATATATGTGTGTAATCTACTGTCATTCTCTCATCTTGCACGAAGCAATAGAAATCAGCCCAATGTAGTTTCCACTGGTGGTACCAAGTCTGGATTGTATACAGTGCGATAAGAAATCGATAAGGCCTGATAAAATCCGATAAGCCCGACCGCCCGCTGATCGTGGAGCAGATCACAAATTCCCCGCGCAGCTTCTTTTTCATTTCATGCTTCACTCAACATTTAGTGCGTCGGTAATTGCTCAATATGGCTAGCGATACAAGCAGCACCAAGACTGCCCCAGAGGCATTGATTGCCAAGTTCCAAATCAGCAAGCTGCTGAAGCAAGGTACACCCGCTGAACAAAACACCCCGCGATCAAGGACTCAAAAACTAACTAACCATAGATCAAAATGGCCGTCGCATTGCCCTACTGGGAACAATCGACAATAAACAAGGCATATTGACTGCCGAGCGTGCTGCTTTTGCCACCGAGTCTTTGGATGTCATTCGAGCATTCCACGCAGCCATTACTCGCGTCAAGAACCTCGGCGACAACGACATCTACCGCTGGTACCTCGCGTCATCCAATGGTAGCACTCAACCAGCCGACAGCCAGCAAGACCTCAAGCTGAACCTGATCTGGCCCTGCACAGCAAAGCACATCAAGAAATACTCAGACCAACAACTTCGTATGGTCACCGAAACGCCCGAGATTTACAAGCAGCACGTGCGTCCTTTTATGCAAGCCAAGCGTGAGGAGGGACATTTGAACTGGGTGTTCAACATTCTAGAGGGTCGCACTGAGCAAGAAGATGTGATCATGCGAGACCCAGGCCACGGCCCCGAAGATGCGTTCTTGATGCTCCCGGATCTTAACTGGGATCGGAAGACTATGAACTCGCTGCACTTGCTGGCGCTAGTGCATAGACGGGATATCTGGAGTCTGAGAGATCTACAAAAGAAGCATATCCCGTGGTTGAATTATCTAAGGCAGCGCGTGCTGGAGGCCACCGTGAAGATGTACCCGGAGTTGGAGGAGGATCAACTGAAGCTTTACGTTCACTGTAAGTCTTCGTGTCTCGCCGTTGATACACTGGGACTTGAAAATTCTAATTTATTTCTCATACAGATCAACCGACATACTACCATTTCCACATCCACGTCGTCAATGTCATGTTGGAGGCTGGTGCTACTCAGGCCACCGGCAAGGCCTTTGGACTGGAGAACATCATCTCCCAATTGGAGACTATGTCTGGTGGAGACGAAGCGAGCATGGCAGATGTTAGCTTGACGTATTATCTCGGCGAGGCAAGCGAGCTGTGGACTGATATTTACGAGCCACTGAAGAAGGGGCTTCAACCGGTAGCGCACTGACCTTGAAGCTTCTTCTCGAGGAATGCATGCAAAATACCCAACAAAACGCCTAGAGAAAAAAAATTCGCCAGTTTCATGATACATCGTCCTCCATAATAGTGAATTGTTCGCTGAATACCTCGAAAAAGCTGTGGAGTTGCGCTGACATTCAAAATCCCCACTGGCTATTGGAGATTTATTGAGCAGATGAGCTTCAATATCTAAGTCATAACGATAGAACTATCCAGTTTTTTTTCCTTTTTTTTTTTTTTTTTGGAAGAGATCCCGAGTCTGAATGTGAAATCTGAATTTGATGTCGACTCCGCCCTAGCAGTTGTGGCTTAAAGCTCCGCGTGGAGAACCGGCGCCGATAAAAGCTAACCCCGCAACATCATCTTTCCTTTAACTTCAACCTCGCTCCAAGCTTAACACAACCTTTCTTTTCCTCTTTGATCCCAACCGAATAAACTCTCTCCATACCAGCCCCCTCATACTCACCATGGCTGATAACCCGGACGTCCCCAACACGCAAAAGGCCTTCGTGCCCCTCGGTGCGCACCCCTCACCCTGCTCCAGGGAACAAAAACATCACTCCCAGACAACTAACCCACCCTCTCCAGAGAACAACCCAGAAGTCATGTCCCACCTAGTCCACCAACTAGGTCTTCCCGCAAGCCTGGGTTTCACAGACGTCTACTCAATCGACGAACCAGACCTCCTAGCCTTCGTCCCCCGCCCCTCCCACGCCCTCCTCCTCGTCTTCCCCGTCTCCCAAACCTACGAACAATCCCGCAAAACAGAGGACACCGCCCTAACCGACTACACCGGGTCTGGGCCCTCCGAGCCCGTAATGTGGTTCAAGCAGACCATCCGCAACGCCTGCGGCCTCATCGGTCTGCTTCACGCCGTCGCGAACGGTGAGCCCCGCCAGCACGTCACGCCGGGCTCGGATCTAGATAACCTTCTCCGTGAAGCAGAGGGGTTGGAGCCGTTGCGGCGCGCTGATCTTTTGTATGAGAGTAAGGCGCTGGAGAGTGCGCATGCGGATGCGGCGAAGCTGGGAGATACGGCCGCGCCGGAGGCGGAGGATAATGTTGACTTACACTTTGTGGCGTTTGTGAAGGGTCTTGATGGGACGCTTTGGGAGTTGGATGGGCGGAGGAAGGGTCCTTTGGCGAGGGGGAAGTTGGGTGCTGATGAGGATGCGCTCAGTGAGGCTGCGCTTGAGTTGGGAGTGCGTCGATTCTTGAAGATGGAGGCGCAAGGAGGGAATCCTGATTTGCGGTTTAGTTTGGTTAGTTTGGGGCCGGTCTTTGACTGAAAGGACTGAGATGCGATGTCTGTGGAGGGAATAATTTATTTCCTTTCTATGGCGTTGCTGGACCCGGGAATAGACTGAGGTTTCTTCTTGCCATTCCAAATGGGCATTTTCGAGAATCTAAGAATTTTCGGACAAATTTGATGGGCCTTGCATATATGGCAGTCGTTAAGAGCAGGCACATAGGTGTGCAGATTCGATGTATGAGGAAATACCGCCAAGTCGGGACTACCCTGATCTCGAGATCAACCTTAACATGCCAAAGGAAAGAGTGCAAGTAGATTACATCAAAGATTCGCTCTATTCAATTCAATTTGGGGAATTATCCACAGCATTACGGACCTCCTTCAACAAGCTTGTTCATCATCCTAGACGTAAATGTTGAGTATAGCTTAATCCACTATGTACTTCTCCTTACCTATATTCGTACCTTTCCTGTCCTATATACTGTAGCCACTTTCAACCTGTCAATAAACTTTTACGTCCATGAACCAATATCTTTGATGTGTATTAAGTCTATAAAGTCTATGAAGAACCGAGACAACTGAGACCGAGTGGTTCACGGCAACGTAGTAAGGGCCAAGCCGGACAGATTTCCAGATCCGCCCTCAACAAAAGACAGCGTAATAACCACCCTTAGCTTCCCAGGAAACCCAGGGAGAATTTCCCCCGCAACTTTTATATCGAGAAAGTATCATGACTTCTCGAGTTCCGTGACTGGCGTTGCGACGCGAGTATCCGCACCCATGATGGAGTCGTCAACGGCCCTCTTCTCCCCCGTCTCCCCTTCATGATCAGAGGCCACGACGGTTCGTTCATCATTCAAGCTCGTATCCCCGCCTTGCGTGCCTAGCGTCAAGAAAGGCACCATGAACACTGACAAGCCCGCACAAGCAGTGGCGAACCAGTAGACTGCCAAATAAGGCCGGATAGCCGGTGTGGAGGCAGTCATTTGACTAGCGATTGAGCTGCTGACGGAGGTTGCGATACCGAGGCCAAGGTTGTTGCAGAGCTTGCTGACAGTGTTGAAGATACCACCCGCAATCGATTGCTGATTTGGCGGGAGAGAAGACATCACGTACATCTATTCAAGTATTAGCGAGTAACCTGACAAATATTGATTGCAAGGGAAACGTACATTCGTAACGTTGAACTGGATATCCGCACCGACCACGATGAGGACCAGCGCCGGGAAGATGTAAGCCCAGTAGATAGCGTCTTCTTTCATGAAGCTCAGAATCAAAAATGATGCAGTGTATGCTAGAGCACCGATACCGGTGAGTAGCTTATTGCTTACACGGTGTAGGACCAGGCCACAGATTACGTTGACCAGCACGCCACTGACAACCATGGGTAGGAGGCGGACTGTGATATCGAGAGCTGTGAGGTGCTTGACTTCCTGAAGGTAGAGAGATAGGTAGAAGGAGGTGGCTGAAAAGCCCATGAATCCGAGGCAGAAGGTTGCCATGAGCTGGATATGGTTAGCTATCCCGTCCCAAGTCCAATGGTGCTTGTGAACATACCAAGGAGAAATTGCGATCTTTCCAAACCCACAAAGGCATCAAGGGTTCTTCAGCAATAGACTGCCAATATAAGAACCCCGCGAGCAAGAAAACGCCCACAATCAGAAGAGCAAGTACATAGCCCGTCTTCCATCCATCGGGCGCATCACCGGCCAATCTATAAATCAAGTCAGAACACACAACCCGCGTAAACAAACCACCAAAACAGAGAGAAAACCTTACGAAAGCGAGCTCGAAAAGAATGCAAACCCAACAACAATCAAGCCCGTCCCCAAAAGGTCGAACTTCCGAACCGCATCCATGCTCATCGGCGTCCTGGCAAAGTCATCCGCCGGCACCGTCCAAACTGTCAACACCGTGAAAATCGCATAAACAACCGCCAACGCCCAGAAAGACGCACGCCAGTTATACTCATACGACGCAACACCGGAGATAATCATACCACCCACGAAGCCGAGCGGATTCCCCGCGCTAAAACATGCAAAGGCACGATTCTTTCGTTGAGATGGCCTTTCGTAGACGGCGCCTAATGCGCCCACGGCCGGTGGCACGACGGCGGCAGCGAAGAGGCCTAGAATTCCGGAGAATACGTCCATGTAGATGGCATTCGTGGCGAAACCGGCTACTAGCAGGGAGAGCGTGAAGCCCGCCATGCCGATGATGAAAAGCGCTTTTCGTCCGAACATGTCGGCTAATTTGCCGAATGTTAGGAGGAAAGCACCGCTGCTGAGACTGTATAGGAAAGAGCCTCGTTAAGCGGTCTTCGTTGATAGGAAGATTTTTATTCCAGGGTATTTCGGCAAATGCAAAACTTACGAGGCACCGGCATTAATCCACGTAATTTCCGCCGAGTTCATATTCAGATCCGATCCAATTGACGCTGTCACACCCACGATACAGCCCTGGAAAAAAGACTGCTGGCCAATTGCCATTGTGGCAGTCAAAACGAACAGACATTCCTGCAAAGTCGAGCTAAAGCATTTCGGCCGTTGCGTATGACTCGGCTGCTCGTCGACCGTGAGGCTCACCTCCGGACCCTTTTCCCGGTCGTCATGCGAAGTCATAGCTGCGGTTGGGATGTGTGGTGTAGGTGCGTATAACGAGCCACACGCTCGTCACAATGGCAAAAAAAGCAGCACGAAGAGGAGAAGGTCAGAACCACCTCTTATTGTGCCGCTCTCGGAAAAGCCGAAAGGCAAAAAAAGGCGCCGGCGATTAGAGATTGCGATTACGTGCAAACTAAAAATTAGCCCCCGGACAGGTACAATGTTTTCCAGGGGGAGGACGTAAGTTGGAGCGGAGGCTTTGTTGAAGGGTTTCTGAATTAAGTGGGGGTATGGATCACGACTTTATGTTTTTTTCTTTCCTAGCTACTAGAAAGTACTAACGTGTCACGGAGGTAAAAACCAGCCCGATAAGATCAGATGGAGTTACATTGCACCAAGGCACATGGCATCCACGATGGCAGTTCCTGCGAGGCCACGCAAAGACGGTGCTGAAAAATCGGTCTTGGTAAGCTGCGGTCCTGTTCCGCGAGGCTTTGATTGGATCGTGAATGTGGTTAAATGGGTCCTGATGGGTCTCGAATCAGTTGGTTTTAGGGCGTGATTGGTTAAGGCGGGTGACTTGACAACGCCGGCTTCTCGATAAGATGGGAAAATCAATCAGGGATGATTTTTGCCGTGGGGAACGGGGAGACTGATTGTTGTTTGTAAGGGCTGGATTATAGGTCCGTTTGTAGTTGCCAGGCCGGTAGTCGAGTCACCTATGCTGTGATTACGAAGTCGTAAATAGGCTCGCTAATCAGATTGGTGCTGGCCTGATGGTTTGTCAGACACAGAACTACAATTCCGCGATGAAACTTGGTGATCCCCAGTCAGCTATATTAAATCACCAGGTAGCCTAGACTAGTCTTCAAAATAAGTATGAGGCCACTCTCTCTGTGACTACCTTAGTAACAATTCTAGCCAGCGGTCATTCATCCACCCAACACTCGCTAGCATTGAACTTGAGAACCTCGTTCCCACACGACCACCACCCAGCCGTCAAGTTCCTTGCAAACACTTCCATCGCAGAATACGACTGTACTCTAGCAAGCATTACATCCGATTCTGAACTCTCCTTTCCATGTCCTTCCATGAAAAACACCCGCTCAAAGACCTCCTTCAAATTTGGCTTGCGCGAATGTAGATCCGGCACCGCGGCGATAACTCGTCTCCTGATACCAGCCGGGTCAATACCCAACAAGTCATCTCCATGCAAGATACTGTCCTCATTCGTGGCCCCAAGGCTCGAATGTACGGTACCTCCGTTGTAATCTGCTCGTCCAATAACGAGAATCTCATACGGTTTCCGCCAAAGCCCATCCACCGCGGAAGTCGGTTGACCATCGACCGTAGTTTTAACCCAAACCCATTCCTCAGCAACGCGGAACCCAGTGCTAGTGAGTGCATCGTAAGCAGCATGACGTGCCTTTTCAGCATTGGTAATCCAGATAGCCGCAAGCGACACACGACTTTGCGCATCTCTGCCGTGTTGAAGATGGCCTATCGCGGATTCCTCTAGCAGCGTATCACCGGTGTGATAAGCATGTGCTCGAAGGATATCCCGTAGTCGCTGTGTCAGGATCGCCATCTCAGAGTAATCATTAACCTGATAGTGTTTACTCCGTCGGACGGACCGATTTGGCCAAGGAGGATCGAAGAGGAGGAGATTGAACCTTTGACCCCGTAGGATTGCCGGGATTGGATGGGTAAGTGTGGTGATCTGAGCGGGATAACTGCGCTCTGGTTGTGATATAGGCAGGGTGCAGAGGATGAAGTTTGCATATGGAGGAATGATGTACTCGTTGTATATATGGCAGTCATAGTGCGACGAGGAACGGATAGCAAGAGTGACACTCTCCGAGGAAAGGTTCTTCACAATGCTGCCGTTCAACTCGCTTACTGATTCGAAGGAATTGATAGCCGTAGAGGACAAAATAACCGGCGGTTTCGCCTGCGAAAATTGATCGTCACCAGGCCCCCAAGCTTCATGTCCGGTGTCCGAGATATCTTCATTGCGCCGCTTCCTAACAGCGTTGAACCGCCTGCCAGCAGGCTGCGTAGACACATTCAATTGATGCGGGGTATCATCATCATGGACACGTCGAGGGAGACACCATCCACCTCCACGGGTCTGATATTCACCCCGAAGCACAACCAAAGCGGACTCAACGAGCGGTTGAATGAAATCCCCATGGAATCGCTGCTCACTGGCCGGAATGCTCCCAAGCACCTTCGCACGAGCAGCATGCGACTTGGGTTCCGTAGATGGAAATGGGGCTTCCAGTGGTGGCGAAGATAACAGCCATCTTCTTTTCTTGCTCTTTTCCCCCTGTAAAGGTACCGAAGAATCTCGTGATCGAGAAGCTTGGGCTTGTTTGCTTGTGGAGGAGGACCAGACTGATTCTTGCGCGAGGGCTATAGAATGAGGTGTATCGACGAGAAAGATTGTGTTTTCTGCATTGTGGTAAAGGATGGCAGAGTCCTGGGCTGGGGACTGTGTCATTCTAGTCGTGCGTTGATCATGATTGTACCTGGCTTGGTAGGTTGGAGAGCCCAAAGAGGACGGTGATTGTGGAGCTGAATGTTTGGACTTGCACGATGCTCGGCGGTCAGCGGCCGAAAGGAGGGCCAGCATAGCCATTGAAGAATACGTTACGCATGGAATCAAAGCGCTGTAAAAAGCCTACGAGCTACTCTGGACAAAACTCTCGAAGCTAATAGATGCAGAAAATTGATTTGTTCATGACGCCCCTCCACTCCACTCCAGCCACTTATGAGCACACACTCTCAACCTCGATGATCAAGTCAGTTAAGCTCACCTCGCATTCCATAAAAACATCATAACAGAGAAGAGTGAGAAAAGAGCACAAAAGTATGAAGAAAAAAAAATATAAAAATAAAGCTCAAAGATCGCAAAATACATGCTCATTCGAAACGCTGTCTCCATGAAGATACAACATGAACGGGTGTCCGACGAGCCTCCAGACCCGCCAAACCCGACTTTTTTTTCGGTAGAATCCACACTCCAAAACCAGACACAATCTTCAGTCGCAAAGCAGTACTCCCCCTCAACCAAGCCGCGCCAGACCGGCGATCCAGCGTCTGGTGGCGGGCGCGGGGGTTGAGAGGAACCCAGAATGCATGATTTGGCACGAATTTTCAATTCACAACAAAGCTAGAGAACCCGCTGAAAAATCTTCACGATGAAATGGCCACAAGATGAAGTGAATGAGAAAAAAAGAATTTATACAGTAGATTGAAGCAGGAAAAGATTTGATTAAAGAAAAATCATATACCAGGATCAGCGCTGCAAAGGGGTGTTAGCTGAGTTGACCATTATTGAGAAAAAGACGAGGAAAAGAGAGAAAACTTACCCGTCCACGTCGCCCTCCAACATTCTGGCCCTGCACCGGCTGTGCCTGGGCATAGAACTGTGGAGGATATTGATACATTTGGGCTGGGTTGACCACGGGGCTGAACTGCTGTGGCGAGTAGCCGGACTGATTCGGCATGGCATTCGGACTCATAGTTCCTGGCGCAGCAGACAACTGGGTCTGCAGAGAGCGCAGATTATCAACCGACGGCGATGCGGCTGGGTAGCCAAAATTGGCACCCGGTATACCCGCGTACATACCGCCAGGAGAGACACCACGGGCCTGGGCAGCCAGATAAGCTTGGTACTGGAGCTGCTGCTGGGCAAGAGAAGCATTGGGGTCCTGGAAACCATTCATCCCTCCTAGGCTGTTCAGAGAACCACCGAAGCCATTCATTCCATTAGCTCCATAGGTATCAAGAGGGGCACTGTTCTGGTCGGCGGATATGGGCCGTGAATCGGGAGCCTGGCCAAGCATGTTGGAGCCGAATTGGCCGCTGTACTGTCGCTCCATAGGGGGCTGTGCCGGGAAGTTGGTGCTTCCATGGCGGGAGGATTGACGATGCTGCGACTTTTCAGGGGTGGAAGAGTGGCTGGCGCCATGGTCACGACCGTGGTGGTGCTCGCGACCAGTACCGCGGGAAGACAAACCAACTTCATCCATTAACCGCTTGTATCCCTGGCTTGGCGATGCCTTCAACTTGGTGAGAACCTTGGAGACGTTCTTAACGACCTCTGACCGCATCGACTCGTCAAAGAAAGGAGTGGTCAGGACCTTGAAGATCAGAGTAGCACCCGAAGACTGGTCACTCAAAATCTTCTCCAACACTTCATCGCCTGGGCTGAAGAAGAGCGCCTTGAGGACGATGTCTCTAGCCTCGGCCTCATTGCGCTGGTTGATGACCTTGAGAACGGTAAGGTATGCAACCTTGTGAGTGCAAAGGTGCACCAAGTGGGGGACAAGTCTGGGAGCCAGAACGGTTCGGCGATGGGGGAATGTACAAGTATCGAGGAACCAGGTAAGCAGCAAAGCACCGTTGGCATTTGTGGCCAGTTGCACGCTATGAAGGGCAATGGCGGCAGCAAGAGCGCGCTGCTGATCTTTGGTGGAATGGTGGCTCTCCAAGCAAGCGCGCATAGCTCTGGCACCGAATCGACCCTGAGCAACCTCCCACATGCGGCTCAACATAGTCTCAAAGATGAAATCATTAAAAGGGGCGCCGAATCTCAGACAGCACTGCAGCACGTAGTTTCCGTACTGATCAAGGAAGAGAGGCACAGTGTATGGGCGGAGCGCATCAACGATCATCTTCATCTGAGCAGGGCTCTTGGCAACGTCGATAATCTTCTGTGCAGCCCAGGTTCCGTTCTTGTGCACACCAATTTCAGCGAGATGAGGAGCAATGTGGGACAGCATCTGTTCCTTCGTAGACTCAGAGCAAAACTCGAACAACTTTTGAACCACGGTGTTGCCAAGATAATCCGAAGAAAGTTCAGCTATCTCAGGGAGCATGGCGCTAGCAGTCTCTTCAATCTCTTGGATTGAGCAAGCTCCGTTGTCGATACGCTTGCGAATATCACGCAGACGAGGGGCGTCAAACATGCGAGTCTGGCTGGGTTCTGAAACGGAAGGGATTTCGTCTTCATAAGCCTGGAAAGCAATAGCGCTTTGAATGGTAGCGGTGATATTGCGAGTATCATCTTCACTGGCTCCAAATTCCTGCACAATTTCAACCATCTCGGGCAGCAGATCAACCAGGGCAGGGATCTGAGGGACGACACCAAAGTTATTTGTCTGGTCTATGCCCTCCGAGACAATGGTTGACTTGAAGTTGGGATCCGGGGTAGGCGAGGACTGAATGCCGTTGGCACCAGGGGTACCGGCCGCAGAGGTCCCGGGAACCTTGGCATAGCCAATTCGAACAGGACCAGCACCGGGGAAGATTTCCTTGCCGTTCAACAGTGACTTGGCCTGGACAGCGCTTTCAATGCGTTCAAAGTTGACAAAGCCACAGTTCTTGTGCGTCAGCACACGAGTAGACTCGATCTTTCCGTACATGCCGAAGATGGCATCAAGTGAGGTAACCGTGGTGGAGACGGGAATACTGCCAATCCACAAAGCCCGAGTTGGACCATCTTGGTTGTTCTCATCTCCCAGTTCCCCAGTTGCGCGAACGCCTACTGCAGGGCCACCGGCTGCTCCGAGATGCAGCATTTGGACCGCCTCGGCAAGGTCATCATATTCGCCGTTCTCAGAGATATGCAGATCAGAGGGAGTGAAACTGTTGTCAAGGCGGGAGGGCGTGGCAAGGTAGTTGCGGATGGATGATCGTTGGGGAGGGGCCTCGAGGATACCCGCCGTCCGTGCTCGAGGCCGGTTAACGGAGGCATGACTGGCAAACGCCTGAACAGCCAGGTTGTGCTGGTGAATCTGTGCCTGCGTGGCAGCAAGCTGAGCGGCGGTGGCAGCGGCCGAAGGGGTCAGCGTACCCGAGGGAACTCCTGAGTAGCGGCTCTCATATTCCAAATCCTCATCATCGGCATACTTCTCCTTCGCATTAACCGAGTAGGACCGGAACCGATTGTTGCTCTTCATCATCGCCAGCTCAGCCAGGAGTGGCGGCAGCGCAGACGCTTGCTGCTGTTGCTGCTGGTGGTGAATCAGCTGCTCCATCGATGGTCGTGCAAGGGAAGCCCTCGGTTGCTGGGGAGTCTCTGCCAGCCCGAGATAGTCCAGCGTTCTGACATCAGTGTCCTGAGAAAAGGACGACTGGCTTGGTGATGCCGGACCCTCCGAAGAGCGAATGCTCGTCAACGTGGTGGCTCGGTCGCGACCAGTTGACCAACCCGAAGAGAAGACGGATGACCCGAAAGGGCCGCCCGTCCCGAGGAGACTGTTCCGCTGCGGCATCGAGCCAGCTCGAAGACGGGACAGCATGGTCGGATTAGGAGCGGCGGTCGAACTCGCGATACCGGCACTCGTGTCAATGCCCGATACACCGGGGGGTCGGAAGGGGCTAGTGGAGGGGGTCGGGCGGGAGGTCTGTGACATGAACGGCTGCTGAACATCCAACTCATTCAGAGTGCCCATCGGTGGGAATCGAGAGGGCACAGTACCAGCTCGGGCTCGGCGGCCAGAGCCAGTCATTGAGCCATTGGTGGTAGGGATGAGGTCGGGAAAGCTATCCTGGCTAGGAGACTCGGGAATGTTCTCGCGCAGCGGGGTCGAGTGACCACTAGTCGGGGGACCCCAAATACTCGTGGGGAGACCTTCCTGGGCCTGAATCTCGCGAGCACTGTCGTAAGGATAGAAATGTCAGTCAATTCATCACTCGAGTTGGCGCGACTGCGATTCTCAAAGGGGAGGTCACTTACCGCTTTGGGTACAAACGTGTCCCCAACTCGTGAGAAGGGGAGCCAGCCCCCAGTCGCGAAACGCCGAATGGCGCCTTCGCAGTCCCCGAGCCAGCCAGGTCGCTGGGGGAACTTCGCCCTGTCGAAGTTCCCGACATGGACTGTGTGGTTGGAATGTAGTTAAAACTCATCTGTCCTTCAGGTCGTGAGACGGGCAACATTATGGATTATTTCCTTCTGCCTCAAAGCAAAAGGCAGTGCTCGTAAGTTTCCCACTCTGAAACCCAACGTAGATACCGGAAGGGACTGACAGAGTCAAATTTACTCTAAGAGAAAAAGTCAAGGGTTGAATCAAATGCGGCGGTGCAGCGCAAACACCATGCAGAGATGGGTTCAATGGACACCGTAAACACTTCAAGGGGACTCGACTGATGGCGTTGATGGTAAAAGCGGGTGCAGCCTATAAATAATATTCGAGATCGAGGTCAGTTATCGAGTCTCTCGAGGTGAGATTCGGTGGTGGATCGGCGAATGGCATCCGAAGGACGTAGGAACGAGAAGGGAGAAAGAGAGAGAGAGGGGTTGACAAAGCGCCTCCACTGCCGCCAGATACGAGTGGGGAGGATGAGGAATGAAAGGGTAATTGCTTCTCAAGACTGACCGACGAAAGAAAGACGCAGACGTGTGCTCACAAGTCTCTCACGACTACAATGTCCTGGCTTGTATGACGATCTTCGGTCCGTATCCCCCACGCGATTCGAATCAACCCGGGTTGGAATCACCAAAAGCTCACGTTTTCGCAGCGGTCGTCAAAAGAGAGGGGCGCGGCTAAACGCGAAGCACGGAAGAATGGTGAAAAGAGTCCACACCAAAGAGCGCCGAGTGAGGACCTAAAAGAACACGATGGGCTGGGGTGACGGGGGTTCGGGGAAGGGATTGAGGTGGCTGGAGGACGAGTTAGTTTGCGCGGCTCCGGGGAACGAGGCGAAGGGGGTTAAGGACCGAGGAGGGTTCGGGAGAGGAACGAGAGAGAGATGGAAAACTGACCGAAAAGAGATCGCACGGGGAGAAATGCAGAAGTGGGGAGAAAGAAAGAAGAGAAGTGGAAGAAAAGTGACGAGGAGGAAGAAGAAAGTGGAGGAGACCGGATGTTCGAGGAGGTTTGGGAACTTTTGGGGGAGTTTGGGGAGTTTGGGCATTGTGGTTGGTGGAGAAGACTTATTCTTTTCAGCTTCAATTCCCACAATCCAATTGTCCCCTCCCCAGTTCGTCCGCATTATACAGCAAACGATTATTCTTACTATTTTTTTTACAGAGGAATAAGAAATTATCAGTCGTGAACAGGTGTTTTCTTTCTTTTTTTGACAGACCATGGACGAGGTGATAGGCTAAGACGATGGCTGCATAGTTTTTGTACTACGAAGCTTCTTTCGAGGCACCATTCTACAAAGCTACGGTAATAGTGTCCTAGTTTCGTATGTTCCCCTCCATACACCTCAGGTTTGTCCCAACGGCTTTGTTTGGCATGTATCACCGGCTTCGGGGTTGTCGGCACGGCTAAGTGGATTGACACAGCCCCATCGATGTCATCGTTCAGGCTGTCCCAAACATCCAACTCTGCCCGGAAGCCTCGAGGCCCGCAGTAAACACCCGTTCTCCAGACGTACATCCAAGACCCCCTTCCAAACAGCGCCCTTGGCAAGTCCCGGGTGATCCCTGTTGGTCCCTGATAGTCCCAAGATAGTCCCCAGTACTTCCCCCCGACATTCCGGTCGGCCCATTGTGGGAATATTGGGTCTGTCATGCTGTGTATTGTCTTCGGGAAAACATGGCATGCTCGGTGAAGCACCGGCGTGGAAACAGACACAAATGAGCCCCGCATTCCCGGAGCGTCATGCCTCAATAGTCTTACTCCATTGAAAAGAGTACGGAGGGGTGAGCAGATGGCTTTGCTCGGGCCTGATATAATGACCCTTGTCGTCGAATGTTGATGTCAAAACCCTGGCACAACGAGCGATGGAATTGTCCATGCAAGGGGAACACCTCTGTCATGGTTCTGGAGCCGCGCGCTCAAGAACTGTTGAGTGGATGCGAGCAAGGGATGGGTCAGGTACGTGTCCTTATCCTTGATCTGGGAATTAGTTTGGTCGACCGAAGTCAACAAAGACGCAGTACTGTAGTCATTGTTCTTGCAATCAACAGGCCGAATCACTGCCGTAAATCAGCATCGGTAGCGCAGCAGCAGTATCATCGCCGCCAAAGATTACATTATGCTTCGGGGAGAACGGCATGGTGGGTACGGAACGCTCCGGCAGGGCGAATTGTGTCAACTGCAAGATCCGATCCTCCGTGTCTGTAGTAAAAGAATCAGTAGTAGGATGGAGTGCCTGATTCCCAATAGCAAGTTTCAGGCTCTGTGTTTTGACAGGCAAAGAGGCATAGTTAATGAGCGTCGATCCGTCAACGAGTAGTTCAACTGGAGGCACATGATCAATCAGGTGTTGCGGTCATCGGCCTGAGGCATCACAGACGCCACGCAGAAGTGGCAGCCACACTGCGATCTTCACTTAGCGTGATTTCTTGGTCATTCAATGCTCAACTGCGAAAGAGCGTCGCTCTTATCCGATGTCGCGTGCTCTTCATTCAGCCAACTATCGCCAATAACTACATCCTGCTATTTGACAACAGTTCTTTCCCGACCACGATTCGCCTCTCATCAGGCTCGCGTCTGATGCACGGCCGACCGTCCACAACGCGATCGCTCGATAGCCTTCCGCAATAAACCAACCACCCCCAAGCCCTCTCAATATGGCCGACCTCCTAGAAGACGACCCCTCCTCGGGACTCCAGTCCTCGGAAGAGGAAGAAGATGAAGAGATGCAGGTAGAGTCTCTGGTCCAAGGTCGTGCGAAGCGAAGCACCGCCGGTCGAAACATGTCCGCCCTGATCGACGCGGCCGCAGATGACGATCTCACGCTGTTATTCGAGGAGGTGGAAGATGACAACGAGTTCGCTGTCGATGTAGAAGCCGCCGAGGAGGAGGATATGGGACTTGATTCTTCGGACGACGATGACGACCAAGGCCCCAACACACAGAACGACTACGAGGGCGAGCAAGAACTGCAAAAGGAGGAGCGGAAAAAGCGACGAGCCCAGAATGACCTTCGTTTCCAGACGCTCCGTAAACGAGTCAAAATTGATCCCACCGCCGTATCATCCGTACCTGCTCCGCCACCTCGTTTAAAGAAGAAGTCGGAGCGCATCTCATGGCTACCCACGGTGGAAGATGGTCCGACTCGATCATCCTCGCGTCGGCAAACGATGGTCAACAAGGAGCTTACGCATGCACGGTTGAAGGACAGCCAGGAGAAGCGTATCCGGATCATCGCTACGATGAAGGAGGCCGAGAAGCGGAAAGCCCATCTCAAGCCAAAGCAGATGACTCAAGAAGATCATCTTGCAGAGGCTGCTAGAGTGGAGCGAACCAACAGCAAGAGTCTCAATCGCTGGGAGCTGTCGGAAAAGAAAAAGGCAGAGGAACGCAAGGCAAAGATTGAGGCATTGCAGAATCGCCGACTCGAGGGCCCGGTTCTTTCTTACTGGAGTGGAGTGGCTACGTGGGTGAATGGACGGCTAACAAAGGTGGGCAAAGTCGAGATCAAAGCGAAGCCCGAGAAAGAAGAACCTCGCAAGAAGAAAAAAGACAAGGATGAGAAAACTGCCACGGAGTCTCAGGGTGCTCAGAGCGCTACGCCTGCTCCGGTGCCGCCGTCGAATATCACGGCTCCTTCTACAGATGCCTCAATTTCGGCTTCAGCTACAGCGCCCGGTGAGCCCGGAACTGTCACGCCGTCTGAAGGAAAGACATTGCAAGAGACTCCCGTTCCGAGCACTTCAGCGCCTGGGAACGCTGTGGTCCCGAACTCCACACAAGAGCAGCCCAGCATGCCCGACGAGAGCTCTTCTGAGCAACTTGCCACCGCCGAACCGCCTCTTGAAACAAACGAGAACAATGAAACACCGCCGACCGCGGTGTCTATAGACACAAAGAAAGAGGAGCCCAAGGTTGCAGAGCCAGCATCCCAGGCCGAGCCCGTCAAGTCTTCTGAGAAACAACAACCAGAGCCGACTGAGATTCTCACGGGTGGCTCCTCATCTCCGTCCGCCGAGAAAATCTCGATAGACAAACCTGCAGAGGCATCCTCAATAGAAAAGCTGGAAGCGAAGTCCGAAGATAAGCCTGATGCGATGGACATTGATAGTGGCTCGGGGGCCGATCCCATCAAGGTTGAATCGCAACCATCCATCGAGCAAACACCTTCCGCAGCTGGCGCGCCCGCTGAAAGCAGCACCAGCACAGATGCACAACCAACGTCTGGAGAAGTCCCTCAGACCACCTTGGCGACAAGCACCACCGCACCCGTGACCGAACACGTTTCACCTGTGGCCGCCGCACCCGCACCCACGCCTGCAGACCCTCAAGCCCCTCAAGCTCAAGCCCCTCCGTCGGATGCAGCTCCCCTGCAAGCCACGCCACCCAATATACCCGGGGCCCTAAATCAAGGCGTTGACCAACCTCCACAACAAGACGGATCGCAGGGTGACCGACTTCTTCAGCAATCAACCCAATCACAAGAGTCGATCCCAGCCGTGGCACAACCCGAGATTCCGCCAGCCCCGCCGGTGATCGAGTACACAGGGCGAAATTTGACAATCCTGGAGAATTTCGACGATCGGACCGCGCACAGCAAGAAGTTCAGCATGTACTTTAATGCAAAGAAGCCACCGCGGTTGACCAGTACGTGCCCAGTCCTCTACGCCCCAGTTCAGCCCAAGCTGCACCCGCTTAATCTATATGCAAATCTCTTTATCAAGATCAACATAATCAGCTAACCACCAATTAGAAATCTCCTCGTCGCTCTGCGTCATCACATCCCTGCCCTCCCGTTACCGTGATCCAGAGACTTCCCTCCCATATGCAAACTCCTACGCCTACGGGCAGATCCGCAAGATGCTGTCGCAGGGATACATCTGGAGCTCGATGCTGGGCTGTTTTGTCGGACCCGGCGGGACTGCAGCGCGCGGCGTGCCGGATCGGTTTCTCGGCATAGAAACGAAGGCAAGCGACGACGCCAAGATAGAGAAGGAGAAGGAGAACAAGCCGGAAGGTGGATCCGCTGGTGATTCCAAGGCTGATCCGATGGAGGTTGATGCGAAGTGAGCTGAGCCGTGTCTGGACGGCTCGTTGTTGATCTAAATCATCCTTGAGGATGTGATGAGATGGATGATGGAGATGTTTGTGTGTACGATATATGTCATAACTAGCCCTTTCTTAGTCCGAGCCTTCAACTGTATAGATACCCATTCGAACCTGGAAACAAACCAAGACTCATAAGCCCTCAATCCAATCAAGTCCCTAGCTTCCAAGTGGAAGACCCCCTTCCTGTCCCAGTCAACCGCTGGCCAGTCCGATCTCCATCTCCACCATGCAGTCATAGACTACGCATCTATCGATACACCAGCATACCCAAAGTATCTCTACCCCTGGAAAGTACAGCCAGAATGAGTCTTACCACTTCCATCTCGAAGTCCACTTCACCCATCATCATTAACAGTGACAGTGACAATAGTATTATAGACACAGTACATGATGTCCTCCCTGATGTAATAATTCGTTCGCGCCCTCAAGTCTTCCCCTGGGTCACCCCCCGTCCCACGGAACCCAGCGCGGAAGCCGACGGGAGTCAAAAATAGCATTGACAAACCATAGTTCCTAGCCCTGTGGTCAAAGTTTGAAGTGAAGAACATCATAAAATCAAGATATGACATTATTACTCTGCTTAGCCCTGATGATTTTTTTTTTCTTTTTTTTTCTTATAATTTTATCTTCATTGTATGAAGTGCTGCCTGTTGTGTTGTGGGGGTTGTTATAGCATGCTACGCAATCGAGTAACCCATCTTGCGTCGATGCTTTGCTCCACATTACGTACCGTGCCAGGCATCCACTACTCCAGTGAACCCGATTGTACGTAGGAGCTACGTTGTGGCGGGTTGGTCTAGACGGGACGAGACAATCGAATTGAGCGTGAGAAGATAGTTGACCGTGTTCATTGACTCGGGGAAGTACAGGTTTGTACGAATAGATTCTCTGGAACTCAGAATAGTACTCTTGGTAGGCCTTGCCAATGACCCCTCGCCAGATCACAGTCAACCGGCATAATCAGATGAACAGCTATCACGGTAACTGGTTTAAGCAATAGCAGTCTAATCAGTGAGGCTAGGGGGACTAGGGGGCTAGAACGCCTCACCCGCTCACATCTAACCGCCACACCAAACGATCAAGGGGAAACAAGATTTACTATGTATAGCACCAGACCCTGGGGAATCGAGTCACGTACAATAGAACAGTACGTACACCATATCCTCCACACGCCCCCATCCTTCTCCATCGACACGAAACGAAACGGGTGATCGACGGCTAGTACCGGGATCAGGCATTCACGGACGGCGTCAAGCACGGCGCCAACTCACAGTAGTGGACATGTGTCCCTATTCACCATTTTTTTGTCCTCAATTCTGCACCTCTTATCCACTAGATCTTATCACACTACAGGTATTCTGCAGTAATATTCTAGAATCTGTAGATTAATCTTGGCAGGGAACTCGACGAGTCAAGGGTGTGTCACGACTCCCCCGATGTGTGTGTTGGGGGGGGAGGGAATGGACATTGATCCACCACTCCACCCACTCCTTCTCCACCCGTTGTCTGGTCTGGCCCGGTGGTCGGATCATTCTTATCCTTGAATTTTTTGTAATTCGTTGATCGTTATGTGATCCGCTACTCCGGTTGGATCATGGCAACAGGGCCAGTGTTTTATCCCTGGTCCGAGCACTTTTTCGTGGGGTGATGTGTGCTCGGTTCTTTAGTTGTTGTAGCGGTGTGAATCAAAAGTATCGTCGATTGTCGTTGGTGGCGGGTCCTGGAATCGGGATTGGGGGATTAAGAGTATGGGTATGGCGTCATGGAGTTTGGGGATGGAGATGGACCATGAACTTTTCATCTAAAACTTTGTTTTTTTTTTTCATTGTCCTGTTGAAGAGTGTTTAAGGGGAGGACCAATTTAGGCTGTTTATGTCGTGATTTGTGGGTTGATACTTTAATTGATTAGATCATTATTCTCGATGATGATGAAGAGGATGAGGTCTGGCTGGGAGTACATGTCGTGATCAAGTCTCTAGATCTACCTTCGGATATGGTTATTGCCATTGTCACTGTGCCCAATCTGACCAAGATGATGTGATAATCCAATTCTTCCTTGTCAGAATCCTCCGATCGCGCCACTTTCCCGATCGAGCTGGGAGATAAACTCGTTAGATCCCTACTCCGTACTGCAGGCGGTCCCGGCTCGCGCGTTATTGGCCCGAAACCGGGAAACCCTTTTATTCGGTTATTACTAGATATCTAGAGTACCTCGGGGGCTGCAGGCTCCTGCAGCGTGCAGAAGCGCGTGGTGTCGTGCCGTCCAAGCACGAGGGCGCGTGCGGATCTAGACGAGATCGGCGTGGATCAACGTGTAGCCCGTTAGAAGTACATTTTTTTTTGTTTCTTTTCTTGGGCGGAGATTTATATGGAGAAGAATATGGGGAAGCTGTGATAATTATAGGAGGGAGTGGGTTACGTCGGACTGTGACTGTTACTCGGGGAATGTCTCTTGTGTAAAAAAGGTCAGCAGGCAAGTTCTTCCGTCACTACGGAGTGAATTGCGTGCGGAACGGTGAGTCAGCGGTCTGGACTTGAACCGGGTACCTTGATGGGAGAGGTGTGATTGGCGTGGGCGGGGAGAGTCGATTGCGTGGGAAAAGGTCGATCAAAGAAACGAGAGTCTGGGTCTCTCGAGAGTGGGGGAGAGAGAGAGGAACTGGGTGGTGCAATAGGAAATCATCTCCCACCAGATCAGTCTAGAACTTTTCTGGATCGTCCACACCTTTTCGGACTCGGAGCACGTTCGATATTTAATACAACTCTCTTTTCCCCATCGATCACGTCTTATTTCTTCTCTCGTCACGCTGACCTCCTTGGATATAAACCGGTCTCAGCCCTCTCTATTTGTATCATTCCTTTTGAGGGAGATTCCATCTTCATCGCCACAAAAACTTAACTTCCGGTATGTTATCTGTCCCCTTCTCATTGCTTATCTCCCCCCACTCACGCGTCGGCGATCGCCCCGAGGCCCGACTGGCCCGATTGTGTGCTGCGTGACACACGATGAGACGATTTGATTTGACTGCAGTGATCCAGACTAACATTGAGCTTATCAGGCCCCCCGGTCTTCCCCTTTCCACCGATCGATTTAGGGAATAGTCTTTCCCCGGACGACTCGATTACGGGAAACCATTACCCCTCTAGAGGGCGGAGTAGATAAACGATTCTAGCGAGAGCAAGTGATTATATGATTACTCTCCTCCGACCGATTTGCATGCGGCCTCGATCAAAAACCGCCTTCCTCTTCTTCTTCAACGGGTCATTCTGAATTTTGGGATCAAACCTGCACCATCCCGTTCCACCATCACCTTACGATCCCCCCCCCCAGCAAATACCTCATACTCCAACAAATCCCTCACCCTCAAACTCTCCTCCATTCCTGGAATCCCGCAATCTCGTGCTCCACCTTGCGCAAGGTACTCCCGTCCTGATAAGATAGCAAGTGAGGCATTTGAAAAAAACACACCTTCGGCTTCACCGCCACATCGTCAAATATGACTCAAGCGACAACCTCCCATCGTCGCTCTCCTTCCACTCCTCATGCTTCCAAATCCAAGCCCGCCGTCCGTCCCGCTCTTCACCGTCGTGGCACCTCCGCCGTCAGCCTGTCGATCTCTAAGCTGGGCTCCGGTCAATCTACTCGATCGCATTCGAGGGGAGTCAAGGCCGCCGACGACTTTGATATGGCCGCCAGTTTTTTGAACTTTTGGTATGTGATGCCTCTTTGTGATCTTCCATTCTTTCATTTGCGTTGTTGGGCGGGGACCGAGTCCCTTATCTCTGTCCAGTCTCTGTCCCGTCTCCGGCAGTCGCTTGTCCTGCCCCGTGCATGCCGGTTGCCGTCATTTCCAAGTACATGCGTCTTTAAATAGACTGAGACTGAGACCTGGAAAGGAAATTACTGTTGACTCACTCTATTCTTGATCTTGGGGACTGACTTTTATATCTGTCTATAGCGCCATGTGTGAGCGTCAAATTACTGTCCCCAACAACTCGATCCTCTACTGCAGTGAAAGGTATGCATCATCCCTATCTATACATGTATCTACCTATACATGCATCTACCCATTGTCCCCCAATGCCCTTGATATTGATCCCGTCTACCCTCCCTACTTCCCTCGGCGCCATCTATAACCCCCAAACTCAATGCTAACAACATCCCAGCTGTCGCCGCAAAGACTCCGCAAAACCACTCTCGGCCTCTCTCCCATCCACCTCAACCCTGTCCGCCAGAATGACCACCAACACCTACTCCTCAACCTACACCACAACCGCCTCCCCACCAACCTCTCCTTCTCTGTCCCCGCGCACCATCGTCGCGCCCATGACTCCCACCCGGATCTCTTCGTCCACTCCCAACCCAATCCCAGCCATCGTCAGGATACCTCACACCGTCCACGCCGCCAAGTCAGATCTTGACCCCACCGAATGGAAGCCCGTATTAGGTCCCCGCACCGATAGCACCGGCACCACCGGCAGCAGCACCAGCTCGCTCGCCATCTCCGATGCATGGGGCTATCTCTCCCAATTCCACGGCGGATCGTCCACCCTGCCCACCCGCCGCTCGCACCGTAGCACGGCCAGCCTGTCTACCCTGGACGTCGCAGCCACCCCCTCGCTCACCCACGCGCCCTCCGTCGCATCCTCGGTGTCGAGCGCTGCGTCCGATGAGCACGAGCACGAGCACATGCACCGCCCGCTCCCGCCGCGACACAACCCTTTCTTCTCGCTGTCCCACGCTGCAGAGAAGGGCATGGCGCTGGTCGTCCCGCACGTCGCGGCCGTCGCGGTCCAAGATGTCGAATGTGACAGCGGTTCCATTTTCCCCGCTAGCAGCACCCTGTGGGAAGATGCCGTTGTGACTCAGGGTAGTGCGCCTATCATGGTCCGTGGCCGTGGTCGTGCGACCAAGGTGTAGTGGAGGGTGTCTTGCAGCATTGAGCGTTTGAAATCGGACATTTGAAGATTGCGCTGCGTTTGGCTCGGGCGTGTGTCTCGATTGAAAAATTTCGGCATTTTTTGTGCGATGCTGTTCTGTTTCTTTGGCTAGACTTTGGCTTGGACTAGAGAGGGGGATAGTATAGATTTTCTCTTAATTAAATCAAATCTTGTGCAGTGCACACTTTCTTTCCATTTTGGTCTTTGATACTCTTCGATACTCTTCGTAATCAGATACTTGTATGGTCCTAGTCCCTTCTTGTATAGTCCAAGGTTTGATCTATTCAGAGGTCCTTCGTGCGAGGTGCGATATACAAAAGAGATATATACAGATGCCTCTTGTGCTCCCTTGCTTTGCAGATATACAATCTATGAAACGAAACACACGACACAGATCACTGCCAGTCGCAGTCTCGAGACATTACTATTCTCGACAAAGATACCGAAGCGGACTATCTCAAGAATTTCAATTCCCTCTTTATCAAACCCAAATTCTACACGTCAGCGACAAGAATCTTTTCGACCTCCTGCATACCTTCCTCCACCGATTCATTTTTATCAGTCCTATATCACGATATCCATGAGCTAACGCTCCAATTGACCAACGTGACGCAATCTCTGATTCAAGCCATACCTTGTCAACATCCGAACATCGGTCTGGATCCGAGGTATACCGCTATGATGCACACAAGTATGCGCAGTGCCGATCAGTCGCATTACAAGATCCCACGGCCCTTCTAGCGAACCAAAAAAAAAGGAATCAGTAGTCAGGAAATCGATCTCAGACTATCACAAAAGTATTGTCAAGTTCAACACCAGATGTGAGGGTGTGTGATACGGGTACGGGGTACGGGACTGACCAATCCGTGTCCCCGTAGCATGCATCTCATTCTTAAGTCCAGATTCGCGGACAAGTCGCTGGACTCCTGCGATTTCGTGGGCGTACGATGACGCCGAGGATCCGATCTGGATGGTTCCATGGCGTTAGCAATGAGAATACCGTGTAGGCTTCCAATCCCGAGCGGAAAAGCTGGAGTAATGATGGTCTTACCGGGATCAATGAGAAGTCGGCTGTGCAACAGGAAGGGGTATCTGCTGATGGTGCTCTGATAGACATGCTGACAGTGATGTGGTTTCCGTGATAACTATATCCGTCGATTCGGAATCGTTGTATACATGGCCTAAGGTTGGCGTGTATATATATCCGTTTGAGCGTCATCATGACAAGACTGTCTCATCAGTTGCCTCTTAAAATTCCCCCCCTCCACCAATTCTCCAATCGCAATACTCAGATTGGAATTCTGGAAATACGCACATCGATAGATATCGTGTCTTTGATTCGAGTCTCTACTTTGCTACTTTGAGAACATAGTTAGTCCCCATTATGACTGTTTGGCTGCAGATGTCAGGCGGAGCATATGTCTAAAGCTATATCTAGGTTATACAAAAGATACTTTTTGATTCACTATACAGTGATTGGTGGAGATGTATTTGCAGATCAATTAATGTGATATCATAATCAGGTCACACTGCTCTAATCGTCCGGATGTGACTGGCCGCGAATCAGGGTCGGTCATTCCTAAACAATTCCAGCAGCAATTATCATAGCTTTGGCAGATTGAACCGGGCAATCAGAGTATCTGACACACGATTCATTGTCTTTGACAATCAGAACTTGATTAACACTGTGAAGCGCAGACTAAGCGAGGTCTGTATAGGTCATGTGACTTTTCCAGAGAGAGAAGGAAAGGATGCGTCGTCTTTCACCTCCATGCATCATTAAGATGGTCATGGAGCTAGGCAATAGCGTTGTGTCAGAGCTGAAAAGGCTAGTGGGGCTAATTGGCCCATGACTCCCATTGACCGCAACTCGGACTCCATTAAAGCCATACAGACGTGCGGGCGGATACATAGTACGATCTCATCTACCCGCTACATTTTTCTGATAATAATTAGAAGATCAGATAGTTACGTAAATCTTTGGGCATAGTCAGATCTGGATCTTCTTCTTGAGAGCCCTGACTGCGGGAACTAGTAGCACACCAGGTGGGCACGGCACTGCCAGCATCGCCAATCCCTCTGCACTATCACGGCGAGATGATCCAAAGGTTTGGGGCAGGGTCCATAGCCGGGGCTGATGGGCTACCATAGATCGGCACTCTCACATACAGTCCTCAATTAAATTGAACTTTGAGAGTGCATAGACTATTGGGAAATATGAGAATAGTTTCAATGGATGGATACCGCTTAGCTTTTGGATGTACAAATTCTCATAGATCTGCATAGATGCCTATCATGGCACAGTAAAATCCAGACACTCCCATTTCTTTGGGTATTTAATCTTTTGTCTTCGCTGCTGTTATCCTGGTTTCTTCATTATCAACTCTTGTACTCTGTACAGAATTTGTATCCTTGACAGACAGTCGAAGCCTCCGAAAGCCTAAATTCATCTATACAAGGTATGTCTCCACTTCAACCTTTTCCTTTCCTTCGTCTTCACCGGATCTAATTTATTAAAGGATACCAAAAAACTTCAATCACAATGCACATCTTAACAACAACCATCTTCTCTCTCCTGGCAGTAACAGCCTCCGCCAACGTCATCAACAGATCATCTCCAACCTCCTCGACACCCTCAACACCCTCAACACCCTCCTACTTGCCCTGCACTGAGGACAAAGAGTGTGGCAGAAAGTCCTACTGCGACTCAGAACACCAACGATGCGTCGGCCTCCGCGAGTCTGAAGAAGAATGCACCGCGAACTGGGGCTGTTTTTCCAACTGGTGTCTCAACGGCCAATGCAAAGGCAACGACGCTGCCGGCAAGCCCTGCAACAATACCGAAACGGACTGCTCTTTCTACGTTAAACATGGGCCGTACGAAGATGGCGAATACACTTTCTGTCCCAAGGACACGGGTGACAAGCCGCGGACATGTATGCTGGGACATCTTCGCCAGGGAGATAAATGTACCCTCAACGAGCAGTGTGCGTGGGATAACTGCGTGAACGGTGTGTGTGAAACACCAGCGGGCCAGTTTGGCACGCCCTGCAAGACCCAGAGTGACTGTAAGAGTGGTCTTACTTGCACTTATGACATTACGGAGGGGAGAAAGAAGTCGTGTGATAGGCCTGAGAAGGGGTATTTTGGAAGCCCGTGCAACACGGACAGTGACTGTGCGACGAGGAACTGTGGGTTGTACGGGGAGAAGTTCTGTAACGCGGCACGCTGGAGCTCCTGTAGACAGATAGGGACCGTCTATTTTAGGGATTCGTCGTGTTGTTCGAATAGCTGTGTCCCGTCAAAGGGTTACTATGTTTGTGGGTGAACTGGGTCGGCTTTGGGGTGTTGGTAAAGATATACATTATATGGAGTGTATAATACCAGTTTTTCCTTGTTTGGAATGTATAGTTCGTTAAGAAGACTGCTTAAAACAGCGTCACAAGTAGCCGTTTTAGTGTCGAATTTGCCTTCACCTAGTGTTGTGGTGTAATCAGGTTAAAATGATGTAATGGCCCAAATCCACATCATACGTATAAAACTGGCAATATGCCATCACATGAAGAAGATAGCTACACTCTCATACAACTACATTTACCATTCAAAAATATGTATTTCATCCGCAACTCCATGACCCGCGCACTGAGCGCAAAACAGTGCAACTCGACCGTTGCAAAACTCCAAGCCTCACGCAACACTCAGAAGCGAAAGTTCGCCACCTCACCAGGTGGAATCGGAGATAATCGTGGGACACCAATCTGGTAAGTCTTTGCTATATTTGTGCGTATGGAGTTTATTAATTTACGTTGAAATGCCGATAGGCTGATGTATGTTTTTGGCTAGGTTGTATGGAATGATTGCGGCTGGAGCTGGCGGAATTCTTTACCTGTGGAAATGGGGAAATCAGAATGCAAAGGCTGCCGCCACGCAGAATATTCCGGACCATCGTGGGGCAAATTCAGAATATGTGAAGGAGTCTGAGGGTAATTAGGGCTGTCTGATTGAATATGTTCACATGGTAATTGGGTCAGTAAATTTGACCCTACAGCCCGTCTGGTTGGGAGAGCCGTATTGTATCGTTCAAATTGATGTATGAACGAAGATGTAGTAACACTATTGCACGATAATGAAACGAAGTTTTGACACTAAACTCTCATAATTGCGGAAATATGTCGATTAAATGTAAAAGTTTTCAGTGGCATGTACTGTTATGCATCTGATCGGTGAAGTACTTCCGTCGGAAAATATCAAGACGAATCGAGGTATCAACTCGAAGTCTTTGCTAGTTCAAATACTATAAAAACTGACAGGCTCTGCCTTATTGATTTAGATTTCAATGACATTTCTTACTCGATTGGTATGCAGGATCTTGATAACAGGAATCCATCGAAGTTGTACACAATCACAATAATCAATTGTTTCATTCCCCGTTTGCGCTTGACTTTCATTTGCCGTCGAGGTCAGTGAAAAGCTCATATCCAAAGTCTTTGCTAGAATCGTTGAAACGGAGCTTCTTATCAAGCTTATCAATCTCAGCAGTATCTGCCTTGTCAAGTGTAAAGGAAATATCGAAGTTCTGCTTGATTCGCTCCGGCGACTTGGACTTGGGGATGACAGAACGACCATGGGAAATACCCCATGCTAAAATACGTCAGTCAGTTTCCACAAATTTGACGTATGAACATGGATAGCCAGCTTACCCAAAGCAACCTGATTCGATGTCTTGCCATACTTCTTGCCAATCTCAACGAGGGTCTTTTCGTTCACCAGCTGACCATGCTGCTCGCGACCTCCATAGATCTCGTTCTGATTGCCGAACGGCGAGTATTGGGTGACGTGAATTCCCTTTTCTTTATGGAACTCGGCAAAGTCTTTTTGTTGCAGCCATGGATGCAACTCCATCTGGTGGACTGCGGGAACAGTGTCCGCCTTTTCAAGGAGACGCTCCACCTCCTTTTTGGAAAAGTTGCTGATTCCAATAGCCTTGACTTTGCCATCTTTGAGAAGGCCCTCCATTGCTTTATAGGTCTGTAATTGTCAGTTAGTGGTGCTTTTGGATTGTGATAACTGGCAGCTCACATCAAGATAATCAATATCGTCAGTGATCATATTTCCATCCTTGTCTTTAGGGAACATGTCATCTCCGCGCTTAAAGGCAACGGGCCAGTGCATCAGGAAAAGATCAAGGTAGTCAAGACCCAGGTCATCAAGAGACTCTTGCAGAGCTGGACCAACATCGTCAGGATGGTGCTTGTTGTTCCATAGCTTGCTGGTCACGAAAATCTCGCTCCGTGGTACGCCACTCTGCTTGATAGCTTTTCCAACGGCCTTCTCGGTGCCGTAGCTGACTCTCATGTTAGCTTATAAATCTCCACTTGACAAACAAAGTAATTATGATTTACCATCTCGCTGTGTCTATGTGACGATAGCCAGCTTGAAGCGCTGCAAGAACTGCAGCCTCCTGCGCATCCGCATCCTGCCACGTTCCTAGCCCGAGAGCTGGAATCTGAGCACCAGTATTGAGTTTGAAAGTCTTCTGTCCTTGGAACGCCATTTTCTATGAGATAATCAAAAGGCAAAAAAATGTTTATTGTTCGATTCGTCGCGATGGTCTGAGAATGGATTTTCTGTCATTGAATCGTTCCCTTTTTTTGGCTGGAAGCTATTTTAAATATCACTCATTAGGTGGTATGATTCAGAGTATAAGTTTATTACGTTCCTATGACATGAGAAACGCTTGAAAATAGAGGTCGCTGTGGAGTCATATCTTGACTGCATCGCCAGAAAGCAAGTTTGAGATTTTGTGACGTAAGGGAATTTAGATCTCGTTTTAGGAGTTCGTCGCCACCGCATAGCCTGGAATCATTGTGCCAAGCAATTGGTATGCCTCTGCAAATTGTAATCAACAAAGAAGTGGCTGCTATTCTTACTCGAATCTAACAGTTGATCTCCCTGGCGTGCGTATGGTTACGAGTACGAGGCGAAAGAAATCCGCGGTGATTAATTATTGCCACGAAAACATTCATGACTAAACAATGCGACATGAAAGGAATTAGATTATTGCTTCAGTACCCTTGACAGAAGAGGAGTAATATAGCAGAAATAAAGTCATATGGTATCATACATAGGTTGATCAATCTTCCCCTGGTATCTCGAGCATCTCCCGTCGTTCCTTCCCATAACGCAGATGACGGGCATTCCCTGACAAGAAAAACAGAACCAAAAACGCCATTACGCCAAAGCTGGTGATAGCAATTTATTATACGGAGACATTGAGTGAGCCATCGCTCCCAAGCTCAGGGAAGAACATGCGAATAAATTCCTGGCCGAGAGGACCGTAGGCAAAGGAGCCCTCATCGTCCCCATCCTCCACTGGACCGGACGAAATCAAAGCAACGGGGTTCGACAATTCCGATTTACACTCTGAAGGGGCTATGTGAACCCCGTCTGGTCGGCTTTGAGAGGTCATCGCAGGCTCATTTCCATTGCTTTCGCCCGCTTCCTTGACCTGATTGATCAACACCTTTTGGCGTTCAGGAGGTGAGAATGCGAAATAGTTATAAGTGGATCTCGGTCCTTGCCAGTATGAGTGCGATGACAAGTCACTGACTTGATGTTCCATAGAGGGGTCTAGCCGACGAAGTGCTGTGTCGCACAACTGCCATGCCCTCCGTGATGCAATGCTATGCTCAGATGTTCTTTGGAGCCAACGCACACATTTATGGGTCAATTGTAGAAGATTATTCTCTCCTTCGGGCATGTGAATGCTTCCGAGTGAGATCTCGAGAATGATGATAGTTACAGCCTGCATGACCGAGTGGAGCAGGCACCACCAAGGTCCGCTTCGTTGCGGCGAGCTGTAGTGCTGACCGTCTGGAATCAGAGAGGCTATTTGAGCGGCAGAGTCCAAGGCTGATAGGGCCATGGCTCGGTTGAAGTCTTGCTTTTCGTCCGATTGTGAGGCTTTGTGTTGACAGAGGCACGTTCTACCGAGCAAGATCCTTGCTCCGTGGTATTGGAAGGCCAGCCGCAGCTTCTCGTTGTAGGCGGCATCATTCTCTTCAACACGAGTAAAGTCTAATGACTTGGGCAGTGAAGAGACCCAAATATCAAGCTTTTCTTGTAATCCGACCAACCTGTCTCGGAGAGACGACCAATGTCGATTCACAGTTTGAATGGTATATACACGATCGAGAACCTCTTGCGTTATCATTGTGAGATCGCAGGAGTAAAGGAAGCACAGCTCAGGACTGGCAGGCTGGTCTCGAAGCCATGAGCGAGCGGCTATGATGTCTTCGGTACCACGCGATCTCCCCATAGGGGTTCCGGGCTCATATGAACTTGCCATGGCGGCATCGATACGCTTATCTCTAAGGATCGGATCATTCAGAAGCAAGGTAGCGTTTGGACACAGCAGTTCAGCCTCTCCCCAGGGAAGTGGGAAGGGTGAACTACACATATTAATAGAGATGCAAGTAGGCCGGCCTGTCATCATCCCGAGTTTGTTCTCGACAATATACAACGACCACCAGACTCGATTGCGAACCTCTTTGGAGATACTCGTGACTGACTGGCTATTGTTCTTCAAGTTTATACCAAGCGATACTGCGGAGCGTATAGCCAAGGCCGAAATTCTCCACGCCCTGTTCGACGGGTCAGTTTTGATCCCTGGAGTGAAGTGATGCTGCGCTACCTGTGAATCTGGTCCGTTGACAGCAGATAGAAAGCAATTAGGCCTTCCACTTGGACTTGCTGGAGGTCCGGGTGATGGAACAAGTCATCACCATCCATACTGAGCATTCGAGCTCTGGTCAAGTAAACCAGATGATCTTGAGGATCTCCGCGCCAGTCCAACTCAGCGGCGTGAGCAAAGTTCGCAGCAACAGCAAATATCAGATTCAAAATTGCCATCCATTTGTTACCGGGAAGCGCAAAGCTATCAAAGAAGGCTCTATATTGATCACTGAATAGGGAGCGATTGATAATGGGGAAATAGGGGTGAGCGACTAAAAGGTAAGTTTCAAAAAGCTTGTCCGCCAACGGACGAGATGGAACCCAATACTTCTGCACAGGCTCAGACACTGTGATATCGAGATCATCGAGATGATAATTTAAATCATGGGGCTGGTCATTAATTGCGTCGGCCGGAGTGGCCGCGGTGTCTTTGTCTTGACGCCGATCTTCCGCTGCCTTTTGCAGTCGCTGCATCCAGGTAATTTCAGAGCTCTTGCCGATATGCCCAGTAGCTCTAGATTCCTCAGTCAGATTAATATCATCCTCTACTTGATCCAATGCATCCAATGACCCGACGGAGGATGGCGAGCTGGCTGGTTTGTCCAGCTCAGCCAGCGAGGAGGTCGTTAAACGGGAGTTGTTCCCATTCGAGAGTTCATCTGAGGAATATCCCGAGGCCAAATGTTGCTAAAGATTCTCGAGTCAGCAGTCCACTTGAATTTCTCGGAGACGTATCACTCCCCTGTCTCTATGGGGGGAAATCGCTTACCAAGACCACTTTGACACGCTTAGCGATGTGCCCAGAGACAAAAGGCTCCACATCTCCCAATAAGCTCTGGCACTCTCGAAGCTGCTTTGAAAGGCCCTCCTGCTTCCTGATCATTAGGAATAGAAGTTCAGCTCTTGATCTTCTTATCGCATAGAACATGGAATGCTCGATGTGTTTGTGAATGTTTCTTAGTGTAGTTCCAGTGTTTGATAATTTACATTTTCATCTTCTCGCGCAAGGCTGGTGGGTACACGCATTTCATGCCTAAATTGTGGCATTGCCTACAAACAGGGGTATCGCCACTGCATTTTGTTTTCCGGGTACGGCATGATGCACACGCTCGTGGGACCCGTCTGTGATGTCTTAAGGGTGTCACCGTGCGATGTCGAGGGATCGCGATCTTGGAGCTTGGAGGCATTGTGCTCATCGATGATCCAGATACCGTTTGGGCGCTTGAAGACGAAGACGTCCTTCTAGCGCCCGGGACTGGGACCTGAGAGACGTTGGCTGATGGCAAGCCATCATTTTGCCCGGTAACGCCTGTCGACACTTGTGGAGGTATTTCGGGCATCAAAATATGATATTGGTATTTTTGAAGATGATACAGATATCGGCCAAGTGAGTTGGGGAGCGATGAAAAGTTCGAATGTCGTCGATTCCTATAAATGGAAATAAGTGGATATGACGAGGCTCAAATCAAGTTATGACGCACCGAAGTCCCTTCGAGAATCCCCACAGAAATCAACCTAAACTCCGGCTGCTTAGTGGCCGAGACATTTCATGAGTGGCTCTGAGGGACCTGGAGAAGTTAGCCTCATATTTTTCCATGGGAGAGTTAAATTTTGATTTGGTAAGTGCTGAAATCAAGTTTTGTTCCGTTCCACCCCTCTTTTAATAATCAAGGGGAATGACCCTTGGCTTGGTCGATCGCCGTCCCCGGGTGAGTATGGTGAGACCCGCTTTTGGGATGATATTCAAGTTGCTGCACGTACTTTGTAGACTCGAGATGGTCTACTGTATGCTGCTATATATCTAGCCCCGTGCGATCAGGAGAATATGCCGTGTCACTGGCTCACAAATTCGGGCGATAGCCAGCATAGCGAAATATCAGGAAATTCCATCACTTTCAGGGAATCTTTTTACCCTCTAACCCTTCATCAACTGCAGGCTGTATAGACATAGCTTCAATTATATAGTATCTCCTTGGTATTTCATAATTAAGCTGGCTCGTTTCTTATCTCTGGTGTGAATGGGTCATGTGTAACAATCTTCCCATCTTCATTATGCAGCAACACAAGCACCCATATCAAGGGAATTTGCCCTCGTAGGACTACGATACTCCTTCGTTCTCCAGTATGATTTGCATCCATGAGATTTGAGCAGTACACTCACTCCTACTCAGCTGCATGTACTTTTAGAGTCGAAACGAGTGACATGGTACTAATGGGTACTAACTAACTATAATACGAAATCCGACTTTCCGAGACTGGAAACATAAGAAAAGAGAACAAGGCTGCCAGCCATACAACCAACTTCTCCCCAAAGCCCCGAAAAATGACAAAACTTCCACAACCACACAGTCCCAACAAAATACCCGTAACTCGGAAAGAGACCTCTCAAAGCATGCTAGATAGTAAACGTATCCCCCCTAGAAATCACCAGGAGTGAAGCAGCACATCCAGCAACCATACGCAGGCCTATACAAAGGCGAAGACTATCGAAAACCATTAGCCTCGAAAATCCTAAATCTCCCACAAACTACACAGTCAAAGGTAGTGGAATAACTCACAGTAGGCCCATCACATTGCGCCTCCTCCTCACTAGCATAGCACTGTCCGATACAGAAAGAATTGCCCTCATCAATACCACTCGGCTTCTGAATCAACACCGGCGCAACGTTACTGCCAGGCTCCAACGGATCGACCGGAGCAAGACCACCATCCGGAATTGCGTAGGCCTGACCCTGATGCTGCGCAGCCGGTTGCCGAAGTCCCTGGTTCTGGTTAAAGGTATTGAAGCTCGACCAGGCCGAGGGCGTTGCGACTGAAGCTATCGAGTGCGAAGAGGAGGGTAGAGCGACGGAACTCATGGAGGATTGTGCTGCGATGTGCATTGGTCCGAAGGAGTGGCTTGCAATTGAGGCTGAGCTGGAGGGTGTTGCCATGGACGAGGGTACGGCTATGCCGCTCCAGGTTGGGACATTGGGGACCATTGAGCGAATGAATTGTGCGGGGACCTGGGATGCTAGAAGGGTGGTTGAGACCACTAGGATGGAGGTGAGTTGCATCTTGGGTGGTTTCTGTGGATTGGTGATTTTGTTATACTGTGATTTCGATGTGGAGGTAGTCGCCCAGGGCTGGCGTTGTGGACGTTAGTATTGTAGGTGGCAGAGGGATGATAGAAGGAGGAATAGATGCCGTGGTTTGTTTTACTCTTATTTCTTATGCATTGTGATTTTGCAAGGGGGGTTTTAGGGGTGGACGTGGACGCATTTTTGGGTGGCGCGTTCGTGGAATGCGGGATGTATACAGCGCGCTTCGGCGTGGCAGGTGGAAAATGTGACCACAACGAGGGTATCGAGGGCGCGTTGTCGATCTATATCTTGAAAATAATCAAAAGTTGGCATGGAAATACGTCATTTGTTGCTGAATGGAAGATGACCATCTGCCCACTGCTTCGGGGTTGTCCATGACAGGGTAAATATCCCCTACAACCCGTATGTTTGGCCGAGCTCAGATGGAGAGAGGTCATAAAGTTAGGCTGATCACAGAAAGTCTGCTGCTAAAGGCGAGAAAGAAACCTTCTGCATTTCAGTGTGTAGATCTGCTTAGAGAAGACTGAGCGGTCTGCATGACCGACTTGAAATCAGAGTGAAGTCATTTATACCCGAATGGAAGGAAAAAGGTATTTTTCTAGAGATTTTAAGGAGCGCGATCTGCGGCGGTGCATCAAGCGTTGCAGCTATATATTCCCGCGAGTGAATCGCATACAAAGAGCGCTGCTTCGCTAATAAACAATCGCGACGTGCCCTTCGACTGCGAGGGCTTGGCAGGATCCTCTCTGGGACGACTTAAGGATCCGTACACAATATATACCTAGACAGCCCATCAGATGTCCACTTTATACCAGGGGCACATCGTTCTAGTCAGAAATGCCATGCGATGAGCGCGTCACAGCCGCGATTTAGCTTGTCGGGGCGTCCAACCGGGCCAGTTCCGCGGCTGGGCCGAGACCCTTCTGTGAAGAACTTAGTGGGCAGACCCAGGGAACGAGACCTGTCAGAGCAGCGATAAACAGGAATATTAAAGTCTGATGTCAAAAACGTAGTGCAACATAGAGCTCGCCTCCTCTCCCCCCCTTTGATCTTCTGTCAACGGTGGCGAAGAATCCTCATGTTCTAGAGGTGATTCGTTGTTTTAATGACAAGAGATTGGCTGGTTGTTTGGTTGATGCCTGACTATTATAGTATTTGTGAATCTGGTGGAAAGGGGCTGGTTTGGCTCGCTTGCAATAAACCTAGATTAGCATTGGGGTTCCATGTCCGCTGACTCGGTCGAACTACGTATGACAATAGTCATGCTCTCTCACGGCTCCAATCTGCTGGTTTGCCTTGGTCGGCTGTTATTGCCAACCCTGCTGGAGTGATGCGTCAGTATTATTTGCGACGGAGATGCTGACAAGCTTGGTGGATCAACGCCGTCCGCCCGCGTCGTGCTAATACAATTACCCGCATCTTTGTTCAAGAGATTGGGCCGGCGCCATGTGAAGTCGAAACGAGACGTATCAATGAATTGATGTCTGAGCTGATGTGCGGGATTTTCTGTGACAACATGGACCGCATTTGTCACCCTCAATCGATCCCAGCCCCAGAAGCACGATCGATACCTGGCTCATATGCCAAAACATTCACATCTTCGTATCGAGTCCAGGGTCGATCACCCTGACTATTCACGACATATGATCTTCGGTGTTCGATCGAAGAATTCCACCAAATAGCGAACTGGCTCTTCGCTGCTCCATACGCGTAGACTCGGACACAAGACATGAGTCGGGCCCCTGTTGTGGGAGTTGTGGGAGGAGCCCGGTGGAGCAGCTGCCCCAATAGCTTTCCCAGGAACAGGTTTCCCTCGCGGAACATGTCTCCAATTGGCGCTTCTCTAAAAAGAATAGGGTTTGTCTGGTAAACAGCCGGTTCAAACTTCTCCAGTGGCTATTTGACTCAATTTGCAAGACTCACTCAGCAGCATAGGATCGTGGAGGTCTCTTCCTCTGGCCTCACGGGTCACTGAATAGGCTCCGCTGGCTGCGTCTCAGTTGGTCTTATCCTCGCCCTGGGTTCTCGTTGCCGTGATGGGCATGTTCAGGGTCAAGCAGGGTCGTAGCCATCGTCACCCAAGGGAGCATCAAGCATCGGTAAAGATGCACACCGAAAGTGATCGCCGGCCTCAATGACCAGCACTTCGGCTGAAAAAAGCGCACATCATTCACAGCAATGTTCGACAGGTTGACAGTCTGTTACACGAATGAAAGCATCCGAAGAGACCGTGAAGCCTCCCGCGGATCGAGCGTATCGTGCACCTCGCACCGCTCAAGCAGAGCAGGCCGGATGGAATCATCAATGACACCGGTCAAGAGACAACAGCTCGTGCGCCATTTTTCCTGTAGAGGAGGCAAAATCACTCCACTGATGCTGAAGACAGTGACTGCTTACCACAACAAGCTACGGCAGAAGACGACGAAACCCAACGCAACACCCCACCAGCTCACCTCCATACCCCTGCCAACTCAGCCATACCGACCGTGATCGAATGCGCCTGACGCAGAGCTAATATTGAGATGAGAACCGTCGCCGTCGAGATGCAGAAGACCTACCACACGATTCCCCTGGCCCCCGAAGTCCAGAGTCGTCTTGCACCCAAGTTAAAAACGAGATAACCCAACCAAAACATGCGGAGAAGGGTATCCGTCCAACTGAGGCACATGGGCGCAAGGACATCTAACCTCGATAAAGTACGAGCGGCAACTTCTTTCAAAACCGGCGTCTTTCCTTACCTGGACGTGGCATCGAAGAATCACCACCGCACAGGGCCGTTGTCACCCGAATACCGGGGCCTTCGGCCGGGGGCTGTATACTCAACCCAAGCTCACCACGTTGCTTCACGGGATGAAAAAGTGAGGTAACACGATGACGCTGGACTGAGGTGTAGGGGCTTTGAGGTTTGGCCACTGGAGGCTCCAGTGAGAGACACTCTGAGTTAAAGCCATCGACCTTGTTTACATGGACATGGGATTGGTGCACCAGGATGGCGTAGCACTGGCGGTGGTTGGATACCGCGGCTCGGGTCAAGAGTGACAGCCTCAAGTCAAAGCTGCCAATGGAGTTGAGACCAAGGTAGCTCAACGGTGTCGCTCGATTTCGTAAGTGTCATGGTGCAGAGCCGACGGTGCAGCTAACAGTGTGACGCCATTGGCGTTGAGCACTGAGCCCTCGATACCAACTGTATCCAACCCACCCCACTCCCTGCCCTTCACCCATACGCCAGGAGTTTTCGGTCTTCCAAAGATACCACGACTCATCTTATAGCCTCAAGACCATCCGCTCCGCCCGACATCGCCACGTTTCGAGTTGAACTTGCGTGACATTCCATGAATCGGTTACGATCCGAGGCCATCACCGCCAACCTTCACACGCCGCAATATTATTCTCGAGAAGATAAGCACCCCCATGGATAACGCTCGATGGGGTCTGCCAGTATTGAATTCCGCAAGGGCCAGTTGCGGCTCGGTGATCAAAAATCCCCTGACAGAGATGAAAGCTGCTGAATGGGGGTATCATCTTGCCATTACAAGAACGAGGAAGTGATGGCCTAGGGTCCTTGTCCTCACATGTGTTCCTTTTCATCTTCACGCCGTCGTACATTCATTGTACACGGAGTGCTTCCACGGTAATTGGAGGACCAAGAAGTTCGTTTCGAAGAATCGTGACGTGGAAGGGGGCTGGATCGGGACTCGGTAGGAGATGGATGCTTGGAACGAGACAGACCCTGACCTGTGGTATATCGAGGAAAGGTGGAGCTCACCTGGTGAAAAGGTGATGCAACAAGGTTGGAGGGAGGAAGGTGGCTCGGCGTCTGATGGATGGGTTGGGGAGGAGAGGGCCACGGTCCATTAACACGGACGAAGCTTGCACCTGACATCCTCGACTCTCGGTAGCTCGTAAAGTTGTCCGACAACTTCACGAGCTTTGCTGAAAAGCGCGACGACTGGACGAGGTTCTTTGAGGGTTTGGTGTTTGCATTTCCAAGGCAGCCTACTTGTCAGTGACATTGCCGTGATGAATCAGCGACGAGTACCCTATTTTCCAGGCAAGTTGACGTCTGTCCACCGTGTTGCACGAGGGCTAGACCAATATCTTTTATCAGATTGATGGCAGCGCCCGGACTTGATCAAATCATCAGGGCAGCTGAACTTGTTCAAAGACCATCACCAGCAGCTACAAATATGGGGACCTGCCTTGAGCTCTCCGTACCCGGTCTTTATGTCGCAAGCCTCGAACAACGACGAGCAAGGGTGTTTCTCCGAGCTGAGGCCCGATCAGAACTCGAAGGAGACTCGGCGGATCAGCATCAGCTCCACCGACCCTCGGGAAATCCGAGAAACCACCAGGTCAAATAATGATCATCTGGATCTTCTCAATCGGTGAATGAACAAAATCAACCGAGTTAGTTGACGCGAATGCCGATCTACGATCCCTTGCAAATCCCGAAGCAGAGAGGCATACCTCCTCACCAATTGGTCGGCAGTCCTACCCGGCTCCATCGGAAAAGCTACAATTAAGAAGCAGAACAAACAACCAAACACCGCCGAACGATACCCTAATAACAATCAAGCTCCAGCACCCTGACGCTTTCCAAGAAAAGCAGAAAATGACCAGTAGCTGTGACTGAATTGCGTCAAACACGGAAAAGACTTCCGCGATGAACGCGTCAGGCAGAGTCTCTCAGAGGCGCCCGGTGCCGCTGGCATCGCCGAAGAGAGCAAGAGACCAGGCAGGGCCAACACATTCGATGTGGACTTGGGATGATTTTTCCACTGGCTGAATTGGATAGCAGCAAGGCCTACCCTTTTTCGTTTCGTCTTTTTGAATCCGTTGTCTTCCGACAACATCTTCCGTCTTTCATCCCACCCTCGAGTCACGATCTTCTCGTTTCCATCTCGTTCTTGTCTCATTCTCTCGCTATCGAACTCCCGAGTGGGCCGCCGCGTGGAGTCGAGACTGAAACCCCTTCCCACCCCCCCCCCCCCCAAACAACCAAACAAACATCCGATATACTCCCTATACAGCAGACACAAAAAATCTTTACCAGTATGACTGATCGCTTTATTTCCTTCCTTGTTTCATTCCCTCCAGCGCCCCTCTCGGCCTTGTCGCCGATATGGCCATTGCCGCATGGTGCTTGGCTATCTCATTGGCCATAGTCTATACCGGGTAGCTTTCATTGGTGTCTTTCTCTATTTACTATGCAATACATCTTCGTCAGTATATGCCTGGTGCTGACCATCGTCGCAAGGAGGTGGTCCTGCAAGCACCTACGTTTACTATAAGTCCTTATTCCCATCGATCGCGGGCGTTCTTATCCGGCTGTCGTGTGAGTGAGCTGTGGCAGTCAAGACGCTCCTGTGAGGCCGCATTGCTGATCCCGTAGCCTCGTCTCCCCGACACCGCCAACCCATTAGTTTAGACAGCATGTCCCGAAGACTAGACAACGACCCCTCCTCTAGCCACCAGCCAGTCCCCGTAGGAGGCGGCCACGATCATCAAGGCCCGTCTGGTAATCAAAGGTAAGAAACCTCTCTCCCTTGCTTTTTTTGGGCTATATACCCGAGTCCCGATAAGGTGTCGGTGTCCTGCTCGTTTCCTCCAAAAGCCCAATCGTGTTGATTCGCGCTGGCGAGAGAGGGCGAGGGGAAAGTCATGCCCACGGTTCCCCACTCTTGCCTGCGTTACCACGATTCGAAACCTGACATGTCAACACTAGCAATCCAACGAACGCGACCAGACTTGCCTATTACCGGTCCAACACGAGCAAGCTGCTCGAGTTCCTCAAGCAGAGCGACCAGGACTCGCTCGATCGCTTCATCTCCGTTGTCCGCTCGGGCGCCTCGCACGACGATATCTTCGCCACTATCGAGCAACTCTCCCCTGATTCTGGCGAGCAGAATATCCAGCGGAACGGTCAGTCCAGATAGAGTGCTTCTAGTGATAGCTCTGCTGCCTTCGATCGAGCGCAACAGCGGGGCGCCACGCTCTGGTGACGTGAATGGGTCAAGGGCGGCTTCGGGAAGCCTGAGGGCTGCGACCACGGAAACGAAGGCGAGACCGAGTCCAAGAACCGGTTATGATATGACTTTGCATTGATGATGTGTGTTGGCGGAGGTGTGATTGAAATCCGTGGCAGCGGGGTGAGACTGAGGACTGGCTGGACTAGCATTGAGCTGAGTTTTGGTGTCTGGATTTCAGGCAGAAGGGCAACAGATCGCAGACAGAAGGAGATATCCCCCGTTGTATGTTCCAGCAGTGTCACGCAGTCTCACAATTGATGTCTTTAATCCATTTATATCGTGCAGGGATGTGTAACCGGACCTCAACAAGGCGTATTCGTCCCCAAATGGCGGAAAGAAACTAATCCCAGCGATGCGATGAACTGGACCGGAGAAATGATTTTGCCAGTGCTTTCTCAAGATATGGCGTATCTCATCGTTGGAGATAGCCACGACGGCGTACTATAGAATGTGCGGGGAAAGGGTCGGATTTGATGCCCATTTCCCGTAACCCCCCAAGTCTACAGCTGCTCGGAACGTGGTTTGTTCTCGTGGGCATGGGTATTGCCGTTGCCGTTGCCCGCTGTTTCCCTTTGTCGTCATATAGCAAGGGAAAAACAGAAGCAGAATAAATGGAAGGCAGCAGAGCGCTCGAACGTCAATCTGCCCGGAATGCTGGCGCTGCAGTGCAGGGCTGTGGATGCTAGTCAGTCAGCATGAGCCAAAAGCTAAAAGCCTCAATGGGCCACAGTGGCACGAGCCACAGGCCTGGGAAGTGTGGGCCTATAGAGATCCCAACCAAGCGGATCTGATTGACAGAGCTGGCGATGCCCACGACCAAAGAAGGAGAACAAGAACGCAACTGAGAAGAGCGTAACGATACCCGTTGCCTTGCACAGAGCTGAGCTGCGGTCAACGAGCGTGTTCTTTCACCACAGGAACCAGATGAAGTCCAGACAAGCAACGAAAAGAAAACGTGGCAGAAGCCTCGGCCATGAGAACGAACCAGGCATGCCATGCCAGTACAGTACACTCTCCACTCGAGCAACAGAACCAGATCTAGAACCCGCCCTTGCCTCGCCCGGCAACGGCCCCCAGATCGAGATGGGCAAGCGGAATGGCTGGCACCTTGTGGGCTGTCACGGAGATGATATCCGGGCCGGCCCTCCCCTAAAAAGCATGGTCCTCAAGCGCAGTGGAGCACACGCGTGCCGAAAGAACCCTGCATGGTCTGTCCCTGACACGCGGAACACATGGTACTCCTCTCGTATGTCATCTACACCTGCTGGCAGATAGACGACGTTGACGCTGGCAAAGACGAGCAAGTAAGACGGTGATAAAATACCGCTAGCCCGCCCCGAGGGAAAGGACGTCCTCCTGCTGGACGCCCTGGCTCTTATGACTGGCTGGCCGTCGTGCATCCGCAGGGGCCCAGCTAACCGGGTGTCTTCTCCGACACTCGGCCTCCTTTGTGTTTCTCTGAGATAGCAACATGTATCGTGGACCATTGGATTGGTGGAAGAGGATGAGTTTCCCGAGTGCACGGCATTGACAACCTATGGCAGGATGATGGCTACAGAATACGACTACTGTCCCTACCACTACCAAGTCCAGCATTACCGTGGACCGTGTCCATGGATACGGAAAATCTCACATCACAGCTGCGACCAGCCCTCAACCACCATCGAGTCCGTTTCCATTCAGTCCAGATTCAAATGAGCGTCTTCTCAGATTGCAGATCCCAAAATGTCAAACAGCCTGACGAGCATCGAATACGGTGTCATGTCCCTGTGCATGAAACGCCCGACTTAGTACCAACATGCCCAACCGACAGTATCAAGATGGCCAACCGTACCTGCATCCACACGCATACCACGACGAGCCGAACCCATCCTGCTCACGATTGATCCTGTCCCGTCACAAGAAGTCTGAATCTCAAGAACCGGTCCTTGAACCCGTCCCAGTCAGAAAATAGGACAGCGAGACTGCAGCTAGGAGAGGAAGACCAAGCCCATGGTGGGTGGAGGATATAGTGTTGTTTCGTCGTACCAGGGCGTTTGTGCTATTATGCTACGGTGTCTTGCTTGCCAGGTCTTGCATCTCGAGCCTCACATCAAGCAGATAATTCTTGAGCTTGGATGTGGGTATTGTGTGGATTAAGGTGAGATGGGGATTTGAAAATGGTGAGATCATAGAGGGCTTGTGACCTGATGAGGAAGATGCTGCTGCAATAACTGGCAAGATATCAAACTAACAGGTTCTGGCAGCGGAGTATCCCTTCTACGGGCATACCCGGGAAGCTCATACTAACAGAGGACAAGGATGGAGTGACATGGCCTGATACAATGTATGCCACTCGTACCAGTCTATACGAGCCTACGACAGGAAAGATCGTAGTCAAACAGCAAAGATAAATTACTAGTTCAATATAAGCCCTAGGACTGTACGCTACAGGTGTCACGGACGATGGGAATGATCTAGAAACAAAATAAAAGAAAATCTTCATTGCATGCCATGCCACATCAGAACTATTTTATTGAACCAATCCAACCCAAATAGAATAGAACCCAAAATTTCACATCAGCCAATGCAATGCAAACATTGAACTAGCCCGTGATTGCATCTATGCACACATACTCATCGTAACGTAGCATACGCTATCTATACCATAACGAGCCCCAGACCAGCCCCAGCCTAGACCAGGACAGACTTTTCCAGAGGCCAAAGAGGTAGTTGTATAAAACGAAAGCCAAATCTTCATCTAGGTCTGACACCCGCGTTTGAATTTTGCTTTTTTTTTATTGCGCCTAAGGTGTGCAGCGGCCCGTGAAACGGGGGTACAGGGAGCAGTCGCGCACGGTGTAGCGAGCGCACAGCCAGGCCAGGAAGCGCTCCAGGCCGAGGCCGTAACCGCCGTGAGGGGAGGTACCGTACCTATTATCGAGGGTTAGAATGAAAGTGTATACCAGGATAGATCAAAGTAGGGTGAAAGGGAGAGGAAAAGGGCTGGTTGAAGGGCTTGTTTCCAGGTCGGGATTACTCACTTGCGCTGGTCAGTGTACCAGTAGTAAGGCTTGGGATCCATGCCCTCGTGCTTGTAGGCGTCCATCAGCTCGTCCCAGTCATCCATACGCATACTTCCACCAACGATCTCGCCGACACCAGGCATCAGAACGTCCACACTCTCGGTGACCCGGCGATCGCTCTCGTCCTTCTTCATGTAGAAGGCCTTGATCTCGGCGGGGAAGTGTGTGAGGAAGATAGGCTGGTTGATGATATCCGTCATCTTGCGCTCGGCGGCCTCGGCGATATCGTCACCGAATTTGTGGGTCTGGCCCTCCTCGTTGGGGATGTCGTGGGCAACGAGCCAGTCAATCGCGTCGGAGTACTTCATGCGCTTGAATGGCCGGGAAGGAGGCTTGAAGTCTGGGTTGAGCGTGGAGATGTACTTCGACGCCTCGGGGTCGGCGAGGAGCAGCTCAATGACTCGGCAGATCATAGCCTCGAGGTGGTCCAGCAGGTCGTTGAAGGTGATAAAGTCCAGCTCGGCTTCGATGTGGGTGTACTCCGACAAGTGACGGCGGGTCAAAGACTTCTCAGCTCGGAAGGATGGGCACACGCAGAACACGTCACCCAGGGAAGGGAGACATGTCTCAAGGTACAGCTGGGAGGACTGAGTGAGGTATGCGTTCTCACCGTAGTAGTCGAAGCCGAACAAGGTGCTACCACCCTCGACCTGCGTCTGCACCATGGCCGGGGGAGTAACCTCCAGCATACGGGTCTCCTCGAACGCCTTGCGGAAAGCACGCAGAGTGGCGGCGCGCACCTTCATCACGGACGAGGAAGTCTCGCCACGCAGCACCAGGTGTCTGTTGTCATACAGGGTCTGCGGGTCGGCGTCCGGCGCCACGCGCGTGGTGATGGCTTCCTTGTCACCGGCGGCGCGGCCGATGATGGTGAAGAAGTCGGCGTGCAGCTCACGGTCGTTGGGGGCATGCTGCTTGGGTGGGACAGCGCGCATCTCACCGTGGATGGCGATGGAGGTCTCCAGAGTGAGGGTCATGATATCGTAGGTCTTGACCAGGTCACCGGTCAGAATGCACTGGAGGTAGCCATAGCCATCGGCCAGGGTCAGGAAAACGTAATCCTTCTGCGCGCGCATGCGGTGCACACGGCCCAGAACGCGGACACGAGTTCCCGGGGTATCAGACTCCGGGGTACGGAGCGAGACGATGGCTGGGTCGGTCACATCCAGGCGGATGCGGACAGGCTTGGGCAAGGAGGCGTCCTCGGTGATGACAACCTTCTTAGCCTCGTCCAGGACCTTCTGACGCTTCTCGGCCTCGGCCTTTTCGCGGATCGCCAATTCCTGTTCCTTGGCGGCCTTCTTCTTGCGCTGCTCCCATAGGTTGGTGGCCTTCTTCATGGCGGACTTGGTCGCGGGCTTCCACTCCAACTTGGCGGCGGGGTCGACATTCTCGCCGGCGGCGTCGGTTTGGGACTTGCGGGTCAGGTACTGGATACCCTCGGTGGTCGGGGCGTGCTGCACAAAGGCGTGCAGAAGAGTCTTGTAGGGGGCAGACTCGGTACCGGTAGCTGAGGCATCGTCGTGGCCGACATCCTCGTCGATGTAGATAGAGGGCGCCATGATTTGCGCGTGTAAGAGAAAGGCGGCAGGGAGGAGAGGTTGTGAGGAGATCTAGTCCAAGAAGACCCCGTATGCTTATTCCTTGTCGGGACGTTGCTAGCTTGGGTTTCCTTCAGGGAGGATTGGATTCTGCGCGCAGAAATTAAATAGTTAGCCGGGTTATCTGGTGAGTCATATGGGATTGATAGGGATAGATGAAGCGGTGTGTGATCGACGACAGTGTGATGAGTGTTGGGACCGATCCGGTATGTATACATACCCAGGGCAAAGGAACCGATAATGGCTCTTATCGAACCTCAATTGGCAGATTGTTGAAGGAAAGAATCGCACAGTTTGAACTTGGAGGGGTAAATTTCCGCGGATCGCGGGTTTCCCCACGAGTGCCTGAGGCTGAAACCTTGGTTGCCTGAGTTTTCTGGTCCGAAATAGTTTTTACGGACTTGATGACGAGGCATGGTTTCTTTTCTCAGGGATCACAATTAAGCATATAATTATCTGATATTATCTGGCCACTGATAAAGTAGGAAGTCTCGTGCCTATTTTCGATGGGGAATCATGGACGGAGTCCGCCTGGTTTCCACAGGGCATTCTACCTCGTACTAGTCGATTGTGTAGAGGTGTAAGAGTCAATGGGTCTTTCGGTAGTTACGGAGCAGTCAGTGACTACTAGATCAGTAGGTGTTGACTCCCCTAGGGTGACATATGTGTTCAAATGGGATCAATTCGCGGTCGCCCATATTACTCATGACTTTAAATGAGGCGTAAGGTAAGGGGTCACGGGATACATAGCAGGAGGACTTCGCGGTCGAGTAATCTCTTGCATTTGACATCTGAGCATTGGTATCTTGTTCAGTTTTCTAGATTATTTGGGCGGAGTAGACACTAATCCACAACAATTATATCCAATCCTCGAACAAGCGCCCCGTCCTGAGATAATTGCCGAGGATGTATCATGGTGATTATCTTAGAGGGATAGTCTCCAGGTGTCGTCGGTCAACTATACCGCTAATTTCCACGACCTCTATGGTTCATAGGCGATAGTGCCTTTCTAAATGTTCTGCTTATGGACCGTCCTCCCGTACACAGAGTTCGCAACGCTGTTGGCATGCCAGGGGCGACTCCGGGGTTTTGGTGATTGGCGGGGCTTGATCCAGCGTGATCCAGTCGGATCCAATTGGACCAATAAGAATGGAGATTGGCCTCCTCCTGTTCTCCAGTTTGATCCAGTTTGATCTAGTTTGATCCAGTCTGATCCAATTCTGCAGGAGCCACGGAACTTTTGGGGCGCGCGCGAGTCTGTTTACATTTTTGGTTAAACCCGTTCCTGAATGGCGTCGAAAAATAGGGAAATTTTAAAGATCTTGACAGTTGCATACAATACGAACACCTCCTACCGTACAGCATCTCGTTTATCAGACTCCAACTCCTCTTGAAATGCATCACTATATGATAGTCTCCCTTCTTTCGTAGTTCTGTAGTTCTCTGTAGTGCTCTGGTTCCCGCTCTCCTCGTGTCCGCCCCCTTTCCGCCGTCCCTGAACTTTCCTCGCGCTTTTGCTCGTCGCTCACCTCGTCTCTCGTCCCTTTTCCTCCTCTTCCTCCTTCCACCGTTCCCCCCCTTTTTATCAACTTTCCCGCTGTTCCCTTCATACCTTGCCTGGATCCATATCCTTGCCTTTCATTCTTTCTTACACTCGTTTGATCGCCTTTTACTTTATTCATCTTCTTTTTTCTTCACTTCACATTTCTCTTCTTTATTTCTCGTCACTCTCTTCTCTCTGCCGGTAATTACCCCCTTCTCCCTCGAATATCCCGACTATCCTTCCAACCTCCACCTCCTCTCCCCCCCCTTTTCGTTCTCCATTAGCCTTGTACCTTTTGGGATCTCTCCCCACTTATCCCTTTTCAGCTAATAACTCGTCTTCATCCGTGATAGTCTTTTTTTTTCTTGCCAACTCCGCATTGTGTCTTCTTTCTCCTCCCTGGTTCGTGGTCCTGGTTGAATGGCTATAATATATTCATGACCAGACTGGACTTTGGAAATTAAAAAGACTTGAGCCGCAAGTAAGTCTGCATCCTGCTGCATCATCACATCTCCAACATCTCCTGCTCTAAACTTATGTTTGTCTTCGATGCCATCTCCACTTGATCTGTCCTCCGTTACATCTTCCTCCCATTCATATCCCTCCCAATCCTCCGGACCTCCTAATCGTTAAACACTGCCATTAACCTCTTATCTTGAACCTTCAGGTTCATCTCTAGGGAGACCTTTCTCTTCGTTGCCGACGGCCCTCCACTCCTTTTTCTTTTGAATAGCCGACCTCTGCCCTTCGTCGCCCCTCGATAGCCGTATTTAGGAAAATATCCGCAACATCGGCCGTGGAAAATTCGTCCCCTGAATGGTGTGCTGAAGGTCGATCCCTGCCCTCATACGACCGCTCCAAGTCGAGTGCTCCGTTTGGAAATCGTTCCCTTGGTTTATATCCCCAGGGACGACTTGTATATCCCAACGGGACGTTCACCTCGCCATGCAAAACTCGGATGCTTCTAGCTTTCCGAACAGCGCGCGTTTCATCCCCCCTAAATATAACAACCTGCACGGCGACACCGGTTTCTCCCACGGCGCCTACCACTCCAATACCCCTAATCAGGGTTTCTCGAACCGCAACAACCGCCGCGCTAATATCCCTGCTATAAATACTGCCGCCGCCGGCCATTCCGCTGACATGGCGTCCGGAGCCGGGTTCGACATGAACTTCACTCCTCTTCTCCCCTCCCAGCTGCTCGTGGGTAGCCCCTTCCAGCCTGGGACCCCCTCGGCCTTTGCCTCGCCGCAATTCGCCAACTTTGGTGGCTTCCCTCAAGCCAATGCCAATGGACACGCCCAGAATCACCAGGTCCATCAACTCGGTAGCCCGACCCAAGGAATGCAGAACCACGGTCTGTACCTGTCGACCGATGGATTAGGCGCGTCCCAGCTGATGGGCGGCCCGCAGTCCCCCATCAACGCTTTGCACCACGCAAGTCTTGGAAATGCGGCCCTCGGCAGCCCGGCCGCTTCGGTCGCGCCAGGCTTGCTCTCCGGAACTAGTCGCACCGTCTACTTGGGAAATATTCCCGCCGAAACAAGCGCGGAGGAAATTCTCAACCATGTGCGCAGTGGTCAAATCGAGTCTGTCCGTCTACTGCCCGATAAGAACTGTGCCTTCATTTCCTTCCTCGACAGCAGCTCCGCGACTCACTTCCACTCTGATGCCATCTTGAAGAAGCTGGCCATCAAGGGGAATGACATCAAGGTCGGCTGGGGTAAGCCTTCCCAGGTTCCGACCTCGGTGGCCCTTGCGGTGCAGCAGTCCGGCGCCTCGCGCAATGTTTACCTGGGCAACCTGCCTGAAGAGACCACGGAGGAAAACCTGCGTGAGGAATTGAGCAAGTTTGGTCCTATCGACACCGTGAAGATTGTCAAGGAAAAGGCAATTGGATTTGTGCACTTCCTTTCCATCAGTAACGCGATGAAGGCTGTCACCCAGTTGCCCCAGGAGCCTCAATGGCAGGCTCCTAAGCGCGTTTTCTACGGCAAGGACCGCTGCGCCTACGTTTCAAAGACCCAGCAGCAGAATGCCGCACAGTTCCTGGGTATTGCCCCCGGTTACGCACACGTCTTGAACTCGGCAGATCGCGATCTGATCTCGAATGCGCTCGCTCAGCAGTCGGTTGCTGCGGCCGCCGTGGCTACGACCGCTGGTGGTGTGAACAATCTCGGTAACCGCACCATCTACCTCGGAAACATCCACCCCGAAACTACGATTGAGGAGATTTGCAACGTCGTACGCGGCGGTTTACTACACCACATCCGTTATATACCCGACAAGCACATTTGCTTCGTTACTTTCATCGATCCTACCTCAGCCGCCTCCTTTTATGCTCTGAGCAACCTGCAGGGCCTGATGATCCACAACCGCCGTCTGAAGATCGGTTGGGGCAAACACTCCGGGCCTCTGCCTCCCGCAATCGCTCTTGCAGTCAGCGGCGGTGCATCTCGCAACGTCTATATCGGTAACCTGGACGAGACTTGGACCGAGGAGCGCCTGCGCCAGGACTTCTCCGAGTACGGAGAGATTGAGCTGGTGAACACACTGCGCGAGAAGAGCTGTGCATTCGTCAACTTCACCAACATCGCCAATGCTATCAAGGCTATCGAGGGCATGCGTAACCGTGAAGAGTACCGCCGCTTCAAGATCAACTTTGGCAAGGATCGCTGCGGTAACCCACCACGCCAGGCTGGCAACCAGGGCAACTCACAGCAGAACCGCAACGGCGGTATTGAGGGTCCTCAGTCGCCCTCGCCCGCCCTGAACGGCTTCCAGCAGAACCTGAGCCAGAACGGCTCGCAATCCAGCCCGACACGGCCGGCTCTCTCGCCCGCTCCGGGCTCCACGGGCTCCCAGAATGGCCAACAGCGCCACCCGCTGCAGAACGTGTCCTCACCCTCTGGTGTGCTGAACGTGGGCTCCAACAACCCACTTACCATGTACCTCAACCAGATGTCCGCCCAACAAGCCCAAGAGCAGGAGAACCGCCTCTCCGACCCTATGGTTCTGGCCGGCCTACAAGCCCAATCCCAAGCCCCGTCCCAGCAGTCCTTGTATAATAGCAACAGCAACGGTGACCTTAACGGCTCCATGGATGCACCACTGCACCACGGTCACGCTCACAAACCATCCGCCAACGGTTACCTCAGTGTCGCTGGCTCTGGTCACCACTCCACCGCTAGCACCAGCAACCTAAGTGTGCCGCGCGCTCAGCACTCCCGCGCCGTCAGCCTGCCCTCCTTCTCACAGGAGCCTTTCGGACCAGTCTCTGGCCAGCCGGGCCACATCCGCTCCGGTGCACACCAGCCCCAGGCTAGTTTCTCCAGCTTCTCGGGGCTTGGTGGCTTGAATCACTCTGGTTTCGGTCTAGCGATTCAAAATGAAAACTCCCTCCCTGGATGGGCAGAGGAGGAGATTGGAGCGAAATAAACGCCCCAGCCGACGGTCTTATGTCCTCCCTTCTATCCCATCTGTTTGAAGATGGTAATTTCAAATCATTACATCTTTGCCAGCCCGTTGGTGAACCTTAATGGCATTTCTCTTTCTTTTCAATTTTCCCCTTCTGTTTACTCTTACTTTTACAACCTTCTTTTTCTACTTCTTTCTTATTTACATATAGTTTATTCTTTTTCTTGTTCTGATTGTGACGCCATCTCTATCATCTTTACTATTGATCTTTTTTCATTATTGTACTGCTCTTAATCATTCTTCTTTTTTTACTATTTCTTATCCTTTTTTGACTTTCAAATTCCTTATCGTCCTGGACTATGACGTGACTATTGCCAATCACTTGTTCCATGAGGACTCCCTGTTCTCCCGGTCTATATGGCTATTAGGCTTGGCCTAGCCTAATCTGGCCGCTATATACCCAAAATATACCTCCCATACCCCTATTCCCCTGCTACTTGTCATCTCGCTACTGCCATATAATCATCAAATATCTTTCGATCTATCACCGTGTATTGCTAGTTGACTATGATCTATTTCCTCCATTTCTGCATGTGTATTTTTCTGGTGTTTGATTTGATTTCTCCCAGTCGAGGCTGAAACTAAGACTGGAATGACTATCGCCAACCTTTCTTTTCCTGATTTTCGAAATCTGGTTTGAACTCTTCTAATCGATTCTTACCCTTAGCTTTGTTTTTCTTTGTGGCTTGTTATGCTATGTGGATGGTTGGGCCCTGTCATCTTGTGATAATACCCATGTATCGGATTAGTCTCCCTACGCGGAGGGTGTGGTGGCGGTTGATTGTTATTTCGAGTGGGTGGTGGGCGATTGCTTTCACTTTTTGTATCTACTTGAGTGGAAAAGAAGTCGTAGGCGAAATGTACGAGTTGATGATGTTGAATATTTTGTGTTGGAGCTATTAAGTAAGAGAAAGCGTAGAAATAAAAGCGTGTATAAACCAATATCTTCTCTCGATATAAAGGAAAACGCTGTAGATTTTCGGCACTATTAATATCTTAAAGAATCTTGGGTGTGCCGGTAGAGCCTTTCCATATGTGCATAGACCCTATGATCGTTCTCTCTTCTGTAGGCCTTCAGGTGACGATTGAAAAGGTTCCCTCTGCTTCTCGATCTTACATCGGTACCCAGACGCTATATCCGGACAGTCACGGGAATACATCTAAACTTTTGTACACTTTGATCTTGACTTTTCCTAGTTTCTGTCGTTTCGCCACTTACATCTGCTTCGACCTCGATACACATGGATTTCTATAGTTTGACCCCGATTCCACGTGACACACGCTAAACCAAATATGGGTTAGTCCACGAAAGCTTCCCATCGGCTCGTCAGTCCACGATCTGAGCTTCATCACTCCATCTCAGTTTTGTCCAGCTCAATTTCAACCCATCATACGCACTGAAAATGGCTCTCCCACCAGAACAGATTAACATCAAGCGCCGCCGTGAGGAGGAACCCGTGGAGACACTATGTATGCAATTCGTTTCTGCTCGTTGAAGCTTGTTTTGGAATTTCTACCCCACGATCTACACCCCGCCAACACATTCTTGTGATATTGTATATTTTGCCCGCAACTTCGAATTGGTTCATGTATTTCCCGTGATTATCTCTGTCTCGACTGGTTTTTATTGTCGATTCACACTGTTGCCCCTCTCACGCTTTCGTCTTGTCCCTCACCCTCCTACGAATGGCCTCGCTGACTCGCTGCAGATATACAGTCTGCAACACGCCAGACGAAGCGTCGCTTCACGGACTATGTCTTCGAGCGCGTTACTATCAACAGCAAGGATGTCGCTGATGATATAGCTGGTCCCCCACCTGGGAATCCAGCTGCCCAGCGACTTCTTCGCAGCCCTCGCTCCGTGAGTAGTCTGCACATCCCCAATCGCCGCGCGGGACGGGCGATCGCAGCAAACGGCGTACCGGTCGTACGCGCTACGTCCCCGGGCGCGGAGATTCGTGAAGCCCAGCGTATGGCTGCTGCCCGGAAGGAGGCCGAGGAGAAGCGCCAACGAGCTCTTCAGCCTCAGCCAATCCCCCAACCCACCCCCAGTCCGGCTCCTCCAACAACAACGGAGCTTGGCAGACCAGGCTCGCCTTCCGTGACACCCTTGTCGAGTCGCGCGCAGTCCCTTCGCCGCTTCCAGATCTCACGCTCTAATAGTCCAAGCCTCGGGTCACCCCGGAGTATGGGCGGCGGTATCCAGAAGCGTCGACCCGACGGTGCAGCCCCCGGTGTAGCGGTGCTAGTGGAGCAACTCCGGCGTCAGCCGCACTCGCGTCAAGCCTCGATGGTATCAGGACTTGTGGACCGAGCACGCGTTGATGCAGCCGAGCCAGAACAACCCGAACAAATTCCCGTTAAACCGCGCAAGCGGCCCGTCGTGAATCAGGCTGAGAAAAAGTGGCGCGCAGAGCGCCAGGGTGCTATTACTGCTGCGAAGCAGCATATCTCGGAGGTATTGGAGAACTCGGCGCAGCAGACGCACCAGAGTACCTGGGAAGAGGAGTCCGAGCGTCTGGTGAAGGATTTGGAGCAGGTTGCGCTTGAGTTAGAGCATGAGCATGAAATGGAGGTTGATGAGCATAGCCTGGACTTTACGCCAGCGCAGCCTCACCAGGCCCAGATCGCATTTGCGCCTACGCCTGTATCCCCGCCGAAGCCGATGAAGTACCAGCCTCGAGCACCGAAACAGCCTCGCAGTGTGCCGCAAAAGCCGACTCCAGGGACGGGGATGGAGGGTGTTCCTGGCGTTGGTACCGGAGCTACCTCGGCTGTCATCGAGGATAATGAAGATGACTACGTCTACGACGTGTATATTCGTCGGCCGCTGTCAGAAAGCGACATGCTCATCAACCCACTCGCAGAGCTAGAGAGCGAGCAGCAGCTCCAACAACTTGAAGCCATGAGTCGGGGAATCGGAGTCATTGTCATCACCGCCGAGGATGAAGAATACTGGGAAAACTTTGTGGAAGACGAAGAAGAAGTCTGGGATAGCGAGGACGCGGACTCAAACGGTGAGTACAATGCAACATTCAGCCGAATCTCCAAACAAAAATACCGATGACCTTACTGACAATTTGTATCCGCATAGCCGAAAATAACCCTGCCAACGAATACCCCGACGAGGAACTCTCGGACTCCGATGAAGAAGACGATCCCACTGCCATATACCGCAAATACCGGCATCGTGCTACATCCGATGACGAGGAATTCGATATTGATGACTCCGGTAGTGAGGGTGGTGCCCGGTATGGATCTGGGTATGGATTCTCGCAGCGGTATGGTGGGGATCGGGATTCGGATGAGGATAGTTATTGATTTGGTGTGTTTTTCAATGGTTTTTTCTTAATTCTCGAATTTCGTGCACTGAAGCTATGGCGCTCAGTATGTATGTGTTATTATGAGCGTCGCCTCTGTTTCTGTTCCTGCATGGATGTAGATGTCTTTGTTTTTGACAGATATCAGATGTGGCGTTTGTATCGTACTGGCTAATAACTACGTGGATTTCACGGTGGTTGAATGAACAATACCCAACATTTAGTGCGCTTGAATCCATTGTCCGTTCAGAAGTTTCATTATAGCAAGACATCCGTTAATGTGCAAGTTTGCCCAAAAGTGGCTCAATTCCTAGTGCGCCGTCTTTACTCGGAAACGACCGACCGAGACGCAAGCCAGTAAGCACTGCCTGGCCAAGTGCAAAGACAAAGTTGTCCACATCGATCCATCTAATAACGCTGTACCAAACAGAGAAATAACACCAAACTGAATTCGCCATCCGATTTCTCATAGGGAAAAAGAAGAGCCCATTTCAACGTCAACCGACACCAACGTGAAAACAACGGCTTGTGCAGCGAGGCCTGACAGACTCAACAATCACCCTTTTTAAAATTAAATTTCGAGAAATAACACTCTTCTACTTCATCTTTCCAAGATGCCCCTATCGAGAGACCCAGAGACTTAATATATGGTAAAGATTGCTCGAGAGCTTGAAAGTTTCCAAGATATCACCAGCGGCTTCTATATTTTCCAGACTGGTGCTTACCAAACTTGTTTGGGGAGCTTGTAGTAATAGATATCCGATGGTCTACCGATTGGCGAGCGGGTGATATAAATCGTCATAGTGATCAATTGAACCGGTGTGTATTTTCTTGTCCACTTCCAGAGTAAGTTTAGCTTTCTTTCAGGGAATAGTAGCTACTCATGGGTTCCATCTTGGGAGCCGACGGATGCCTACTAACGTCAAAAACAACTTCCTCGACCCGCTGGAATCTTTTCACCATCCTTGACCACCTGAAAGGACTGTAATTCTCAAATTTCTTTCCCAAATTACTCTTGAAATACAATTTTCAGTTCCTCACTCCATTTTGTATCATATCCAGCCAACATGTGTTTCATCTTGTCCAGCATGGAATGGATTCTGGAAAGTCTCGACGCCAGAAATACCGTCCAGTCTCACAGATGGTCCCTGAGAACCCGAAAACAAGAAGAGATCCTCACCGATATAGTGTGGACGGAGTACAGATTGAGCAAACTTGCCCAACGTGAGAAAGTGTTCGAATAGACTATCCAAAGGCAACAAAATAAAGTCGGCGCCGAGAAAGGAGCCCTAGACATGTCGCCAGTACAGAAAGAGATATTTCTAGAGCTTGACCAGAAATATTGGATCTATCTGAGAAGATGGTGGCAGTTGCGAATGTCCTTGCCTGATGGGCCCGTTTCCAGGGGATTTGAGCTACACCGGTCCAATCCCAAATGGTATATGCACCCTGTACTCGTCTAAAGGTGCGCGGGAGAAGGAGGATGCTGCAGTCGAGATTGTGGATGCTGTGCCCAACGTGCTTCTGACTTTGAGAGAAAACACGGTGCTGGTCATTGTGTGGCATCGTGTGGATGCTGCCGCAAGGCAAGGGGGTTTGATCTGACTTCGGACCTGAAGAATGAGCTAGAAGTCAAAAACGAGGCGTACAGATTGTCGCTATTGAAGGCTTCTACGTTCGGACTGGGCAGCTCGACCAAGGGCGGGTATTGTGATTTTTCTAAGCGGAGGGAGGAAGAGGGATACGAATTAGTGTAGAACGCGAGCTCTAGTGATATATATAGGGTGACATTAGGGACACGACAGAAAAATTCATGGCACGATGAGGCTAGTCATAATGAGCAAAGCCCCCCTTTCAATACAAAACGCTCTCACTCAAGATTTACAAGATATCTGCCGAGGGTCGTTGTCTATGTATATTTAACATTAACGCTTCTCCCTAATATCGTTAGAGACCGTAGGCGCGACCTCTATCTATTTAATCTTATCATAGGCTTAGAATCTTATTCTACTCCCTTTCCTACTATCACTGTTTTTCAAGGCCTTTTCCAGAATCTTTTCTGAGGTCTTTTCTGAGGTCTTTTCTGAGGTCTTTTCTGAGGTCTTTTCTGAGGTCTTTTCTGAGGTCTTTTCCAAGGCCTTTTCCAAGATATAGGCTTATGCATACATAAGGACTCGGTAAGTGTTTTGCGAATTCGCCGGCTGCTGGTAGCTATGGCTTGCGAGAAGCATTTTAGCGCTCTGTCATCGCCATTTTGTTATCAGCGAGCGTGTCGCTAGCGTCTAGGCGATTGATGGTTCGTTCCTCGGGAAGGTTAGAAACTGCCGGATGAAGCAGCGCAAATGGTTGGTATCCGATAATGACATCGTCCGTAGATTTTCCGGTGGATGCGGAGATGCGTTATGCGTGCGTACGATCGCCGGCATGGCGCGTTCCCAGTCATCGTAACGTATGTCATGTTCCTAATGACTGGCCTTTGGAATAGAACCAACACCCAAAATGGACAACGTACTGACTTAGTAATCCAGTATCGGATCTCGGAAGTATCGAATTGTTCACAAATTAGGTCGAGATGATTGCCTCACCATATTGGGGTTCGGCCCGCGACTAGCGACTCCAAGCAACTCGGCAAGAGCCCCGGCAAGTCGTTCAATTGCGGGGTTGGACAATAAATTGAGGGGCAGATCCCCTCAACTGAGTGAGAACAAGAAGATAGATCGTTTCCGAGCATCATGTTCTACCAGCCAGGCATCACCGAACACAATTTACCCCATGACCCATTCAAGGTAACAAGGGCAATCAATGATTCAAGACGGGAGTCACTAACCATCGCAGGCGTGTGTAGTCCCTCGACCCATCGGATGGATCTCCACGCAGAACAAAAAAGGCCAAGCCAATCTGGCCCCGTACTCGCAATTCAATAACCTGACCTTTGACCCGCCGTACGTGATGTTCTCTTCCAACCAGACTGTCAATGGCTCGCGCAAGGATACCGTCATCAATGCGGAAGAGACTGGCAAGTTTGTCTGGAATCTTGCAACCTGGGACCTGCGAGAGGCCGTCAACATCTCTGCCGAGCAAGTGCCGTACGGAGTGGACGAATTCGAGCGGGCCAAGGTAACCAAGGAGCCGGCCACACTGATGGATGTCCCGATGGTGCAGGAGTCACCCGTCAAGTTCGAGTGCGAGTATCACTCTACCGTTCGCTTGCCCGGTAACCCGCCCATGGGCACGGTGGACGTTGTCATCGGCCGAGTGATCGCCGTGCATATCAAGGACGAAGTGTTGACGGATGGCATTCTGGATATTCAAAAAACCAAGCCGATCGCGCGGTGTGGATATTACCAATACACCGTTGTTGAGAAGACGTTCGATATGGTTATCCCGAACATGTCGGAGGATGTACTGTACGGGTTAGAAGGGAACGTGAAGCGCAATCGGGAGGCCGAATCGCGGAATAATCTGGAAGGATGATCGAATATCATACCACAAATTGGAATGTGAGACTGTCAGCTTTTAGTCTGCAGGGTCCAGTCGCCACGGAGGGTGAGGCTATTCGTGGATAAAGGGGGTGGGTGGTTCGTCGGTCGAGGGTTCCGAGGTCTAGAGTCCCCGTTAGGTAGTTGCTGACAGCTGACACGCCGAGACTGAGCGAGGGGGAAGTCAGTCACGAGGACATATTATGAGAAGAACTTTTGGTATATATCAACAACAAAGATACGCATTTCCCCTATTAACCACTCATTGACAAACTTCCTATCAGCAGTCACTCCACACTAGAATTTTAGCCTTGGAAACCTTAGCACACCCTGCATGCCAAGTTTTCCACGATAGACCTGCCATTCGCAGGCCCATCTGCCTTTCCTGGCCAGACTGGGGCCACTCACAGCGCTGCCCGCTTCGTCTATCGCCGAAATTCCTTTTCGTAGTCTTGCGTAACAGGAAAGCCAAGACTTGATGTTGCAGTGTACCCTACCAGCCAAGCTAAAAGACCATGCCAAGGAGGGCTGCCAAGCGCAGGGATATCATGACTCGGACCGCCAAGGGCCATGGCTTCCATTGGACATTGCTAGTCTTGGAGGCAATTTAGCTTCTGTGGAGATTCGACCAGAACAATCAGTGGTCTGGGCAGAGGCGAGCCTATGATACCCTTTAGCCTATCAGGACGCCCGTTTTCCAACCATGGCGCTATCTCGCGTGCTGGCGCAGGCGGGCTGGGCGCCCCAACCGGGGGATGGCGACTCGGGCTCTCAGACATTGGAGGGTTGGATATTGGAAATTTGGGTAATTGAACAAGAGATAGCTCAACCTTGCCAGCCTCTCCAGCCATGGCACAGATCACCTTGTGCCGTGAGTTTCCCAACTTCTGGCCCGGCTATCGACGGTTCTCCGCGACATCTGGATCTGGTATTCCCGTTTCTAGTCAATGCGCCGGCGCGATCCTGAGATATCAGAGCCACGAGGGGAAATCGAAATGCCAATGAACTTCATCCGCGGCTGAGAGCGACCTTCCTGAATGGGACATCTCTGGCGGCCCCCTCCCTTGCCTTAGTGTCTCTTGTACTTCTCTTTACTAGTCTGGCAGCCGCGGCAATTAACATATAACCCACATCTCCCCGTCTTTCCCGCTTCTTCTTTTTGTCGATCATCCCTTTCGTTCTGTTGTCTTTTTTTTCATCCATTATGAATGCGTCCGACCCTATCGAGGTCGCCGAGGTGTCCAAGGCCAAGGCATTGCAGCACGATGTCGCCGTGAGCGAGAAGCGTCAGGATCCTAGCCAGGATCTCACCATTGAGCCTGCTCCGGTTACCCAAGTCCCTGCCGAGGGTGAAGATGAGGCACTCCACAAGGCGTATCCCACCGAGGAGGACCTGCGGACCTTGCGCCGTGTCTCGGGACATCTTCACTGGACTATCTTTACCGTCGCATTTGTAGAGCTGTGCGAGCGTTTCTCGTACTATGGAACTACAGCAGTGTGTGAGTAAAACGGAGGCATGATAGTATTGTTATCACCAGTTGTAGTACTGACTTGCTTTCCAGTCGTCAACTTCATCCAGCGCCCTCTCCCCCCAAATTCGAGGACCGGTGCTCTTGCGGCCGGTGCTGATTTCAATAATGACGTTCCTGGCGCTCTGGGTATGGGGCAGCGTGCATCGACTGGTCTGACATTGTGTGAGTAAGCTGCATAGAAACAGGGATCAAGGGTTGTCATTTCTAACCCGGAGACACAGTCAATCAATTCTGGTCCTACATCATGCCCTTGGCTGGCGCGTTCGTCGCTGATCAATACTGGGGTCGATTCCGCACCATCTTTGCATCCATCGCGTGTGCTCTGGTGGGACACGTCATTCTGATCGTGTCTGCTATCCCCGCTGTCATTTCCAAGCCTGGCGGTTCGATTGCTTGTTTCTCAATCGGTCTGATCATTATGGGTGTTGGAACTGGTGGTTTCAAGTGAGTATACACTGCCTTGGGGTACCACTACCGTCAACACGAGACTAATGTGCAACAACAGGTCCAATATTTCTCCACTGATTGCAGAGCAGTACCGAGAGGAGAAGCCATTCATCAAGGTTCTGAAAAATGGAGAGCGAGTGATCGTCGATCCTGCTGCGACAGTAGCCCGTATCTATCTGTACTTCTACCTGATGGTCAACGTCGGTTCTCTGGTGGGCCAGCTTGCCATGGTGTATGCCGAGCGATACGTCGGATTCTGGCTGTCTTTCCTTCTCCCCACGCTGATGTTCTGCATTTGCCCGACGGTTCTGTACTTCTGCAAGAGCAAGTATCACTTGGTCCCTCCGACGGGCTCGACTTATACCCAGGCCTTCCGTCTCTGGTCCTTGGCTATGAAGGGCCGCTGGTCACTCAACCCTGTCAAGATGTGAGTTGTGAATCTATACGATCGACTGGTTGATGCATACTAATACGCCATAGGTTCAAACAAACCTCTTCCGAGCACGAATTCTGGGATCACGTCAAGCCTAGCACCCTGGGCCCTAGCAAGCCCTCGTGGATGACATTCGACGATGCTTGGGTGGACGAAGTTCGCCGTGGTCTCAAGGCTTGCCAAGTGTTCCTGTGGTATCCTCTCTACTGTGAGTGCAATCTTCTCTGAACGGCTATCCGTCTTTACGTTTTGCTAATCCGTCTATCAGGGCTGGCTTATAACCAGATGCTTAACAACCTCACCTCCCAAGCCGCGACCATGGAACTCAACGGTGTTCCCAACGACGTCATTAACAACTTCAACCCCTTTGCTCTGATTATTTTCATCCCCATCTTTGACCGCCTCGTTTACCCCGGTCTGCGCCGTATGGGATTCAACTTCACCCCACTAAAGCGTATCACTGCTGGTTTCGCCGTCGCAGGCTCCGGCATGATCGTCGCCACCGTCACTCAGTACTACATCTACAAGCTCGGACCCTGCGGCAAAGACGCCAACCGCTGTCTTGAAGAAGAAGGCAAACACAGCCCGATCTCCGTCTGGGTGCAAGTCCTGACCTACGTTCTGGGCGGTATCTCCGAGATTCTTGCATCCGTGACCTCGCTCGAGTATGCCTACACCAAGGCCCCTCGGAACATGCGATCGCTCGTGCAGGCCGTGGCGCTGTTTATGAATGCCATCTCTGCGGCTATCGGACAGGCGTTGGTGGGTCTTTCTGCGGATCCGCTGCTTGTGTGGAATTATGCTATTGTAGCTATTTTGGCATTTGTGGGCTGCGTGGGCTTCTGGTTGAGTAACTACAAGTTGGATAAGGAGGAGGATAAGCTTAATATGTTGCCTCAGAGTCAGTATGAGGGCCGTGGGGAGCGGACCGACGTGGAGGCCAAGACAGGGTAATCATGAGTTGATGTGTGATGGTTTATGATGATGGGTATGCTGCACTGTGCAGTCGCTGGATGCCATGCATATAGCTTTAAAACAGTCTCGGTGTGCTCAAAGGCAAAAAGATAGGTCAATATGACTATGACTGCACGTATTCTTATATACTAAGATAATATACACAGTGTCCAAGCACAGAGTCCTCACTCTTGCGCTTCACTGCGGCGCTCTTCCTCTTCCAGATCTTCCTCATTGACTTCCTCGTCTTCCACATACTCCTCCTCATTCTCATCCTTATTTTGATCGTCTTCTCCGTCTCCATCATCTTTGTCCGTCTCTTCATTCTTCTCACTCTTCTTCGAATTACCACCCTTTCCATTCTCCTTCTGTTTCTTATTCGAACCACCGGACTGCTTCGCAGTACGCTTCGTTCCAGCACTCTTCTTCTCTTCTCCCTCTCCTTCGTCAGTGCCCTCATCAGACTGATCCTCCTCCTCCTCCTCCTCCTCCTCCTTGCTTGCACTTCGAGTCTTGGGACCTTTCTTCCCATTCTCCTTGGCCTCCTTCGCCTTATTTCCCTGATTCTTGTTGCCCTTTGTACCCTTCTTCTCCTCATCGCCTTCATCCTCATCTCCATCCCCCTCCTCCTCTTCCTCTTCCTTATCACCACTAGCCTTCCTCCTCGCATCCTTCGCCTTCCCCGTATTCCCAACAAACTGCTTCCCCTCCTTCGACCCTTCAACCTTCTTCTCCTCCGTCTCCTCCTTCTCCCCCTCACTCATCTCCTCCCACGCCTTCTTCGGCAGATACCGCTTGCGCGTCCCATTCTCATCGTCCTGTTTGGCAGTCCCCGATCCCTCCTTCGTTTGCCATTCTTCTTTCGTCCACTCGTTGAGGTGTTTCTGGGACTCGGACTGGCCCTCTTCTTTGGAGGTTGTGTAGTCGCCCCCGCGCTTTTTGTATTCCGAGGCCATCATTTGGGCCTGTACCGGGTTAGTAATTTTGATTTTCATAGGTAAGTGTGGAGAACGAGATGAGGGAGAGGAGTGTGGATAGGGGGGCGGGGAATCGATGTAAATGGACATCCATCTAGGAGGGTTAGGGCAGAAGTGTACCTTGCGTGCAGACCATTGTCCTGGTTTTCCGCCCTTGTCGCCGTTGTGGATTTCCTCTTTGATTTCGTCGCGGAGTTTGGGATCGGTGTACTTGTCCTTTGGTGCCATTGTGTCGGGACAGATTGGATTAATTTGGATTAAGTGGAAGGTGAAGCTTTATGTGGAAGAAACTGGATATAGCACGGTGATTGTGTTGTGGGAGAAGATTCGGCTCTCGTAGCCTGGGACTATGCTTTTATATACACCTCGTGTCCATGCAATTGCATTCGGCATATCGTACCAATGTAGAATCTTGCTAGAGTCTATTGCAGGGCTGCCGATGACATCTCCATGCTGTCTGTAACTGGGTGACATCATGCACAACTGCCCCCAGCTACGGAATGCGGCAAGGCCTGGATCGGGTCGTTCCAGGGGAAATCCAGTTTCGCCGCAACTTAATCGATCGGGGGGGATGGTGGCGCCGTCAGAAATATGGGGCTCCATCGGCCGATTGGGTATTAGTTTCTGGTTTTTTTTTTTTTTTTCCTTTCTGTCAAGTGGTCGGAACGATTGGGTCTGGATTAAGCTTGATCTGCGATCAGGTTGTAGTTGGTGGTTTAAGATGGATCGTGGATCTGGGGGATATGACGCGACGATGTAGATGGTTAGTTCCGCCAATCAGGACTCGGGGTGAGATCTAGGGATTGAATTGTGGTAGTGCAAGCGATGGAAGGAAGTGAAACGGATGTTTTACTGAGCTGATATTATCCATAGACAAGCAAACGCGCTCGAGTCTAGAAAGACGGGCAGAACTCAACGATGATGTAACCAACAAGGATGATGTAATATATAACAGATCGAAAAAAAAAAAAAAATAAACCGAAAAAGAGTAGTCGTCACGGATATGTACCCAGGTATCATGATAAATCAACACAATTCAAACAAATCCCCATACCAGACACAAAGTCTTCCGTCTACGACAACTTGGGACGCAATCGCAAACTCGGCCCCGCCACAAATTCCATCCCCTCATTAATATCACCCTTCAACGCAAACTTGATATCCTTGTGATAATGGTCACGCGGCTGCCAGGGTCCCTTATCGGCAGCGCGCGGCAGTGCACGCTGGGCAAGGGTCACGTACGTCGAGTTGAGATTCAACAGCGGGCGCTCCTGGAGGTTCTTCGCGTCGGCAGGCTTCAGGCGCGGTGTGGCGGCGATCAATTTACGTTGCTCGAGGGTCTTCAGTAGACGAGTGACGAATTGAGCGGTTGCGTCGGAGCCGAGTGTCCACGAGGCATTGGTGTATCCGATGATGAAGGAGGCATTGGGGAGATCCTGCAGCATGACTCCGTTCCACATGTAATTCGAGCTCGGGTCGTATTTCTTCCCGTTCACGGAGAGTTGTGCGCCACCGGCGAGTTGGAGCTGCAGACCCGTTGCGGTGATGATGATATCTGCGTCCAGGGTCTCGCCGCTGTTCAGCGTGATGCCATTTGAGGTAACGGTCTTGATGGTGTCCGTGCGCACGTCGGCCTTGCCCGCGCGCAGGCTCTTGAAGAAGTCCCCATCTGGGCAGACGCACAGTCGCTGGTCCCAGGGGTTATACCGGGGCGCAAAGTGTGGGTCGTAGGGGATGTGTTTGGGGAGTTGGCGGCTGACATTTTGCTTGAGGATCCATTTGGAGAAGGTGGGGAATTTCTGGCAGAAAAGGAAGAAGATGCGCGTCGTGATGATCCAGACTGCGCGTTGGATGCGCTGATATGCGGCAGAAGGGAGGATGTAGGAGAGCCAGTGATTGGCGGAGCGATTGGGGAGGGAGAGGATGTAGGTCGGACTGCGCTGAAGCATTGTGACACGGGCAGCTTTGTCGGCCAGGTTGGGAAGCAGAGTGATGGCGGTGGCGCCGGAGCCGATGATCACGATCTTCTTGCCCGTGTAGTCCAAATCTTCGGGCCAGAATTGCGGGTGGATGATCTGGCCCCTGAAGGCGTCGAGCCCGGGGATCTGGGCTTGGAGGGGCTGCTTGTAGTTGTAGTAGCCCGTGCCAAAGATCACGAATCGCGCAGTGTACTTCTTCTCCTTGCCGTCGGCGTCGACCGACAAGTTCCAGACGTGCTCCTCATTTGACCAGTCGGCACTGGTGAGCTTATGCTTGTAGAGGATGTTCTTGTCGATACCGTATTTGCGCGCCGTGTCACCAATATACGTCTTGATCGCGGATCCCTCCGCGATAGGGTTGCTGCGATTCCAGGGGTTGAACGCAAAGCCGAAGGTGAAAAGGTCCGAATCGGAGCGAATACCGGGGTACTTGAACAGGTCCCAGGTGCCGCCATGGTCGTGACGAGCCTCGAGAATGGCATAGCTGAAGCCAGGGAGTTGGTCTTGGACGCGGTAGGCAGCGTTGATGCCGGAGATGCCTGCGCCGACGATGATCACGTCGAAACGGTGCTCCGACTGTCCGTTGGCGTGGCCGTTCATGATGGGCGCGAATAAGATGGGAGTGGTGGTCGAGGAGGGATAGGGCACGAAGAAGTAGAGGGGATCAAAGACGGTCGATCACCATGATACTTAAAAAGAAGATTGAAAGATGATGGCGCAGGAAATGATTTAAAGAGTGGCTCACATGCCTCGGTTTCACGGTAATCAATGATCGGCGGTGGATAGATCGCCTCGCGATGGTTGCCTGTGGAAGGGGCCATAACGGAGTGCGGAGGAATATTGACAGAGCGTCGGAGCATTAATACCTAGTCTGGTGTAATCAGTAAGCAGCGAAGAGACTGGGGTAAAATTCCAAAAGTAAAAAAAAAAGACCAAAAAGTCCGCAATTCTCCAGTCCCGAGAGTCTGGAGCTCGGCGCGCCGTCCGTGCGGGTGCGGGCGCGGGCTCCGCGGGCAGGGGCGCATTTTAGGCGGATCTCTAGAACCTGGAGATGATGATGACATGCGACAGCTAGAATGGATGATCGGTCTGGAGTTGATAGTCAACGGTAGCCGATGGTCATGAATTAAATGTACCTTCTAGTTGTAGTGAAAGTGAACGAACTGGTTACACAGATCTACTAGGAACAATGCTCACATATAATCCATACATTTAGCCCCATGTAGAGCCACAGGAACACATCCAAAGTAGGCTGCGCTAGATCTTTCTGACAGCAATAGTGCTCGCATATCGTATGTCCTAAAAGTCTCCTCAATTCCCCCATCTTCTATCCCCCTCTCGTTTACGTCGGCCCATATGCAGCCGAGGACCCTCATTTCTCCACTTCCACAATAGTCAGTCAGAACCACAACCACCTCGGTCTCAACACTGACCATGTTTATAGTTTCGAAAGTCCGCTCCCTGGACCCAAAGTTAAGCCTCCCTAAAGGAATCTGCCATTGGTCTCTAGCAGCGATCCTTTCTCCATTCGGATAGCATTGCGAGATCGAACCACCAAGGGCCCCGAGGCTCGTGGGGAAGGGCGGATGTTTAGTTCCTGAATTGGCGTAGCGCATCTGTTTTTTTGCTTTCCCCACAGGCACGGCACGCCGTCGCCGACTAACGGCTCCGACTGGAGAACCCACGGGGCCACGAACTGGACGAAGTTTGGCGCCTTTATCAGGCGCGGAAGTCGCGACGATGGAGTCCAGAGTGCAGTGTCCCGGTGGTGCCCTGCATATCGCATAATCGGTCCTGGTACGAAAGTACACCCTCACGAATCGGTGACGCATTGAACAAGTGATTGAATTGCCTCCTATTCTCGCGCTGATCACGATCTGGATCAAACTCCGTCATGTCCGTCGCAAAGACCAAGCTCTCACTCGCTGAGAAGCTTGATTTTCTGCCCGCATTGGCGACTATCTTCGTCGCGGCGACGTATTCGCTTCTCACGGGTCTCTGGCGTACCGAGCGGCAAGCCAAGTCGTTGCTGCTGCACTTTGGCTATGCCATTTTCCGCCAGGCGACCGCGCGTCTGTCGCCGGCGCAGATGCAGGCGATCCTCCCTCCCACCAACAAGATCTATGAGCAGTATGTGAAGAAGATCGGCGTGAAGCCCCAGTCCGTGGACTTGGGACACGGCGCGCTGGGCCACTGGGTGGGTGATCGCGATGCGACCAACGTGCTCATCTGGTTCCACGGTAAGCAAAAAGCACCTCCAATTCACGACCGTGAAACCTGCAATTGGTGTCCGAATCAAAACCGACTAACATCTTCTCCTCCTTCTTCACAGGCGGCGGCTTCGGTCTCCCCGCGAACATGGGCTACTACAAATTCTACGCCCATGTCATCGCCGACCTCCAACGCGCTGGCAAATCCGTCGCCGTCTTCAGTCTTACCTACACCCTTGCTCCGGAAGCAACCTATCCAACTCAGCTGCGCCAAGCTGTCTCTGCAGTCCGCTACATTCTCTCCCAATCCAACCGCGACCCATCCACCGTCTTCCTCGGCGGCGACTCGGCCGGCGGAAATCTAGTCTGCGGCGTGCTCTCCCACGCAGCCCACCCACACCCGCAAATCAAGCCTCTCGACCTGGGCAAACACAAGTTCGGTGGCGCCGCGATGATCGCTCCCTGGACATTGCTGGATACGGAGTTCCCCGGACAAGATATTTATCACGGTGGTGATTTGATTACGACGGCCGTAGCGGCGCCGTGGAGTACGGCGTATTTGGGTGGCGCGACTCGGGATTATTATACCGATTTGTCGACTGCGCCGACGGAATGGTTTAGTACGTTCCCCGTGAACAAGGTGTTGATCACCGGTGGTGGGAATGAGATTCTGTTGCCGATTATTCGTGATTTTGCGGAGAAGATTCAGGCGGGATTCCCGGATGTGGAGCTTTTCGTGGGACATCGCGAGTGTCACGTTGCTCCTATTTATAATTTGGAGTTGGGGAGTAACGAGGAGACGGAGCAGGGGAAGAAGGTCAAGTCTTGGTTGAGGGAGCTGGCTAAGTAGGTGGGAAGAGATGGAGAGGAGAGTTTGTAGATATTGCTTGGATGAGTTTTCTGTATATAGTTTACTTGAGGTTGACCTGGTTACTTTGTGTGACCAGTTCGCCCCTGGAGAGCGGGACTGTGTTACCAGTTTATATTCCGAGGTGCATTTTCTATTGTGTCAAAACATGCCAAGTTCCTCTTTATCTAATGACCAGGTCTGATCTATGAAACAAATCCCGTTTGGTTTCACATGATACTTACTCAAGTGTCAAGTATCTGGTATCAAAATCCATATCTCATACTTGCACAAAAAGCTCAAGTAAATAACAAATAAACTTCCCTCGTAGGGTATATACACACGTCCAAACCTGGAATCCAATCCAACCTCCCTACTTCCATCTCACACCCAAGCTCTCCTAGCACACTCTACAGCCCCTCCTTCTTCTGCACCTCCCTCAATCTCCGCAACGACCCCGACGCAATCGACCGGACACCCTCCTGCATCCACGTCGGCATGGCCCTCACCAAACTAGCCGCGGACTGACTCGCCGGCAAAATCACCTGCCCACTATTCTGCGACAAGATCTGCTTCACAATCGCACCCGCCACGAACTGCACCGTCATAATCGGCTGGCGGAAATGCGACTCGTGATCCGTCAGCATCTTAATCATCGGCGTCCGCACCCACATAGGATGCACGACGGAGGTCCGCACCCCGGGCGCGTTATACCACGACTTGAGCTCCTGGCGCAGCGATTCATGGAAGGCCAACGCACTCGCCTTGGAACAGCAGTAGTCGGCCATTTCGCCGAGGGCGACGAACGAGGCCATGGATGCGATGGTCACCACGTGGCCGTGGTTTGCGCGGATCATGGCCGGCAGGAATTCTTTGACCATGAAGAAGTGCGAGATGGTGTTGACTTCGAAGGTCTGTCTGATTTTGGATTCGGGTTCTTCGAGGATGGTCCCGTCGTGGCCGACGCCGGCGTTGTTCACGAGGACGGTCGGATCACCGTGCTTGTCGCGGATCGTCTTGGCTACCTCGGCGATGTTGGCGGAGGAGGTGATGTCCGCTTTGTAGAAGGTCACGTTTGCGGGCAGCGTGAAGGTGGGCGAGGTGATGTCGAGGATGATTACGCGGACGCCCGTTCGGGCCAGGTCTTCCATGACTTGTTTGCCGATGCCGCTGCAGCCGCCCGTGACGAGGATGAGTTCGCGGGCTGGGTTCCAGGGTGGACTGCTGGTCCAGTTGTTGAGGGTCCATTGGGAGAGGGACTTGTTGATGCTGCGGAGGAGGCCAAGGGCGAGGACCACGCCTAGGGCCTTTTGGGTGAGAGGGTTGCGGAGGTAGGCTTGGGCGGGCTCCGGGACATGCGCGAGCGCAGTCTGGGAGTATTGTTGGAGGAGGTCGAGATAGGCCGCCATGGTGGTGGTGGTGGTGGTGGTGGCAGTCAGAAGTGGAAGGTGAACAATGGGAAGGGAAGAGAGGTGAGGGTGAAAGAAGGAAAGAAGAGCTAAGGGAGCGATTCTACGATGTCGATCGGGTCTTTTTATGAATTATCCATGAGATGAAGAGAGAGCGCGGCGCACGGGTACACGAAGCGTGTGGATGGTTACTCTAGTGGACTTTCGTACCGCCGGAGACTAAATTCCCCAAATATGGGCCTGTCGCGACCATCATGACCCCACCAGCCGAGGCTTTTTTGTCTTTGATGGACAGGGGATCGACAGCTGGAATGGGTGTTGAGGATCCGCAGGGACAGTACTTGTAAATTGGGATTTTGACTAGGACGAAAGGGGACTAGGGGGGAATTGAAGAAGAGAGCATCCACAGTTCGACAGTCCAGGACCTCTTTCACATGCCCGTTTTCCGTGGCTGCTGCTTGGCTTCCCCGCAGGTTCTTTGCCGTTCTAAGATCCATCCTATTCGAGGCTCTGGTCTATCGGTTCAATCTCGCATCCCCCACACTTGGAATGCGCATCTCGTCCTGACGTCGGAGGAATTCTACCGAATGCGGTTAGATCGTATCTTAGGGCTACCGCATGATATCACAGTCCTCCGATCTCACAAGCTGCTCGGCTTTATGAATTCCCCACAGTTTGGAGAATCCCATGATTTTACAGTACTCTCGTGATGGTTATCATGATTATCATGATTATCAATATGATTTGATCCATCCCTTTCTCCCATAGGCAGACAAAGTTTCACCCATGAGCTCATCTTTCCCATCATGCTGATCCCTGCGCGATAGGCATGCGCATAATACCGAGGTCGATCCCCAAGCGAACTGGGGCGCCTCGCCGATCGGCAGAGTCCACATGGAGCCGGCATCCTTATACTTATTGCAGTAGTCCCTAGTATTAATTGATTTTGGGCTGGGAGTTCACTTTCGAAAGTGGAATCTTTTCTCCCCCAGACTTTTTCCCTCTTTCAATCCTCCGACAATCACATCGAATCGTCGGTGGTTTTCTTCCCAATATCGGTATACCCTCCGATCGAGTGATTCCTTCGTCTATCCTATCCTCGCATCGAGTCGCCTGCAGTGATGGCGGCCGGGGATAGTCTTCCGGCCCTGTTGGTCTTTACCCTTGTCGAGGCCTACTTCCTGCAGCGCACCGTCTTTGCAGATGAGACGTTCCGCACCGTCGTGCTGGGTGCACTTGCCGTCAATGTCTGCGGCAAGGGTGTCTATAGCTTAGTCGTTTGGCCGTTCTTCTTGAACCCACTGCGCCATTTACCCCATGTCTCGGTATGTACTCCCCGACAACCCTGAATCGCCAGTACCAGCAGCCATCCCATCCCACTCCAACTCCCATGTCCCCGCCGATCTAAATCCCATCTCCGAAAAGTCCACCACCTAACATGTCTACAGGGTCTCAGGAGTCATTCCAAAATTATCTTCGATTCCCCACGAGGTCGCATGCCCCTGCACTGGATGAAAACCATCCCCAATGACGGCCTCATCCACCTCCGCGACATGATCGGTCAAAGCTACCTTATAGCGACCAACCACCAAGCACTCCTCGATATCATGAGCACCAACACCTACGATTTCGAGAAGCCCTGGCGAGCTCGTAACTTCCTCGCGAGGATTTTGGGCTTTGGGCTGATTCTGTCCGAGGGCGCGGCTCATAAGAAGCAGCGCAAGGCGTTGACCCCCGCATTTAATATTAAGAATATTCGGGCAATGTATTCGTTGATGTGGGATAAGACCAATCAGTTGCTCGTGGAGCTGGAAAAAGAGTTGAAGATGAATCCGATGGATGGGACGAGTCCCGAGGAGGGCGTGGGGAAGTTGGAGATGGGTGTCTGGGGCAGGTATGTCGAGGTCGGGTCCGTCACCTCGGAAAGAAACTCATACTAATGTCGTTGTTTAGTCGCCTCACCCTCGATATCATCGGTCCCGCCGCGATGGGTCGTGACTTTCGCTCCCTGCAGAATAGCGATAACCCGGTCGCTGAGAGCTTCCTGCGTATTTTGGAGCCGACAACTGAGAAGATGGCCTTTTTGGCTATGAACTTTACCCTGCCGCAATGGATCGCTCAGCGTGTGCCCTGGCGCTTGAACCAAGTCATCGCCAACGAGACCGGCTTCCTGCGGAATCTCTGCAACGACATCGTTCGCGAGAAGCGAGAAATGCTGGCTACTTCCAAGGCCTCGGCAAAGGATCTCGAGGCTGACATTCTCGGCACGATGATGTTGGGAGGAGACTTTAGTGACACCGAGCTCGTCGATCAAATGTTGACCTTCCTCGCTGCAGGGGTAAGTTTGACCCTCTTGATATCTACTCCCCCCTCTCTATACATTCCCCTTGCTCACCTTTCTGCCAGCATGAAACCACCGCCGCGGCTTTAACCTGGGCCTGCTACCTGCTCACCCTCCACCCCGAAGTCCAAACCCGGCTTCGCACCGAAATACGCACCAAAATCCCCTCCGCCACTCACCCCATCACGCACGCCGACCTCGAATCCCTCCCCCTCCTCAACGGCGTCTGCCAAGAAGTCCTTCGCCTTTACCCAACCGTGCCCGTTACAATCCGCGAAGCCATCTGCAACACAACGGTTGCAGGCAAACACGTCCCCCGCGGAACCCGCCTGATCCTGTGCCCCTACGCGATCAACCGCGCCCCGATCTTCTGGGGCGAGCACGGGGAGGAATTTCTCCCCGAGCGATGGATTGATACGGACAAAGCGGGGAACCAGATTCCGAATAATAATGGGGGTGCGTCGACGAACTTTGCGCAGATTACGTTCTTGCACGGGCAGAGGGCGTGTATTGGGAAGGATTTTGCGAGGGCGGAGCTGAGGTGTGCCGTGGCGGGTGTGGTGGGCAGGTTTGCGTTTGAGATGCAGGATCCCAAGCAGGAGATTCATATTGCGGGGGCGGTTACGACGAAGCCCGTTGAGGGGATGAATTTGAAGATGTGGAGGGTTGAGGGGTGGTGATTGTAGCAACAGGGGGAGGAGGGTGGGGAGGGGTATGCTTGGGTTTTCGGCGTTGGATATGGGATATTGATTGGCTATAGTTTGATGTCCTGATGAATTTGTTTGGAACATGTATATATTCCCTGGTGTTGTTCGTGTATATACGCGTTTTCTTCTTGCTACGTATATGTAAAAAGCTCTTGTCGATAAGATCCAGATTTGATTTCGTCCATAGGTGATCGAATCACAAAGACACCCTGTCTGGCAAGACTCAATCTTTCGCTTTAAATTCCAAAGCAAGTTTTCTTGACTGTAGAACATGCCTATTTTTATACAGATGTACTCCAAGGGAAATTATATCATGCAGGATACAAGGATCCTTACAAGAAGGCCATGATAGGAGGCCCGAGTTCCATCGAATATATCTTCAGTCGGCCACGAGGCTTTCAAGGTCCATAAGTGCCATTCTCCCTTCGTGAAGGACTTCCTCCACGTATTGTCGGTCTCTGTCTTGAGACTTACAGCAAAACTAGGGCTCGCTCCATCCTTGACGCACCCAACATATCGCAAGCCTAATGCGTCAAATTTGAGGAATCTGATGACCGTCCGATGCACCTCCATATCGTTCCTGATCCACGAGAACGAGAAAGTCACCAGTTCACGGAATTGCCAACTCGAGCAACGAACAGTTGCAAATTCTGTCGTTTCCCAGATGAGGCTTTGCCTCAATGGCCGCTCTGGCTACCTTGGCAAAGTCAGCGATAACAGCATTCTGTGAAAAAATAAGCCTTGAACCACATTGCTGTAATTTAGGAATTAAGGGGGAGAATAGAGTCATGACCTCTATAGTGAGGTAAAGCTCCCAACTAAGTGATAGCTTGCGCTTAGTGTTTGCTAAATTATACTTGATTTACTAAACGCTACAAGCTTTAGTCTAGTCTCAGGATGGTTTACAATATTACTAGAAGAGATTTTCGGAATCACTCAAAGTGTGCTTGAGCTATGAATTCAACTATCGATTCAAAGCTTCATTGACTAAGTTCTTTCCGAAAAGATTTCAAGGTTATAAAAACTACCAACATATTATCCTCCATTCATTACCTGGCTAATGCCACTTGGATCCGCGAATCTGCAGGATGATAGTAGGGATCACACTGACACCCACCATCAGAGCCGCAGCAATACCCGCCCCACCGCCCCACCCAACAGTCTCGAACATCTCGGGGAACCTATTTCCAACGAGTCAGCATGATCCCATCTAGATCAAAAGAAGAGGAAAATAGGAGGGGGGTGTAAAACTTACCAGAAAGGTCCAATGAATCCCCAAGTCTGTCGGACAAACGTAATAAACACGCCCACACTCGCCGCATCCGCGCGGTAGCAATCCACCGCGTAGGTGATGTTAACCGTAGTAACGATCTGGTTACCAGCAGCAGCAATGGCCGCACCAATGATGGGAGTGATATTCCACGTATCACCGGCCTTGCCCAACTGCACCGCAAACACCACAACGCCGACAATCGTCAGCACGTGGCCAATATAGCTCAGCCACAGACGGTGCTCGGCCGCTGGGGGGCCGCCAATCTTCTTCTGTCGCAGCGCCATCCACCGGTCACTGATCAGACCGCCGATCTGCTCACCGATTACGGAGCCGATGATGACGCCCAGGAACTGCAGGCCGACTTGCTGGGTATTGAAGCCGAATTGCTCGGGGAAGACTTGTGGGATCTCGATGGTGAGCGCGATGCTACCCCAGAGGAAGATCATGGCGTAGGCGCAGGCTGGGATGAAGACGCATGGCTTGGTGACGTAGGTCAGGGGCTGGATAAAGTCCCAGAGACGAAGGGGGGCTGGGTCGATGCGGCGGAACTTGAAGATGCTGTCTTTGACGGAGGTGACTTGGCTGGGGGCGTTCTCGTTGCGGAGGTAGAGAGATTCAGAGCCGAAGAAGAAGTACAGAATGAACTGGACACCGTTGACCTAAGAAGTGGAGTGATCTGATTAGTACCGAATCCTTGGATGTACCGAAGAGCATTGGGCGGAAGAAAGTATAATAGGGGAACACTCACGATAGCAAGGACATAGTAGATCCAACGATAGCCCACGCGCATAACCATAAATCCAAACAGGAATGGCGCGGTGGGGACACCGATAGTAACCATTAGCGTCCAGTAACCCATGCATCGCGCGCGATCCTTCTTGAAGAAAGTCTCTGCGACAACGGCACTGCCAATGGCCGCGGCGGGACTGATGAAGAACGCGGTGATAGCACGGCATAATCCCATCGTGCCGTAGGAGTGGCTGTTCGCACATCCGATGTTTCCGATCAGGGCACAGCTCAGCGAGATCAGGAAGATGGGCCGGCGACCGAATCGGTTGCAAAGGGGGCGCCAGAAAAGAGGTGCACCACCGAGAACGGCGATGAAGAGGGAGACCAGGTAGCTAGTTCGCTGCATGCTAACATGCAGATCGGCCGCGATGTCGACAAAGGCGGATTGGATGGAAGCAGCAGTGAAGAGACCGATCATGGCGTGGAAGACGACCAGCGCTAGATTGACGGATTTCTATATGGCAAGTGCGTTAGCGTCTATAGTGCTATTGGATTCAATCACTGTTGGATCGAAAGGGGGTTTTCGTGTAATTACCCTCCAGGTCGGCCAGTTATACGGGTCCGCATCGTTCATGTCTGGAATCGGATCCAAGTTCAGGGTTCCATGACGGGCGAGCAGATACTGACGATGTTCCTCGGTGAGATGGGCGACTCGGTCCTCGACATAGAATGCCTCATGCTTGCCGGACTCGATAGCCCCAGGGCTAACTCCAGCTTCCTTTGCTTCTACCCCCTCGACATGCTGGGAGTTGCTATCCATCTTCTCCATGGCTGTCACGGACAAAACCCGAGCGGAAGAGAGAATGAGTATAGAAAAGGATGCCCGGACAAGAAAAGACCCGAAAAGTACAAGAGAGAGAAAGGTCCGGTGCCGAGTGGAAAAAAAGGGGACATCAAGCGGCCTGCGTGATCGTCCTTATATACAGCCCCTTCCCCTCTCTAACGCAGGGTGACTTTTCTGCTCGAAAGTCCGGGGTTTCGCATTGCTTCGGAGATATTGACTGGATCCGTTCTGGGGGCGGGGACAAGGAGGATGGTCCATGTCTCCAACGTGCCCACCCCCAGACACAGAAACTGGAGAACTGGAGTCCAGAAGGCGGATTTTGTGGCAGCTTGGCTAAACTCGTGCTGCGATTGGCCATGGTGGATTGTGGCCGGATATGATTTCTGCCCGCTCGAGTCTAGACGGCGTGGGGATTGTGGGGTGTGGAGATTGTTGGGATCGAGGAATTGCCAATCATCGCTGGAGGAGAGCATTTTGCCTCGCATAATTGGGGTCTGCGATCACTTCAATGGCAGGTGATACCCCAGACCCCGCCATGTAGAGAGTCTGTGTTGATACTTTTTGCGTGGAGAACGAGGCCTTTTGGTTGACGAATTCACCCAAACTCTCCTTCCCTTCTCCCGACGCGGCGCATAATGCTTGTTCCCGCTTGGCGGCTGGGCGCGGTTGGTGGCGTCTTGAGCCATCTCACAAGCCATCGAGCTGCATAATAGAGCAAGAAATAGATAGGATTGCTCCCCTGGGAATCGATAGCGAAGGGCAGTGGCGGGTATGGATCGCGTAATATCAACTCCGCTAGCAAGCTCCAAGGCTGTTCGTCGTACGCGTCTCGACCCCCCCAAATGCAGTCGAGGTGGTGGCCACGGCTGCGTTAGGCCGCCAGGAGCAGCTTACCGGGGTGACCCATCAGGTCTAGCTTGCTGCCATTGATTTGCGCTTCTGTTATCTGATTAGTACTGCTCGTTCATATCATCCCCGGCCATTCAGCACGGCTCGCTTGCAGTGTCCTTGTACTTTGGGCATCCCCCAGGTGACATTGTGGGGATGACCACATGTAGATCGAGTACGAGACATACAGCCCCTGCTAAGAAAAATCCATCATATCCATCATTGACTAAAGACTGCTTCTAACTATTACTCCCCATCGAGCTTCTAGGGGTCCATAGGCAGAATAAGAGTATCTCCAATATACTATTATCTAAACACGACAGCCAAGGTCGACCACATCATCCTTTTCTCTGCTTCTCTAGATCAATCTTATCACGTCGAGCTAGTGCAGTTCACACCAATATCCCCCTGGATCCCATCGCAGATGATCTCTGGTGGGCTACCCGCAGGGCTGGTCAGATTGATCCGCGACAAGTGAATGTCCGAGCACACCGCGTTGGGCGAGCAAGTCAGATCAACGACCACCTTGCCGTTTTTGCCGGAGGAAGTGCCAGAGATGTTGTCGAATACGACGTTGGTGATGTTGACCGCGGACGGGTAGGCTGCGCACTCGGTCGCATTGACGTTGAAGTAGCACTGGTCCAGAACAACGGGGCTGTCGGTGTTCTCAATGTGGATGTTGCGGTACGTGATGTTGTTGATGCGTCCGTAACCGACGTCCTGGCCGGCCCAGGCCTTGAGACGGGCACCGTTCTGTTTCAGTGAGTTAGCTTTTGTGGCTAGGATTGAACCTGGTTTTCTCATGTATGAATATGCTTACCTGGCCGTTCAGTAGAGTTACGTTCTCGATGTACGCATTCTCGATAATGTCCATAACACCCGAGTACTGTCCAATGCTGCCCATGCTCACGCCGTGGGTGTTGTTGCACCACAAGTTCTGCACAAAGATGTTGGATGTGTTGGGCTTAGGCGAGAAGCAGTCGTCACCAATGTCGACACGGGTGTTGGTGACGCTGAGTCCGTTCACGTTGAGCGAGTCAAAGCCATCGGTGTTCTTGGGCAGAGCCTACGAAAATCGGGTCAGGCTATATAATCATCAATGGCATGGGGATCACTTACCGAGGCATTGGTTGAATACGCGTTAATAAAGACATTGTCGAAGGAGACATCGTTGGTGCGCACAAAGAAGTTGGTCCAGCATGGTGAGTTCAGTTGAGTGATGCCCTCAACGCTGATGCGAGTTGCGTTGTCGGTCAAGAACAGAATTGGTCGGTAGAAGGTGTTGCTGGAGTCCTGCACTTCCGTTAACTTTGGAAACGAGATTCGAGCTATGCTAGGGGCTGTTGACATACCAGAATCTCTCGTCCTGCAAACGCATTGTACCACGCCTGACCATTACCATTCAGGGTACCATGGCCAAAGATCTTGATATCCTTTCCACCCCAGACCCAGAAGGTAATCGACTTTTGGAACGAGTAGTAGAAGTTGTTCGCTTGCCAGTACTTGATGTCGTCGGTGAACTGGGCGAATTAGACCGTGACTTGGAGTTTCTCGTCAACAGGTGCTACTTACTTTGATCTCACCCTCTAGCTGGACCTCGACATTATCAAGAAAGCTCAGATCAAGCTTCTTGCCGATAACATAGGTCTTGCCCTTTTGCAATAGCAAACGACCGCCATGGTTGGCATGCTTGATGCCCCAAAGGAAATCGTCCGAGATATCATCCGTGTCATTCCTCGATGGCCGAATTGTGACTGTCCGACGGTCAGGGTACTTCTGTCCGTGGGCCCCAACGTTGCGCAACGCAGACTTGTCGTTGGCAGAGATGACATGGGCACCCTGGGGGACTCGACCCGTCGAAACAGCGGTGACTGCACTGACGAGTAGCACGCCGAGAGCGAGGAATTTCATCGTAAACTGTTATAGAAGCACTCTTTAAAATGGAGGTAATAATTATTCTCAGTTGCCAATTTCTCTGAACAAACAATACTTTCAATGGAAACCCTTGACCATTCTCTCCTATTGCCAACATTCATCCATTTGTACTTCGCTCCCCCAACGTCACCCATCTAGCTCAGCATCGGCACGCGGAGAAGAAGATGACATTTCTCCGCCTGTAACAATGCACAATGGCCTAGGCAACACGAGATTTCAGTGGGAAACGATCAACAGGAACATGTTGCGGTGTTGTGCCCAGCCTTTTGCAGCGCATCTCGGCATGGGCGGATTTCTCCGCACTTTGCCAAGCACCAGGCCGCGGGGATGCAGAGAGGTTTAATTTTATAGGGTTAAGAGTGACACTTCCTTGGGGAACTCTGTCTTGTGGGCGGGAATCTGCCGTCTTGGAAGTGGTGATTTACGCATGCTGGAAAGGGGTTGTTCCACCAATCAAGGCTCGTGGGCGGAATTGAAGGGGTCGGTGTGTCAAGTATAGCCTCAACTACGAATGATGATCCTTAATATTTGCCGGCCACTTATTAATCCGCACTCATTGAGTAACTAGTTAACTATAGCAGAGGAATAAATTCAAGCTACTATGAGCTTTGGGTCTTTACTCCGAATCAAGGGTGTTAGATAGCTAGGTTGGTCTCTTTCGCGGTATACATATATGTGCTGAAAAGGACTCAGGATGCGAATTGAAGATCCATTGGGACTCCCAATGCTATTCAATTACCTCTGGCTGAGAAGCCTAGACCACATAGCGGAATCCTACAACAATCTGGGCTTAGGTTGGGCCATTTCGCCCCCCGTCTTGGCTACGCTCAAGCTTAATGTTTTGACGCTGCAAGTTGACTCGACTTGCGGTGGTCAGGATAATAGCCAAGACGGGAATGGCTAGATTGATCAAAAAGGCGGCCAGGTATCATGGCGAGGAGCAGTAAAGATAGTATGCCTATGCCCACACTGGCAATGGACTATTAGCATTGGAAGTAAGCTTGAGGAAGTTACTTTAACGCACCGTCCGGCGTGTTGCATGTTTGGTGTAGTTGACCGAAGTAAGCTTCTTTTGTCGGGCAACTCTCGCTTTGAGAAAGGCCAGTTTGTTTGACAGGATTTGGCTACGCACTCGATTGAAGCGATCCCGGCGATCACTGTCCGATGGAGATGCTATCCAATGGCAACGAGGGTCGGCTGGATGAAGGATTTCGGACATTGAGTAGTGTCAATAATCCTTGAGCTATGAATTGATTCAACTGCACACAATCAAAGTGATATCAGACTGTAATCACGTAGTTTGGGCATCTGACTTCAACCTTGCATTCAATATTACACTGATCATGTAACTGAGCTTGACTGTATCCTTCACCTAGATTTATATGGGGAATATGTACAACGTGAAGCTAAATCAGACCATCTCTCCCGCTTCAACCTGCTCAACCTGGCCTGAAGACCCCTTTGTTGAGCTTCGCGCTAGAGAACAACCGTCTCGGTCATGGTTACTCGATCGCAAAATCATTCTGACAGTGTCTGACTCTTCTTGGTGACTGTTACCGAGCTCCGATCCTTCGGTGTAGTTGGAGATGCAGGAGAAGCGATTGTTCACCGTGACGTGGTGGGCTTGCCGATTCACGACACTGTTATTGGGTAAGGGCTCGTTCTCCGATAGCAACAGAATCTCCACAGGGTGGTCGTGGATAACGGGGACCCGTAGCAACTTGTATATAATGTTCAACACTGGGATTGAAAGGCCGTGGACGACAATTGAGAAGAAGACTAGCCAGTAAACCACTTCAAAGGGCCATATTAGCAAAGGCATATCTAAAACTTGAACATACTCCTACCTGGAATCATGGCTAAAGTCAAATCATTGATCTCGGCGTCACTTTGCCCGGGATCTGGGAGCAGTCGGCGGGCATATTCGACATAGGATATTGCTCCAATTCCTTTGTATCAACAATGAGCCAACGCTGCAACGGTTTAAATTGGTTTAGACTCACCTATCGGGGCGAAGTAACCCATAAACAGAGCTTCCTTCCAATTCCTGCAGACCTTCGGCATGAAGCGATAGCCAAGCATTATGGCAGGAATTCGGCGGAATAATACAACCAGTATTCCCAATGCGACCAATCGCGCAACCGTAATTCCGGTTAAATGGGGCATATGGAGCTGATCCCATGGCATGACGGCTCCAAGAAAGACGAACGTGCCAAAGTTTAGGACAGTCTCGATAGTGGAGTTGAACGAATCACGTCTTGCCTCGATTTCAGAATGATATAAGCCGTCCCAGTTCAATGTGCATCCCGCAATAAAACAAGCGAGGGTCTCGTCGGTTCCAAAACAACCACAAGTGCCAACGATGAACAGCTGGTCGAACATAATGTTAGAGAATTGTAAGACAGAAGGAATCAGGAAGAGATAGAGGTTCACTTACCCCAAGAGCGACTGGAAATAACACAAAACTCTCCTTATCGATCCATCTCCTGCGCTTGTGTCAATACATGTGCTTCTCACAAATAGGAATGAGCTGGGAAATCACCTGTTAGATGCCAGATTCAAGCCTTTCCGACCAACAAATCCCGCAAATAAACCGTACCCCGAGCCCATCATGATCATGTACAAAACCCCTTCCACAGCCCAGTGAGCTAATGCACGACCGATGTTGCCGCCAAATCGACCAGTATCGGTCTCTCCGATCCAATCGCGTCTCATCGGTCCTGCACCGTTATTCGGGGCGTCATCGTATCGGAGTAGTGCAATTGAGAGTAAAAGGAAAGGAAATCCGAAACCGTCATTTCCGCCCGCTTCTGCCGAGATGAATTCTCGAAGGTGTCGTCGAACATATTTATCCGCAAAGGGGCCTTTTGCGATCGCTTGAGACAAGACGGGGTCTATACAGATGACACATGATCCGATTATACAGGCTGTCAACTAAATAAATAGCATGTTAGCAACCATAAACTCTGAGTCACACGGTAGCTGGGCCTTACGAAAGTCAAATTGGGAATCATCAACTTGATGCATGTCGATGTAGCAAGCCACTGAATGGCCATTAAGGGGAGTAGGCAAATGGTTAGCTCGACCAGCCGGCGACGTAGATATCGCTTCGGCAGCTCATAGCCGACTTTGATCATCTGGATTCCAAGGACAAGACGCGCCAAGGCCTGCCATCGTTAGAAATTCTTCTAGTCGGACGAACTTGTTGGGAGACGTACATAGGCGACGCCTCCGACATCCTCCCCGTTACCTCCATTGCTCCATCGGCTCACGCTTATCAGATTTGTGGTGAATGGGCCTAGTAAAACACCGAAAATAAATGCAGGCACTGCTCATCATTAGCGGCGGTCGCTCAAACAGACCGAAACACATACATGCTTCCCCTAGGTACCATCGCTGCTTTATCTTCAACGAGATGAATCCAAAACCGAGTAGGAATATGCCTGGCTGAAGTCAGTATCTTGGCAAGTATTTGGATGCGGGACGTTGCCTCTGACCAGAGAATGTAGTAGCGACATTGAAACTGCTAATGTCAAGAAGTGGATGAAGCATCCTGTCTCGCGAGGTCGCGAGGTAAATCCACAACACATGCGATATATTTCAATAGATAGAACAGTTCTCAATTAGCCTGAGGCGGTTTGAGGGGAAAGGTCTTCACAATGAGACATCGATGAGAAGGGCCGGTGCTCAGACGCTTCTGGTCAGTAACTGGATAAGTTGTGCAAATGCCAGTATGATTTAGTGCTGATTCGAAAGAATGTTCGCGCCCTTCTTAGGAGCCCGTTGGTGAAATTTCCTGCCATGATAAGATGACACAATAGCTCAGCCTCGGTCATCCCTTCCTGCAGGGCCCAGGGGTACTGAGCTTGTGACGTATCACAGATAACAGTTGAAATAAATCTCAATCCAGTTATGCCGTGCGCATTGCTATAGAAGATGAAATCCCTCCCGAAGCATAGTATTACGGCACAGAGGATAAGTGATCATAAAGAAAACAGAATTCTCAAGCATTGACAGCATTGAAATTGGACTAAGACTCCAGGAGATATTTCAGTAGACTGTACGCAGCGTAAACTCCAAGGCAGTAGCAAACATGCAGTGCTACAATAATTACATCCACAACCAGCCACCACCACAATGCTTTTGCCGGATGATCAGCTGTGCCTTAGAAGCTTGGTAGAATTCGCTCCACTCATCCTTGCGCGTTTCGCCATAAACGAGCCAATCAAAGCATCCACAAGCGGCAGTTCATGCCTGCCGACCCCCCGTATGCACGGATCGGCATTGCCGCCGACCTTATCATCCCTATCAGGATAACCAATTCAGGACCAGAATGTTCTGCGTGTATCAAGGGATGATGGCGTGTCAAGAGATAAGAATGCTACGAATTGTGCCATACGTCAAATAGTGATAATTTTGCGCAGGAGAGCTATGTGGTGAAAGCGCCAAGTCGATGCCAATGCTTTCTGGAAATAGTGGCTCTGGGGTCCATCGTCATTTGACTGTCGATCTTCTCCAGGTCAAGGGCGTCAGCATTTTGCAAATATTATATATACTCCCCTATCTCAATAATAATAAAAAGCCAAGGCAAGCAGCACTGTTGACTTCAAAAGTGGATATTCACTGCTGCCTTCATTGTGGGGCTTGCTAGCTCTATCGTAGCTTCATTCTTATGAAGAAGTCATATTAAAATCCCTCATAACGACAACAACTATCCCAGGCTCCACTCTATATCGATAATTTGATGAACATGCTTTTCAAACATTCACAACCACTGATATGTATATAGGTGGCTAAATCAAACGGTGGCTGTTTACAGGCCAGTCTCCATATAGTGGAATTCTGTCATATTGCATGTTACTAGGTGAGAGTCCATCTTGATAAGAAGCAGAGATCATTTGGGTATCATTGTAGTGGGGATTATATACTAATACAGATGCTTCTTCCTCCATCCCCGCACTTCCTCAAAACCCGGTAGCATATCCTCATTAAATTTGTGGCAAGTCCGTAAAAAGGTTGTTGTCCCAGAGCTCCGCGCCGCCATTATCCAAACCGTCAAACCAGCCCCCCAAGTCAAGCGGCTACAATAGTCAGTGCGACGATTCCCAACTTCAAATCAGAATGAGTAACTTACTGCAAAATCGCCAAAGTCCGCAGACATTAAAGAAGGCAAATCAAAATCAATAGAAGATACAGAGAGAGGAGTAGTCTCGATTGGACCATCCAGAGAGATAGCAGGCTGATAATTCCATTTCAGCAAAGCTTCTTCGTAAGAAGAAGAGAATGGGAAGCTCACCTGTGGAGGCGGTCGGTCCGCACTCGCCAGCGCCTCATCATATGAGAGGCCGCTCACGATGCCTCGGCCAACCCGAACAGCTCGTTTTGATGCTGCATCGATCATACAGGAGGGATCTTCTCCCTTAATGCGAGACTTGACGGATGCCAGAATCAGACTCAAGAAGAAGTATGGCTTGGTACCTGTTCCAGTGCCACACCCGACCCTTCGTCCAAAGTCGTCCAGGCTGCGCTCGACTGCTTGTAGCATCACATTTTGCTGTGATTGAACCATGCTGAGTAGCACGCTCGTGTTCATTCCTTCCATTGCTGCGCCGGATGTTTGACTCATTTCTTGAGCTTGGAGAGATAGCTCCACACAAACCGTGATAGCCGCGTGGAAGGTTTCGTCGCACAACATACCACCTCCTAGTTGTGTGATGTGGGGGTAAAGAATTGGGTCAGAAGGGGTAGGAAGCTCCATTTGTGATAAGATCTCTAGCGATTTCTCAAGGCAAACCTTTCGAGAGTAAGAGCATTTCGGTAGTCGCACAACGCTCAAACAAAAAGGTCGGTGGAGAGCAAGGAGGAACTTGCGCATTATGAACAGGTGTAGAGACTGGGCGAATCGGTGGCGGGCAGCATCGGAAGGATTGATTCCAGATAAATTGTCTTCGAATAGATCGGACGCTGTTTTGATTGACCGACATAGATCCTCGCTCATCCGGAGAGTCTCGTCGTAGGATAAAGTGAACCGTAAGGTATTGATCTTCTTCGCAACCCGGTATCGAAGTTCCAATGTCTTCGAAAGCAGGCACTGGTAGAAGTTGCGCGTGTATCTTGCGGTACCCAAGGGGGCTGGATTATTCTCCATGGACTCGTAGAGTTCGGAGTCATCCCAGTTGGATGGAGCGTCGCAATCGCACTCATCCAAATCTATTGATGGGGGAACGCCACGATCGAGAGAAATCTTCAGATCGATCTCCACAATCGTTGTCCACAGCCGACGTCGAAGCTCTGACCAGAATGGCGTAGTCGCCTTACGGAAGCGGGTTGGGTCACGGTGCAGTCCCATGGTCATCGCGGAACGAATAAGAGAGCCTGATGAAGCCCAGGCAACGTCACCATCACTAGCAACCGCAAGCCGAGCAACAAGGAGAAGGGCCTGTGTTTGGATCATCTTGAGATTGATATCAGGACTGACAAAGGTGCAAGAAATGTAGGACTGGACAGCCATGATCCACTTCATTGCCGGCTTCTGATAAGTGTCCCGCTCATCGCGTTCCGAGGATTGCGAGTAGAAACGGCTTCCCGCCGCCATGACTGCCAGTAGCTGTGCAACAAAGGCCATGTCTGGGTTTTGGGGATTAGCCCAGTGGTCGGAATATTGTTTCAGGAAAGTCGGGATATGCAGAATTCGATAAGTGGTCTCAAATGTGTCCAGATACAGTTGAAGCAGCCGGTCGGCAACGATTCGCGATGGCACCATCTCATCGAGCTTGAAAGCCTGCTCTCGAAAAGCTCTTTGGTGATCATGACTTTGACGTGACCACATCTCACACTTGAACTTCTTCATGTCGCTATACTCTTTGTCCTTGGCATTCTTGTGTCGGCGTCGCATGAATGTGCCAATATCTTGAAACTGTAACTTGGGTCAGCAACCTACTCATAGATTCAAACTTTGTGGGGGTGAAAACTTACAAATGATATGGTTGTGCTGTAGTGGCTGCGACCGAAGTATCTCGTCTTGCCCTTTTTGCCTCGGAAGCTGCAGTCGGGCAAGAACCTTACACGATCATCAACTCCAGCGCTCTCGACGCTATTCTGAGAAGTAGTAACCTCGGAGAAGCTATCGTAAATGGACGTCTCGGGGGTTTGAAGGGTAGCGCCAGGGTTTGCCAATGCATGCTCCAACGTGCGCAATCGCTGGCGAAGCTCATGAAGCTCATCTTGACGTCCTCGCTTAGAGACACGATTTGAAGTAGCCTTGGGACCCATTTTTGAGTCAAAAACAAACATGCCACCCGTGCTCCCTGATTGCTCGTCCGAACCGCTGGGTAGTCGCATGCGGGAAATGGGGGGCGACGTGCGTTGTGAAATGCCCGATGCCTCTCCCGGCTGAGGACCAACAAAGACGCAGGAGTCTGCCGTCTTTGATCGGATACATTGTCCGCATGGAAGGGATCGATCGCACTTTAGCTTGCGTCGTCGACATTCGGTACAGGATAGTGGGGGTCGACGCCGCCTCTGAATGACCCTGCCCGAGTCGGTGGCCTCATCTTGAGGCATGGAATCTTGATAATCGTCCATTGTGGTAATTTTCGTGTTTGAAAAGAGAGCCTCGTCTCATGAGAAGCGAAGATGCATATCTTTCGTAGATGTGTGCGTATACGTTGCTTCTCGAATCGCGTACAGCCTTGCTGACGCAATCTCGCAGTAATGTCCTTTTTGGGAGTCTCGCGGTCGGTCTTGCGTAGCGATGCAAATTTGAAGAATATCAACGACTCAACGACAGCATTTGAAGACAGAAATTGTCTAGAATTGTGTTGAAGAGGGTGAAGGTTGGACTTTCTATGCCACGAGCGCTGGAGTTAACACGAAAAGAGAAGTTGTCCGGGCTCGGAGTTACCTCTTTCGGCATAAATGCCAAGGCCCGAAGTGGTGGATGCCTGATTGATAAGCCTTTTCGGCGCCGGTTAGTTCAACAGCCTGAGTCACACTCAAAGCCTCGTGAAAGTGGAGTGTTGAGGAAGTTTCCTGCGTTGTGGCCTTTATCTGATTTCTGTGGTCTCCTTCATTCGCTCTTTTTGAGCACGGTGTCTCTCAGAAAGTGGGTAAGAGGCTTGGTGGCATCAGCGGGCTCTCCGCGGGTACCCCGCGCTCGGTGAGAACAAGAGACCCAGAACAATCGATCATGATGCTCTTCGACTTAAGGAAAAGTTGAAAGACGCTTCTAAACCTTTATAGTCATAAAGTCAAGCTTTATGATTCCGTGCCTACCATCTCCCGTATTTGCCCTGGCGTAAGGTTACGCTGCTTACGCTCTGGCGGCCGTACAGCTCTGTAGCCTGAGGCTGCCATATTAGATAGCATCTCACTAGGCGGCTAAGACTGTTATCTATAGACAAGCTATCACCACTTTTGGAAGATTAACAGTCTATACAAAAGACCATTGACTTTTTGTACACTATATTATTAGAATTTTGAGGACTCGTATTGGCATAAGCTAATGCTTTCCCCGCCATGCACGTGTTAGGCACCGAGTGGAGAGCATTTCCAGCCACCACCAGTCAGCATTACGATTCTTTGCCGGTCTGTACATAAACGCTTCAACAAGCACATATTTAGTATCGAAGGCAAATCTTGCTCTTCATTTTGCCAATGTCACCAAGCTTGCCTTTTAGCAAGGAGACCTTCAGTTCCAACAATGAGCTCGACCCCACATCGCGTCTTTTACCAGCCTCCTCCTCTACATCTCAATATCTACTCATTCGTCCCACAGAGGACATCCAAAGATTTTTGAAGAAAGATCTCTGCTTGGAAAGACTCAATCATATCCATCAATACCTATGGCTGGCTGGCCAGCCCATGCCTCCCAAACCCCTGAATTATCAGCTCTCTACATCCCGTGAGATTGTCGTCGACCAACGAATTGACATGCACCTAGTCTGGGAACACCCTCAGCGCCTTCATATCAAACCTCTTCCACGGTATCTTCTAGACTCCGACTTTTGGGTCACAAACTTGATTACCTGTAAAGAGCCATGCTGTATACACGCACAAACCAATCATGTTGCACGAGACCCAGCCACAAAATGTACAAAGGACATCCACAAGTGTGCCCTTGGATTTCTCTACTCCTACATTGCTCTAGTCCGGTTTGAATGCGATCTCACCATCGCTCATAACCACCATCTACTTCCAAAGGATGTGACCTGGGAGAACTGGCTCCGGCTCGTCCACCAACTCCTCGATAATGGAACGACCAATCCAGGTGCCATCAACCCCAGATATCTCTACGGTGAATTGAGATTGTCACAACTCAACAAAATTTATGTTTTTCGGCATGGAAGTTTCTTACAAGGCTATCAATTTACCTATCAAACATATGGGGAGTTATTCCGTGATTACCTGGGGCCACTAACGGCGGCAACGATCTACATTGCGCTGGTGTTGACTGCGATGCAAGTTGGACTGGCAACTAGCCATCTGGGAGAGAATGCATCTTTTCAGAGTGCGTCGTGGGGCTTCACTGTTTTCGCAATACTGGGGCCGTTGATCGTGGTTCTGTTGGTGGGCATTGTTGGCATATTTCAGTTCTGCACTAATCTTGTCGTTACCAAGAGGTTCGCACAAAGGCAGTTTGCACTACATGAAGATCAGAGAACCCAGAACCAAGTACCTTGATAATTCTGTTATCAGTGCTTTGACCGAGGTAGATAGTACTATCCAGCGCATCCCTTTGGGGACGCGGTGTTTTCTTTCACCTATACATATCCTGCAGGCATCTGACTAAGGTTATAAACCAGAGAATGGTAAAGAGATTAATACATTCTGATTTCTAACATCCGACTTCTAACAAGAGAGCCTCCACGTTGTCTCTGAAAATATGTCGAAATTCTCATACACCAACCTTCATGTCTTTTCGATCCCGAATCATGAAGGACTCATATTTCCACGAGACTCTCGAACTCTGACACATGCCACAGGTGACCCGCTCAGTAGATAAACGGCCCCGGATACATATTGTTGAGAGACGAGTCAAACTCCCGAGAGACATCAATGAAAATTCGCTCGTTTTCGTCGATCGGGATGACCACACGCTGTACATGGGCCCTATTCGCGGGGGCAGAGTTGTCGTCAAGAACACGAGGGTCAATAGTACCGTTGGGCATGGGCATGGGCATAGGGCCCAGGATGATCGTCGAGGCCTCGGAATATCCGGGGCTGGGCTGGCCAGCTTCCCATGGACTAGCAGCCCCCTGGGCTCCTGGGCTGAGTTGTGGATACGGTAGACCGACAGGCATCTGAGGTTCGAGGCTAGGTGGAGGATACCATGGGACTTCGCCTGCCTGCGCTCCCGCATCGAAGTTCAAGGGCTGGGTACGAGTCGGCGTGGCCGGTTCGGGCTGACGTACCTGGCCGCCCTGTCCACTCGGTGGCAGAAAGTCGTCAGGCGCACAATCCATTCCAGACACCCGTCGCAGAGTTCTGTTGGGGGTGGGAGTCGACATGGGTTGCGGGTCGCTCATCTTAACTGGGGTCGAGAACGGGGCTTTCGGAACAGTGTTTGGGGAGATAGCAGAGCCAGGAGTAGTCGTCGATTCGATTTGCTGACCCCCGACTGGAGTCCACACGGGATCCCTGGGAATATTGAACGGCGAGACAAGAGAGCCAGGAGTTGGGGCTTCCTCGTTGTGCTGTCGAGCAGCTTGGGGGACATAGGAGGCGTTGCTCAAATCCGAGGTACAAGCAATCTGCGTATCATGCAGAAGTCTCTGGAGCAGGTCCACGGCTCGGGAAGCTAGCAGGAAGCGCTCTTGGGCGTACTCGAGACTCTGGGGGTTCCATCGAGTATTGATCACGTATTTGTTGTCCATCTCCCACCGAAAGATGCCTTCCAGACGGTTCAAGAATGACTCTCGGCGTGGGACATCGTCCATGCCATTGCGGTTGAAGGTCGGTACCGTGTAGTTGCCTTGCTCCAAGCGTTCCTGTTGGATTTGACGCAGGGAGCGGCGGTAAGGCTCAGCTCGCATGATATCGTAAGTGGGCCAGTTCCATTCCTCGTCCAGCTGGTGCTTCTGGGCAAGATACTTGAATGCAGCACGCTCGAACTCCTCCAAGTTCATCACCCGGAACTCGGAGAACAGGTCGGTATTGCGGTTCCCACGGCAGTTCCGCGTAGTAAAGACAACTCCCGGGCATACCTCACTCATCGGCTCGCCCATGTAGTTCAGCTCGCGGGCTTCCCATTTAGGATTACCCAACTCGTCAAAGGTGAAGAACACCAGGCGGCGGTGACGGAGGATGACTTTGCCAGTTGCACGAGATGGTGCAAGTTCGGAGTCGGGGATGAATGTTCCCACCGGGATGCCACACTCGAGGTGGTCAGCGAGGGGAGAATCAAAGACCTCATCGGCCACATCTTGAAAAGACAGCCGAGTGGTCATGGTGGAGGCTTGTTAGGATGAGGGGTCGTTGAAAGGAGGAGGTAATGAGACAAAAGAGGATCGATGTGAGGTGTAGGAAGTTGTAGAATGGGCAGACACGCTACCAAGAGTGAAATAACGGATGCATGTTAAAGAAGGAGATGTCTGTTCAAGCCGCAATGGATGAGGCTGAGGTGGTTAGTGAGGCTTTAAACCCCACGTCAAACAAATAAAGCGCCAAAGACGATTGACTGGGGTACAGATTTTGTTCAACTTCAAATATCAAACGTACAGATTAACGATCTTGCCATGTGAGATTTTGAGTAAGACTTTCACAGTTAATACATCTGGCGATATAGAGAATATGCACATTTGAAATCGTAATCTATGTTTGAGATATTGTAAGATTTAATGGCCACCGAAGTCAAATGAAACAATCATCTCGTTTATTTTGCCTCCCTTGTTAGTATTCTAGCTGCAACAAGCGGGCTCCCTGCTAAGATCTGTGAAAAGTCGTGGGCATCTAGGCAGGCCTGGCGAGAATTGAGGAAGCTGGGCTCGACGCGGGCAAATATTTCATGCTTGTACGCATCGAGTGAGTTAGATAGTGTGTCAGAATCGAAGGATCTGTTTTTGTTAGAAATGCCGTTTTATACTTTTGATTCTGGCAAGCCTTCTTACTTAGGGTCTTTCATATCCACCTGATTTATCAGGTCCTGGACGTCGACGATGGCGTTGTTGGCTCCCTCGCCTCTAACTGTGATCTTTATTAGTGAAGTTCTGACTTTGAGAGTTGTATATGTCTTGTCAAACTTACACATGGTCATGGTATGCGCGGAATCCCCCATTAATACTGCGCGAGGGTGAATATGAGTGCGACTGGGGCTAAAGATCCAGTCTTCAATACGAATCGAGCGTGCTTCAGTGTCCTCTGGCAGCTTTTCAACCAAAGACCGGAATGGTTCAGCCCAGTTGTCGGTAAGTGATTTCATGAGGGCGATACGATCAGCATTATCCTTCGGCACGGCAATATCTTTCTCATCGGCCCATGACACAATTATTTGGACATGGTACCGGTCCTTGCTGCTTTCATCGAAGTTGTTAGGAGTATCGAGGACTACAACGTTGTTAGCGCTGCAGCTTTCACGTGTACTATCCACGACAACATACAGCTAAAGAAGAGAAACACATTGGTGTCGGGATGCGACCCTTGGAAGATGTACGGGTCGATAGACTGTGCTCCACTCATATCCTCGGTCGTATACAGAGTTGACGCTCCGAGAAGCTGCACCGGGAGAGAATTCATTTGACACCCATCTGGATACAAGATCTGGCGAGCGCGAGATCGCGCTCCGTCAGAAGCAACGAGCAGGCGGCCGGTATAGGACGAGCCATCCTCAAAGTGAGCCGTGATACTGTCCTCGGACGACTCAATGTTCTGCAGTACCTTGTTCCACTGTTATTGACGTCAGTATGTTTGCTCTCTACATATTTATCAGGTTATCCACCGGGCGAAACGGTACCTTGACGTCGATTCCGGACGTAAGAAGCTCTCGCAGTCGACCTCGATTTACACGAATGCGCTCCTCTGCAGGAACACTATAAAGCGCCTCTCCAGTTTTAAGGTTGAAAAACTGGAAGCTCCCCACATCCCCGCGTGCAGAGGCCTTCTTGTTGACGAAAGCCTCCGGGAACCGCTCCACCACATGCTGTGGGAGCAGCGCACGCAGGGCAGGCAATGCCCAATGCAGAGTGAGGCCCCATCCTCCTGTGCGGGCATCCAAAGCGGAGTCGCGATCGAAGACCTCGAACCGAACTCCTTGACTTTGAAGGTACTGAGCCAAAACGAGGCCGCTGATGCCAGCGCCGACGATCAGGACTGGGGTGCTAGACATAGCGGGTGCGACGAGGAAAGCTTAGGTCTTGGTCAAACTAGCTTGTGGCTTTTCCCTTGGTTTTAGTGGCTAGTACAACCTCGTATCTGGCGGCCGAGATTCGGGCGAATTCACATCAGACAAGCCTGCTCGTAGAATTTTGAGCGCAGTACTTTTGTTAGTGCTCTTCGGCCGCGTAAGGCGGGTGTTAGAAACAAGAACCCCCCTTTTCAACAAGGCTCTCGGGACGTGTCTCGGAGAAATTACTGGCTAGGTCCGGAAGGATGCAAGAAGTGGTCAGCGAAATAAATTGTAGGCGCGTGGAACATTGTATTCTTTGCTGAAGCATCCGCGCCGGAATGCAGAGTGGGTACAGAGCACTTTCGGTTCGAAGGATTCGAATACACTTGTGCGAGTCCAAAGGAACTCTGCCGCCTAATCGGGAAGATAGTGTGCCTCCCCAACGAAGCCACCTTAACCAGATTTGGTGATAGTCATATTACGACGTTATAACTGTGCATAATTAGTCGTAGACTAGTGCACACGATGTCTTAATCGAGGGCCACAGGCTACGGTCCGGCCAGAATTGGCATTCCGTCCCGTTAGTGCAAGCTTTTTGCCAAACGCCATTCTCGCCAACCGAACCGATATTTCGAAAATGAACAAGGCGATTCTGAAAATGTCCAGCATCTCGCTTCGAAGTGCTCCCAAATTGAGTTCTGATCAGAGAGTCGCAGCCAAAGACACCTCCCCCCCCCCGATCCGTGTTGCATCAACCCATCAGACTTCGCTGCCTTGAAACCCACCCGGCCCGAAGCAACTAAGATCGACCCGATCTTTTCGACGGCGCCAACTCAATTTCCTGCTCGTCCAGTCGTCGTGCATCGCATAGCGACTGCGCTGCTGGAGGATCTCCCGGACCCGCCCGAGTGGGCATACTCACCGGAGCTGCACACCCGAAACAGAGTTTACCGTGGGGCGATACCCTTGTCTAGCGTCAAGGATCCTATGTACTGTCCAGTGTGCGTGTGGTGAACGAGACGGAACTTTGTGAGGGAATTAATAATCCCTGCATGATAGAGTTTTTTTTTTTTTTTTTTTTTTTTTTTTACGGACTCGTTGGACCACTGAGCCGTTCTCGTTTTGCAATATTTTCGACGGAAAAGGATAAGGGGCGACGGGGAGTCCTCCGAAGGGTTGGTTGTTAGTATACTCCCCAAATATACTTCCCTGATACCCGTAGCATTGACTCCACTTGGTTGATATACGCCTTATTGCCTCGGGTCTTTGTCCAAATGCCACGGCGATAGGATCGGGGCAGCGAGGAGGCTAGAACCGCGCGCAATGGGAAGAATGAAATGAAAGCAGGAAAGAAAATCACAATTTAGTACATCGATTTTAACTGGTAGACGGGCATTCCGCGTTGTAGATAGCCCAACTATATACGCTTGTGTCGCTATTGCCTCGGAGTCTTCTCCGTCTCGTTTTCCAACGATACAGAGTACTCCACCGTCATCTCAATTCCACCATGCGATGGCTCACGGCTGGACAGAATCAGTTCCTCACTCGGTGAGCGCCGTGGTGGGGGCGGTCCGGACGCATTCGACTGCAGATGCGAGCGCTGGTCCTTGGACCACGTTCCCATCGCATAACTTTGTCCCTGAGTATTGTAGTACTTCCGACCACTGGTCGACTGGAAGTCACGCACAAATCCTCGAAGAAGTGGAGCAAGATAGGGAACACAGGTCACGATATTCTGTACGAAAAATGTTTGCGTTAGTTTGAAGCAAGGCCCAGATTAGGTTTGGCAAATGTCGGAACCACCTACTCCGATATTAAATTCAATAGTTCCCCAGAGAACCAGCATAGTAGAGTTTCCGTCGCCAAAGGCTACCCGGTGGATCTGAGTGAGTCGAAGGATGGAGCAGATCGTCGTGAACAGGCCAAGCAGAAATAGGCACACGACACCGGCTTTTTGGGCGGGTTTAATGCTTAGTCGAAGGAGCAGTGGGATTGGCAGGAAGATGATAACGACATCACAGATGATCGTGAAGATGGCAAGACCGTAGAACGTAGGCCCGACGGGGAGACAAGTCCCGACCACTTTGGTTTCCCATCCTCGTTTGACCTGTGTATTTGAGGTGCCATGTTAGTATCGAGTCCCTCGAAGTCGCAAATGTAGATTTCTCGTCCCGTACCGGTGAGCAGTCGAAGATTAGAACCAGAGCGCCCGCTATATGGCCAATTGTGCATAGCCCGATAACCGTCCATATCAGAATCCGGTAGGTGTTCATCGAGGTGCCCGAAATGAGACGCAAGTAACTGAGGCACAGAGACGCTTTGAATCCGGCGATACCAAGCTGGTAGAATGGGCGACCTGCATAGTTGAGCTATTTCCATTAGTTCCAGGCCGATGTGCAAGCATTGAGCCGAGCATGCTCACTTTGGTGTATGTAGGGAGATCAAGTTTGGGTCGTAGTAGCAACGGTAGTCCGAGTCCATATCGACTTTCTAACCGCAAAGTCAGATTCATGTTTCACAACATGTACTGAATGTTTGACTCACGAGCAATACACAATGCACTGTAAATGATACTGAAGGTCTGAGTTCGCGCCAATGTCAGTCAGTCCTGCATCACGAATGGTATATTCTCAATTTGTTGCATTTCGAAGCTGCTTACCATACTGACAACCATCACCCAATCCGCAGCACCCAATCGACTGGCCTGTGCCCGCACATACAAGCGAAGACAGACCGTGATAATCATCAAGATTGTCAAGCTCACGCAGACGCCCAGAATCAAAGGGTACTGCGACGCCGCCTCGACCTCCTCTGAGGCATTATACACCCAACCCATTGTGGCGGGGAGTTGTCAAGGTCGATTATTCTCAAAATGACCACAGCAGGCTTAAGACATTGGAAACAGATGCAAAATTCCACGTGGAAATCCCCCTCCCTGCTGCATTAATATCCTGCATAGTTTATCTAGTCAAGAGATTGTATAAATTCACCCATGTTCCACAGTAAGACAGAGTGGATATGGTAATTGCGTGGAAGGTAAAAGTCAATCGCCATGGGGCCATTCATTCCTAGGCTCGGGAGACAATAGCGTTTTCGGGCAATGGCTCATCCATTGGGCCCGTCTGCCTGGTCCGCAGGATCGATGTAAACAACCAATAAACTACTGTAGATGAGACAGAGGTACTCACAAAGTTCTCCGAGCCCCCTTCTCCCCCTTGCGCCAAGCGAGATTTGTCAGTGTAACCATCCCTGGCTGGCCATTCTTACTTTCCGATCAGACACCTCGCGAGGTCGCGGCAGTCCCCGATTCTGAGGCGTCCGGCCAGCTCCTAGAGATGAACCTGCTTGATTCTGCCTCGCTGTGACGAATCGGAACTTGGGATCGATATGGCAGCGACCTACGTAAACATAATTACTGCATCTACCGTACCGTCGAATCCTACTATCTTGCTACTCCCCCACTCGAACTAGAACCAACGAGCGATGTGACTCCATTCGCGGAAGGATTCCATCTGGGCCCTTCTTATCTGCCAGTAAGTAGAGCTCATTATTCATTAATATAATTCGTGGTGCGTCCTTCTTCACAGCTAATTCGTTGATTGGGTGGGTTTGTTGCACGTTAAATGCACATTGCAGCCACACTATTTCCACCCCGCCCCCAACTCCGGCTCTGCTTCTCCTTCTATCTTAGCTTTAGTGTGTTTGTAAATTCAATATTTATTTTCTTTAAACTTTGAAATCGTCGTCTCGTTTCGATTCTGTTTCTTGTGAATCTGGTTGGGGTATTTCTTGTTCTCACTTTTCCCCTCTTGTTCCTTTGTTTATTCTCCCTATCAGAGCTTACTGTCCTGTCGAGATGGGTGAGAAACATCCCGAAGCTGGGCCCCATGTGGTGAGCGCCGATCGACATGACGAGGCGGTTGTATATCTCGAGGGCCATGGTGATGTGCACCCCAACGTGGATCTGGTGGCTCTGCGCCGCAAGATCGATCGGCGGTTGCTGCCCTACATGTTTTGCTGCTATGTGTTGCAATTCCTGGACAAGGTCATGCTGAACGTAAGTGTTGTGCACCTGCTCCATTCCTTACCCAATGGTATTGTCATGATCCAGAGAATAGTTTTTGACAGGGGACCCTTGCCCATTTTCATATTATAGTATGCTGCGGTGATGGGAATCAAGAAAGACCTCAAGCTCGTTGGCAATGAGTTCTCCAATACGGCAACATGGTTCTTCATAGCCTACCTGATCGCTGAAGTTCCCAACGGTACGTGTCACCATGCCCCTTTCTCTAGCAAGGAATGCATATACCTGCACCTGCGACGACCACCAGAAACTGACCCTGCTTATAGTCTACTGTCTCCAGAAAGTGCCCGCTGCTAAGTGGCTTGGAGGAAACGTTTTCCTCTGGGGTGTCGCAGCGGCCGCTTCTGCTGGCGCCAGTGACTATCGCAGTTTGCTGGTTGCAAGAATCTTCCTCGGTATCTTCGAAGCAACCGTCGGCCCTTCATTGATGCTGCTGAGTAGTCAGTATTATACACGCAGTGAGCAAGCTCCTCGTTTCACATTCTGGTACATGGGTCTGGGTGTTGCCCAGATCTTGGGTGGAATTATCTCGTTCGCGTTCCAGCATGTTCATCATGCTTCTCTGGAGGGATGGCGCATCATGTTCCTCGTCCTGGGACTGGTCACTGCCGTCATTGGCACGTTGACCTTCTTCTTCATCCCGGACACCCCCATCAAGGCGAAATGGCTGTCGGAGGACGAAAAGGTCGCTCTCCTGCAGCACGTCGGCGAGAACCAAACTGGCGTATGGAGCACCACTTTGAACCTGAAGCAGATTAAGGATGCCGTGTTCGATGTCCAGCTCTGGCTTTTGACCTTGACAACCGTCCTGGTATGCACTTTGTTCTCTGTCAATTCTACAAGAACTGAGGCTAATTTCTCTCCAGATCTCCGTATCAAGCGGTGTCGTAACTACCTACTCCTCAACCTTGATTTCTGGGTTCGGCTTCTCAGGTCCTATCTCCGCCCTCCTCAATACCCCTTCCGGCATCGTGAGCATCTTCTTTACTCTCCTCGTCGGCTTTGGTATTCGTAAAACCTCCCACCGCTGGGCCTGGAACGTCCTCTGCACGATTCCCGGTATCATCGGTGGCGGTCTGCTCTCTTTCCTACCAAAGAGCAACAAGGCCGGCGTGTTGATTGGAATTTATCTTGTCAACGCAATCGTCGCCACTCTTCCCATCCTTTATCAATGGACGATGGCCAACACTGCAGGCCACACTAAGCGTGCTTTTGCCAGTGCTCTCGTCGCCGGGTCCTTTTCCATTGGCAACATCATCGGTCCTCAAACATTCCAGGCGCGTGATGCTCCAGAGTACAGACCCGCTAAAATCGCGGTTCTCGCAACCCAAGCCGCCGCTGCTGTAGTGTCAGTTGTTCTCTTCTTATACTATTTGTGGCAGAACCGTCGCCGGGATCAGACCAAGGGCCCCGTGAACGAGGCTATGGTGGATGAGACCAAGTGGGCTGGCCTCACGGATCGCGAGAATCCTTACTTCCGTTATGCGTACTAAATATGTCGCGGGAAATGGACTGCCAAGTTTGGCCGTCGTGCGTTGATATCGGGGTCGATGTGAAACACTAACGATGTAACTTTTCTGTTGCCACCATAGTTCTAGTCCAAAAGGTATATAATTGGGAACGCCAGTTTCTGCTCACATAATGACGCAAGGAAGAATTCCCAATAAACTGGAAGTCGTGACATTTATACATGACTAGTACTCGTTATGTACAACAAATTCAATTGCTGAGCTATTCATCTCGATCGCCAGAATGGCTTCATGACAGATCGAACATACACTAGCAAATGAACCATCAAATAATTGGCGATCGTGAAAGCGAGAAAAATGCCAAAGTACGGCCAGAGCTTGGAATCATCCAGCCCAATGCCGGATAGGTAGTCATCACCCCATCTGTACGGACAGTATCCACAAGTGCCGATGCTGCTCTCATTGGACAAGTATCCTACACCTAGTGCTGAAAGCCATGGACCGGCGTATTCACCGCAAGTCATGTTCGGTGGACTCTCAAAGAGAGTCAATTCGCTGTCAGTGCAGATCACAGGCGCGCCACCAAGGACAGCTGTTAGAACACCGCCGATCCAGTATGTGAATGGCGTAGCGTAGTACATGGTGTACTTCCAGAAAGCGGGCATCTGGTCATGGTGACGAAGAATGCCGTTGAAAAGCTCGCACATGATGATGAAGAATGGCATCAGGGTCGCGGCGATCATGGAGTCAGAGCTACATTCATTGTTAGTTTATAGTATTCTGAGGAATCAAGCTCGGAAAACCTCACCTCAAAGCAGCAATCCACTGTCCCCATGACGTGGCGAATAGGAAAAACATGAAGAACATCAGGAAACTATACCCAGCCGCGAAGCCCAGCGGTAATCCAACCATGAAGTAATATAACACATAAAAGATAACTCCGCCAACGATGGTATACGGGATCTCAGAAATGATCTGCGCAGTGCTGAAAGCAATCCAATTGTACACTCCACTGGGCCCTTCTCTTGCCAACCAGATATCGCGATTTATGATAAATCTCATGGAGATCGCGTTGATGAACTCGGGCACAAGCATTAGGACCAGGAAGCAAGAAAAAGCCTTGGATTGTAGGTCAGTTGCGCTGTTCCCAATTTGGAGATAGGTCAGCCCGTTGATAAGAGCATGCAAGAATGATGAATAAAGGCGTGAGTATGGGTACTCGGCCGTCCTCCAAAATTGACGACAAGTCCGCTGGGTTAGAAGGACCATCTGCTGGTATAGTGGCGGCGGACGCGGAGCGGCCAGGCCTTCATGGCTCTTGTCAGTGCGGATTCTGGCGATTTCCTTCTTGACATCTTCGGCCTCCTGTGAGTTCCGCCAGATCGACGCCCAGTCGACCTTGTCTCCAGAGGTCTTCATACCACCAACGACCACTTCGATGAGGAAGTCTGCGGCATTGGTGACATATTGCGGAACGTGGCCCATTCTTTTGAAGTAATCGAAAATCACTGCTCCAGATTCACCGACTGGTCCGAAGTAATAAGTTTTGCCCCCGGGGCTCAAGGCTAGAACACGGTCGAACTCTTCGAACTGTTGCTGATTTGCCTGATGAATTGTGCATAGCACAGCTAGCCCCTGGTCTGCTAGTCGCCGAAGCAAAGCCACGGTGCTAGTCGCACCCTGGCTATCCAGTCCACTAGTTGGTTCATCCAAGAAGAGCAGCAGCTTGGGTCGAGCGCAGAGTTCAACTCCAATTGTGACACGCTTCTTCTTTTCGATGTCCAAAGATCCGATGATCGCATTCTGCAGGTCAATGAGACCCAGTGTGTGCAGCACGGTTTCCACGTAGGCCAGCTTTTCTTCTTTTGAAATATCATGGCTTTGTCGGAGCAGGGCTGAGAATTCGAATGCTTCGCGGATGGTGCTACTTTCGTCGTGGATGTCCATTTGCTGGCAGTATCCAATTTGCCTGTTGAAGGAATCATCGATGGGCTGGCCATCGACATACAGAGACCCTGTAAGTACTCCTGCGCTTTGCCGTTGGGTGAGTGCAGTCAGTACTAAATAGCGCGTGTTAGCAGCCTTTCCTTAGGATACAACCATCGCATAGACTTACGCGTCGATTTGCCGGCTCCAGATGCACCAACAAGCGCTGTAAGAGACCCAGGTTTGCAATATCCACAGATTCCGTCCAGTAATTTCCGGGTCTCCTTTCCGATCTGCACGTTCAGCTCCAAGTCGGCCCATGTGAATGTGGATTCTGTCGCTGCCAAAGACTGCAGGTGAGCATTCTCCGCAAATCCCATTGGGGCTGCGTGTGGGTCTATTGAAACGGGTCTTTTCTCTTCATCATTGCGAATGACCTTGTTTCGCTTGAACCAGCTTCGGGTAGGTTTGTATTGGATTGGGCCTGTACCGTCCAGCTGCCATTCCATAACCTCACTTAGCCAGCAAGTAAGGCCTATGAAGGCGACCGTAAACAAACAGAGTATGCCTAACATTCCTTCAATCAGTTTCCTACCAAATGTTTGACCCTATTGTCACAGAGAGACGTACCGAAATTGCGCCAGACATGGCTATAGTAAAATCCAAATTGCGCCGCTAGGTAATCGTCACCATTTACCACAATGCTACCGATCTTGCTTCCCGCATATGCACAAGACTGGTATGCAACTTCGGTGTAGTTTGAGCCGGACGGGACAATTGAAGATGCAGCACAGGTGAAGTTCATATTATGAAACTCAGCAGCCATCACTGATTCATAAGTGTATAGCGCAGGGGTCGTATACTTTTCAGAACGTTAGAACAATTTCCATGCATGTCGGTCAGTCCAAACTTACGGCTAACCATCCAACCCACGGAACATCCTGAATCATTTTGTCCACCGACAGGACATATCCGCCAAAAACAATGCAAAAGAGCACAGATACGCCGCAATATCGCAATGCGACCTCAAAATTTCCGGACATGGCAGCGAAGACGCGGAATTGAGATGTCAGGCAAACTGTGCATGTATAGATGAAAAGGAAGTCGATGAAAAATGGGCCAGCCTGGGTGAGGTATATCAGCACGCTTGCATAAAATCGTTTTCCGAACTAACGACTTACCTCAGAGCGTAGTCCAGAAAGAAAATACAACACGATCAGGTACAGAAATGTCAGGATGAATGTCACCAACATATCTTGCATAACTCGAGCGAGACAGACTGCACTGGGTCGCACAAATGCAAACTTCTTCTGGCGGCTGAGAATATCACGACCCTGCATGGCATCTTCCAACTCTGACATCTGCAGCCATGCGAGTAGAATGGAGGAGTAGAAAAGGACACCGCCTCGCGAATACATCCCATCAGTAGTCTGTGGCTGATTGTAAAACATTGAGCCGACCAAGAGGCCGTACACCACCGCGGAAATAAGTTTGATGTATAAGGGACCCATATGGCCTTTCAACTGCCACATTTGACGCTGAGAGCAAAGAACAATCTGACGGAACAAGGAGATGGTATAGGGAGACTTGGACGATACGAAGCGGGATTTATCGCTTTGCATAGTCCGCTTGAACTCTTCCACGCTACCGCACTCGGAGTCGGTCGGATATGTCGAGTTACCCTTGCCTCCAAATCGCTTATCTTCGTACTGCTCCACCGAGCCTTCAACGGCCTTGAAGGCCTGGCTTTGTCGAAATGCAGCTTCCAGCTCGATAGGTCCTTTGGGGGCCCGGTTCTCCCAACCAGGTCGGAACTTCCGTCGCTCCGGGACTGTGATACTAGTCAAAAAGTCGGATGTAGTCTGCATATCGGCACACTCGTATCCTAGATCTTGAAAGTAACGCTTGGCCTCTTTGGCCAGACCTTGGAAGAGCATGCGGCCCTCGTCGATCAGAAGAACCTTATCCATCAACTCATAGATGGCATCCGATGCCTGATATAGTGTAAGCAAAGTCGCCTTTCCACAGGTATCAGTCATAATTCGTAAACTGCGCGCATAATCCAGAGCAGACGAAGCGTCGAGGCCACGGGTCGAGTTATCCCAGCAAGTCACGGACGAATCGGTTGCCAGAGATTCAATGATGGAGATTCGTTTGCGTTCACCGCCAGAGACACCTCTGATATACTCATTGCCCACGAGCGTGTTCATTGTGTGGGTCATGCCAAAAACTCGTCCGTAGACCTCCAGGTATTTTGGGATCCGATCCTGATAGCGTTTGGGAGTCTTGCTTTGCAGTGCGAACTCGAGTGTTTGCCGGACATTGAGTGTGGGAAAGTGCACGTCATCTTCTGGGACGTAGGCGACTGCGCTGCGATAATGCTTTCTGACTTCATCGGGACACAGGCCTGAATAGTCGATCGAGCCCGTCACGCCTAAGAAAGAGGAATGATGGCCCGCAATGGTGCGAAGAAATGTCGAACATCCAGCCCCTGGACGGCCCAAAACGCTGGCAGAGTTTAGCGTTGCTCTGATCCAATTTTGAATAGAGCTTCGACTTACAGCATCATCTCTCCATTTCGAACGACCCCGGAAAAATCTCGGATAAGCGGGCGACCCTTGTGCGGGTCTTTGGTCGATAGCCATGGCTGGACAGTCCATTCATAGATATCTCTGAAGGTCAATGTGCGCCAGAGGGCCGTTCCCAACGTCTTCACATCAGCATGGCCATCACCTTCGCCCCAAGTTGAGACAGACTGGAAGCACACGCCTACGTTGGAGCGCTTCTTGCCCCCTTGGACTTCTTGCTCAAGAAACCTGTCAAAAGACGAGTGGGGCTCTGAATACTCTTGGATAGTCAAAGTCCGGTGAATATCTGCAATGGCATCCTCGTCCTCGTGACACACATGCACCCGGGGACCATTGTCTCCAGATGATGGCACTTCTTGCCCGGGGGCAAATGAGGAACTATGGGGGTGAGAGTGAAGAGGAGCGGGCATATTTCAGCCTAGAATGATCGATCTTAGAAAATTCCGATAAGCGTAGCGTACAGCATCCTTTTGCTCTACGAGGAATTGATGAAAGTAGCGGCCACCGGATAAACCCGGTTTTATAGAAGGCCAACAGCCCAGATTTATCCAGATCTCAGAAAGGAAGCCAAGGTGTACGCATGATGACTCTTTAAAAGATTGGGCCAATCTAGTAATAGAAACAAGCAGGGCTGCAGAATTTGAATGACCCAGTGGACCCATAAAGATGAACGATGAGTATCCCATCGCCCTCGGGGAAGAAATTGTAGCCAATGAGCGGCACGGCTTAGTGGGAGCCACGAGGGCCACACCTTAAGACCCATGCGGCTGCGATTGTTTCCCCAAGTCGGGAAATGGTCTCTAATTTTGCACGAGGACTCTGAAGCACAGACAAGCTGCGTAATCAAGATGGGCGCGTCCCGCGGGCACCGCGGCGTGAGATTTGCAGAATCGGGAAGCCAAGAGGAGAAGATCCACTGGCGAGCCAAACTTCCGGTCCAGATAAGCGGGGCCGGATCCGAGCTCCTGGACCTTGGCTCGGTGACAGGTCCGGCTGTGTTATCAAGATGAGGACCATATCGTGGGTGGCAAGTAGCGGCCAGTGCGGCGGCTAGCTCGTCAAGCCCATTTCAAGGAGAAAGGCCATGATGCCATAGGCCCGGTTTACAGAGCCGGATATTGTGGTGATTGATAACAGGCAAAAATGCATCGGAAAATCTGCTTGGTGAAATATCGATCTGTAAGCTCATTCCATATTGTGCATCAAAGCTGAACTCAAGATATTTGGAAGCCAGAGTTGAGTTGCGACATGTAGTTCTAATCGCGACATGATCGGAGAATTAATGAGGAAAGGAAAAGCAAAGTGACTAACAGCCGCAATCCTTGCTGATCTTCGTGGCCTCAGGCAGATATACATGATCCCATGCAAACAAGTAGTTACTAAATCCAGGGAATCGACACAACCATTGTATAAAGCATACTTCAAATTGTGACATCATTATTTCTCTCAAGAGGGGAATGTCGCCTGTTGTCAGGAAGCATTCCTCCAGTCTACAACTACCATAATCTGCTTTTCCCGCGGAAAACACGCAAATATGTTTCGGGTAAGTAGGTCTCTCGCTAGAGCACAAATCACAACGGTTTAGAAAAATTGAGGTGTAGTCACCTATCCGGATCTGCAATCACCAATGACTTAGCAGATAATCCAGCTTTGTCTTTTCCCGCGCAGTACAGGGTTACTTACTGCTGACCAGCACCCTCAAAGCACAAGTGATTATTGATCATGAGATTAGGACATGTCAATTCATTTCATAAGTTCAAAAAAGCAATACGCTTCAAACTGCTCAAAGAGTGTGGTCTCTAGGTTGGTCTCAGAATATCTAAGTTATTAGCAACCGCATACTTGTTCATAATCTCCCACAGGTCCGAGATGTGTTCTCCCACAGTTTCAGGCAGAATTTCATTTCTGAGTGCTGCAGCAGTCAGCTTCACTTATTTCAAGCTACTAACACCAATAAAGACTCCATCACCAAGTCCTGCATCGAGCGCCGAATGGAACGCCATCCATCGATATGCAAGCGCAGCCTTTGGAATACTCGCCGCCTGGAATAACTTGTTCCACTAGTCCAAGGCACCAAAGAAAGCGGGGTTTCCGTATAAAGTGCGATCAAATGAGCCCACCTTTGATTGGGTCTCCTAAGGGCCCCCTACTTTGGTACCGGAAGTCAACTGGGCGGTGGTTTGGTAACGGAGCCTACTGCGATGGAGCTGTAGGTATAGAATGCGATGTTATTCACAATTTCCACTACAGAAACCTACTAAGGTTATTTCCCCCGCCCCGTAGCTATAAAATTAAGGGAACATCGCTGATTTTCCTCTTCCACCTAGTATTATTCCTTCTTACCTACCCCTATCCTAATTATATCTGACGAGTGTGAAAAGACTAGCCCCCTATAGAGCGACTTAGCTGTTGAATAGTACTTTATTATAAGATCCTCTTATCACCTTATTATTCCTTTACTTTACACTTAGGTTATTAAAACCTTAACTCGGCTATATAGATAAACTAGGACCACTCTTCCGCTGAAACTCTAGACCAGCAGCGGAAAAGACTTATAGCTAAATTTCTAGACCTAAAGCTCATCCCCGCTAAGTAGGTAACAAACTATAAAGGGGGCCCCTTAATCATTCCCCCGCGGGAGCCTAGCACGGAAGAAATTAAGACGATCCTTTGACCTTATCGTTGTGAGAAACTCCGGTGGCACGCCGATAATATCTACACCGGTAAACTATATCCTATGCTTCTACGCACGCACTACAGCAGTGACGAGGACGAGAAGAAAAGACACGACGAGATGATGGAGAAATGGACAAACGAGGAGATATTTGGCGACGAGGCTTAGTGGGCCGTTCTCGACGATGCAGATATTTTCAATTTTGGGTCTGATTGGCGCGGTATCTATGACATTTTACCAGAGGTCTCTTATCCTATTGAATTTAGGTATATTACAAAGGATGATTACCGGTATTTTATACGGTACATCGAACCATGTGAATATGGTGAGATACGTCCGTTTTTCAAAAGAGATCTTACGGCTCGGCAGCAAAGCGATCCTCAAGCGTGGCGCGACGACCGGGATTCAGTGATCGAGCCGGTGGGCATGACGATGCAGAGCAGCGCTACAACCACATACATCATTATCGCGGATGAAGAAGCCTTTAAAAACGGGCGTCCGCGAGTTCTTTATCTCGACGGACTTCGAAGAATCGTTCGCGAGGGTCGTATTGACCCTGAAAGAGATGATATCGGCAGTATCATCGGTTCATGGATGGAGATGAGAGACTTGCTGGAGTATGCGACGCTTGATGAGAAGTATCGAGTTAATGGGGAAATTGGAAAGGAATTGTATCAATTGACCGAAGAGGATCTCGCAGACCTATAAGCGGGCGCGAGTAAGTTGTGAACATGGCGTTATAGACCTCTCTTCTGGCGATGGTGTTTCCATGCATAGGTTGTTTGGAAATGCAATTTCAGAATATCAGAAACCTCTCACCATCTTTATTTCTCACAGTCGAATACTATGTTACACCGCCATGCGACAGCTCAACCTGCCCTGTTTCACATTTGCTCATAGATTTTTTCTTTTTTCAATCCAGCGAACACATATTCCTGGAGATTCCAGTAGTTTTCCATTCGCTACCATAATTAGCGCTTCTAATATCAGATCACCGGATTGCTAAAAGTGTAATTAGGCACCGACAATGTGTCGGAGCAAGCTGACACAATATAGGCTAGTAATGTCAGTGGGTGAATGGGGTCGACGGTAGGCTCAAGCAGAACCAATCCTGGATGCAATGGCTCACTGATTGGAAAAAAGAATGGAGTGTTATGAAGAAGGTTGAAATGGACCATACTAAGGTACATGGTGTCACGACACCGCAATGACAAGGTTCCCGAAGTACTATACGAAACACAAAGGAAAGCGTGTCACTGAGTATCCCCCCGGTTTGGCGGTAAATTACCGCTCCATATCTCAAGACAATATTTAATGACCAAAAACCACCGTGTCCGCCTTCGCGCCATTGTCATGTTCTTTCTGCCATTTCTTCGAGTATCCGACACCGAAACCATCGCTGAAGACTTCTCTCACGGCTTCCAGCGGCATGCCTTTGCACTCAGGGTAGAAGAAAATCACGAACAACCAGCCGACAAAGCAGATACCAGTATAGAAACCGAAGGCCCCACTAGGAGTCCAAGATTTCATCATAGAAAGAAAAGTCGACGCGATAATAATGTTGGTACTCCAGCACGTAACAGTGTTCTAAGCTTTTGGTGAGTGGGGTCAAACTAGCACAGGGGGGACATGGAAGCATACCAACATAGTTCCCGCTGCTCGGACCTCAAGGGGAATCAATTCTGTGCCAATCCATGCAATTGTGGCGACTCCGGAGGAGAAGCAAGCAACATAGCATATGATCGCAACCAGGACGACAGTGCCCGGCCATCCTACACTAGTGGTCTCCAATTCTAGAGTAGCGGTATTGACGGGGATGTATCGAAAAGCAATGGCTGCTACCATCATGCAAATGGCCATTCCCAGCACGGTAAACATCAAGATAACTCTTCGCCCCAGTCTGTCCACAAGAACCAGGTTGACGATCGAGAAAACGAAATTTGTACCTGAGACTGTGATCCCAACGGCCGTAGGGTTATTGAACCCGACGATTGAGAATAATGTTGCAGCATAATACATCAGCGTATTGAATCCCCCAAGTTGACTGATCGCCATGATCACGCATGCGGTTAGAACCGCGCGACTGGTAGAAGGCGTTGTGAAGATACGTTTGAAGGTGACCCAAAACGATTCCTTCGTCATCACTTGTGTAGCTTCATTCAGCGATAACTCGATTGACATGATCTTAGCTTGACGTTGCTCCTCTGTAGACTGAGGGTAAATTCGTAGGAGGACAGCCTTGGCCGCATCATATCTGTTATGAGAGACTAGCTGTCGAGGCGATTCAGGGCATAAGAAAAGGAGTCCAGCTAGTGCAATGGCTGGGGCAGCTCCGATTCCGACTGTAGCCCGCCATCCGTCGCCTTTCACCTGGGCAAAACCAGCACCCAGGGCGCTAGCAAGGAGCTGACCAAACGTGACACTCATGTTATTGAATGCAACCATGCGGCCACGATATTTTGCTGGTGCTAGTTCACTGACTATATATTGGTCAGTCTTCTGAAGCCTGACATAGGGAGCGGAGAGATGGCATACTGTAGAGGGGGACTATCATAGCTGCACTGCCCACTCCGAGGCCTACGACGAATCTTCCCGTCGCAAACTGACCAACTGAGTAGGCACATGTCTGAAGAACGGTTCCAATCACGAACAACAAACAGGCACCCCATATGGGTGAGCGGCGGCCGAAGCGATCAGCGGTGAGACCAGCTCCCACTGCTCCGACCAAGGCACCTCCGCTTGTCAGGGAGGTCACCATCTCTTGTTCGTTTGAACTTAGGGGATGACCGAGAGAGGAACTTATGGTGACCAGAACTGCGGAAATATAGCCTGTATCGTACCCTAAGAAGGTCTTACTTAGTAGTTGATTATACAACAGCCAAGGTTACATACCGAACAGGAGGCCACCTATTGAAACAACGATGGAGATCAGCCATGCTGTCTTGGACGCTGCTGTAGTCTCGATGCTGCTAAGCTCCGATTGATCGTTGCCCAGCCTCGAAGGTTTAACATGCTCTATTTCTTCGGCGCCATATTTAGTGAAGCCTTCCTCCGCGTCCTTTGATTCGGCAAAGCTCATTTTGTTATTGATTTCAGGCAACTATAGAGGAAGTTGCGACAGTTCAGGAAGGGCAATGAAAGTTGTTGCAGTAAACATGTGGATGTATGTTCTGCGAAACTTGAAGCGCTTTATAGATCTCATGACTTTATTGCTATAAGTTTTATTCCCGGGGTTGATACGGGGAATAGGGCGATATTTAGGAGACGATCTACGGGCGAGAATTTTGATTGGGTCATTCTACGGGTCAGGACGGGACTACATCATTCTTTCGGCTTTTGAACGGGGAATATTTCCCCTCTCAACAAGATGTTAAGGTGGTGGTAAGTCATCCCCCGCATTTCCCCGCATTTTTCCCTGCAGCGCTTCCCAGTATGTTCCAGACCGAAGGCCTTGGTTCTGCAAAACTGTGAGATTGGGGGTACTTCAGTGTAGAGAGAATATGAATGCACTATCTTATTGCTGAACTCATTGCAGATCGAAAAGCTGTCGTCGTGACATCGTTCAGTGATGCTTATCATAATTGGCGGATGACCTGTTTTGGGATTTAACAGTAGTTACAATAGTTTTTGAAATCAGTTTGACCTCATTCTCTTTAGTCTTGACTCCTGGAAGATGAACCCGAGACACGCTAATTCTGTTTGGGGTCACCGTTCGATTAATTGGGCAGAACTATGATGGTAATAGCTGTACCGGATCCCAAGAATATCATCAACTAGTTACTTTCCGCCCCATTGGTCGAATGTTCCACCCTTCGTTATACAGAGCTAAATCCTAGTATGGGAGGATATTTACTTTAGGGTAGTTCTGTTAGCACCACCCGAGAATTCTGCTCACACCACGTAGCAGCCTGAACTAAGGTGTTTCTGCCTGATTTCTGCCAAGCCCGTCACGGCTATCAATTACAATTTCAGCCACCTCCTTCCTTCTTATATACACACATCCTTTCCTCATAGGCCACCGCCGTCTCCAACTCTCTCCTTCCACTAACCAACTAGTCCGAGACCAGCAATGACCCTCAATCAACCCACGACCTGACGATGCTCCACAATGCCCTAATTCGAACCCACCACATTACCTCGCGCAAGAAAGTTGCCACCCTTAAACGCGCTGCCGATGTCCACCAATGCTACGTGCTCTTGCGCTCCGGCGGCTGCCCGGGAATCATGTACGTCGAGGGCCGAGACAAAGTGCAGGTTGAGGGGTGGGTTGGGGTGGTGCGCAAACTGCGGTATAAAGATTTTCAACTCGTCACGAGGCCTGGCTCCTTGGAACCGGAGGGTGGACAGAGCGAGGGGCAGGGGGAGGGGAAGGAAGAGTTTGATATAGGGCTGGAAGAGGTTGAGAGTGTGAAAGAGTTTGGGAATTGTATGGAGAAGCGTGGAGTGTGGAATTGGTGGAGGAAAGGAATGGGATATTCTTGATGATTTGAGTCGGGAACGGAGATATTAGGATCGGATGCATTTTGGGGATACATTGTGTTGCATTTCTAGAGTCTGGTTTGTATCTTATTCGGCCATATACCCATTCACGTCGCGGTGCACTGCCGGGCAGAACTGTTGGTACTAGGCTAGAAAGGAAGGATTGAAGGTGGTGAAGAAGGTAAGATTCAGAGAGGGAGAGGAGAAGAGATCTATCAAACTCCAGTCACATGACTGGCTAATTATCTGACTATCTCACGAACAAGAACGTGTTCTCATTGATATGAAATACGTTTCAAGAGCATTATCACCGTCATTCTTTATAATCTTCGTGGTATTCTCCGGCCACCCATTAGTGAGTTCGGCTTGGATCCACCAAGCTTTGAATATGGATCTGCCAGCCCATGAGCCTAATTGCTACCTCAATGCTCAGAATGGGATGTAGTGAGGTGCATCGAATTTAAGCCTCTCCTGGAATCTGTACAACGTGTGACCATACCCACCTTGGATCATTCTGATCCATACCCGAGGTCCTCCGGTTGCTTTGCTCGCCATGTCAACCATAACTAACAACATCGAGTCCTCCTAGCTGTCGAGTCGAGAGGAGGATGTATATGAGACTAGAATTGATCGGTTCCCAGAAGACAACTCAATACAATGTAAAGTAGAAATTCGCTGGCTCGAAAGTCACAAGTGCTGTACATCCTATACACGAATAATAAGCCCCATTTACATGCATTACCCACCACTATTAATACTTCTGCGAATCGTATACTTCACCGAGCATGATACCCATACTCCTCCCTCCCAAGTGGTATCTCCCCTCCACCAGGCAAGAGCCTCGCATCCCCACTCGACGTGGACCGCCCATCATCGACTTGCACCACAATATCCGTCTTCACCGTCACGCCCCCATCTTCCATGCCCTCCATCTCATGCCCGTACCCTTTTGACTGTCGGCTTGTCGATCGCTCTGGGTGAATGTTCCAACTCGATTGTTGACCCTCTTCATCATGCCATTGCGTCGTTGCGGTAGCTGTGGCCGTGGCTGAATCCATCCAATTGGTTTTGCTTCGGCTCTGCTGGCTTTTCAACTCTGTGTCGCGGGTGGCGTGATTATTGTTTGAGTTTGATTTGGACCAGTAGCCGAAGTGGCCTTCTCGTCGAGCGTCGACGATGGTGCGAAGGAAGAGTCGTGCGACTGGAGCACAGGAGGCGAGGAGGATGCTGTAGTTTTCGATTCTGCGAGGTTCGTTAGATTTTTAGATAAGGTATACGGTTGTGAAGGCGTGGAAGTATCGAGGCAACATACTTTACCCATAGAATGAAGGAAACGATGTTGTAGGTGAAGTCAAGTCGGTCGCCGAGGGACTTGAGTTTCTAGGGAGAAATAGGAATATTAATACGTGTACATCCTGGGCTTGACAATCACAGCTGGATGCTTACGTATGTTTTCACAATGGAGGCTGCACCCGAGAGAACCAGCGGGCCGCAGAGAGTGATGGTTTGCCAAAGACGACGAGATCGAACCGTGCTATTGATCTTCTTGAATTGTGACCAAAAAGACAGGTTCTCACGATGTAGGGTGCGAAGGAAGAATTGCCACAGCTCTACACCAGCAATAATCGCCAGAATAAAGTCGATGATTGTATTAAAACCTGCAGACAATCAGTCACGAGCTCATCGGTTATCTATATCAAGCGTCTGATTCACCTCCTTGAACAAATCCAACGGTAGTCTGGACATGAGGCGACTGGCAGACGACAGATCCATCACTCGGTAGGGGAGTCCACATATACTTGAAGTACGCAACGCGATTTGTCTATAACAACTTTAGTTAGGCCATGTAGAATCCGAATTATCTCCCAGGGACACAAACCACGTGGTAGGGATTTGGCCCACACTGTAATATAATTTGCAAGATCGTCACCATATTTGCAACGATCTGCACAATTGCACACACGAAGATCGAGGTGCGGATCTTCTTATCGCTGGCAGCGAAGCATGTTAACAGGAACCACATCATACCTGTGCGCGATACCATCGCGGCGGACACAGCGAGTGGTTGCGAGTAAAAGTCGTATTTCAGGGCGGTCATGCGCTCAGCCGCTGACAAGTAGTAGTAATGCCGACCCAAGCCCCACTGTGAACTGTTGAAGGGCATTGTTAGTGGATGATCGTGGAATATCAAAATGTTTCGCGTGCGTACTCACCTAACTTGAATCATGCTCATGTGTGCAATGTCGAGAGTATAGCCTGCGAGGAAGAATAAATCCTCGAAGCCCCATACTCGCTCCGGGGCAGTGACCTGGGGCAGCGCAAAGCGCACCCAGCTCTTTACTGCATAGCGAAATAGAAGTGTTACACCAACAACGCCGGTGAGAACCTATATTCAAAAAGTAAGTACATGCTGGTACCGATATTTCAAATATCTATATGGAGTGGCATATAGCGTACCCAGCAAGCAACAAACGTGCCCGTCCCTAAGATCTCATGTCAGTCGTGCCCATATTATCAAGATGTCTGTACAGCAGAGATGAACGCACCGATATCAACATCGCCCTCCGTCGGCCGCGGAATACTCGACATGGTGACAAGGGAAGAAGAGTGGTAGCAATGAAGTATTCACAAAGCTACAAGGAGATAGAAACCAAAAAGGAAGGGATAAGGCGATGGATCTCGATCTTCGTCAAGCTGCAGCACAAGTGGGGGAATGCAACTGAAGTACTTTCAATCACATTGGGTCTTTTCCAGTGAAGATCAAAGAGGGGCAGACTTTCCAATATCTAGAACAAGACCTTGAATCACAACCGGATTGAATGGATCTGCAGAGCGGATGTGCTTTCATAAATCAGAATGATTATCCGATCGCCCTGTCCAAGCTTGTGTGGACCAGCCGGCGGAACGGGCTCTCGGAAGGGAGGTAAAGCCCGATAAACTCTGGTGCTGACGAACGCTTGACAGGTCAAGTCACTGAAAGAAGTTGAACATGGTGTTCCTTTTGACTTTCTTGCTCTATGGTTTTGGTCGTGTCAGTGTCCGACGGTGTTGTGGCGTGCGGAGGAGGTATTATTAGGCTAGGAAGGGACCAGCTCCTAGCAAGGGATGGATTTTTACTCCGAGGGACTCAAGAAACATTGTTAAGTAATACCAATACAATAATGATCCAGGGCGTAAAGCCACTAGAAACGCGAAAGCCAACGGCTACCTACCAAGCGAAAGGCTAAAGTCCAGTGGAGGACGAGGATAGCCATCCTTCGGACGGAGTATTTACTGTGTTGGATCAAGTACGAAATAAGTTTGTCCGCACCAGTACTGGGGGCCCGGGTTGAGTGGTTCCATGAGAGTTAAAAGTCCTCTTTGCGCGATATTAATCGAGAAAGCCTTTGTGGCTTAGGAGAGGGTGCATGAAGCTTGAGCGGGTAGGAGGATGCAGCGGGTCTGAAATCTGGCCAACGACTTCATGATGATTTGTGCATATGCCTGCTAGTCTCACGAGACTGGATGTGGAATTAGAGTGATTCCTAAGTTCAGGTTCCTTCCGTTTGAGGTATGGAGTAAAAAAGTCCATAGCAAAGCCACAGCCTCGTAATTAGCGCCTTATGTAGTTGTGGTATACACATGGAGGTGTTCCGGTCGATGAGAGCCCCGTTCTGGCAACGGTTGGTCTCGACAATCAATTCATTAACGAATCATTGCTAGCAAGCAGGGATGTTTTCCAGGCCTCAATTTCGCTTGGGTCCGCCCGGAATATTTGGTTCCATTCCCATATGGCATCGGGAGATTACGTCCACGCGAAACGGAAAACATGGTGCCAGACAGAATCCTTCGAGTGGTATAACAGAGTTAGGATTTTTTTTAGTCCATCGGGCAAAGTCCTACGAGTCAGGGAATCCAGACTATGGTGTCAAATCCACATCTATTCAAATAGATTAGTGATAGGGAGGAGTGCTCTGTTCAGTCTACCAATGGTACGGAGAGAGTGCATGTAGGGTCCGCCCATTCCTTGAAGCACAGGGTTTTGACTCCCTACCAGTATCCATGTGGACTGGACTCAATTGTAAACTAAAACCCCTTCCTTGGCTTGACGACGCGTGAGCAAAAAGACCTGGCGCACAAACAGCATTCCATGACTCGCCCGCTGTAACAAAAATCGGGGCGAATGACAACCACGCAAGAGCCATGCGTCACCATGCAAGGGGTGTGACGAGGAAAAGCAAGTTGCAAAGTCAGCATCGGCTCTTGCATGCAACTGCATTCAATAGCCGGATCCGCCAACCGGGAGTGCATAGACACAAAATGGAGATAACAAACTTACAACAGTGATATCTGTCGGCAACATATCACAGACGCGATGGACTCATAGGATATGTCAGTGCATCGCGTAGAGTGATATCATATAAGGCAGCGAAAAAGGAACCGATGGGCGACGTAGTGGGTCTGAGGGACAACAACAAAAAGCAGAGCTCGGACACCAGCATTGGAAAGTCGGAACCGAACCTGGCATGATGCTAAGTGCGAGTGGAAGGATCTGCTAGTGTATTAAACCAAAGACCAATGCCAAGCAATAGTGCCCATTCTATTTGGAGCAAAGAAGAAGAATTTGCGGGTGATGAGACTTAGTGGCTTTGTGGTGGTGGATTGGCGCTAGACCGGGGGACCCCAGCATTCGCCCCCGAAAAGGGTCCCACTTGGCTTGTCTTTGGTCGGATTTTGGTGCGGTAAGGGTCGATAAAGGAGGGGAGGCTAAAAGTCAAAGTTCATGATTCCGTGTCCTTTAGAGTTGTGATTTGTAGACCCGAATGTGACAGATCAAGGGAGATCGGAGGCTGGGCCGATCAGCTGAGATGGTCATGCAGTGTCCAGGAACGCCTTGATAACTCTATCTGGTTGAAGACTGGATTTGCTGTCACAAATACTATAGCCATTGAGCAAGAGGAGATGTATCGCATTCTAATTGAGGAGATGACCATACAAAGGCAATAGGAAAGCGATCGGACTCAGGTCCGGCGATCCGCTCGAACGACTCGATAAACAACATCTCAGGGTTTGGCAGGATAAACTAGCATTATCCTGTCCTAGATTATCCACTAAGTATTACATCCTACACCAATCGCATCTCCACCAATGACTCGCCAGCTGTCTCATATCTCTCGAAACTCACCTTCAGCCCACAAACACCAGCCAACTGCCGCCACTCCGCCGAACTGCGCTCGCGCCCCCCATACAACGCAATCATACTCGAGTGCAAATTCGTATACGTCAAGTTCTTCGCATACTCAATAATCAGTAACCGTGATTCCGGGCCCATAGCTCGCGCCAGCTTCTGCACCAACGCCACGGCACCCAGGTCTGGCAGGTTGTGCAGAATGTGCTGGAGACTGTACACCCGCGCCCCCCGGATCGGCTGTTCCGCGGAGATCTTGTAGTTCCACTGCATCAGCCGCACGCCAGGGACGTCGTCAATGGCCGCGTTGAATTCTTGCACGATGAGCTGCGACGCGTGGAGTTGGGGGTAAGAAGCTTGGACTTCGAGAAGGAGTTCGCCGCGTCCGCCGCCAATGTCTACCATGGCGACCTCGTCATCACGAAGACGAGAGCTTGAACTATCAGGACTCACGCCCAACACGGCGCCTAGGTCGAAACCCACGCCTGCCACGCGGTCGGGAAAAGTCCCGAATTTGAGGAACTTGCCGACCATGAACTGATTAAAGCTGTCCATGCGACCCTGCTCCTCCATGATGGAGTACGTGTGCTGCTTGGCGAGCTTCTCTTGGCCCATCAATTTGTAGGCATACTGAAACGGCCCATCGCATTCATCAAAGGGGTAGGCAAAGTTCGTATCCTGGAGCTTCTTCATCAAAAAGGCACCAGCCATCAATCCTTCGGTGCAGCTAGTGGCAAGAAATGGGCATGGTTAGTTAATATGGTAAGACTAATGCCAAGAGCAAAAGCCTTGTTATGGACAGGGATAATGTAAGGTTACTTACAAGTGTACGGCGCCATGCTGCGCCGACGGCATGTCCACCATGTGGTGGGTGATAGCGTTGGCCACGAAACGGTCCTCGTCCACGCGTTCGACCAGCCCGAGACCAGCCATGATGTAGAGCGTGTCGGCTGCATGCCAAGAATGGAAATGAATTAGTCTTGCATTTGGGAATCCCGAAGTCGTCTAGACCCTGGTAGGATGGGCGCCACATAGACAAGGGGCGGATGGGAGTCCACTAGGATCAAGGTCGAACATACCAGCGAGAAGGAGTGCTGCCGAGCTGTTGTTAGCTGCAGTATCAGACAATTGGGAGGGAAATGAAATGCAAGGCCAGGATGTGGGAATAATAAAGAGCATTGTTTTGAAAACAAAGACTAGGAATTTCACTTACGTATGTTCGATTTATCCCCTCCATCTACCTTGGTAGCTTCGTTGACTGCATCGGCGATATCCTTTGCACTTGCTGGGCCTCCATGACGAACTAATGCCCCGAATAGATCAAAGTGCACGGCAACGGGAACAAAGCCTAATGATGCGGGCTAATCACTCATCAGTTGGGAAATACTAGATCCTAGATAATTTCCTTTACTTACAATCGTAACGGTGCCTGCCAACGCAGCCCCCGGCGGCACTGCGGGTGTGAGGCTGGCCAGACGGTTGAGTAAGGACATGGTCGACTCCCTAAAACTCTAATATGGAAGTGACGCGAGACCTGGAAATGAAATAAAAGGTCCAATAGTAGATGAAGTCGTTCGTGTAATTATCAATTGCTTGACTGGAACTTTAGGGTCCAGGGGGGTGTTTATGCCGAGACTGCACGGTGTCTTATGTAGATTGGGACAGGCTGTGGTAAAAGGCCGAGAATTGCAAATTAGAATAGAGAAATGAAATATGGCCGGTTCAAGGCCGGCGCACAATGATTTCTAGCGCGCTGCAAGAACGGCTGGAATATTCGAGTGATTGAGGGATTGGAAAAGCCAAGAATGACAGGGATGACAGTCAGAATAACGACTAGTTGACTTAGATAGGTACGAATTAAAACAGCCTACGGCAATCCTAAGACAGTGAAGTTGTTATGACCGGGTATGTCGATGAGCAGAAAAGATAGCCGAATGCCACCAATGTGACCCCGGTGGATTTAGCTATTCACAGTGTCAGTTGATATCGAAATAGTGGGGAGTGAATGGTATGATGAGTCGAGATAGAACATTCAAACCTTGCTACATATCCGGTTTCAATGTGGTCCAGCTGGCTGTAATTACCGGTTAGTTCAAACCCGGGATTCCCAAAGTCAACTCTCAGAACCGAGGTGGCAGAGAAAGAAAGGGAGAAGCAAAAATACTTAATTTAATACATCACAGGATTAGACGAATCAGACAGCCCTGATGTGCAAGGGGCCCTGCGTTGGCGCGGCTTAGCTCGAAGCCGGGAAGTTTAGTGGCCTAAAGAGGCACTCCGCAGGTAATTTAGTTTAGCCCCAGTCCCCAATTCTGATTCATGCCTTTACCATTAAAAGTTCCCAGTACATTATGAATGAAAATTAGCGCACACAATAGTACGCGTAGAGAGTAGAGTCGCAACCCCAGAGACATTGAATCTATATTGGTGCAACAAGCTCATCAGGGCAAGTTGCTTGTTGACTCGACTCATGTGCATTCAATATACTGTAGCAGCTTTACGCTCTCAAAGACAGGTGGGCACCGCCCACTGACCGATCGGTAGCCCATCCGGAGGGGAGGGGCCGTCAGTTAGTGTGCTTTCCGACTACGCGACCATGGAGAGGCCCCTTCTGGGCGGGGCGTACAGGGATATGCGCGGCATCTCGGAACCGAAAAGGTGACTTTGATGGATCGTTGGTTCTGGTGGATCCTGGAGCTAAGTCCCTAAGTGGGGGACCCTGGTCCGAACGTCGTAAAGGATTCACCATTCAGTGTACATTTTACAATGTACCAAGTACGTGGAGTAGTTGATTAGGTTTAGTGGAGAATTACTTTGGAAGTTACCAGGTATATGTTCTAGATCCGGAATATTCGAGCCACAGAGGTGGAAAGTCGCCTTTCATAGGCGAAGCACACACGGAGTGCAATGTAAGTACTCCGTGCTAACACTGCAGAGAGCCAGTGACTACCGTAATTGCCCCCTGTTTCGATAAATAATCGCTGCACCACTTGACGCCTTTTGGCTCTTCTCATAACTTACTCTCCTAGTTCCGGCCTGTATCCTGTTTCTGGCTTTCTCGTGGCGTAATGATAAATCACCCAAGGAGGAGAATTCGTTGAATGGCACTGATAGCTCCGATCCTTCCGTAGCCACTGTTCCCTACAAACCAGAAAAAAAACTTCTAGACATATGCTTTGGTCTATGTTAGCATATTCCGACTCTTGAGACGAGACCAGTCACCAACCTCTCTGCGTAACAGAAGCCACGCGAGAACCAGACCCAACCCGTCCGATCTAAACTTCGCCTGCATACAAACCATAAAACCTTTTGTCCTGCCCACTGCCGGCTTTCTCTCGCCCGATTGCTGATACTGCACTTTCATTTCATTTGCTTTTTCTTTTAGTTTTTCCCTTCCATCCCTTCTAGCTAACCCCCTTGGCTCATTCTCCCCCTTGCCGGTTGCTTTCCCACGCAAACCTGCACGACATTGTCCCTGTGCAGGGCGACTGTATATCGGGGAATTTGTGCTCATCACGGTAGATCTCGCAGATCACCATGGAGAAAACTACGCCTATTGATAACATGCGCGAGGTTGAGATCGATGGGGCGGCTAGTCCTTCGCTCTCACAGGAGACGGCTCTTCCAGATCGTGAATTGAAGAATGCCGATCCGTCGGATATGAAGAATCCGCAGAATTGGAGTCGAACTCGCAAGACTTTGCTCTTTGTGTCGCTAATGAGCAGCTCGCTGCTTGCAGATGGGTGAGTCGATTACCGATTGGAATGGCAATTCTTAAACCCCTAAACCGTGCAACCGGGGTGTTAAACGCCATATCTACGGGATGTTCGAACATTAACTGACAAGCTATCTTTCGGTAAATGCAGAGCAATGGTTTGGGGTGGCACACTCGTTACGCCGCAGGCAATGGAATGGGGTATCAGCGTCACCCACTCGGCGACGAGTATGAACTACGGCATTCTGCTACAGGGCTTTGGGGGCATGTTTGCAGTGCCACTAATTGAAGCCTATGGTCGGTAAGTACTCAGAGCAATGGAAGACGAGAAACGGTATCTGGCAGACTAGACGAGGCCATCCAGCTAATCGATCTTCACCCTCTAGATTCCCCGTCTGGATCTGGCCACAGGTCATCACAATGTTCATGGTACTAGGTGCCACACTCTCCCACGACTATTCTACTTTTACAGCCTTCCGCTCGCTGCAGGGTCTCTTCGGCACAGTCCCGCAGGTTATCGGGCTACCTATTATTCACGATATGTACAGCCCAGAGGGTATGTTATGCCCACAATTCGACCAAATCTTGAATACTGTACTAACACCCTTCCAGAGTGGCCTCGCATGATCAATATCTGGGGCACGACTTTCATGGTCGGCCCCTTCATCGGCCCCGCACTCGCTGGTTATATCTGCGCCGGTACAAACTGGGTTGACTCCTTCGGCGTGCTTACCGCTATCTATGGCCTGTCTACGATTATGGTACTACTCTTCGGTGCCGAGACTTATTATAATCCCGGTAAAGCACCAACCTCGCGTATCGGTTCATATTTTGGAATTGGAAATACGAAGCTACCCAAGGGTTCGACTCTGTGGTACTGGTGCAAGGTGATGGTGCAATATGTCTTCAAGTTCCCATTGTTGATGACGGGTATTGCGATTCTAGTGACATTCACTTGGCCCATTGGTATGTATAGTACCTTCCAAGAGAGCGGAATCTGTGTCTCGAATCGGAGCTGTTTCTCTTCCTAGTCTGGTTCTCGGTTTGCTAATGCCCGAGTTCAGGAATCACCACCACCATTGACAGCTTCCTGCACAGCCCACCATATAACTTTGACACAATCGAGGCATCATCCATGCGTTTCGCCGGTGTTATCGGTGCTCTCGGCGGTACGTCCCCTCCCTGATCCTTTCTCAGCCATGCACATATCCCGATAAGATTCTAACACGATATCTCTAGGCTGGCTCGTCGGCTTCATCTTCAACGACTGGATCTTCAAGCGCCACCACGCAAACTGGCGTACCGAATACCGTCTGCACGGTGTCTGGTTCCCCCTCGCCAGCATGGTCTGCGGTCTACTCACCTACGGTCTAACCATGAACTTTGGCAAGCACTGGATTGGTATTGCCTTTGGATGGATCATGGTGAACATCGGTATGGTGGGGACAGTGGTGTAAGTCTTCCTCCCTCGCCCAGCATTACCCTATTTCAAGAAACCTGGTTACTTCTCCCGAGAAGAAATGGAAATGGTCGTATCCTAGGAGTCATCACGCTAACACCTTTCCTCTCATAGTGCCGTCACAGCCTACGCCCTAGAGAAATACCCCGACCAATCTACCGTCGTCTCCGCGATCCTAAACATGTGGCGCACCTGCGGTGGTTTCGCCGTCGGATACTTCCAGCCTGCCTGGATTGCTCGGAACGGATTGGGTCTTGTATTCGGTATCCAGGCCATTGTCGTCTGTGTCTCGGTCATTCTGTGTATTGTGCCAGTTTTGCTCAAGGAGAGACGGAAAAGTGCGGTTACCATGGCGTAAAAACAGGGGAAGGGAGAGAATAGGCGGGGATTCATTGTAAATTTGAGGTTCGGGAATGTTTTGTTGTATATTTGGCGAGGGTGTTCCGTTGGTCAGATTTTGTGATGCGAGTTTTCTTTTCTTTGTAATTGATTGCATCTAAGATGAGAAGTATACGTTTTCACTACCAACCGTTCTGATCTGATGTCTTCTTGTAGAACCACCAAGGAGAATTGTGTGTTGGACATTCCAGTGTGGATTTCAAATGAGATAATGGAATTCGGAACACTCTTGATGTCAAACTACAATTAGGCGTGCTGTGGTACATTAGGAGTGCTGTGGTACGATAATCGTTGCGAGATCCATTCAAGGTGATGTCCAAGGCAAACACAGAGAAGATATTTTGAAGAAACGATGCCCAACCATCACCTAGAGATTTCCGCCATTTCATGGCGATAGCTTCCGAGTCACAGTGTGCTACCGATGATTATTATTTATATTTTGCATCGCCACGTCATGTCTAATCTTCTTGAAATCCAGTTTATTGATCGGCCTGCTATTAGACCCAGGTAGCCCCAAAGCAGTAGTCAAGTACCCGTAAATGAATGCAAGCGAGTGCATAGTCGAAATGATCTTGTCCGTCCAGCAGACCACGTATCACAATGAGAATGTAAAAAAAAAGACGCCCCAATATGACTCAACGCCTCGCCAATGATATGAGCGCCGGGAATAAAAAAAAAGTGAAAGCAAAAGTGCGTGCGAGGGTGGGATATGTACAAGCGTGTAGGAAAGTAGGAAAGAAAGAGAGTGCCACCAACCAGGGTTGTGAGGTGGAAGGCATCGTCACAGAGGGAAGGAGCGCAGCCGTGGATGGTATCATTCCAAAATGTATTGTACCTCCGGACACGAAGATTGAAAGTTATTCAATAGTCGCTGAACACGATGCGTTATCCAGCCCGAGTCGGTACCATTAGTGGCAACGCCACCAAAAGTCGTCGAGGCATGTTTACACGACTGCATCTCATGATTATACGAGAATTGCAAACAGTCTGTATTCTGCGAGCAGGCATCGGCACACGCGTCCGTCGACGGTTCAGTCGGGGGATCAAAATCGATAATGGCCGGTGACAGGTTATCCCAATCAGGCCGTTCCGCGAGAGAATTATTATGAACGAGCTCGCGATAAACATCGCCGTGCAGCAAGAGGGCGTTCTTACCGCTCTTGAACCATCCCCGGTCAAACCGCCACATTTCCTCGATATCGCGCGGGCTCATGTGGTGGTATGACACGGCGGGATAACACCATGGTTGGCGGCCGTAGGCTTCTGAGAAGTGATCGATCTCTTGTGGTCGGGAGGTCATCATCATGGGCCAGGCCCAGGTCAGTTCGACGTGGACATCTTTCAGGGCTTGCGCTAATGCGCAGTCTCCGGCCCATTCTAGACTGGTCATATGCTCCAGTTCCTGCTGGTGCTTGGCGCGGTAGTTGTGCAGATGATACATCGTTCGACTGGAGAGGATAATGCCTGCCCCGCCGTATCCGAAGAGAACGTCGCCGATTTGCATTGGACTGCCGAGGTAGTAGTTTTGGTGGTGGTCCAGGTGGGCGAGCCAGTTTACCAGGTTCGGCCATACCATGTAGGTGTCGGCTTCCATGAAAATGTACCATTTGGCGTTGGGCTGCACTTCCAGGGCTCCGGCAATCATGGGCAGGAACTTCCATTTATCGAGTTTCCAGCCCGGGTTGTTGGTCTTGCCGAAGGGACCATTCGAGTCATCGCCCATCTCTTCATCCGTCAGGCCCTCGGGGCCGACTTCCTGCAGGCGGTGATAGATTTCGAATTCGGGTGCCTCATTCATGGTAGATTCGGTGACATTTTGCAAAACGTCGTAGACGCGTACGCCGCTGATGGTCTCCTCATAATCGGAGAAAACGGCGTAATGCGGGACACATTGGAGAGTGGTGCGCAATTGTACGGGGACCTTCTCGCGGGCTTCGGTGGCACCGGTCTTCAAGACGACAAAGACGTCATCCATGTCCTTGCGCAATTTCCCACATCGGTCCTCCTCGAAGAAATCATCCGAGATTTGTTGCTGGTTCTGCTTCTCGGATTGGGAAAGAGGGCGTGTCCCCTCGAGGATCATGGGTTCTTGTTCGGATGGTGACCATTGTCCGTGGAAATTTAAAGTGATCGGATCGGAATGTGGTGAGAGAAAGAAATAATAGACCAGAGTGAGAGTAATGAATGGCGAGACGATGAAGATCCATCGCCGCGAGGAGGTGAACATGGTTGCCACGTCCAGAGCTGTGTCGATATCGATAAGGAACGAAAGATACGCGATAGCAGAGAAAGAAAAAAAAGAGCGAGATTGAAATTGTTGCACAAAAGGAATGTCAGGAAAGAAGAGTGAATGGATGAGAAAGGCAAGATGCCATGGAGAGTTGAATCGACAGGGAGAAAAAGGCGAGGAAGAAGTAAAATAAAAACGAATCGACGACGAGCAGCAATCAATAATGGCGCTTGCTGAAACGTGAGTGAAAAGGGACAAAGATCATCATGGGATAAGCTAACGGGGGGGGGGCATCGTTCATACAGGCGCATACATGTCCCCATAGCTCTCTTTCGCTTTGGAAGATCCATATTGGACCCGGCAGAGACATGCACCCCTCTCTGATTCGGTGCATGCATGCGAAGCGCGAGGATGATAGGCTCATCCTAGTAACCGCCGAGGGGGCCTGGGAATAGATCATCGACCACGCGGGCCAGCGACCAACGAGGGGCAGGTTGGGCGGTAGTTTGAAATGCGAACCCGCCGGGCCCCACGGGTCAGCGTCATCGCTTGCGGGTTTGGAGGTGAAAAGGAGGGAAGGGATCGACTGCTGGGAGTGACGATGAGTGGAGTATTTGGTTACTGGAGTTTGCATGGTGGTTCGGGAGAAATGTGGCAACGCCCCCCCCCTGCGGATCGCCAGGATCGGGTGTCTGACAATAGGGGGGACCGCCACAGCTGGGAGAGGTTCATCACCTTCACGTCGATATTCATGAGGGTCTTGCGTTTGATGCCTTGGGAAAAAGCCAAGGCTGCGCCATCCTCATAAAGGGGGGTCCGAGCAGATAGAAGCTGATGATGATGATTTGCTGGAATTGGAACGGCCCCAAGTTTAGGGATTTAAAGAACGGAAGCGAACCGCCGATCGCCGATCGGCTCACAAAGTACGGAGAACGGGGGGGGGGCACTTATCCTGTACAGGGATTATCGAGGGACCGAGGAGTGTCCCCGTGTCAGGGAGATAGTAGGCGAAAAAATTACTTGGGTATACACCTTCACATGTCTCAATTGTTCTCATGTACAAATGCGCATATACATCGTGCCCCTCGATGCGGGTTCTTTGGCATAGTACATTTCGTATTTCTTACAGAGTTTTATGGTAAATCACTTGGGTTCGGATCATCCCAATAGTCCACTCGTCAGTCGATCAAAAGTCAAACTAGCCACCGGGGGAATGACCGTGGAGCAAAGAATGCTGCCTAACTTGACCGAAGCTCCCTCGTGGTGTCGATCAGCGGGAAGCGTCAACGGCGGTAGAGTCAGGATTCCCAGGAGTTGCCGGTCTCCCAATGGATTCATAAAAGAAGGAAGGGAAACATCATGGACACGGCGCTTGACCACACAAGACGAAACCCAAAATAAAACAATCGGTGTGACAACAACGGCCGATGGGGTGGCTTGTGTCTGACAGCTCATAGCGGCTTCCCGGGGAACCACCTGAAACACCGGGAGCGGAGCAGGACAGCCACGGTGGGTCGGATGGAGCGTTGGAGATGGGACCAACTGAGACCCGTGAAAGCGTGAGGCAATAACGAATAAACCACTCGAGAATTGACAATTAGTTTATCGAGGCGGTCTTTCGCATTATCCGTGATCAGCCGTTCATGGCCTTCTCGGGGACCTCTTGGAAGGTTTCCGGGAAAAATCCGGGCGGCGGCCAGATATCGGCAATCGATGGCGGATGCACCAAGGGCTGAGATCCCCCAAGACGGTCGGGATCGTGGCAGAAGGCTTGGAAAGTAGTATCGTCCAAGAATCCAAAGTCCTTGAGGCCGGCCTCGCGGCTGCTGGACCACTCGGTCGTGTCCAGGTACGCCAAATCCTTAAAGATCGCATCGAGATCACCCGTGCCAGCGGGATTGAAATGCAGGTGGTCGTTCGTCGAGACGGATCGTTCACTGGTAGGAGCTTTACCCGCCATCATGGGATTGGAATTGGATGAGTCGGGGGTATGAGGTTGTGCATGGGCGCTTCCGGGCGCAAACAGCGGGTCCGGTCCACTGCGAGGCGTGACCTTGTCGGTGGGGAGGATCGATTGCTGCACCGATGGATCCATCATGGCCATCTCGGTATTCTCCATGATCGTATCCTTGGGCGTCAGGGATTGCCCGTCAGCGGGGATGCTGATCCCCAGGACGGATGATGCATAGCTTCCTTGATCGGGCGGAGGTAAGCCGTGAGCCATGACGGGCGCCTGGGTGGCCCCATGCATGGAGGTGGCTCCCGGTAGCAATGAAGTCGTATTCCCCGGGTATGGCTGCAGTGCGACGGAGACATTGCTAGTCTTCTGCCAGCGATCCATCGAGGATACCAATGAACCATGTACCGGCCAACTGGCGGTCAACACCGTCGTCTTTTGACGAAACTCCTCGGCCCAGCGAGAGAAAGGGAAAGTATCCGACGAGTCCACAGTTTGCCGTAGCGAAAGCGCTTGCTCGGAGATTGTACGCAGACCAAACTCGAAAAGAGGTGGCAACCCACACATGGGGAAGTTTTCCAGATGCTGAGAGATCATGGAAAGGCCTCGGTAAAGGAGCTTCTTTGCACCTTCGGTCGCCGGACGCTGTGACCGATGGAGACCTTGCTCTCCGGGAATGAGACGCAGATACAGCCAAAGCAGCGTAGCAACGTACGTCAATCCCAAATAGCTCTGATGCGGTAGCAGTGCCGAATGTCGTTCAGGGTAGATGCTTTCCGGTCCAATCAGTCGACACCCTAGCGGCAACCCATCATCCCACTGCTTCAGGTCCATCACCAATTGTTGGGCAAAGTTGGGCGCCTTGTATCCCAGCGACAGGTTTCGAGATGTCTTGTTAAGCACGCTAGCCAGCTCGACCAAACGATTGAAACAGCTGAGAGACAACAAGGGCCCTCTCCGTGGAGAATTCTTACCGTGTGGAACTCCCGTCGGGGGAAGCACGTCCACCCATGAGTTCCACTCCTCCAATCCATCCTCTTCCAACAACCCCACATTTGCTAGATCATTCGAAGACATGGCAGGACAGTGGGAAAGTCGAAACGATAGTAGAGAATCAATGACGAAGCAGCCCAAGAAAACTGCTTTACCCTGTCGCATTTCATCGGAGCGGCGAGTGTCAGCAAAGGCACCCAAACCCATTGCAATGGCCATGCGCACGGCTTGGCCGCTCAGCAGCCATGCAGCCGTCCAATCTTCGAGGCCGATATTGACCAAGGTCAACAGCAACAAAGCCTGGATATGACCGAGTTCATAGCGTTCTTTTTCCGATGGGATGAGATTTCGAGATACGGTATAGTACTCTTTGGCTGAAGGAACCGCTCCAGTAGGGTTCATCCGAGTAGTGGCTGAGGATTGGGCGATGGTGTAGCTGAGAATTGCCCATAATGCAGCATGATCCCCAGAGCCTGGAGACGTCGTGGCGACGGAGAAGGGGGCATTGGCATATAGGTAGGATGCGCGAAGGATGTTGTGTTTGGCGACAACGGGGAACCAAGTGTGAGTCGTGGCAAAGTAGATATCGAGGAGTTGTGATGTCTGCGGGGGTAATTGTAGGGTATGGGGACCACTTCCTGGTTGCGCGACGTCCCGACCAATCGACCCCTGTGACATTCGGGCTCGTTTCGCATTTGGCGAGCCCATGGCTGCTGGACCGACGATCCGTGGCGCTTCAGGACCCAAGGGTGTCGAGTCTCGAGCCACTCGAAATCCCCATTTTCCATCCGAGCCCTCCAAGGGGTCATCTTGCGGGTTGCGCAATCGTTTGCCCGTTACGAGAGGTGGTTCCTGGTTCGATAGCATTTTCTCCAATGCACTATATAGACGACTCGTTTTCCAGGTTTCGTGTAAGCTCTCCGATGAGCCGTCATCCGACCACACCGACATTAATTTTTCTCGGCGGCCTGCCGACTCCGTCGTGGTTCCTAGCATGGCCAGCATGGTGTCTTCGAACCCACCGATATTACACATGGAGAGCGCCCATAGTTTCTCCAACCCGCGCACGTAGCCCTCCGGTAGACCGCGCTTCTTCGCATGAGGATCATATGAGCAGGGCTGGCCGGATGCTTGACATGCGGAGCAGGTGGGACGAATTCCATCGCATTTGTCCTGGAGTTTTCGAACAGCGCACGGGTCAGTTCTGAGACACGGAGAGGGGGCGGGCAAGAATGGGGACTGGCTCAGCTCACCTTCTTACTGCGACACCGGTCGCAGGCCCTCGACACCCTCTTCCGCCGAGGGGCCTTATCGGAACCCTCATCCATGAGCAGGGTTAGTTTGCGCCGTGTCGCATGTCATGTACGGGTCGAAGGCTAGAGTTATCCAGAAGCGCGGTGTCGCGTCGGTGATGCGATCTGTAGGGTCCCTCGTGGGGTAGTGAGTGGTTCGGTGACAGTTGTATGAAGATCGGATAATTTGATTCAAGAGGTTATATCGCAAGTGGTCGCGTAGAATCGGCGATCGCGACGCATGTCAAAAGGAAGGTCGCGACGCAATCGGAAGGGCCAGATGGATTACGCAACGGGAAAAGGCGATCGGGGCCAGCCAGCAGGACCCAATTTTGACCTTCGAATGTAGCTTAGTCACTGGCAGACAGGGAGTCCACTTTTCATTGATCCCGTGTAATGACCGGTGTGAGAACAAGATGGAAAGAAGTCGAAAAGAAACCCTTCCGAGGCAGAGAGAGAGGGAAAAGAGAAGGAGAGAGGGAGAGAAAGAGGTAATCACCAAAAAGATGTCGGAGCAAAGTTTCGGGAGGTAATGACGGTCTAACCGATCCGGGGCCTTCCCCACGTCCCCACGATGAGGGACAGACTGGCGGGAGGTGGGAGCGTCAATTGATTTGCCCAAAGCCCCAAAAATTGGAGAACTACGATGAGCAATCTAAATATATATTGGATCGATAGCTTCTATACGCATGCACAAGAGCAATTGAGTATTTGAAAGGAGATCATCATGATTGCAATTAAAGAGTACGGCTATGCTTTGGAAAACCCGCCTTCGGCCGCACTCCGGCAAATGGAGGAACGGGCCAGTCTTCTTACATACTGGCAATCCGCTTCACGTCCCCATTTCCCTGAATGGCTCGATCCCCAACTGCCGACTATCGGCTATTTTAACTTTGGTGCCCCTTTTTGCTACTTCGCGTTATCTCTCTCCAGAATACACCGTGTCCGATTTACATAAATCACGAACTTGCTCCATTAATGACCAATTATAACTACTGTATGTAGTCCTGCCCTCCAGAGAACGACGCGCAATACCCGATCACGCTGTACCGCTACCGGGCCAGTGCTCGGTCTAGAGAAAGCAGCGGGACGCTCTGAGTACCCGGCATCCCGATTTCTTGCGGGCCAACAACCCGACGTCTGCCCGAGTCCACACGCCATTGCGGCGGTGTGTCTGTGCCTTTCGGAATGCGCCGAACAACGGAAATAGGCCGCGGGTACCGGTCTCAATGCGAAGACCCGACGGGCTGACAGACTGCGCCAAAGTTTGGACACCGCCCCACATTACCTCTACCAGCCTAGATCGCGTCTAAGGAAGGTGGTGTGAATCGAGTTGTTATCGAGGAGTTATGTCACAGGGTCCTTCCTACCCTACTATCAGCGGAGGATGGGATTTTTATGCATGATTACGCACCTACGCATACGGCGTATCCTATATGTGATGCATTATTAGACATGGAGATCGAGGTAATGGTCTGTTCAAAACACCTTTTTGAGACTATGCCTGGTAGGATGCAAGCAATCATTGAATCGAAAAGGTGATACAAATACGGGTCTTCTTCTGAGAGTTGTGGAAAGCCAATTGAACACTTCCTGTCCCAGTTCAGCAACTTTTCTATCATTTTAATGTAATGAAGTCAAAGCACGATAGCAATTGCCTCTCTGCGATGCGCAATCTAATATGGGCCTGCTCTATTTTTATAAACTCACGACTCGAGAAGAGTGACATAGGTAACATGAAGAGCACAACAGAAAACTGGTCGAGATTGCGCCTATTGTCTGTCATTCTTCATCTTCTGTCAGTCTTTTCGTCAAGACAACTACAGAATGTACACTATTCCTCGAAAACTCTAGTCCAGTGGGGTGCCGACTTGTGGTTGTGGTCCACCTTCCGATTCAAGGCATCAAGGCATCAAAGATCTCCTGGTTCAATTCCAAAAAGTGAAGATTCTTTCATGTTGACCAACATACAATGATAATGATAAATACAATAGAATGCTATGTCAATTCACTTCCTCAAGGACTACACCATAGTACTAACAAGACAGTCCTCTAAAAGAATATCATCTCAATACACATCAACACACTTAAAAGACAAAAGTGGAGACTGCTGAACGGCTCGGCCACTAGTGGTGAAGCAGTCCCCAGGTACCGTGACTTGGATAGAGGCCCGAGCTTTATTTTCTTTGCTGCGTTGGCTCCTCACCTTCGATCAACGCCGGCACCTGTTGACCAACCCCTTCACTATACCGTCACCTGTCCAACGCACAGGCTGGGATACTATATTGCCTCTCAGATGCCCAGCTTTCCAGAGCCTGCTGGCTCTTTCGCAGCGAGCTGGAGAAAACGCAAGCGTGATCATGAAGACAGCAACACCTTGAGTCGTCCGTAAGTGCCAATTCCCATCTACCAGAATCCTTCTGGAGTCGATACGCCTGGCTTTCCTTTGAGCCTCAGACTAATCATACTTCACCCTCATCTAGATCATCCTTCATCCCCTTTCGAGTAGACCGTGTCGATTACGACGGCAACTGCCCGTTGCCCCTGTCCCGACACCCTACAGAAGGAAACGACCTCTCTTTCCGCCCCCGCTGTCTCCCTCGCAAACGCAGACATCTCCAGCCTCCATATTTAGCTCTACCAACTCACCAACAATCATCTCTCCTCTCACCAAATGTCTACGCCCCCGCGCAAGACCCCTACTCCCCTCCCGTCTCGCCAAAGACCATCGTACCACTAGCCTACCCCTCAACATCCCCCTCCGCCCTCCGACCATGCCATATCTGCCACCGACGCCCGACAACACGACAAGTCCTTGATGCGTATGCAGATTGTGATCTCTGCGGTGAACGTGCATGCTTCATCTGTCTGCGCCAGTGCGATGCTCTCCATTGTCCGGGATTTACCAACACGGGCTTCCCCGATCAACACGAGCCAGACTTGTTCTCGTCGAATGAGGACTTTGACGGTGCAGACATGGGACGACGACGGAAAGTCTGTTCTGGCTGCGCCGTTGAGGGTCTTTCGGAGGTTGGGACTGAGATTGTTCGATGTCTTGAATGCGTGCAAGGCCCCTCGGTGCCTGGTTGGACGCTAGATGGGATGAATCATGAGATGATGCGCGGATAAGGCATGATCATCTGCCAGATTCAAGCGACCCGAACGATGCATATAAATGACCATATGAACCCTACGACCTTTTTCTCCTCTCTCTGCATGGTGGACCGCCAACTATCGCCTTGGTCTGTTCCTTGACGGCCAGGGGTTGATGCCCACAACTACTGCTGGACCTACATTTTACGCCTTTCTACTACCTATCCCATTTCGCCTCTTTGGGACTTTGACTTCTTGCCTATATTTTGTTCTTCAACTCAGCGATACCATTCATGTTCGGGCAGTATTTCTGCGGTTCTGCTTTTTCTCAATTCTATGGCATGGCATCATGATACCAACACAAACATAAATAGTTTACAATTTAATGACAATTCTCCTATGAGATCATTCAGGAATGGCATATGCAAGATCATGAATATTGAAACAATATAGATAAATAAAACACCGCATCATCGATGCAAATATGACATGGTATAACAGACACTCTAGGAAATTCCACCATGCAATTCGAACAGATTTTCAAGTACCCTTGGACTGGACCCCCATCGCCCTCAACGACCAAACCGCATCTGAGCTCCAGCATAGTGCCACAACCCACGCATGAACCCTTGATACTCCACAGCCTCTCCGTACCCAGTCATGCCGTGGTTACGATCCCCAGTGCAATACATCTCCGTCAACCGAATCTGCCATGGCGGATAGCCATCCAGCTTCAAGAAGGGGCCGAACACCAACAAGAGATCTGGCTCTGGCTTCAGTGTGCTGACGGTTCGGCCGCTGGCTTGTAGAGGCTGAGTGGTGATTTCACTAATCTCCGCATCTACCAATTCCGGTGTGATATCCTCCGGTGATAACTTGCCGTTCTGTGCCATTTCCGCCAAGGTCTTGGTCAAGTCGACGATGGTTTCACGGCCATCTGTGGAAGAGAGGAGGAGTAGAGTCAAGGAAGGGTTGTCGGACTTGGGGTTTGGCGCGGTGCCGTAGACTGGGTGGTGGGGGGCGAAGAGTTGGAGGGATGGTTGTTGAGAGGGCGTACCGAAGTAGGAGGCCAATTTGGTGGAGATGATCTGGTGTAGAGCTGGGATGCAAGATTTGAGGACACCTAGCAAAATAGTTTCAGTTAGAATTGCTTGCTTGACAGGTTGTAATGGAATGGGATATGCCCGAATGAGGCCGCGTTCTTACCAGACTTCTCATATATACTGAGTTGCGGAATCCCCGCACAGGCACTCCAAGCAGCCAGCTCGGCGACCTCATCCATCAACACAGCCAAAGCATCGTCCTCCTTTTGCAGGGTCAGTATTACACTGAGATGCTCCGGCAACCGCTTCAACCCCCGGACATCCTTTCGGATCAACTCCGGCGTACGATGATGGTGGTAAACGATGGCAAAGACTCGATCGACAACGGCATGGTACGCCTGCAACAGACGCACAACGATACCGAAGAAGATATGAGTAATTGCATAAGTGAACCGATGTAGCTGCGACTTGAGGAATGTGCGGATAGGCTTTCTGCGAGGCTTCTGGCGCCGTTGGGAGGACGAGGTTCCGGCGCGGGACCGCCGCGGCGAGCTTGAGCTGGAGTTGGTTGATGGTAGGTCGGCTGGGTCGGGCAAGTAGGGTTTCAACAGGTTCTCACGATCGGCGGCATTGAGCTTGTCGCCGCGCGAGCGCAAGTCTGCGCGCAGGATTTCGCGATCGGTCTGGGAGACCATGGTGGTGCGGGTTGAGGAAATTGAAGGTGTGCGGGAAGCTGTACGGAGTTACTTGTTCAACTTATCTGGAACCTCCTCCGGCCACATGCAAATCTCCCTTTCTTGCGAGTCGTTGCTCCTAGGTCCGCGCTTACTCGGTGAAGTATGTATGAATGCTTGCTATTTTGAAGACTTGCTATCGAGTTTACACAACCGGCCAGATTTCAAGATTCTAATGTGGCTGCCTATCTCTTGGTTATACTGCACTGCCTCTTGTGGCCAAGGTGTTCGCTCGAATATCAGCGCGACAAGGTAATTAGTACTTAATTTAGAGATAATATTAGGAAATATTCAAGCTATAGGTAGAATTCAAGGTTTTGACTTCTTAAATTGACCTAGAAATAAAGCTCTTATAAAGACTACGTATGAGCTAAGTACCATTCCAACTGTGTATGTACTACGCAGTGGCAATAACACCCCCTGACGCGGTGGAAATTACCCACACCTCCGATCCTCAACCACCGCGCATCCCAGCTTTCCCCGGATTCCCCAATCTCCAATCTACAATCTACAATCCAAGACCTAGTCACCTTCCAGCCCTCCCTCAATCAAGCTGTGCAGGCCAATCCTACATTGAGCCGGTCCCGAGGCGGCCCCATATGACTCCCTTGCAATCGCCATCGCCATGATGCCCGACAATGCATCCATAGTCTCCTCGAACCCCGCCCGCTCCGTCTTTCCCAAGGGCCCCAGCTTCACACTCGAGGATTTCTCCAGCCGGGACTTCATCGTCAAGGAATTCATCGAGGCCCTCTCCGACACCGCCATCTCCCACCGCCGCTCTGCCGCAGGAACCGGCGCCCCGAATCAGCCCTTCGATCCCAAACCCCTCATCCGCACCTTTGAACATGCCCAGAACCGCCTGGGGGAGCTCTCCGGAGATCTGGAGATTCGCGAGAACGAGTTGTCAGCTGCAGTCAGGCGCGCAGAAGCGCAGCATTCTCAGAATCTGACCACGCTCGGCCGGAAGCTTCGTCAGACGATCGAGTCGTTCCAGCAGCTAGACACGTCGCTGAATGGCGCGGGATTGGAAAATGCCGGAGGAACGGGGAATATGGCAGTGGAAACCGGTCGGCGACTGGAGGAGCTGGATCGGCAGCGCCGCCGAGCTCTGGATGCGCACTTCTTGCTAGAGTGCTGGGACGGGGTATGCAATCGTGGCGAGATTTCGCTGTTGGAGAACCTGCGACGGTCAGGCACGGCGGAGGCCAAGGTTCGCTCCGCGCATATTGCGCGCCAGCTGCTGCGCATCAGTCAACGGCTTGATCCGCAGAGCTGGCAGCAATCATCCAAGCCAAGCAATGGCAACTACGGGGGCAATGCGTCCTCATCGGAAGACTTGAGTACTGGGAATAACACGCCGCGGCGGAATACACGGGAGATTATTGAGAAATTCTCGGAGACGTTGGAGAAGGACCTGCTGAAACAATTTGATGATTTCTATCGCAAGGCTAATTTCGAGGGAATGAAGGATTGCGCTACGGTGTTGCAGGATTTCAATGGCGGTTCTAGTGTGATTGCGCTGTTTGTGAACCAGCACCAGTTCTTCATTGACCGGAGTCAATTGGTTACGGAGGAAGTGGGAGGTGATGCCGAGTCGTGGGAGAAGATGGCCGATCCCGATGCAGAGCTACCCGGCGTTGAACCGAGCCTGCAGTCCTTGCTGGATGAGGTCAAAGTCGTTGTGCAAGAGGAGTCTGCAATTATTCGACGAGCTTTTCCTTACTACGAGCAAGTGTTGGGCAAGTTCCTGCAGCGAGTATGTCAACAATCTGTCCAGCAGCGACTGGAGATGGTCCTGGACAAAGCTAGTGGGGTCTCGTCATTAGCATTCCTCCGGTGTCTACAGAGCTCCCGGGGCTATATCAGTACCCTGATTGACGACTTGAAGGCACACGGCCTCACTGAGCATCCGGAACCTATTTCTTCTCAGACAGCACTGCTGCTGGACCACCAATTAGAAGAGCTCTTCGTGCCCTACTTTGTCGGGTCCTCCTATATTGAACGAGAGAAGCGTACGTTGGAAGAGCTTTTCCACGCAGTTCTCTTCAAATTCACATCTTACCATGCTCGCCGGAAGAAGGCTGCTACTACGTTCATGGCGTCCCTCGCCCGGCCTGGGACTACGGAGCTGCTGTCTACCACTCGCGATGCGTTTATCAGCCGACTAGACTCGCCAGAGATGTCCCCCATCCAGCGCCGTATGCTCCTCCAAGTAGCCAAAGTCGGCGACGTTCCCGAGACTCAGCGACTGACGGAGATTCGAATCACCGAGGAAGATGGTCAACCCAACCTTGGCGATGCGAAACGCATGCTCAAGTGGCTGGCAGAAGCCGTGGGCCGTGGACTCGAGCTGAGTGTCAATACGGATACTCATAAGGATGTGTCCGCACTATTGACTCTATTGCTGGCCACCATGGGCGATGGATACGTGGACGTCTGCCTCGACGCTGCCTTGGAGGCGGCCACCGCACAAGAGTCTGGCAAGAATGAACCCGACTTTGGATACCTCATGTCCGTGCGAACGACGATCAGCATCACCACTCTGATGGTGATGTGTGTCAATGCGGTATTGTTGCCCCTGGCTGCGGCCAGTATCACGACTCGACGAGATATGGAAAAACGGACGGCCCAGACCACTTCCCGTATTGAGGAGAAGATCAACACGATAGAGCAGAAGACGATCGATGCCACTTTGGCATGGGTCAGTCGGTTGCTATCTGGCCAGAAAAAGAACGATTTCCGACCTCGAGAAAGCGATAGTGCGGCATGGTTGGAGATGTTGCAGACACCGGTCAGTTTTTTTTTTTTTCTCCTTTCTCTCCTTATCTTTTGCGTCATTCCATCTCGATCCCCATTCGTTTTCTTTCTTTGCTTGTGCGCAGATCTCCCATTTCCGAGAGCACGAGCGCAGGAAAGAAAAAAGAATACTCGAAAAAAGAAACGAACAACAAACGAAGAAGCAATACGAAAAAGAAAAAAAAAGCAATCACTGACATCACATCAATAGACTTGCGCCTCGATCTGCACGTTCCTCACCCGTCTGCACAACATTGCGCGCACCTCTCTCCCCTCGAGCGGATCGAACGTTCGTCAAGTTCTCACGGAGATTGCGCTTGGCACGCGCAGTCTGCTGCTGGAGCACTTCAAACGATTTACCGTCAACAGTCACGGTGGACTGATGGTGACCAAGGACATGACGCAGTATACCGACCTATTCAAGTCGTGGGACATTGACGACGAGACCAAGGGTCCCGGTGGCGCGCTGGACGTGCTCCTTGAAGTTGGCAGTCTGTTCGTCATCGGCGTCGAGGCGCTGCGCGAACGGATCCGTGGTGGTGCGGCGAGCGGGGCCACGGGGGGCTCGGCTGGACCTGGTCGAAGTCCCGGTGGACAGATCGAGGCTAAATTGAGTGTGCAAGAAGTGCGGGCGTACGTGTCGCGTCGCGAGGACTCGAATACCCTGGCGGTGCAGCAGGTTCTGAATGCCTTGTAGCGAGCGGGAGAAAGAAAGCCCCATGGGGAAGGGAGACAGACTCCTGGGTTCGGAGGGAAGACTCCGGCTTGTGTCCAGTGGGTGCTCGCTAGGATTGCCCTTTGCCATCGAGTCGAGCCCGTTTCCCAGGGACGTGTCATATTGTCTCAATTTTTCGATATCATCCTCGTTTGTGCCAGTCTTGTGTTTATTTCTCGCTCCGATTAATCCAGTGGTAGAGCTTCGTTTGGTGTCGGGCATTCTTTGGCTTGCATGGCTTTGCTTAGTGGTGCTGTGTACGGAGTATTGTACTACTGGTTTTACTTTTCTTTTTTCCGATTCCCTCGGTCGACAACGATATTGTGTATCCTCTAGAGATCTCTGGTTTTAGAACCATTGTGTTTCCTTTTTTTTCCCTTCATTTTTCCATGTTCAGCGTCCTCTCCCCTGGTCCCCCCTCCCTGGAGACCTGACGGTTGACTAGCCGTCGTCCTTAAGGGGGGCCGGTTATCGATTTGGCGGCGTAGAATGACCGATCCCATTTGACAGTTTCTGACGCGCATTGCACTAGAGTGACCTAATCGAGTCTCGCGTGGGAAAAGCGTAATCGTGCAGATAGCTGCGTTCTTTTTTATCTTTGTGACTCGTTCGCTTGGTGGGCGTACTAGGTACGCATGTACTTGTATCCTGTACAGTACATGCTTCTAGCTTTGGTTTCTGGTTAGAGGGGCTGATTACCGTTCTCGGGTTAGGTCTGAAGTTACCGTGTGGACTATGGGATCCGGCCGAGTGGCGGCCTGACAGCTCACGTCGCCTTCTGCAGAAATATATTAAAAAGTATATACACCAGCTACGTAATATGTTCGGTCTTGGGTTACCGGCAATACATTGATGATAAGAATGTCCACCTTCCAGACTTGATCCACTGGTGGAGTGCCGGTAAACTCTGCCGTCTTGATCCCATCAGGGCTACTATATACATCTGACAGGTAAGATCATTTACCTCGTTACACTTTAGCGATCCGTGGTTTACTTGATTTCATACATACTTTGATAATTTCCAAACTTCCAAAGCTCCGTCATTCCGACGGCTTTCCTTTCTTTGCTCGTCGATCAAATGTAGTTATTCTTTGCCTTTGTCACCTTCTCTCGTAAGACGGTATCATGCTCCATCCCGTTGGGTAGCTTCATACGGAGTACACGTTTTCCCAAAAGTCATTCCTTCCAGTCGGCCCCGCATCTCCCCAGAAGCCCGACGGGATTCAAAACCCAACGACCGACTGGACCCTGGAAATCTTCGACACCAACGCGAGCCGCGTAGTACCGGTTTGCGGCGTTCCTCGTTTCAGCTGGGCGACCCGTTTCAGTTCGCGCCGGCCCAAACCAATGTAGACCCGACGATCCAGGGCTGAGAAGAGACCACCGGCCAACGAGACTGCAGTCCGTACGGAGTAGGCCGTCTTATGTACATGATGCTCTTGGTCTTAACCAATGGAGGAACGTATATTTTGTAAGCTGGCCAGAGTTATCCCGATCCTTTGATTCTGGAAGGCGTCCCCTTCTCCCCTCGTATCGCAGCTCACTGCCCAACTTCCAGCCTTGTTTTGGGTAGGGCTGGGATAAAGGGAGGGGAGGGGAGGAGGGAGGGGAGCGAGGGTTCTCTCGAATCGGAGACGATCAGAGAGAGCAGCGGCCCCCACGAAAATACGACCGGTCACAAAAGAAATCAAACGGTATGTGGGTAGTGGATGTTAGACTCTCCTGTAAGCGGCCCTGTCCTGTTGCTCCGTGCATACGTACGGAGTAGATAGTCTACTGTACTCTTGCTATGGTCCTGGAGGGGAGCTTGGCCAGTGGCTTTTGACCCCTTGCGGTGGCTTTCCATCGGGCTGGGTGCGTCCGGCCGAAAAGAAGATGCAACCAGTGGAAGGTCCAAGGGAGAAGACTGACGGACTGGGGGTCTGTCGGTTTCCGGATGTCGCACAGATTTTAATTGAATTGCCGAAATGAAATCGGTGCAAGGTCTAGTTACCACCCAGAGTAGCTTAAGAGAACAGCAGATCTGGTTGCGAGAGATCGGGGTTTCTAGGATCTTCGATTGTCTGCGACAAACCGGTTCATCGAGGGGTTCATGACGGGTCACATCAATCAGGCTGCACGTCTGCGATTCTGGATCAACTGGGAGTCTTCGACTTGCTGATGCCGTGCGTGACCCGTATGTATGTCTTGTTCGAGGAATGCTGGGTCTCCACTCTCAGCGACGGTTAGGCGATCACCAGTTCTAGGGAGGGGTAAAAAAAGTGACAGGTCTCGAAATAGATCGATCCCATCACTTCAGTCCGTGCGTGGAGGGTTTTTTGGGAGGGGGAGGTCATTGCTCTTTTGCTTTGTTTCGATGTGTTAGCGTTATTTCCCAGGTTAGGCATAAGACCCAGCGAGCAACATGGGAGACCCGACTACGGAGTATTCTATTCGTAATTGACAACGAGGCCCGGCGCTTGCGAGGAGGCATAGAATTCGGGCCGGGGAGAGTACAGTATGTACTTGACCTATATAGTCCTGGGTGCTCTGCATGGGAGAACTGCGTCTTTCTTTTTGCACCTATACAAAGTTCTTTCTGGATATTCTCCTGCGCTTCTCGGAGAATTCTGCGTTCCTGATTCAGTCTTTACTATTCCCCGTCTACTTGACTCCTCGAACATTCCTTTCTCAGCTATCCTCAACGCTCGGTCTTGCTCGCCTCGAATTGTCAATATTGTGCTCCAATAATCAAGTCTTGCTCCATATCTTCTCCGATCCGACTCCGTCCTGAAGCCCGACGGCTTGCGAGTTCCCAACTATATTCTAGGGAGACCTCCAGCCTCTAAGGCTCCAACCTCTACCATACACCGTCCAGTCCAAGTTGGGGCTTCCAACATGCTCCCTGCGGCCAGCGAGGAGGACCTGAGATCTCTGCCACCTGCAGTGCGACGAAAGGTAAGGGCTCGTCCCAGCTCTACTGGTCTCTTGTTTCCGTTTTCCTTCCTCTACGTCCATCTCATTTCCCCTTGCCGGCGGGGGCGTCCAGCGGATCGTCGATAGTCAATTTGATAGTCTCGGACTAGCCATCTGGGCTGGTCGATACGAAAGACCTGCTTTTTGTCCCAACCGCCCTCGGGTTTTGTCTTTGTTCATTGAACGTCTCCACTGGGAAACCCTGCACATCCTTGCCTTCCACCTGCCAACACAGTACCGTCGTTTGTTTCTTTTCTTTTTTTTTTTTTTTTCCTCCCACTCCAATGGCTGGGGTCAGTCAGGGACTGGCGTTGGAAGGCCGGTTGCTCCACATTCGGGGAGGCCGCACGGCTCGCGCCATGTCCCTTTGATGGTTCTTGAAGGTGTTCGTGAGATCCTCTTTGCCCCTGAACCGCTCACGTGGAGGCCGCCAGCAAGCTCCATCACCCACGCTATCACCCAATGGCGCCAACACTTGGTCCCTAAGAGGGTAGCGTGTACCCTCAGAGCCTCTCTCTCTCTATTTCCCCCTCTCTTATTCTTTCACCTTCGTGCGAGTCTCCTCTCGAGTCCCCGAGTTGCCAATGTTTTGGCGCACGGCTCACGCTCCCCACCTCCCATTTTCTCGTTCTCCACTCAACCCTCAATGTGGAAATATCCACCCAGCATGCGCTTTGTAGAAAGACCGCTGATCCCAAACAGTTCTTCTCGAATGTCGAGCGCTTGCGCATTCGGCTAGCGCAGAGCGATCCCAGTTCCCCTGCGTGCTCCACGCACTCCAATCACCTCTATCACGGCCGGACTTATCGCCCTAGTGCGCGTCTTGGGTCTGGCCCCCTCCACCATCACCATCCTCACTCTTACTCTCACTCTCACTCTCATTCTCACTCTCGTGCTTCGCGCAACGCCTCGACTACTTCCCTCACCAGATCTCGTGGATTGGAGAAACGCTCGGCTACCGCTCCCAGGAAACTGCGCAAGCCGGGATCCTTGCAACTGGCCTACCTCGTGGCCCAGGCAGACTCGCAATGCTTCCATTCTCTCCCCGCTAAGATCCAACAAAAGCTTTTTTCCCCCGAAGAGCGTTTGCGTCTTCGCCAGGCCTATCGTGACAGCGTCATTCTGGACGCTGCCGACGAGGCTTTTTACCGTCGACCGTACTCTCGCCGTCGTCTTTCCACCGACAGCCTTCCCTCGGAGACTACTCTTCCGGTAGCTCAGCCCAACACCGTCTTCTACGACTCGGACTCGGAGTACGAATCCGACGATAGCATGGACCAATCAATCTACGACAGTTTCCGGTGGCTCGACGAAGATGGTGATCTGGACTTGTCTCTGGACGAATACCATGCCCACGTTGCAGACGCTGCTGCCAAATCAAAACCTCGTCGTCGCCCATCATTCCGTCGCTCCTTGTCTTTTTCAACACACGCTCTGAGACAACATCGACCCTCACCGTCGATGCCTACTCGCAGTCTACCTGCAGCCCACACCTTCCAAGCGCTCTCCACTATTGCACCCACCCAACGCCCCTCCTCTCGTCCCGGCTCTCGTCGCCGCCAACCCATCCAACATGCGCCCAAGTCTTCCACTTCCAGCATCGACCCGGCCGCCCAATATTATCAAGATCCCGACGCCCGTCTCAAGCTGCGCGTCTACCTGGCCTCGCCGCAAAAATTCGACGAGGCCATTGAGTTCGGATTTCCGTCCTTGGAACAGGACAAGGAAAACATCGCCCCGGACTACAGCCCCGTTCCACCAAAGTCCCCTACGGTGACTAGTGATTGGGCAGGGACTTTTTTCGAGGATGATGATGGGACTGTCGTCGGGACTCCCGGCGGGTCAATTGAAGATCCAGCGGCTTCTCGTCACTCCCCCCAACTTAGGGAAACTCCAAGTCCTTCATTGGACTCTCCCTCCCTATTGCAGCGGCGTCAGTCTTTCCTGCCTGGTGCAAAGACGGGCCCCCAGCGGCTCCCAGGAAACCGGGAGATGACCCTAAAAATGACTCTCACTCGCCCGGATCTGCGCACTGAATCACCCACTCCTTCGCAAACCTCCCCGCAAGAGGATCCGCTACGCCTCGCTGCACTGCCCCCGGCCGACCGCACCCAGATGATTTGGGACTCAGATGAGGACGACAAGGGGGTGGTCAAAAAGATGTGGCGCAGACTTCGTCGACGAGTTTAGACGCGGCTTGTCTAGCAACAGCCCAGCATGATGTCCAAATCTCTCTCCTTTTTTTTTTCTCCTGCTTCATCTTCCCCACATTCTGGGGTCTCATTGCTGTCATTCTTTTTTAGCGTGCGAACATTCGCTCATTGATATCCGAGGTGTGTTTCTTGAAGGCGTCTTTTTTTTCCCCCCAAGTGAATGGTCACTCTGCATTTTGAACTCAGCGTTTACTTTGATTCGATTCGGACTTGAGGCTTTATGCCCGGTATTTTCATGTATCTCCTCTTTATTGTCTCTGCACAATTTGCAGCACAATTGTACATAATCCTTTTACTACCGAATGGCCCAGTTTATTCTCCTTGGGACTCGTTTGGTCATACTAGATGTCATTGACACTGTTTACTCATTTTCATATACTTGTACTGTAGCAAGTGGATCGATGTAGATCGAGGGATGTGCAACCCATGGTTCAACCGCGCGGAAAGGCACGGAGTCGTTCTACGATAGCGATAAGACCTACTTGCACGTGACAGGGGAGCTCCCCCAGGCTGAGGCCACGCAGCTCCCTCCTCGTAAACCATCACCATTCTCTCTTTAGCTCATTAACAACGGCTATTGCTACTGGTGCGCAGGGCAGATCTGATTCTTCTCGCATCAACCACCTCTACCATTCCTCTCCCGCCCCTTCAATACGCTCGTTCAGACCGCGCATCCCGGACCGGCCCGCTAGTGCAGCTTAGGCTGCTACATCCACTCCGACTACACCCACCACCTTTCCCTCCCCCCCCCCTTCAGATGCCGACATCTCACCGGTCATGATCCCTCGGTGGCTGCTGCTCGTGGTTGGCCTGTTGCTGGCTTGGTCCGCACAACCGGCCACGGCCAAGCGGGACCAACCCAAACTCGCGACGGAAGTCCTCGACCATGCGCCCTACGACCTATTCTATTTCAAAGGCACCGAAACCGTTCTATACCGTGATTTTAAGAAACACACTGCCCACGTATCATTCGATGGAGGCTCGAAATGGGAAGTTGTCAAGGGCCCCGATGGGAAGATGGAGGGCGCGGCGGCCATTATCTGGCCGCACCCGTACGACTCGAAGCGCGCCTACGTTCTCGGTGAAAGGGGTCAGCATTGGATCACCACCGATCAGGCTGAGACTTGGCAGCCCTTTGAGATTCCCGCCCGGCCTATGATGACGGAGCGCGGTACCCCTCCGCTTGCTTTTAATGGATGGGACGCCAAAAAGGTCATCTTCATGGGTCTGGATTGCTCTGGTATCCTTGGGTGCATGCCTAAGGCATGGTATACCACGGATGACTTTAAGACGTGGAACCCGCTGCAGGAGATGTTTTACTCGTGTATGTGGGCCGCCGGCACGCCGGAGTTTGGATTCGACCTTGATCTATCAGAGGACCTTGGAGATCGCGTTCTGTGCGTGGTGCCGGGATTGAAGGGCCCTATGCATTCTGAGCGGTTGATTTCTTCGAATGATTATTTCAAAAATGGTATAGATGGTACCGAGGTTAATCTCGACCGTGGACGGCCTGTGACCGGTAGCCAGATCATTGCGCGCTCCGTGAAGAAGTATCTGGTGGTTGGTTTACAATCGCAAGGTACCACTGAACAGGCGCTCTATATCAGTGATGACTCGAAGGAATGGCACCGCGCTGAATTCCGTGGACATCGCATCGAACAGGATGCGTACACCGTTCTGGAGAGCACTAATTACAGTATCCAAGTCGATGTGCAGACGACCTGGCATAAGAATAGTGTGGGTGTCCTGTTCTCGTCCAACTCCAACGGAACCTACTTCACGCCCAACATCGAGCATACGAACAGAGACGCGAACGGTTTCGTGGATTTCGAAAAGGTCGCCGATATTCAGGGCATTGTGATTGTGAACACGGTCAAGAATTGGGAGGAGGTGGAGGAGTCTGACAAGACAGAGAAGAAGCTTGTCAGTGGCATCAGTTTCGATGATGGCAGAACGTTCCAACCGCTCAAAGCGGATGGTGATGACCTCCATCTTCACTCTATGACCTCCTACGACTCTATGCACGAGCTCCCCATTGGCCGCATGTTCTCCAGCCCCGCGCCGGGTATCGTGATGGGCGTAGGTAATACTGGCGATCACCTGAAGAAGTACTCGGATAGTGACCTCTACGTCTCCGATGATGCGGGTCTCACCTGGCGCCGCGCGCTCAAGGGCCCTCACCACTTCAAGTTCGGTGACCAGGGCGGCGTCATTGTGGCTATCAGCGACGACGGCAAGACCGACAAAGTTAAATACTCCCTCAACCACGGCAAGGACTGGGAAGATGCTATCAAGCTGGAGCACAAGATTAAGCCTCTCTATATCACGACCACCCCGGAAGCGACTAGTCTGAAATTCTTGATTGTTGGCGAGTCCAACGAGAAGGAGGGCTACATTATTTACACGATTGATTTTGACGGACTCCACGAGCGCAAGTGTACCAAGGACGACCTCGAGCCCTGGTGGGCCCTCCTCGATGAGGATCGGAAACCCAAGTGTTTGATGGGTCACAAGCAAAAGTTCATGCGCCGCAAGGCTGATGCGGAGTGCTTCATCATGGAAGACAAGTTGGACCCGCCTATCTTCGAACCCTGCGACTGTACCAAGGAGGACTTCGAGTGTGACTACAACTTTAAGCGCAACGAAGAGAATGAGTGCGTGCCAGCCGTGCCACTTACTCCCCCTGCGGGTAAGTGTAAGGAGAAAGGTGATAAGTTCAAGGGCCCCTCCGGCTGGCGACTTATCCCTGGAAATACCTGTCGTCGAACGGACGGCAAGAACTATGACGAAGAGATTGAGCGTTCTTGTGACGATGCCACTGGCTCTCCTGGTGGTGGCATCGGTGGTGGTGATGGCAAGGTTCATGCCGGGAATGCGCATGAATTCGCCGGCACTGACCTGGAGTACTTCTATCTGGAGCGTCAGACGAGTAACTCGGGAGATGACGAGACTATCTTCCTGCTCTCTAGTAAGAACGAGGTATTTGTCACGCACGACCACGCCAAGACCTGGGATCAGCCCAAGGAGCTCAAGGGTGAGGTGATTGTCGGCATGCTCCAGCACCCTTACTATAGTGATGGCGCTTACTTCTTGACTGCTGGTGACACCGCGTACTCGACCATCAACCGTGGTGATACATTCAAGAAGTTCAAGCTGCCTACTTCCTTTGCGAATCGTGAGAAGGGCGATCCCAACCCGTTGGCCTTCCATGAGAAATACATGGACTGGATGATCTGGATGGGCAATGATGAGTGCAAGGGCAGCGATTGCGTGCCCGATGCGTACTTCTCCAAGAACCGCGGTGCGGACTGGGAAGGCCCCGACCTTCGTGGTGTCGGGCAGTGTCTCTTTGCCTACCACAATGGCCGCGAGAATAGCGAGGATCTTGTGCTCTGCGAGCAGTATGAGAAGGAGAGCAAGAAGTACAACCGCCAGCTCGTGTCCAGCGACTCCAAGGACAATTGGTTCGGTGACCGCAAGGTTATCAACGACAATATCGCCCACTTTGTCACCATGAACGATTACATCGTCGTGGCCACCTTCCCGACTGAGAAGCACAAGTACCTGAACGTCAGCACCAGCATGGACGGCCGCGTCTTTGCACAGGCCAATTTCCCCGTCAATGTCGATGTTCAGCAATACACCGTACTGCCCGGTTCCACCGATGCCCTGTTCCTGTTCGTCGAGATCAGCGCCGAAAAAGGCCACAGCTACGGCCAATTAGTCAAGAGTAACAGCAACGGCACCTATTTCGTCTCGAGTCTGTCTGCCGTGAACGTGGATGACCGTGGCTATGTTGATTTCGAGAAAGTTGCTAATCTCGAGGGTGTCGCTCTGGCTAATGTCGTCGCGAATGTCGACGATGTCAAGAACAAGGGCTCAAGCAAGAAGTTGCGCTCGGTGATTACTCATAATGACGGTGGTCAATGGGCTTTGCTTCCTCCTCCTGCGAAGGATGCCGAGGGCAAGAAGTTCGGTTGCTCTGTGACTGCGGGCAAGGGTACCGAGTCGTGTGCGCTGCATCTTCACAGTTATACTGAGCGTCGTGACTGGCGGGATACCTTCTACTCTGGCTCTGCTATCGGCGTACTCGTCGGTGTTGGTAACGTTGGTGAATATCTGACGAATGCTGACAGTGAAGACGTGGGTACGTTCCTGAGCAATGACGGCGGTATCACCTGGAACCAGGTCAAGAAGGGCCGATACATGTTCGAATTCGGTGACTCGGGTTCCGTCATCGTGCTCGTGCGCGAGCTAGAGGCTACCAAATCCGTCTTCTACAGTCTCGATGAGGGCAAGTCCTGGTCAGAGTTCCAGTTCGCCGACACTGACGTGATCGTCCTGGACATCTCGACCGTCCCCTCGGATACCTCCAAGAGCTTTGTCTTGTGGGTTCGCGAGCCCAAGTCCTCTAATCGCTTTGCCACTATCCCCATTGACTTCAGTGGTATTTGGGATCGGGAGTGTGCGCCGCCTGATGGCAAGGAGCCTAGTGACGATTACTATCTGTGGACTCCCAAACACCCGCTACAGGATGACAACTGCCTCTTCGGCCATGTGGAGCAGTACCACCGGAAGAGGCCCGATAAGGAATGCTGGGTGAACTGGCGCGATCCGCATGTGCACCGGGTCGATAGCTCGAACTGTACTTGTACCCGTGCGGACTTTGAATGGTAAGAAGTCATTCACTTTTGGCAGACACCGAGTCAGACTCGCTAACTAGATCATCAGTGACTATAACTACGAGATTCAAAATGACGGTAGCTGCGGTCTCGTGCCCGGCTTCCAACCACCCGACCACAGCCTCTCATGCAAGGACGACCCCGAACAGATCGAGTACTGGGAACCCACCGGCTACCGCCGTCTTCCCCAGACAACCTGTCAAGGCGGTTACGAGCTCGACAAGCTCCAGCCGCACGCTTGCCCCAACAAGGAGAAGGAATTCGAGCGCAAACGCGGCATCAGCGGCGTTGGCCTCTTCTTCGCCATCGTCATTCCGATTGCCGCCGCCGCAGCCTTTGGCTACTTCGTCTATACTCACTGGGACGGCAAGTTTGGCCAGATTCGCCTTGGCGAGTCCGGCAGCTCATCGGGCCAAAGCTGGCTCGCTCGGGATTCTCTCCTGGTCGCCGTGCCCGTGACTGTTATTGCAGGCGCTGTCGCCGTGGCTCAAGCACTTCCCATGCTTGCTATGAGTCTGTGGCGTAGTGTTAGTGGCTTCGTGCGTGCCCGCAGCCGCGGATACCAGCGACCATATGCGACGAGAGGATCATTTGCTGCGCGTCGCGGTGATTATACACATGTCGTCGATGATGAAGATGAATTGCTCGGTGCTGATGAACTCGAGGAGGAGGAGGAGGCGTAGATAATCACGGCCATACTGGGGGACAAAAGAAATCCGGTGGGAATCGACGATTTGGATTTTGTCTGATCTCTATCTATACTGGATCTGATTGGAAATTACTTGATGTGACATTATGAGCGTGATATGTTTGGCTTCTGGATCTTCATTATCTTTTTTATCCATGTTCTCTCTGTCTTTCTTTATTCTACTTTTCCTTTTTCTCGCTGTGTACTGCATATCTTGCTGGCGCCGGAGACAATCTCATGTTTCTCTTGGCCAGATTTTTGACGCCTTGGCAAAGATATAGAAAGTATGTGTCTCTTTCGCTTAGTTTTCTGTGGTTTTAGGTAGATCATGACCATCAATGGGAATTTGGTTTCGAACGGAGGTTGCGTCCTATTATTCTCCATACTAGTTTCCTACTTTGCTATCCGGTTTCACGCAGTAAGCTTGCTACTCACGTCTGACTTATCTCGGCAGGTCATCTGGCCCAAAGGAATCCGGCAGTAACTGTAGCGGTAGTGAGTAACGAGATACCAAATGACCTAGGATGGGGGGGGGGGCTGATGATCAAAAACATACCTCGCCCATCGTCTTGACGGTATACTTCCCCTCTCCGTCATACATATACACCGGGAACGAAGGCGTGGTGAACTCGCGGATACTAGTTGAGATGATTAGTCCACACTTATCCAGAGAAAGCTCTAGGTCTTCGCATCAGCGGGGCAAGAATACATACTACTGTCGACACATCCCGCACGGCGACGCACCGGGCGTGATATCCGTCGCAACGGCAATAGCCCGGAAGTCCTTGTGGCCGGCCACCTGAGAAACCCACAAAATTAGCTCTGAAGTTCCTTACCACGCCCATCTAAAACGTCTTAAACTGCAGATATTAGGAATCTGGGTAGGTAATCGAAGACGTACAATAGCAGTGGCGAACGCAACACGCTCAGCGCATGTTCCAACGGGGTAAGCAACGTTCTCCACGTTCGCGCCGACAACGAACTCGCCCGATGCAGTGAGGATGCATGCCCCGACACGGAACTTTGAGTACGGGCCTGGAAAAATCGTTAGTATGGCTGCGATTAGATGAAGAGGGTTGGCTGGCTGAGAAGCCTAGCTAGCTACTTAGCTAGCTAGCTCCGGCTAGCTTTTTGCTGCGGCGGTAGGTGCTCACAGTATGCGGCGGCTTTAGCGCCTATGGCCTTTGTGGAGAGCGTTTGGAGCTCTTGGGCTGTTACGGGGGCGGTGATGGGTGGCATCGTGGGTGGAGAGAGGATGTTGAGGTGGAAAGAAGGGTGAAAGGAAAAATAAGGTGGTTACACTGGAAGTGGAGGGCGCGAGGTGCGGAGGAGGGCGGGGATGATACTGCGATAGTGCGGCTTATCGCGTTTATCAGCGGGGTGCGGTTTTTGTGGATTGGGGTTGTTATTTGTGGTTCTTTTCTTGCTTGACTGGGCTGATATTGAAGTAATGACAAAAGTTCTGTCTGTTAGTTCCTATGTTGATTGGGTATCTTAGGTCTGTCGCTAGTTGGTGATAGCAATGGTGGAGAGGGGTTGGGCAGGATATTGACGAGGTGCGGGGACAGATATAGATCGACCCCTGGCAAGACATGTTTCTCCATCCTTGACGAGTGATCCAAGATTGTAATAACAAACATTCATATGGTGACCCTATCATCGCCGTACAGTTGCTTAGAACCCTTTGATATTCCCTCTTCTTTCAGACACAATCCACGATACGCGCCGGAACACTAAGGCGTGTGACACCAACCACTCTATATGCAGAATCTCAGTCCGAGCCCGAGAACCCAAGGGCATTCGCCAATTTTAGGGGTTACACAAGGGTGGAGCTGCCGAGCTGCAGATAATATAAGTTTCAAAGGTTATTTATAGACAACAGTGGCTGGCTTTACAATTCAGACCCATTTGCCCACGGCTCTGTGTTTGTTGATAGATACCAACTTCTACGCTATACATCATTTACATAGTTCTAATCAAGCCCATTTCCCAATCAAAGCCATGATACCCGCACCTAGCAGCGTACAAGCAACCATAAAGAACAGGCGAGACCGACGCTTCGTCCGGCAGGGATCGAACAAAAAGTCCCTCGCAAGCAATTCAACCAGACCAGTGTAAATCAAGATACCAGCCGAGACCGCGTTCAACACACCCTGAATGATCAACGACACCTTCGAACCGGGAGCATACGTGTGCCGCACTCCGAGACCAATGGCGATCGAAATGGGAGTTGTCAGACCGTAGGCGGCACACAGCATCCACGGAAGCCAGGTGTGATTGCCGAACGGAATGGCAGACATCCTAGCGCCGATACCCAATCCTTCAAAGGATTGATGAAAGACTAGGACTGGGTACAAGGTTGCGAATTCAGAACCGGTCACGCCGAGGTTAAGACCAATGATGACAGAGTGGAAGATGATACCGAACTCGAGCAGAAGAAAAGCAGCAATCTGTTGCCGGAAAGATCGCTCAGCGATAGTCATGTCGGTTTCACTAGAGGTCTGATGCTGCTTTTCGTCGTTGTATGCTTGCACGGTCTTTTCGACATCCGGAGCAGGTTGTACATCGAGGTGGTGTTCATGCTGGACGAACGCACTCGTGGCACCTTCGTCTCGATGCACGCCGTATTTATGCTCGACATAGACTTCGGCTGCAAGATCGAGGAGGAAGATTACCATCACCGTAGCCAGAACAATAGCCGCACACCAGGAATATTGACCCCAATATCCTGATACTCCAACGCAAGTCTTTGGGCCAATTCGTTTATAGGCAGGATCCAGCAGATGAATGAAGGCCGTGGCAACGATGACACCCGTGCCGAAGTATCGGGCGAAAATGTACACGCCGAATGGAATTTTCCATCGCGGCATGCGCTTGGAGACGACTGGGAAAACGGTGAAGGCAGAAGACACGAAAAGAATCACGAAGATTGAGGAGATACGAGCGCCCATGTGGCCATTGTACTGGTTTTCTTCAATGGCCAGGTAGCACAAAACATCCTCCTTGCTGGCAGAATTCAAGTTGACATTGGTAGGATCGAAGGACGACATGATGAATTACACTTCTTGAATGTCAAGCTCGTTTCGGTGATCGAGATGGACTCTGGATAGAAAGATCTATTTTGGTGATGAACATCGCCCATCTTATAAACTCGTTAGTGAGGACCCTGAGAGCCCTGGTATCCTGATGCTGTGGTTATCGCGAGATCCTCGAGCTTTGTGACTGTTGCCTAGCTTTTGTCAAGCTTTCCAGGGCTAATTTGTGGATCTTGGGGACCGAATGGCCCACTCCGGAGTTGTTCTACGTATGCTTGCTGTCCATCGGGCTGCATAGGGCTGAGTTGAGTGGGGTTTGTCGGCAATTGATGACTTTTGTGAACTCCATGATTCGTAGTTCAGAAGCATTCATTGGAATTCGTGGCCAGTGACTGTTGATTCACATACTCCGTTACAAGTACGTTCTCAGTAATAGTCAACTTATGGATGGCATGTCGGCCGTTCATTTTGCATTCAAGATGAGCAAAAATGAAACATGCTCCATGTGAGTAGCGCGTAGCTTTCAAGGCACTCGTAGCGTCCAAAATTCTCAAAATTCCAACTGAATTGTCAAGCGGAGCCAACCGCTCGCTTGTCTCATGCTGTGAGGACCCGGGGAGTTAGCGGGCTCCATCGAAGAAGATTGATCCGGTCCGTCGAGGCCGAATGGGCCTAGCGACTATTCGAAGTGTCAATCCGTCATAATCAACCAGCAGACTTTCATGTTCTCGGAATTGATCCGACTCGGAAGTGCGATCAGCATGCCCAGGTGGATGCGTTGGTAGCCGGTTTCCATATCCCTATGAACAATCGCGAAACCCACCTGTAATGACCTCAATAGTTTCAAGTAGTTTTGTATCTGTTCTTCTTCGACATGAACAAAATTTAGCCTCACGGCGGGAAGAAAGAGGCAAGTCCTAGTAAGACGTTGACTTGATGCCAGCAAAGCGGGGGAGATTTCAGCTTTACAACCTGGCGAGCCTCGGGCCTTCACTCCCCCGCTTCGACGTGAGCATCTCTCCATCATTTCTATCAGAGCCATCTGGTAAATATCACAACTTTATTTCAGCCAAGGAGCCTTCCATATGTCTACTATTCCTTCAGCGGAGGTCGTTGATGGTTGCAAGACCTTCATCCCTCTTGGTACGTTGCATATCTCTGCCCTGCGGAGAGCAAAACTGACGATGCGATACGTATAGAAAACAATCCCGATGTGCTGAGTTATCTTTGCGGGAATCTCAGTATCTCACAAGATCTTGCATTTCATGATATCCTCTCGTTGTCACCGGAATTCGTAGGAGAGTGGTACCCCCGACCTTGTCATGCCTTGATTCTACTCGCACACACGCCGATCTACGAAGCTGCCCGCTCGACAATTGAGCCAACCATCACAGAATATCACAGCTCAGGCCCCCATGAGCCAGTTCTATGGATGAGACAGACTATCGGACATGCTTGTGGGCTGATGGCACTTTTGCACATAGTCTTTAACCTGGAAGGTCGTCGATATGTCACTCCAGGTTCGGAACTAGACACCCTCCTCCAGCAAGCTATCCAATTGGGTCCAACGGAGCGAGCTCAATTACTCTATGACTCCAAGTTTCTCGAAGAGGCCCATATGGACGCGGCCTCGGGCGGATCCTCGACTGCCCCCTCGCCCCGGGACGAGAATCATCATCATTTCGTGGCTTTTGTTCAGGAAGAAGGGCAAGTGTGGGAGTTGAATGGAGGCATGAATGGACCCCTGCTACGAGGAACACTAGATCAGGGGGAAGATCTACTGAGTGAGAAAGGGCTCAGTCTCACCGTGAAAGATTTCTTGGACGCTGCTGAACAAGACGGCCATGAACAGATGAGTATTGTCGCAGTCACTGGAGCCAATGCTGTTGCTCCACGTTCAACTTGAAAGATCGTATTCATTCAGCAGATGCAACGGATAGTCACGGTCCTTGCAAGTTGGTGAGAGCATGTTGCGAAGTAAGAATCAAACACCTTGAATAGCTCGTACACTCGACCCCTATCCGACGCGACCGAAGTAGCGTTCAATTAGAATGTAAAGGCTTCGTCACTAGGAAAGCGTTCTTACAGGTGACTGTGTAAGTGGGTACAAGCATTACCATAGGGGTATTGAGACGGAATGAATAGGTTGGATTGATGGAGTGAAAGAAGGCTGGGGTAGTCGGTTATCTGTCTTTTCGAGGACGACTTGCGGGCACTGGAAACTACATTGTCCTTACTGTTATGAAGCCAAACGTGTCAAGCTACCGGTTCGTGACCCGACGGCCCATCCAATGCAGAGATACTACATATTGTACTACATATTGTGATTGTAAATAGCAGAACTTGTTGAAGGTGATAAAGGATAGAAGACTTAAATGAAACAATTTCTTTTTTGGGGTGATATCTAGGGTATAAAAGCAGAATGAGACAGATAACACAGGTAGATAGATAATTATGTGCATCCAGATCCAACATCAACCGACCCAAAGGTCAATAATCTATATGCAAAGAGGTGCTCTAACGCAGCTCATCCAAAGTACGATCGTAATCCTTCATAAACGGAGAAAATAAAGGCTGAACTGGGCGCCGAGCGCAAACAGGTGATCCCGCACCCGCGGTACATGCCCTTCAGACCTTGCTGTCTCCATAATGCACGCCCGACACCGATAAATGTCTGTCGTTCTCCCTTGGCAAGAGTCGAGATGTCGGCCGTTTGCATGCGCGACTTGATGGTGTCTGCCGGGTAGAAAAAAGTATTATAGCTCATACCCGCCGAGGCTCCGGCAATCATTTGTTGGTAGAGTGGGAGAGCCTCTGACTCCGGGGCACCAGGCTGGGAGTAGCTGCGCAACAGGGAGGAGACACCCTCGTAGCCGCCAAACCAGGCGGCGCTACCACCGGTCTCTCGGATCAAGGTGCCGAGCTGACCGCGCCAGAATCCTAAAAGGCCTTCTTGGCGGAACACTCGTGCGACCATGGCAAGTGGTCCCACGGGCTTGTGCCCTGCGGACTCGACAGGGACCTGTATCTTGCATTTGATAAGCTCAATGGGTGTGAGAGCTAGGGAGGTGACGGAGCCCGACAAAGCTCCGCTGGCAAGGAGAGCTGTAAAGGGCAGCTGCTCCACGCCGGGAAAGACGGTAGCCCGCAGCATGTCCTGAATGACGCGATAGCTGAAGAACAGACAGCTGGTTTCCACTGCGGCCCCGAACATAGGGGCACTAATGCCCCGATATAGGCCCCGGAGTCCATCTACCTGGAAAGATTGTTTAAAGCAGTCCACCGGTCCGGAATATCGAAGAGGGAGGTGTTCAGGTTGGGATTGGAGTCGGACTTTGACCGTGTCGAAGGGATATTCGATGAGTTTTCCTGCCATTCCAGCCGCCTGGGGATTGGGACCCGAGGTCAGTCACTTTGCCTACATTCCCGACGACACATGAAACACCACTCACCGATCCAAAGACAATATCTTTCATCGCCTCGAGGCCCTGGTTGGGCGGAAGAGTTGGCAGCTCCATTGCCACTGACTCATCGCTGATCGTGATCGCATGCTCGGCTGCCGCCATCAAGGCTTCCCACAATCACTCGGACACGTACAGACGGGTTATCGCAGGGGCATGATTCGCAAGAAAGAAGTCAGAGAGGGTATGTGGGCGTGTCGAGGGAGATTTTAAGGGAGCGATTTGTCCGAGTCGGTCTCGGAGTTGAGGTGGGGGGAGGGGCGGTGAAAACGAGCGATTTGCTGTAGCCAAGCCCCGCCTGCAGTGCGAAAACCAGGGATTTTAGGGTGGAATCGGCTCCTTTGACAGAGGTAACGGCTAGAAGCCGGGCTGGATGGCGTAAGAAGAGGAGAAGTGCCTAGGAAGAGTGGAGCGAGCGAGGGCAAGAGGAGCCTGGAGAGTGGCTGCCCGAGTGCAGAAAATGTTAGCGCCCAGCGCCAAGACATTTTATCGATCAGATAATCTCCCGGTGAAATTTTCGCCCGCGCGCCGGTCCACGAGATTTGCGATCGGATTTCCTCTCTGGCCCTCAGCTCTCGATCCCCTCGACCCCTTATCCTGTCGTTCTTGGGTCTTTTGGGTCCTGTCAAGTTATTGCATCAGCCAGGGTATATTCTGCATCATGTCATCTGCCACCGAAACCCCAGCTACCACGCCCGCGACGGCCCCGGCCACGGGCATGCGCAAGAATGGTCAGTCTACCAGGAACCCGAAAGTTCTCCACTACTCTCGGTCTTTATCTCCCGACTGACCCGACTCTTTCCCCTTTCTAGGCAAGAACTGGCACGCTTCCAAGAAGGCCTTCCGCCCTAGCGCCGGTTTGACATCCTACGCTAAGCGTCAGGAGGCCCGCAAGCAGCTGGATGCTAACAAGGAACGCGAACGTGAGATGAAGGCGGAGAAGGAAGCTGAGCGTCAGGTATGCCTTTCTATTCTACTTCTCATCGTCCTCTATAATTCCCTTTCAACACGATACCTGCTTGTCCTGGTTATCTCTTCTCCATGGGTTGATCGAACCATCTTCCGTTTGGCTTGCCATCTCGTTTGTTCACCGTCATCTTCTTCGTGGTACCTAACAACTTCTTTCTCACCCAGGCCCACATCCAGCGCATCAAGGATAAGCGAGCTGCCAAGGAGGAGAAGGCTCGCTACGAGAAGATGGCAGAGAAGATGCACGCAAAGCGTGTCGAGCGCCTGAAGCGCCGCGAGAAGCGCAACAAGCTGCTCAGCTCTTAAGGATACGAAAACAAGACCAGAGCACAGTGTATGGTTTATCACTGTTGCCGCTCATCATATCACCAACTTGCATGTACATATACCACCCAACCCAAGTACTGTTGGGCTACTTGGGAGAAAAGACCCGACCATCGGGCGTGGGTGGTTGGGTCACCGGCGTTCTCTAGGAGTGGTTTCCGAGGGATTTTGACTAGTTATTACGATATATCAACCGAGACAATTGCATAGTACTTCAACTACCTATCCAATTATATGCTAATCAGCATGACAGCTGATCTCCATAGACCGCGGCCCCAGAGCTGCATGTCCCCACGGGGTTTACCAAGCAGCTGGGACCGATAGCTAACAATAAGAGAAGGCGCCTGACTAGTACAGAACTGAAGAATGAATCGACTAGTCGGGTCGCCATCAATCTACTTGGAAAATGATCACGAACTGGTTGCTGGTCCACGAGAGGTAGATACATGGACAAAATATAGTACGCGGAAGATCTCGACAGGGCAAGATGTCTAGAATAATGATCGTAGCTAATATGACATTGTTTATGAATTTGACACATTCAAAGAAATTCGCAGGGCAAGGGCAGTCAACTGTACTTGACATGCACATGGCCGCCAAGTCATACTAATATAGTACCAATGTACTTTGTCGTGTAGGGAGCAGCCCGCCGATCTCCTTGACTTGGCGTCACCTTTCTCCGCCTCACAGACCTTGAACCTTAGCCCAACGAAGCTTCGCCCTCTTCTCTTACTCTTCAGACCTACCCAATACACACAAGAATTTAATCATGTTGATGTGCTGACATGGACTTGCACCACCTCAAATCTCCACTTTTCTTATCATCCTCCAGAGCGACCTCCGCCACTTTCCCGCTGACCCATGGGTCCTCCACTCCCCGATCCAATGACCAACCCACCCTCGACGAGCCGTTTGCAGTCCGCAACGAGACCCCAACGAACCGGCACTTAGCCGAACACCCTTCTTATCGACGGCATCATGGTCGCAGCCATCACGCCTCGCCTGACGAGTCCCTCGCGCACGCCCGCACCCGATCATCGTCAAAGCAAGTGGAGCTTCCGGGCTTTGATGGCCTAAAGTCCCATCATCGACACAAGCATAGCAAATCACGGGAACTTCGATTACCACGCCCCATGAGCCATCTCGCGTCTTCGGCCAGTGCGCGTGGCCTGCTGTCTACCTGGTCGAGTGGTCGGGATAAAGAGCGCGAGAGTGACGATGGGTTACTGAGGCCGATTACGCGAGAGACGACCCGGTCTCGGTGGGGATCGGATTCGACGAGTGGAATGGGCTCGGGGAGTCGGAGGGGTAGTCTTTTGGATGCGCCTGAGCAACATGAGCGGCTGGGTCCTATTCAACGGCAAGAGATCCAATCGATGGAGGATCTAGAGCAGGTCAAGAGACGCCGAAAGCAAGGTGAAGAGTACGAGGGACCCTTTCCCTTCTAGATGATGACGCGGCGATTGTGTAGCTGAGCATAAGGCTGATGAGTGCGCTTCTAGGTATCTACGATCCTTGCTCTCCTCTGTAGGGACCATCGCGACAGACTTGACTCGACGACTGGACTACACATACTATAATTTACTCGAGAAGATCACTGCGCTCAACTCAACTATTGGCTTGTTCCAGGAACTATCCGACTCGGCCTCGACCCTGCTCAATGACTTTGAGAGTGAAACGGCCGGGTTAGACCAGGAGATTCGCAAGCAGATCAATGATCTGAAAGGTTTTGAACCGCAGATTCGAAAAGCGGATGCTCTAGACGAGCGCATGAAGAAAGGCCGCCAACGAGTGGAAGAGCTGGGCAAGCGACTCGAAGCTGTGAGACAGCAGATTGATAACTGGGAAGAAAGAGAGGCCGAGTGGCAGACTCGCACCAGCCGTCGGTTGCGCATCTTCTGGGGTATCGTCAGCGGCGCGTTCGTGGTGCTCGTGCTAGCTCTTGTATTGCGGAATTGGCCAACTATCAGTTCACCCCATGCTGATGCGGTCCCCGTACCAACGGAGTTGGCGAAGCTCGTGAATGAGTCTTCTCCTGGCTCTACTCATCTACCCGATACTTGGGAGTCGGTATTGAGGGTGAGTGATCCGGAAAATACATCGGGCTCATCCTGGTACCCGTCGAGTCTCGCAGATCGACGTCAGAGTCTCGAGCATGCGCAGGCGGCATCAACTGCCTCAGCAAGCTCTCGGGCCGAAGAAGACGACGCGGCGACGGGACACGATCCGTTTAGACTACTTGATGAGCTATGAGATGTTCGTCGCGGTTTCTTTCGCAACATTCCACTTGCGGTGGTGTACGTTCTCACTGCGCGCTTGGTCAGAGGCGTTATCTTGTTTCTATTGTACTTTTAATTTGGTCATGTCATGATACCCTATCCGCTATAGATTCATTGTCGTCATAAGAGTTCCTTCATGCCTCATCCTTCTTCTTCTTTTTGTCCTCGATCAGCTGGATGTTGGACGCCGCGGGCACCTTGCTACCGTAGACCTCCAACAGCCACTCCTTCACGTCCTCACTCACGTCACCCTGCACGGTAATCTCCTCCGTGCCCGCGGGTGATCGAGTGACCGACGATCCCGTCGCAAATTTCTTGCCCAATTCTTTGGCAAGCTTCTTGTTCTCGAGTCCGAAAACCTCCAGTCCAATAATGACCGTTACGTGCTTGCGCTTGTTCCGCTCGACGCGCTTAATCACAATCTTGGAGGTGGCCTTGCGCTCGGCATCGCGGGCTTCGCTCTGAGCTGCCTTGGCTTCCTTCTTTGCGGCATCCTTGGCGGCACGTTCTTGGGCGGAGACGGAGAGGGTGGAGAGATTAGCGTTCAATGCATCTGGCAGAGGATAGTTTGTCAGATAATTGATGTCTCCAAACTTTTCACGCAGATAATTGTCTGCTTGTGCAGTAACGGAACGACAGGGCCGACTATCCGTGCATACCGTCAGAGTATAACCGAGTCCAGAGGTCATCGTGGTTCTCCTTCAACCACTCCTCGCACTTCTTGGCCGTTCCTCCAAATTCGCAATACTACATCCATTAGCGTCAATTGGCGTCCCATTGCAGACAATCTTTCTCGGGAAAAGGCGTAAGGCTAGGACTTCTTACCTCGGGAGGAAGAGAACAAACTGTCGGAATCCATTCCGTTAGCTCTTTTGCTCTCTCTCTCTCTCTCTCTCTCTCTCATGTAATATATGGCCTTTGCCGAGCGGCAGCTTCGGGCTCGCGAGAGGCCACCATCGAGGCCACGGGGGGTGGGTTGTCACTTACCTCCGCAATACACGATATGCCGGGCCTGCGGCTCGACCGGGCCTGAATCTGCCACCTCAGCCATGGTTTCACTAGGGGCAAGTGGAAGGGAGTGAAAATTCCGGCTTGCTCGTCTAGACCTTGCTTCTCTGGTCGCGGGCGAGTACGCGGGGGACGGAGGGGCATTCAAGCTAGTCCGCTTTGGGAGACATATCTATCACGTGATCTTATACCCGCAAACCCCCGTCGTCGAAAAAGACTCGGGATGTCGGGAGTAGTACGTGCATCTACTGTAGGCAGGGTCACACATCGGTACATACAACGTACATTGTCTCGATTATATTAATTTCCGAGTTCTGCAGATCCCCTGCCAATTTACAGTATCTATAGCATCTGCAGCCATTGACAACAAAGCAGATAAAAAGAAAAAAGCCCTTGCTCATGCATCTAGATATACTCTGCACTGATTGCTGATTTGACCCCGCCCATAGTGGCGTTCAATGACTTTGAAACATGCTTCGTAGCAAAAGAATGAGGGGCACCGTTATCGTCACCTACCGGGGTGGAGAGCAGGACCCAGCCTTGTCAAGTTTGCTTTTCATGCATCTCCGCGCAATGCTGGGCCGTTGAAGTGCCAAGGTACGAAGCATGGAGGGGAGAGCAGGCAACGTAGCGGGGCCTGATAGAGCGATAGAGTGATAGGGCGTCCTGCAAGCTCCAATTGGTGCCCAGATGATGATAGATCCGCACGACCGTTGGCGAGGAGCCGTTGCCAGCTGTTGGCACGCTTGCAGCCGTGATAAGATAACTGGAGCAAGGAGAATGACGGGAATGACTAGGGTGTGACGGCAATCCCCTTTAGAGCGGAGGGGTTGACAGGTCTGAGGATTTGAGGTTTGAGGTAACGACTTTCTCTCCACGCTATCCACTTGCTAGAGGATTCAATTGATATCAATGGCTCGGAAGGTGCAGGGCATGTTACCCGAGTTACTTCGCGAGAGCTGCCCAGGCTGAGTCGTGCGGCAACGTCTAAATCTGAATGGCCTAATAGGGCCAAGAATAAAGGACGCAAAAGAGGCATTGAGCCGCTAGGACCCATCAGTCTGGTCTAATTCGGCCCTGGTTTGGCGTCAAATGGCTCGCGCTGCTCGTCATACTGAAACCTTGGGAACCGCGTCGTCACGTCTTTTTGGGGGAAACCTGTAGGAGCTTTCACATAGAGAAGCCCACCCCCACCAAAGAAAAAAACCCCGGTCAACTGGAGGATTGACCGGGGTGAGGGTCCCGCAGTGGGCCAGAACCAGGTTCAAGCGGGCTTTGATAGCAAGTTCGCAACCACAAAATGGGCGGCAGAGTCGGGCGTTTTAAAAGCATTGGCTCGAGGACGGCTGCAGTCGTGCAGCTGGGACTGGCGCTGGGCGCTAGGAGTCCCTGGAAAAGGCTGGAAAATCCCCATCTTGATCCTTGGATAATTGGAAAAGGTCGAAGAGTCCAGACTATGATGGTGCAAGGGCCTCAAGTCAGGCTTTTCGTCCAACTCTCCGTTGTACGGTAACATGCAGCGATGCGACCATATCACTGGCCCCATTGGCCTCGGATTGCGCCTCGAGGGTTTAAGTTCGGGCCAATCATCGGTTCGTCGAGCCTCTTGGCCACGACCAAAGAATCAAAGGACTCCCAAGGGCCATCCAGAGCCCAGGGCCCCAAGGGCCATGCAGACGCACGGACAAAAGACAATTCTGCGTGTCCGATTTCTAGTCTCTTCTCTTTTTCGCCCCCTCTCCTGGCAAGAGGTCCTATCGCTGTTCGGCAAAGTCTCGGTGCTTGAGGGAGCAGGATTATGATCATCTTCGGGCCTTTCTTTGCGGAGTCCGATGGTATAGTGAGAAGAAAAGTACGAGGTGTAATTCTTGTTGTAGTCGTTGCTATCATCGGACTCTGTGGGGCCGTTAGTCCATCTAGGATCGTCCGAGCTTTCATGTGGTCAGTTCGTAGTCCGTTACTATCTTGACTTCCTCCCCTCACCAACCGGAAACTCCCCACCAAAAGTTGTTTCGACGGCAATCATGGGTCACCACGGGGGACTCTCGCTGAAACGCATATCCTGGATAACTCGGATGCACCAAATGCGCCCAGCCATCAGGGCTAGGCGCCACCAGGTTTCGCAGGACTAGCCGCAGGTCCTGGAGTCATCGACCTGGGCCTGTTCCACCGGGATCGTTAACGCATCGGCCGAAATCTAGATACGCTTATCTCTTCCACGGGAAGGCTTGGGAGATTTTGACAACCAGTTTAGACCAGCGCCAACAGCTTAGAGGACGTTTCTACCCTGACTCGTGTCTCAGAGTCCCCATCCAACGACGACTTCCAAAGTATACTTGCAGCGGAGCACTCTCTCCCTCAAGGTCCGTGCTGGTCGCTAGTGGCGGTCTTCGGCTACATCGAGTCCATCGGCCCGTCGATCGTACTCGCGCGCTTTGCTGGCCGGAGGATTATTAGGTTTCGAATCTGCAGCCGCACGGTCCCATGACGCTGGTTTTGGTTTTTTGGCCTTGGGCGATTTGGGCCGTTGGTCTATTTTGATTTGACGGATTTTTGAGGTTACCGTTTGGGTGGGGAAAGAGATTGCGCAGAGAGCGAGTTCCACAGTCGAGATACTACTAATTGCTGCAGCTAACAGGGTTTCCCTGGGATTTTGTCGCCCTGCGTACCCGTTATCTAGCTGGAAGAGGGGTCCTACTCGGAGATGATACTGGTGGGAATCATGATTATGAGCATTGAGTCGCACAAGGTAATAGCTACGTGACAATTCATGGTTGAATGCAAAGCGGGAGCACAGCATCATTCTAGAAGCAGACCGATTGCTCACCGGGGGTGAGCATCCGATATCCGACGGTGTTGCGAGCACGGGAGGCTATCATGGTCACCCATAAAGATGGTATCTTTGAATTATAAATGTAGGATTCACTGGTTTCATTGGCCAGAAGAGGTTAGAGGACGATGAATGCGAGCTATTTACCCCTGCCCTATAGTGCATCGGGGAATATTGCAGCCTCGAAATGATGACGATTTATAACGTAAATCAGGTGGAATCAACATAGAAATGGTGTTTCACTTTCATCAGCACTATACTTGTCGTTTCCATATACCTACCGTGTATTTCCAAAGTACCCTTTTTCGTGAATTTTATATTTTTATGTTGTTATACAGCTAGTGCAATCATTCTACATTACTCGATTATCTCGTTACATTATGATCTCCTCTGACTTGCAGCTGGGCAAGTCCACTAAGCATGTCGTCCAGTCCCATACACGCCCCGAGAGCCCACTCATGCGCCCCTTAAACCGCCTCTGGAGGCAGCCAAGGGAGCTAATTCACTAGTGACCGCACCGAGGTTGAGTTGATCCAACGACGGAGCCTCGTAGTATCGGTAGTATAGCAGAACGATCCTGCAAGTCATCCTGCGTGTAGTCTCTCGGCTAGACATTGTCTCTATATAATCCTGTATTGATTGCGACCTTTACGGCCTGCCAGGTGGATCGTGCTGCCAGACGTGGACCTTCGTCCCACTCTTCCTTATTTTCTGTACACTTTTCCCCGGGTCGAGGGGAACCAGCCTGACAGGTGGAGCGAGCCGGTGGAAGGCAGCATGTCCTACCCCAGCCCCGAACGGTGCTCAGACCCTAATTGTGGATGCCTTTGGCCCCCTCCCCTCCCCTCCCCTCCGAGCTTCGAGGCGCATAGGGTGAAAGAGGGAGAGAGCATTATGTTATCGTTATTGCTCAGGTTCGTAATCGGCTATGCCTACTCCCTCATTGCAGGTTCTAAACCTGTTGGGCCATCATAGCTAGTATACATACAATGGATGGGTACAAGGGGGACGGGCTGCGTGCATGATTATACCATTATATACTTTTCGTTATCATATCAACGGTTACGATTATGCTGCATGGATGTATGTCGATCCGAAGAAAAGAGATTATACACTTCTTGCTCGTATTATGCTATCAACGTCCAATTCACTACATACTACTTGCTATCACAAGTTGTATGCCTTCCACCCCGAAACCTTCCCGTTGGCTATAAACGGCCCGAAATTACCTGGATGTCAAAGTACGGAGGACCTTGAGGATCCATCCGTGATCATCCGAAAGTCCGACCGTTTGCCCCCCTTGGAAGCGTTGCGACCAGACTCCACTGGATCGACTGGTGTAGCTGTCGAGGAATGGAGGGTCCACTTTTGAGGGGGGCTATCGTGCGGTCTAGCCCTCGTATATACCGGTCGCTAACTTGCTCGGGGGAGTCTAGGGCCAAAGAGACTCCAGAGGCGAGTCCCCGTTCGTTTTGCACTATTTGCGTTCGTAGGCCATCCTACCTATGGTACAATCTCTGGGTCGTACTATTGTCGTAGTACGTACTGTAGTTGCAAATCATCGATCTAGACAACCTTCCGGACTACTGCGTGGTGGCGACTTGGTGCGTTCAGGCACTTTTTTTTCCGCCTCGCCGAGGATGAAGAACGGAGGAAGTAGGGAATAGAAATAAAAACCATGATATTAATGGAGCTTAAGTTTGTTCCGAGGCGGTTATCGGATCCCATTGGAATGGGAATTGGACGCAACCAATCTCCGTGAAGATTATAAGTTCCTGCTGGGATTCCCAATCCGGCCTCCATTTGGTGTCACCATTCTTGAGAGAGTTTCCTTGTTGTTCGCTCTTAAACGGCCCTCTCTCCTCCCCCCTCCTCTCTCTCTCCAAAGAAGTCTAGAGGTTTAGACTTTACGTGGCTCTCTCTATCTGTTCATTAGTCGACGGTTCGTCGGGGGCCGATTCCCGTGGTTCATCCTTATCAAGACTCGCTCTCCTCCTTCCTGTTTCCTTTCCTCTTTTTGTCCTTCTCTCGCCTCCCCGCATCTTTGCTTTTTTTTTACTCTTTTTTGGTTGAAATCATAAAGCCTCCTCCTCCCACAACTTCCCCCCGGGGTTCCCAGACCCGCTCTTTCCCCCCCCCCTCCGCCTGTTTTTTTTGTCGCCTTCCCAACTTCTCTCTTCTACCACTTTCCCCCTTCTTTGTTCTTCTCTCGTATATCTTGGCTATTTCAACCTCGATGTCTTGCCGCTAAGGAGACATTTTTTGTTCCACCCTGCCATCCCCATTCTCGCCCTCTCGCCCTCTTGATACCGAAGGAACCTCTTTCCTTCGTAACGGGGAAATGACGGCGGTGCTGGCGACTCCCCGCGAACAGGCTTCGCAACAGTTCGCCGGCGACCCCTTACGGTCGCCTACTGCGCAGCGCTACTTCCTGGGCGACCACGGCATCTTGTCCAAATACCCGATGCAAAATGAATACTCGGCCCGGGAGTGCCCCAGTCCCGTAGCCTCCTCCACACTCTCTTCCATGCCGCCTTCGCCGAGCTTCCAGCCCGCCCACGATCAGCTTCCTTACACCCCGAACACCCTCAGCACGCTCTCCCTGGATGACGACCTGCTACTACCTTCCTACGATTCAGAAATTGAAAAGTTGAGGGGTTCCAAGGATGTGGAGCACGAGACGGATACGGTCAGCGACGCGTCGGCAGATGGTGCATCACAGACCCCGGCATGGTGCCACAACCCGGCCGCAGATGATACCTCGGTGGAAGAGGAACCCTCGAGGCATGTGGACTATCTTTCCCACGAGTGGCGTGAAGAGGATATCTGGGCATCCTGGCGCTATGTCGCTGCGCGGAAGGGATCCTATAGCAATGGGGTTCGGTTGGAGAACGCGTCGTGGAGGACATGGGCCAAGGCGAAGAACAACCTCGGGACCATTTCCCCAGAAAGCTTGAATTGGTACGTACCGATTCACAATCTCCCCACTACGGTCCCCTGCAATCATGCGTCTCCAGGAACTGACACTGTTTTCCCAATAGGTTGAAAGATTGCGATGTCACATGGCTCTACGGCCCTCTTAAGACGTCCAGCTCTTGTGATGCCATCGCTTCGGATGCATCCCCACCTCCGAGTCGTCTAGATACTCCAAACTCCTTCTTGGATCCGAAACCGATTCTGAAGAAGAAGACCATGTCGGAGACTATCCTTCAACGGTCGCTTTCCCAACACACTCTACTACAACACGCGGGTGCTATCCTCAAGGCCCAGGAGGCCGAGAACAACTGGACCCGACCTCCTTTCCCGCGGTCCAACACCGACCTGGACCAGCTACACCATCGAACTGCGAGCTCTACCTACTCCTTGGGCGGCACACTCACCAATTCGTCCTGGTCAGGACTAACCTCTCCCAGCGAACGACGTCACATTCACTTCAATAACGAGGTCGTACAGTGTATCGCCGTGGAAGTCAAGGAGATTGACGAGGACGAAAGCTGGCCCCCTGCCTTTGACGAGGAGTCGTCATCGGATGACAGCGTGGTCATGATGCGACAGATCCCCGGCCGCGCCTCCGTCAGCAACCGAAGCACACCTCGCAATAGCTTCAGTAGTGACAGCAAAACCATTGCTCCTCTTCCATCCACCACTCTCAAATACCGCGGCGATACTCCGGAACCACGAGAGTCCATTCTCGATCGCTGGTCTACTTCCTCCCCATCATCTTCCTCCTCCAAATTATCCCCAACTCCTTCCGTGGAAACTCTCCGACCCCCTCGGCCGTCGGCCAACTTCCTTCTTGACGATGAGGATGAAGACCCCACGTTAGACTTTACCGGTCACTATACGCATCAAGATCAGCCGTGGTTCGTTCCCGAAGATGAAGACGAGCTTGCCGACCGGCCGCTCCGACGCACCCCGTCGGGCATGTTCATGCCCTACGGCGAGGGCGAAGGGGAGCCTGCTAATCATGGCCTCTTGGGCCGAGTTGTGGACACGGTCAATACCGCGCGCGACATCGCTCATGTCATCTGGAACGTGGGCTGGCGCCGATGACCCTCCCTGTCAGCTTCTCTTGGCGGATTGGAGCGCTGGCAGGTTTCCCAGCCTGTCGTCAGGAGAAGCACATCTTGACCCGTAAACGAGTCCGCCCCTTTTGTTTGGTATAATACGAAAATCGGCTGCCTAGATCTGTGGCGTCGGGCGCTGCAGATTTTCCGGAGTAATGGTACGGACATGATGAACTGCTTTCTATAGATTCCCCCCAAAAGGGAGGAGGAAAAGGTTGGATCAGGAACACGAACCTCCTCCCTGATTGGATCCTTCATGTATGAATGAGATATGCACATATTTAATACCACCGGCTTGAAGCCGAGCTCAAAAATACAAAATGAGTTCTACGAAATATTGTCTGTTTGTGTTAAAATCATCGATAGAGTAAATGAAATCAATTTCAATAATCTATTCAGACGCTTTAAATCTCAATTCAGTCCGTCGTGCTTTGTAGCTCGGAAGGGGTTCGTAGGGTTAAACTCGAGCTCCAATCGACTTGCCCCACAAGGCCCCCCTGATCCTCTCCCCAATCTCCCCGCCTATTCCTCCCCTTCACAGCCCCCAACACGCCGCGGGGAGGTTCCTACAACGACCATGGATACCGTCAATGTCGCCGAATTGGTGGAGCGTCTGGGAAGCGACGAGGATGCCGTGCGCAAAATGGCCGTCTTCAAGCTCCAGAGCAACATCGGCGACCCATCCTTCGCCGACATCTTTATTGTCGAGGGTGGATTGACGCGCCTGCGATACCTGACTCTACACGCAAGTGGAAATACACTTGCGTACAGTCTGACCAGTTTCGCGCGCTTGCTCGAGGTCGACAAAGGTTGGGAGTGTGTTGACCAAGAATTGGTGGAACGAGTAAGACCAAACAAACCCCTAGCATTTGCCGTTACTTCTGCTTCTCTCCATGGGAATCTCCTCTCTCAATTTGTTTGCGCCCACCTGCTAATTACCATCATGATCGCATAGATTGTCGAATTGATTGTCACCCATCCCCTTGTTAACATCCTCCGCGGCGCCATGTCCATTCTGGTCTCCATTGTCTCACATCCACACACGGGGAGTCGCGCCTCCGAAGCAGACCTGTTCGGTTTCAGGGCCCTCAAACCAGCAATTGCTATATATCCTCAGTTTCTGGAGATGCTGGTGAGTCGGCTGTCCTCGGCAGACCACGCGTTGTGCGCCAATGCGCTTCAATTGATCAACTCCCTCATGCGCGACTCGATCACTTTCGACTCCGAGGCCGAGTGGCCCAAATTTATTCAGAAACTGCAAGACCTGGGGGTGATCCGAGCGGTCTATGTTCTCATGCAGGACTCGGCTCTCCAGGATTTGGCACATCCGCTCCTCGAATTCCAGTCGCTCACAAAGGTGCTCCTCCGCAAGTGGAGGGACATTTCCCTGAACCAAGAGAAGCCGGAGCATCGCAGAGCACTGAAGGGGATCTACCTGGCTAGCAACCCGACAAAGGGTGGCGTTGATGAAATCTCGGAAAATGGCGACGATACGCGGCGCTCTAAGCGACACCACCCAGATAAGTGGCGCCGATTGGGATTCGAGTCGGAGAGTCCTGCAGCCGAGTTCCACGAGGTGGGATTTTTGGGAATGATGGATTTGGCGGACTACGTCCGTAGCCACCAAGATGAATATCAAAAGATGCTTTTGGAGCAATCTACCAAGCCAGCACGCCAACGGTGTCCGATTGCCCGGGCCTCTTTGGCCGTCACCTCCATATTGTATGAACACTTTGAGGTGGACAAGTCTGAGATGGATGATTCCAAGAACTATATGATGTTGGAGTCACGGTCCAACTTTGATAAGCTGTTCAAGCCATTACTTCTGCACTGGACGCGATTACATGTCGCAGGGCTACAGGCCTTCTTCCGCCTGTGGAAAGCCACTGCGGCAGAGTCTGAGGATCTGGACAAGCTTGTCGAGCTGGTTCGCATTTTGATAGAGTCCGTGGTAGGTGGTGCCGGTCGGACGAAGGATGTGCAGGATGTAGAGGAGGAGCTAGCAAATTACGAGTACCACCGACTGCGGGAGCTGCAAATGGAGCTCCTCGAGCTCACTTACGAGGATGCATGGGGCCAGCACTTGCGCCAGGTTCGCGATGAACTCCACCACGAGGCCCTGCAATTTGTCAAAGAACAGCGTATTCGATGCTTGCTGCAGGGTGCCTGGTTCTCCCTGGAGCCATCATCCAAGACGGAGACGGCGGCTGCTACTCGGTCCACCGCCTCGCATCAATATGTTCAACTCTCTCATAACCGGCGGTATCTTCACTTTGGGGAGTTTGATTCGGTGGGCGATCGAGCCCCTGAGCTGGATGCTCTGCCAGAAAAGAGTGAGCTATCAACGCCTTCCTTCTTTCCACTCGTTGGTCAACATCTAGCGATGAAGTCACATGCTAACATTCGCGTTTAGTCAATCTGTCTACCGTCTCCTCCGTAGTCTCCAACGTTTCTACCGCGCCCGACCATGCCTCCTCGGCGACTGTGAAGACTGCACCCCGCCAGGCTTCCACTAAGATCACCATCCATGGCTACGCGCAACCATCAACAAGCCACTCAAAAAGTCACACTCATATACGGACGGGTAGCAAATCTACCCAGAAGGAAGTGGTTCTTTTGACTCTCCGACCGGCTTCTCACAGCGTGGCATCCGAATGGCTGGATGGCCTCTTGATGCTTCTCAACCAGCAACCTATCACCGCTGAGACGTCTAAGCTAATTGATCTTGTTGGCAACTATGGACTGAAAATTCGACTGCTGAATATTCGATTTGATGATGCCACCTTTGCAGGTGAAGCCCCTCCAGTGCCCGTGCGGGATGGCCTGGACGAGGACTACTACTACGACGTCTTTGGTGGCGCATAGCCAAGGCTCAAGATCTTCCCTCATTGCTTGCATTTTTCTTTTCTCTTTTTCTTTGATCTCATGATGTTGGAATCCCGTCGATATACCTATACCCCATTGTGACCCGGATGTGTTCAGAGTACACTATGAACCTTGGGACTGGAGTTGTGTTTTTGAGCGTGAAAGTGTATCATAGTATCAGGCTGTTGGATATGAAATACTAAGGAAATACTAATTGCATAACTGGATTACTATCAAGTCTAATCTTCGTTTGTAACATTCTTAGTAAATCTCATTCATTTGGCCATTGCTGATACGCAGTGGGACTCCGGCGCTTGGCGTCATAAGCTTATCGGACGCGCAGCACTTCCTCCTACGCTTTCGCCTTTCTCTGCTCCCCCGGGCCTCCCCATCATGGACGGTCGTCCATCCAAGAGACAACGCCGATCCGCCCATTCAGAGGAAGATTCACAAAGGAAACTAAAATCCCGTTCTCCTTCCCTTGACCCGTCAACTTCCAGCTCCGTCGCGTTATCGTCACGCCCCCAATCCAAGAATCTTCGAACGCGCGCCAGTCAATCCAAACCCACTCGAGCTCCATCCTTATCAGTCTCGCCAAAGAAACCAAGTTCATCCCCTCAGGCAACAAAATCGAAATCCCTTCATACCTTCTTTCAACCTGCAACGGAAGCACAGCGATGGTCCACTCAGAAATTCGAGGCGAAGCGCCCACTCGCTGTCACCCCGGAGACGACCCTTGACGCCGATATAATCGAAGACGACTATGATTCCTACGATGAGATATTCACCCAACACTTGGCAGCGGGGAAACAGTCTGATACGCACATTGACTCGCCCGTTGCCGGTGGTCCCAGCAAAACAAAACGAGCTGCGCCGAAGAAGACGACAGCGTCACAGGCAAAGAGTCATGCTTCTAAGCGATTTTTGATGCCACCGGCATCGACGAATGGGGCTCAGCGACAATCGTCTACTCCAGTTACGTTGGAAGTTGATCAACGACCGTGGGCGCAGCGATACGGCCCGTCCAATTTGGATGAGATAGCGGTTCATAAAAGGAAGGTCTCAGATGTGCAGAAATGGTTGCAAGATGCTTTTGCAGGGAGACGGAAAGAGGTGAGTATACTTACCCAAGGCCGTACCTGTGTTTTCCATGACCGGTGCGAGCCATGAGATTATCAGTTAAGTACGTCTCACTAACAATACGGAACAGAGATTACTCGTCCTGCGAGGCCCAGCAGGCAGCGGCAAGACTACCACCATCACACTTCTTTCTGAAGCCCTTGACTTTGATTTGATTGAATGGCGAAATCCATCAGTCTCGGACTCCTCTGCGCAAGAGTATATCTCTGTGAGCGCTCAATTTGAAGAATTCCTCGGCCGTGGCGATCGATTCGGAGGTCTAGATCTCGAAGACACGGTCATGACTAAGGAGGGCCGTGATGCACATCCTAGAAGCCACCGTGTGCTCCTTATTGAAGAGCTCCCGACGATATTCAACCGAAACTCTTCTAGTCTTGCTGCTTTTCGGGCCTCTTTGCAGCGTTATCTCGCTGCATCCACCGAGCAATCCTTAGGTGGGTGGATGCACCCGCCCATTGTGATGATCGTCTCGGAAACGCTGCTTAGCTCTGCGTCATCTATTTCCGATAACTTGACTGTGCATCGGTTACTCGGGCCTACATTGTATAATCACGTCGGCACGACGATCATCGATTTCAATAGTATTGCCCCGACATTCATGCAGAAAGCCCTGCGACTGGTGCTTGCAAAAGAGGCCCAAACGTCTCGGCGGTCCCAGGTCCCTGGGTCGGCGATTCTGGATAAAATTGCCGATATTGGAGACATACGCAGTGCTCTCTCTGCTCTTGAATTTCTCTGCCTGAAAGGCGATCAAGCAGGGGTATGGAGTGGAAGTCTCTCTAAAACCAAAAAGTCTCGGGGAGGCTCTACCCTGACAGCGATGGAGCAAGAGTCTCTTGAGATGATCTCGCAGCGGGAAGCAAGCCTAGGAATGTTCCATGCCGTGGGTAAAATTGTCTATAACAAACGCTTAGATCCTAGTCTAATGCCTAGTGATGTCCCAATCCCCCTTCCACCACCGAACCATCTCTCTCACCAGCATCGAGTCAAGGTCTCACAGGTCGCAGTCAACGAGCTACTTGATGAGACAGGCACCGACGTCTCTACCTTTATCTGTGCGCTGCATGAAAACTATCCACAGTCCTGCGACGGTGACTCTTTCACAGATAGTTTCAATAGGTGTATTGAAGCGCTATCCGATTGCGATATCCTCAGCGCCGATCGAAGGCCCTCTCATGGTGCAAGGACGGGCGTTGGAATTGGTGCCACTCCTTTCAATTCTGGTGTCGATATGCTCCGACAGGACGAGATCAGCTTTCAGGTTGCGGCTCGAGGGCTTTTGTTTGCTCTCCCGTACCCTGTTAACAGGAGAAAGGCGTCTATGAACGGACGAAAACACGCGAGGGATCCTTATCGGATGCTTTACCCGGCTTCACTGCGACTATGGAGGAGGACAGAGGAGATTGAGGGTCTTGTCGACTCGTGTATGAAGCAAATGCTGGACCCTAGCGGTGATTCAAGCATCCTTGCCCGCAGTTCGGGCGCTGCTGAGGAGTCGGGTGGTGTCAAATCGTGGAAAAACCTTCGACATGGATACTCGGCAATGAATAAAAATGACAGTTCCCTGCAGTCAGCTGTGACTATGATGTCGCGGCCAGATGCGCTACTCCACCACCTGCCTTATATGGCTCAGATCCGCCGCAAGGAGCGCGACGGGTGGCATCTCAACCAAATTACTAGCATCCAAGACGGACGCATGGACGAGGAAATGGATGACGATGACGATGAACTTGCACCTACATCATCCCGGTCTCGAGACAGAGCCACCATTAACGCAGCTGCGTCTCCGGTACCTGCGTTGGACGAAGAAAAGCTGATTCTCAGTGACGATGATATTGTGGACGACTGAGCCTGTCGGATGTCAACTGTATATGAGTACAAATCTTGAGATGAAGTATGAACACCGTTCTTAATCTGTATTCATGAAGACGACCGTTATTTAGCCGTAAATTTATTTCTTGTGGTGCATTATTGAACTGCTAGATATCTCCATTTAAAAGAATCAACCGCCGCATGGAGATGGCCGGTATATACCTCTGAGAAGCCGCTACACGTATCTCTATGTAGGGAAGTCATACATACTACATCACTATCACAGAGATAATTGAAAAAAAAAAAATAGTGTAGCGTACTCACCAATAAAGCAAAGTCGATCGCCGCATAAGTCCACGGAGACTCGAGCCTTATTGTCTGTTGAGTGAATTTAAGGTTAATAATCATAATTCAACGAGCGAATTCATCTGCGGTTGACCCAAAAAGGAAATCGAGTAAACGCCGCTCCGCCGATCTCGCTTTCCCTCCGCCTTTATTCTGACCACGTCACCTTCTGCAGGCCATTGGAATCCTGCTTGCCCTGCAACGATCAACGAATTGAAAATCCGATCGAGTACCACCGTGAAAAGGAAGAGATTGGTTCTGAAACAATCCACGAACTCTCCGAACCCCCGACGCGCCGAGCAGGGGATTGCGGAGCAGTCCGTCCCCTCACGCGAGCCGCTCGTTTTCTCCCCGCCCATCACGACTGACAGAGGGTCCACTCAAGATGATCAATGATACCAATGCCGTGAAGCGAAGACCGGATAATTACACGATCTCACGAGTCGATGGTGTCAATGGACACGCAAATGGGTCCACGGCTGTCCAGCCGACGCTCGCGTCGCACACCATAAAGCCCAAGACGAAGAAGGATTCAGGAGTCGTCGCGGCAGTGGCGCATGCGACGATACCCTCTTGGGCCAACATGGTCTTGATGGCTTCGCTCATCTTTGGAGGATGCTGCACAAATGTGAGTCTATGGTGGGAGCTGTGGCCTTGAATGCGATCTCGATGGCGACAGATAGCTGACATCTCACTCAGGTCTTTGCTCTCGAAGCTATCATCAAGTAAGTGTGTCCCGCGGATGCGAATGAAACCTTAGACTGACATTTATTTCGCGCCTTTAGGGAGCAACCTACAGCGGGTATGGTTCAATTGAATGACTACTTTCTCAAATACTCGCTTTTATATAAACTAACCTGACGCAGGTCCCTTGATCACATTCGCCCAGTTCATTCTGTGTGCCATCTTTACACTTCCGCATTTCCTCTCCTTGTCCGCCGGTCCCCGTGCCTTATTCATGAGCCCTCGAGTGATTCCGCTCCGCTCGTGGATGGTTTATACTGCTTACTTCGTGTCGGTCAATCTTTTGAACAATTGGGCCTTTGCCTATAAGATCTCCGTTCCGCTTCATATCATTCTCAGGTCCGGTGGTCCGGTGGCATCCATGCTCGTTGGATATGCATATAACGGGAGACGGTACTCTCGCGGCCAGATTCTAGCCGTGGCCTTGCTGACGGCCGGCGTTGCCGCCGCAGCACTTGCCGATGCGCAGGCCAAGGGCCAGTCCATCGAGATAGGAACCGGTAGCGACGTGACATTGATGACCACGGCTACCGGATTCAGCATTCTTGCCCTAGCTATGATTCTGTCCGCGTTCCAGGGAATCTACGCGGACCGACTATATGGCACCTATGGCCGCGATCATTGGAAGGAGGCTCTGTTCTACTCGCACGCCCTTTCGCTGCCTTTGTTCTTGACCAGCTACCCGCAGCTATTATCACAGTGGCGTGTCGTGGCATCCACCCCTTCGCTGCTTTCAACACTGTCTGCTCGAAATGTTAGCGAAGTTTCATCCAGCATTATAGACAACAATATTTTCTCCGCAATTGCGGCCGCTCAGAAGCACCAATCGGTTGCATCTGTCCTCGACAATATTCCAATCCAGGTGGCTTACTTGATTATGAATGCCCTGACGCAGTACGTCTGCATTCGGGGAGTCCACCTGCTGTCTGCCAAATCTTCCTCCCTCACGGTTACTGTGGTTTTGAACATCCGCAAGCTTGTTTCTTTATTGCTTTCGATCTATCTGTTCGGCAATGATCTGGCATCTGGTGTTCTTGTTGGGGCAGTTTTGGTCACCATTGGCGGAGGCCTGTATGGATTCGAGGGAGCACGGCTGAGGAAGACCAGCTTGAAGAAGACCCAATGAGATACTGCTGAATTCAAAGCAGCGCGGACATGTCGGAGTCAATTCCGACTAGCATAGCAGCCCGCTCTGGTGCCATTCACATCAATACCCTAGACTATATAGATATTCAAGCATATGGAGTGATAGGATCAATCAAAGGCTAAAAGAGAAGATGATCCGTCGTCGGAATAAAAAAAAAAGAAGAGACCTAAGTATATCAAGAGCACATGTGCATCAAAGGCCCAATATAATTGTACATCCACGTAACTTGAGAGGAAAATGAGAAGGAAAATAGTAGCCACGTCGCAATAATCAAACAAGGTGCGAGTTCTTTCCACCATAAAATCGCCCTTCTTAGGTCTATAGCACTTCACCCACAATCTTGGCAGCTTCTTTGTAAGTCTCCAAGAGTCGCTCACACTTCTCCCGCTCGGCCTTGATACCATCATCCTCGTACAACAGTTCACCAAAAAGATCCTCCTTGTAGAGCTCGCTGACTAGTCGGTTCTGCACAACGTCCTTGCTGTGGTTGACTAGTAAGTGCATGATAGCCTTAGGAACTTGGTCGGCGATGGTCTCTCGCACGATATTGAAGTAAGATGAAATGAGACGGCGAATCAGCTCGGTTTCGAGGATCTCGCGTTCTGTTAGAGTTGGCTCTGCGTTTTCATGAGGCTAGAGGAAGGGGGCGGAATCAGTCAGTCAAATCCCCCGATAAGAATTAGGAAAATTGAACACTCACGAATGCAGAAATGTCCCCACCATACTCGCTTGGGGGTGCTGGGTATTCATCAGAAGGCATGACGGGTGACCGAATCTCCGGGCGACGAAGGCTCTGGCTAATGCTTGGCTCGCTGTGGTGGGTCACCGGTCGTGTCAGGTTCGTCTGAGACGATGGCGTGGGACTGGGAATGCCCCCTTCTTTGCCAAAGAAATAGTTCAAGAACGAATCACGAGTAGTGTGGGAACCACCAAATCCGGCCGCGTGATTGGCATGAGAGCCATTCAAAGTAGCAGCAATGCCATTCTCGGCGATCCGTCCGACATGAGGCGACATGCTTCGTGCACCTTTAGTAGATTGGTTGCGGATGGGAAGGTTGTGAGACTTGGCTTCGGACTGTGCGTCCTCGTCATCAGGCGTGACGGCAGCACCATTAGCCGACCCAAGCTCCTTCAGTCGTCGCTTCTCACGCTTACGCTTTTCCTCGGCGAGGATAGCCTTTCGCTCATCCTCCTGTCGGCTCTGAATGATGGAATGCATGGCCGCTGCGGCGCCGGGAAAGTTGGGGTGGTTGGTGTTGATGTATGCTCTCTGGATGGAGATCAGAGATTCCACGTAACCAGAGCATGGGCCTAACCTCTCACGGAGAAGGTCAGACACGACTTCGATGAGCTTGCCCTGGAGTCGGGGGAACCGCAGGAGTTCCTGTGAGCCACAAGTGTGGCAGATCTTGATGAGCTCCTCATATACCAATTCCACACACCGCTGGGCAGGTGACTCCAGCAGTTTGATCTGTGGCTTAACCAGCAGATCAAAGGCCAGCTCAGGCACGAACAGACTGGGTCGGGGACCTGTGGAGTTGCGGATGGCAGTTCTGATGTCCGAAACTGTCAAGTTGTGTGTGGGGTCAATCGTCTCCAAGGAGTTTCCGAAGACCTCGTTGAAGATATAGTAGATTCGGGCACCACCGCAGAGCTCCTTGGTTGAGATTTCAGAAGAGGTACCGTCAATGGATGAAATGAATGATGAGGCAAAGCGGGTCATGAGCTGCAGGATGAGAGAGCCGCGATGTTCCTTTCCGCTAAACTGCTTGTTGCCGTAGCTTGCCAACTCTTGCTGAGTCTGGCCCATCAGCGTATTGAGACGTGCCTTGATATCGGGCAGGCGATCCCGAATATGCGCCATTAGAGTGGAATTCAAGGTCTTTGCCAGATATTGTGTACCGCATCGATTTGCCATGTTTCGATACGCTGGGTGGTGGCGGAAAAAATCCGCTTCGGCGCGCAAAGCCTCCGAAAGCGATTTCCCAGATTGGATGTCTTGCTGCGAGCGATTGACAACGCCGATGAAGCCCAGCTTCAAAGGGTAGACACGACCAGACAGAATATCCATGGCGTTGGTTCCATGATCCATCAAGTCTAATTTAGATAGAACTCCGATTGTCCTTCGGCCCATGGGGTCCACTTGGCGGGCTAGCTTGAGCGCCTCCGAGTTAACCAAATCCACATTAGCGGGAGACACGGCGAGAATGATACTGTTCGGCTTGGCGATGTATTCTAAAATGAGAGTCCGGGTCTGCTTCTCGATATCGGAGGGCTGGTCACCAATGGGCACCTTGGTCAAGCCCGGCAGATCCACCAAGGTCAAATTCAAGACGTGGGGAGAGAAAATCTTTAGGTTGATCGGCTGTCGGTTGATGCCCTTGTTGCTACCAGCGATGCGCGCTGTCTCTGCCTCAATCTCCTGCTTGACCATCAAGAAATCCTCGAACTTGCGACCAGGGAGGTGGTGAAACTCTGCCCATTCATTTTGGCCCGCCACGCTGGCGGGGGTATGCGGGACGTGGACCTCGTCATGTTCGGGCCTGTCGGGGCGCTCGCTGGGGATGTTGATGAGTTGGAGGATCAAGGGACGGCGAGTAACGATTCCACTACCGCGTGGTAAGAAGTCTCGTCCCACGATGTTCTCCAGGACGGACGACTTGCCAGACGACTGAGAACCGACCACAACCTAAGGAAGCCATTAGCTCTGCGACGCGACTTGACCGCGTCTGGGATCGCAGCAAGTGATCATCACTTACAATTTGAGGCAGATCGAGGGAATCATTGCCAATAGTGTTGAACACCAGGTCCTGGAGCTTATTCACAGTGACCAGCAGGTCATCGCCCAACGACGCCATTATGGCAGAACAGCAGGCCGATATCTACGAAGGTCAAGGATAGCGGCTCACAAAAGAGGGGAGAAAATCGGGCAAACAAGACTGCCCTTGAGGTTGATAACGAAGATCTCTCTCACAAAGCCGGGCACGGAATCGGCCTCGGGCCAGCACTTGTTTATGGACGCTTTTACACGGCACGTGATCTGGACTTCAGGCGGACAAGCGTTGGATTATGTAATTTGTGCATGACGTCGGAGGAGCTCGCCTTTCCACGGCTCGGACACTCACCGGGACCAAGTAATAGATATCGCGCGTTACTGGATTGCTAGTATACGATTATACGTGAATGTAAAAGCCGATCCTCGCTACTACAAAAGGCAATACCCCAGGCACAGTCAACATACATCATATTGGCAAAGACAGAAGGGACATGGATAGCATCCCCAGGTTGGTTGTTGCTGTAAAGAAGGTATTCATGGCTGATTTTATATACATGTGCGCGCTTAGAATTTGCATGGGGTGAAAGACGTCCAGCTAGCTAGTTAGGTAGTCCCACATGATGCCAGTCAGTGTGAGGCTCATTTGTCCAACTCGACATAGTTCGCTGGGAAGAGTCCTCGGGCTCCATGGTATTCTCCAAGCCACCAGTCGTCATCGGGGAATTCCTGATATCTCAATTAGCATTCGGCAAAAAAAGGAGTTGCGAAGCAAGCTATGATCGCGACAGAACGCAGTGGAAGCGAAGGAGAATGAAATAGTGATACATACCACATTGACGATCTTTGCTCCCTCGGGGAAGCTGAGCTCGTTATCTTCAGCAGCCTCATAGTCATAGAGCGCGGTTGCAGTCGGATGATGAGATCCTCCATTGGACGCTGCCGGTTCGTTCTGCACGGGGGCTGCTACAGGCTCCGGCTCCGGTTCTGCCACGGGTTCGGGAACATGGTGAGCAGCAGCAGCGGTGTCATCATGGTCACCATCCTCGGCGATCTCAACGTAGTTGCCAGGGAAGAGGCCCCGTTCGCCACGGACGTTGACTCCTAACCACCAGTCCTTGTCAACCATCTCGATCTCAGTCACCACTTCGCCTTCAAGAAGATCGATTTCATTGTCCTCTGCTTTCTCGTAGTCAAACTGAACGATGGCTCGGATGCCAGCGGCGGATTGCTCCCCGACGGTAGGCTCGACGGTAGCTTCGGCAGCAGCCCGGCCAATATCGTGATGAGTATCGTCCTCTAAATCCTTCTCATCTGGGACAGCCTCCTGGAGGCTCTGAATGGGCATGACAGGGGGTGGGGAGTGCTGTTCTTCGTGAGCATCGGTCACGTTGCGACCGACGGGCATTGCTACACGGATAGGAGAGCTTTCTCGGACAGGAGGGGTGGGAGGAGTTGGGGAGCGCGGCTGCGGTGGCGGCGTAGGCAGCGCTTGCTGAGTCTCGGGCACGGGCTCCGGCTCCGGCTCCGGCTCGGACTCGGGCTCATTTGGTTGAGTAGTCAACCCAGGCAGGGGAACGGGACGACTAACTTGGGGAACAGGCGGTGCAGTTTCGGCAGCTGCAAATTGGCTACGGACATCGTGGACGTGGGATGGCGGCTCCGTCTCGGCTGCTTGGGGCTCGGAAGGTTCAGAGGCTTTGACATCTGCGGCCCGGGACGCGCCAGGTGCATCTTGAACTGTTTGCACGGTGGCCCATGACTTGCCGGTATATGAGCTCTTCCACTCGCCCTGACCACTGCTCTGGCTTTGAATGGGTTGCGGGGTCGGATCCACCGCAGAAATCGCTCCTCCACGCTCCTTAGCCTTTCGCTCGGCCCACAGCTGGGCAGGTGTCTTGCCGCCTTGGTCCGCAAAGGTTCGACTGGCGCTGCCAATTGGCGCGGGAACGTTGGCAGTCGAGGCACCCAAGCCCACAGGGAGAGGTGGCTTTGTGCCAGGGAACGATGGGCCGGAGCCAAACTTGTTGGCAACCTTGGGCTTCGGAAGATCGGTGAGGCGCCCAGCGGTCTGGTTCGAGACTGGCCGCTCTGGCAAAGTTGTCGGCTCGTTGCGAGGTACCGGGCTGGGCACAGCTCCCGCATCCGTAGTCTCGTCGGGCTTCTGCGCTCTGGCCCGAATGGCAGCAATGTCGATCTTGCCAACTGGCTCATACGATCCTTTCACCGGGGCAGGTCGGTCGTCCTTCAGCTGTCCAGATTCGGCTGCTTGTTTCCGAATGGCCGCAATATCGACCTTGCCAATGGGCTGGTACCCTCCACGAACGACATCACCCTGGTCCTGAGTGGCCGGCGGAGGCACCGGACGGGCCGGAGTTTGATTCTCTGACTTCAATTGCTGCAGATTCACTCGAGTGGGTTGATAGGCGGGCTTGACTTTCTCAAGCTGCGTGCGAGTCACTGGTGGAGCATCGGGACCCCAGCCATCATCATCCACTTTGGCGGAGGAGGCAGAAGGGGTGGTGCGGGCGATCGGGGTTGGGGCAATCCCACCGGATCGGGAGGGGGTGAAGACCGGCTTATTGGCGACCGGGGGTCGCGGGCCAGTCGAAGTGGACGTGGACGAGGCGACGGGTGTCTGGGACTCGGCTGAGTACTTGGCGCCCGAGGAGTCGGCCACTCTTTGAACGATGCCTGCGGGGGAGAGGTCGCCATCTGCCCGAGCTGTGATCTGGACATGGTACCCCTGGACCAGTATTCCGTGTTAGTACAGGTACCAATATGAAGCCACGTAGGAAAAGAGAAGAGTTTCTCTCACGTGTAGGAATTTGGAGACGATAGCAAGGTGACTGGTGAAATAGCCCTTTGTCCGTTCCGGTACGCCTTCACCGCACCATGCGATGAGAACGTTCTTGGGCAACCCCGTGTTCGGGTCCGTCACCTTCACGTAGGCAAATTGCACCCGACCTTCGGAGAATTCCTCAATGAGATCTTCCAATTCACCATCTGTAGATTGAATGTCAGCGCCCAGATCCAGTTCCCTTTACGACTGGAAGGAAAAGAGGAACCGACCTCCCGTGCTCTGGACCTTCAAAACACTCTCCTTGTTACCCGCATCTTGTTGAAAGGCATTAACGAGCGGGGTTGAAACGGAAAAGACTGCCCAGTGGCCATAGGTTGGAGATGCAGCGGTACCAGTTGGAGGCGATGCGTTGACAACCGACTGGTAGCTTTTCGATATCGACGGACCGTTGGTGGAGAGGTTCAGGGACGCCATACTTTGTAGCGGATACGAGCGGCAATGAAGAGGGGGCTACCAAGTAGGATGAAGACGTTAGCTAGATGCGCATTTCAACGTGTGTTATTCGGTCGAGGGTACGATGCTCTTGTAGTGAGGGGAGGGCGGATGCTGCGGTGGTGTGGAGAGTAGCTAAAGGCCACGAGGAGAATGGAGTTGACGTAGGCGGCGAGGAGGAGGAGGGGGGATGGTTTGTTTAGAGGGATGAGGGGGGATTTCCAGACTGACGGTGAGGGGAGAGAATGCCACCTAGGAAGGCTCAAGTTGAGAATGGAGAATCAGAAATATTGGAAAGGAAATGAGAAGGAAGCTAGACTCAGGAAGAGTGAGGGTGGTAGGGTGAAAGGTGGGAAGGTCTGGACAGAAGGTGGAGAGAAAGGCGGGCGGTGTTTTTGGGGGAGGAAAGAATGACGGTCGCCTGGGAAGAAAGATCATCGAGGGGTCCCACTTTTGAGCTTCTTCGAGGTTGAATGCCGAGCTTGGAGCTTATAGATGACCTTCATCGGGTAGTGAATACGGAGTACTAGGCAGCTCATCATGAACGAGTAGGTATTGGATAGGTACTGGGATTAAGAGTATGTCTTATAGCTTATATCTTTGTTTCTTGAGCCTATGAGTAGTACATAACCGACGATATACACCATATATTTACAGAGCAACCGTGGGGCTTAGCTTGCTCGCTATGAGATTAAAGATCAAGGCCGACCGTATAATGAATTCTATAGTGGTCTTGAATACTTCACGATGGGCAAGATGATTGAATTATATAGTCCACTGGCACTCAATTAGTATAGAACTGTATTCCTCTTGTGGATAATAACCACTGCCCAGTATCAACCAGTCCGGTATGAGTCCTATCTATAGAATACACTACAGTAGCACCTCATATAGACATGAGAACGAATATCTTCAAAGCCTTAATAAGAGGAAACCGTAATGTCTCGCTGGGCTCCACTGCATAATGCTAATCGGATCCAACTCCTGGTACATAATCTATTACTCAATAGTAATCGGCCCCTCTGCCCCTGCCCGACTCACCGGTGGATCAGCATAGACATCTTCTCCGCCTTTACCCAAAAAAAAAAAAATTTCAACATAGATACGCCAACATTATTCTTATCCTTAATAAATCGAGCATGGTCCTGCAGATTCCTCCGTTCTTCCTCGTAATAAACGGATAGCTTCCGCAGGCTATTTTACCTCCCCCCCCCCTTCTCCTGCGAATCTCCCCCATTCCTGCCACAGCGCCCTACTCTGTCCGCCTTCCACGAAGCTCTTTGATCCGCTCGAAAGCAAATACTGTACCTCTGGTCCCAAGACCAACCCCTCCACGCTCCTGGTGCCACAGCCCCTCGACATCATGGGGTTCCCCGAATCCGACAACTCCAGTCCGAATCTCAATCCTAGCGTCGACGAGCGCGCGGATGGGTTTTCCCTTGAGGACTCCGGCGAGGAGGACTCCACTGGCTTCATGACCCACGAAACCTCGGAGGATCCTCAGGACTCGGCAGCAGATATTCTACCACGAGATCTTCAGCAGAAGACGGCCACATATGACTACGCCTATGAGAAGTCCATGAGCCACGCCGAGGCGAAACTGTTCTATCAACATCACCAGTTATCGTCGGTATCGAAGGGGGATTTCCCAGCTAGCCCCATACCCGCAGGACGCCCAACGGTCACCGATGCGTACGAGTCCAAGGGGACGACGACCACCGGTACCAGCCCCGTCCAATATAGTCAGGCGACACGAGAATCTTCGATCGCGGGTGAACCTGAATGGCACCTTGGATCCTCGTTACAGCACGACGAGGCCAGCGGAGCAACACTTCAGGCTCATAACAGTCAGTTGGCTGCAGACCTATCTGCACGAAATCACGCTATGCCCCTAGGGGGAGCCAATTCCTCCACTCACGGATCATATCTCACCGCAACGCCGGCCGCGGAGGGAATCCATGGGTTGGGTCTGGGGATTGGATTGGCCCAGGGCGCAGCTGGGTTTGCGCCTGGAGGTGATGCCGTCACGTCGGAATTGAACGCCATCTACCGCAAGATCAAGAACCTGCTAGAGCGGCGGTCCAAATACATGGCGCTGTCCCTTCAACGGCCTGGCGACGACCCAAGGAATGAACGGGAATGGGAGATCTACCCACCACCCCCCGAGCCCGCCTGGGACGAGGGCAAGGAGTACCAGCCTGGTTATGTCGGGGGCCCCTCCGATCTTGTAGGAAAGAAGCGAAAAATGGGCGAGGACATTGGCGAAGACTTTGACATGACAGAACTGGAGCCCCTTCCGAAACCATCCTCCTTGACATACCGTCTCGATAGCAGCAGCGTCTATCAAGTATATGAATCAGAGACTGCCGCGGACCAACAAGAACCCGTGGTGCAAATCCCCTCTCTGCGTGACTTCTACATGGATCTGGATGCCGTGGTGGATGTTTCTACCGACGGCCCGACCAAAAGCTTTGCTTTCAAGCGTCTGTCGTATCTGGAGGGCAAATTCCAACTATACACATTGCTCAACGAGTATCAAGAGATTGCAGACAGCAAAAAGGTGCCACATCGAGATTTCTATAACGTGCGCAAAGTGGACACTCACGTCCATCATTCGGCCTGCATGAACCAGAAACATCTCCTTCGTTTCATCAAGAGCAAAATGCGCAAATCTCCCGATGAAGTTGTCCTCTTTCGAGATGGAAAGCATCTTACGCTGCGCGAGGTCTTTGAAAGTATCAACCTGACCGCCTATGATCTGAGCATTGATACCCTCGATATGCATGTAAGGTTCCCCCTTTGAACCCGCCCCTGTCCCTTCTAACCGAAACCGGAACGGTTGTGTATGATTTTCTTCTCGTACTGATCAATGTGGATAGGCACACACCGATTCATTCCACCGGTTCGACAAATTCAACCTCAAATATAATCCGGTTGGGGAATCCCGCCTTCGTGAGATCTTTTTGAAGACCGATAATTACATCAAGGGTCGTTATTTGGCGGAAATCACCAAAGAAGTGATCTCCGATTTGGAGTCCAGCAAATATCAAATGGTTGAGTGGAGAATCTCGATCTATGGACGATCTATCGAAGAATGGGACAAGCTTGCTGCCTGGGTGGTAGATAACAAGTTGTTTTCCCCCAACGTTCGATGGCTGATTCAGGTTCCTCGTCTGTACGACGTGTACAAATCGAGCGGGATGATGGAGAATTTCGAACAAGTCATCACCAACGTGTTCCAGCCATTGTTCGAAGTGACCAAGGACCCCTCCAGTCATCCCAAGCTTCATGTCTTCCTACAACGCGTGGTTGGATTTGACAGCGTCGATGACGAGAGTAAGGCGGAACGTCGGTTTTACCGCAAGTATCCCATTCCTCGCGAGTGGAACACCAAGCAAAACCCGCCTTACAGCTATTGGATTTACTTCATGTTTGCCAATATTGCATCTCTCAACAATTGGCGGCAGCGCCGAGGATTCAACACCTTCGTCCTTCGGCCGCATTGTGGTGAGGCTGGCGACCCCGATCATTTGGCCGTTGGCTTCTTATGCTGCCACAGTATCAGTCATGGTATCCTGCTGCGAAAGGTGCCTCTGCTGCAATATTTGTACTACTTGGACCAGATCGGCATTGCAATGTCGCCTCTCAGTAACAACGCATTGTTCCTGACCTATGACAAGAACCCCTGTGCCAGCTTCTTCAAGCGAGGGCTCAATGTGTCCTTATCCACCGATGATCCTCTGCAGTTTGCTTTCACCAAAGAGCCTCTCATTGAAGAATACTCCGTAGCTGCCCAAATCTACAAGTTCAGTGCCGTCGATATGTGCGAGCTCGCCAAGCACTCTGTCGATCAGAGTGGATTTGAGCTGTCTCTGAAGAAGAGATGGTTGGGCTCGGGCTGTGGCCTTTCCGGTGTAGCGGGCAATAATGTGGCAAAGAGCAATGTGCCCGACATTCGAGAGGCCTTCCGGCATGAGACTCTGCTGGCAGAACTCTCCCTGTAAGTTCAACCCCACATTTGGAATAATGCATGATCGTGCTTTTTTGAATGAATACTGAACTGAGGTACTAGGATCGAGCGCTATTCCCAGGGTTCGGGCACGGAGGAGCGAAATGCTCTGGCTCCCGGTTTACTCCATACTGCCAATCAGGCATCTATGAAGCCGACATACTCTCCTTCATCCAAAATTAGCGGTACGCTCCCGGCCCAATGTCGCTCAACGACTGGCAGTCCAGCTTACACTGAATAGTCTCTTCCGAAACGGCTCCTGGAAAGCAATCGGTGTTCTTGAGCCAAGGACAGAGCCCGCGTCTACCCGCTGATTCCATTGACCATCCGCGTTCGGATCCACAAGGTACTGCTCAAGGGATGCCGGCCCCATCGGCAACCCATGCACTCTCATCCGCCCATCTTGCGGGAAGTGAATTAGCAGCATCTCTGGGCGGCAACACTGCCAGTGGCGCGAGCCCGGATGGTCTACCTGGTCAGACGATCTTCCCAGGCATCGTCCATGAAACGGTTCGAAGAGGAAGTATGCTCGCTCAGGCCGCCTGTGACAAGCAGAAGGATGGACTCAATGGTACTGAATAGGACGATGAACCTACTCGTGTCGCCTTCGTTACACTTTTATGTCTATTCGGACATCCAAGCCATATATATCCGGTCTTTAGTCTCATAGCGGAACGACAGCCACCGTGGCCTTATGATTAACGTTATAGTCATCGATCTCATGATAAAGCATGTCATATTTAAGTATAGTTTCTTCTTTCTCATAGTATGCACATCGACGCCAGGCCTTGTAGTGTTATCATTCGCATCTCGGAGATTTACCGAAGTTGTAAATATTTCCAGACAAATTAAAAAGAAAGTCAGGACCTTAAAAAGGTGAGCTTGGTAACGAAAGGGGGGCGACGTACTAGAGTAATATACGAAGTTGGCGGGCACCGTGGCACGGGACTTGGCCGGATAAGCATATGTTTCTCTTCGGAGATGTAAAAAATACTAGCCATAATTACACCAAGAAAAAAAGAAAAGGAGAAGGAGAAGAAAAAAGACAGAAACAGGAATGTAAGTCCATTCTCCAATAACGACAGACCGACCCACACTCGAAGACGCTTTTAAATCGCCCAGCTCCCTCTCCGCTCCGGGTGCCCCCATTCAAGGGCTGGTTCATCTTCAACCATGTTCGGCTGCTGCCGGGCCCATTCGTGAATATAGAGACGTAAGGCCTTCCATCGAACACACCCCACTGCCAGATTCTCAAGCGGTGCTACGATATAGCCATGAGCATCAGTACGAAGATCATCTCGCCGTAGATCTTCAAGGGGGATTCCCGAGATCTTGCTGAGCTCATAGTCATAATACCGGGCAACGCTTGGATACCCTAGCGACAAATAATTGAAAATTTGCGTCACAAAGCCATCATGGAATTCATCATCAATTTTTTTTCCTGGACCACAAGGACTCGTGCCTTGGAGCAGTTTGCCTCTTGGATCTGTCGAGTCCGTATGAGACTCCAACGAGGAATCGGATGAAGAGATGAATTCTTCACACTCAATCATAGGGGTCATGATCCCTGTCATTAATTGCGATCCCCGCTCAAACCCCTCAGCTTTGCGGCATGTGCCCATCCAAAGACCTGCTCCGCGCCCCTCGTCAGGCTGGTCCCCTACACACCAGAGACCACCGCAATCATTACAGAGGCTCTGTTGCCCCTTGGCGTTGGTCTCGGACGGGGAATCCTCGCAAAGAGTTCCATCCGGGGACAAGCTTTGTGGTAAAACCAGGTCAGCACCTAGCATTGGGGGACTTGGCCCCCGACTTTTGGAGGCGGCTTTATGGATCGGAGACGAAAAGTCCAGGTGTTTGGAGGCAACCATGACCCGAAGTCGTTGTTCCGCCTCTTCCTTGTGCTGACGCATATACTCAAGCTCCCAGGAAAGGTCTGCCGAGGATTGCCGGCGAGACTTAATATGGTGTGGCTGAGGGTAAATCAGATACTCATCATCTTCCGAATCAGCCCCATCCTCATCGATAGCAAAATGGTCCACTGGCTGGTAAACTTGCTCGTTTGGAAAGGCGGCAAGTGCCTGCTCTCTCAGCTCTTTCTGTGCCGATCGAGCCGCCAGAGACAACAGATACCCAGAAAATTCGCTGGGGCGACTGTCCCGGCTCCAGTGACCCTCTTGCCGGGACTGTACTGGCTTCACCGATGGCTGCCGAGGAGATAAAGATGGTGTTTCGCAAGATGTATCGGAACTGTCGCTGCTATTTGATGGGATTGAGGGAAGATCAGGGACTCGAAAGGAATGTCTCCGGGTTTCATGGCGACGAAGCAGGTTTGCATACGAGAATCTAGACTCTGGGACGTCGAATGAGGCGCTGCGAGGGGGAGTCAGACGAGCCGTAGGACCTGTCCGATTTCCCGGTAGTTCCAAGCCAGCCTTTGCTGAACCAAGATTGACATATTGTCGATGAGAAGGGCTGTCCGTTAGCCCCTTGACTGAGCGATGGTCGGTTTCAAGGAGCTCGGGCTTGAATCGTCTGGGTTTGGAACCAGCGACGCCTTGACTACTAGCCTTGCTAGTCTCAATGGGTTGTGGTAAAAATCGCCGGGGAGGATTGAAGGGTCGGTGGAGTTGTTGCTCCGAGGGGTTGTCCACCTCCTTTCGGAGTCTTCCCAGTCGATAGGATTGACGGTCGTCTGACAAGCCACTCTGTGTTTCGACGCTCCGAGAGGATGTCTCTATTGGCTGTGCCAGGAATCTTCGCGGCCGCTGGTGGGGGGTGTCTCCCTGCTGGGTTGTCGTTTCGACACTTCGCTTTGGAGCTACCTCCTGTGAAAGAGGGGTTTCTTTGTGATCATGATCGAGGCTTTTGGTAGAAGATGATGGGGACGGGGCCCGGGCTGATTGAGACTGGGCCGCGGAAGACTGAGGGCCCATTTTCGACGACCACTGCGCAACCCTGTACCACTAACACCATGCTCTTAGTATTGGTGTCGATTGGTAGATGATGGCATGATTTGGAAGGCGTTCTGCCCGGTCATCGGTGAGAGGCGCTGATAGTGTTGGCGTGGTCCGATAACAGGAAGGGGAAGCGGGCGCAGCTTGGGGTAATAACGGGGGCTGGACCGATATGCTAGCAACAAGGGAAACCTTCCAAGAAACGGGGCCAGGGCAGGAATTTTGGTAGGAAGAACAATTCAAACTAAAGCCAAAACTCAGCTATCCCTCGCTGCCTCGTAGATGTCAAGACACAGAGATGTAATGGTTAGAACAAAGGCTCTGGAGAAGGCTGTTGGTAGGGGGCTGTTTGGACAACCTTGGGAAGCTTGGGTGGAGGAGGGTGGTGGAACTTGAAGAGGGGCTCGGTGTGAGGTCCTCCGTCCAATAGTGGAAGAGAGATAAGGTGGGTCAGGTGACAAAATTTAGGCCCGATCCAGAGCCCTTTCTACAGCATGTTCTCCATACACGACGAAGTGTTCCGTTTTTACAAGATTTCAATTCCTAATAGCCCGATATTCGCTCAATGCCATCTGCTAATCCCACCGCACACTTTGTCTGGCTTAATTATAAGCAAAGTAAAGAGACTCCGAAATTTTGGCGTACAGATAGCTTATTCTTACCAAAGAATTTCAGTTAAACCTTAATTCTAAGAGTTACAAATAGTAAGAAACATCCATATCGAACCACTCAGCTCAATGCCTAGTCTGTATGAAGTATGAAGCCAGGTCACGTTCTTATACTTGGTATCTTAAGCTGGGTATGCTGTTTTGTGGTATCCGATGAAAGGTTCAGGTTAGAATGGTGATTGGTTTTCGGATTCACGGTGCGAGAGAACATCGAGAGATGACGATGATAAACAGTCAATTCCTGAATTAGTACAATTCTGCCACTAATATTAGCCTAGCAGACCTACAAGCTCTCGGCTAAGTAAACTTTGTATATATTCGAAGGTTCACATACTATAGTTATAAATCACTCGAATACTCCTATTAATCTATGATATGAGGCTTATCTCCTTAATGTTTACTATTTCCACTTAACCATAACTGAATTTCCAGTCTATACACGTTACTAATAGAGACGCTATAAATAATTCTTTTTGACGCCCCATAGCCTCCTAAGGCTATCTATAAAAGGTGTACTACGTATAGGGTAGAAAGCCTATTAACTAGATAGGAGAGTAAAGCACCAAGTCTAATTATAAAAGAGACTATTTCTTAAGGAGTTATAAGCCTAGTCCTTGAGTATTAATCTATATATAGCGTCCTCTATATAAATAGGAAATAAATAAGAAACTAAGGAGGATATAGTGCCGATGCTAACGTATCGCTAGCGTATGGATCAGTTTCATTGAACATGAGTAGCCCTCTGGCAGGTTGGCGGCGCTATCCTGCAACAGGCAAGCACCATTCCGTCGACGGAAGTACGATGCCCACAAGTGGTAGGCGGATTCCTGCGGCAGGACGGCCAACAATGGCTCGAATCAGTGTATCACGGTCTGGACCATTCGAACTATAGGTCTGCTGTCTACTTTGACCATAGACTGCGGACAAGATTTCGAGGGCACTCGATCGTGTGAATTTGTCTTCCGATCGTCTCAGCCAGCCTCCGACAGGCAGGCGGAATCACCGGAGCACCGCCCACGAACAGCTCGCTCGTTGCAGCTGAACAGCTCCACCATCCACCATCCACCACAATGAACGAGTCCACTCGCGAGCACGAGTTTTAGTCTTCAGCGGCGCCCGACTAACCACACGTCTTCGGAGTATCTTCCAGCGCTCGGAAGCTATTTGGGTGTAATATGTTGAGGTATCATCTCCAGCCAGCCATTCTGGGTCAATCTTTTCTCCTCTTGCGAGGTCCCATGCTCCAGGGCGCGGGTGTTTGTGTCCAGACACGTGGCCGCTTGATAGAAGTGGGGCTATCAAAGTATATTCTCTAGTTGTATAGCCAAGCTTCCTCTACTGGATGAGTGAGGATTGCGTTCTTGGCCCAGCGTATCACCCATTAGGTGCAGGTCCACGCCCTGGTGTTGTCGGTTTCGACCAACACGAACGCGATGGGGACTGGGGACACCCTAACCGAGATACCGGATTGGGATCCTCACCGCAGCCCCCTCGGACTTCAGCCCGCCTCGTTGCAGCAATAATCAAGGGACGATGGATGGATGACTTTCAGGAAAGAAGTCTCATCAACCAGAGATTACCAACTATTTAACAGCGGTCTTTCCCCCGAGCGTTTCAACACCTTGAGGTGGTTAAGTCAACGATTCTGTGCTCCGCGATCCATCACCATGCCATTCACTGAGTATGTCCTGTCTTTCTCGTATGTTATGGAACGAGATTCTGATCACAGTGACAGAGGAACCTCCGTGACTTTCCCCACTAAGAGTGGGGATTTTACAATCGGCACGGTCAAAGGCTTCAAGGTAAGCCTCTACCCGGGTATTATATTGTTGAGGCTGGAGGCTCACAACCCGGCACCAGGATGGGAAATACCAGGTGGAAGTTGAGGGAGCCAAGATATTGGAAGTGGAAGAGGCAGATGTGAAGGAATTTAGCATTCCGATTCAGAGGAGAGATATCTTTGATACGTTAAAGTAGAGAACAACAGTCTTTGAAGGCTGTAGTAGTTATTGGAAGTCTTTCGGTTCATGGAATCATAGCGGGTGTCTGCCTGTTAAGTACAACGGTTATGCACTTCTCTATAGGCTGCTCTACACTCCCAGACATTCCACCAACTCTGAAGAACCATAGATGAATAAGCTTCCTCGTAGGCCGATTATTGAGGGTTCGTGTGGTGTCGAGGATCCATCGGGTATACCCGAGGCATGATCCTGGTTGGCTAGTAGCTGCCGACTATCCCGTGCGGCACTAAGGTAGCTCAATCACTAAATGATGTGCTGCGGAACCGAGACTAGCTGGAGACTCAGTCTGGACTAGACTCGAGAGACCTTTTCGAGAGACAGCTCCCCTATGCAGGCGCAATAGCGTGGTGGCTAGCTGACATGTTTGTCTAGCCAAAAAGCGTTTCGCTGGTCTCGTGGACGAGCGGGAGGATTCTATTTGCGTTTTTAATTTGTGTTTGCTTATAATTATCTCCCGCTTAAGGTGAAGGCGGCGCCGTATAACAGATGCGCGTTCTCCTCGCCTATCCTGCCCTCAACCATCTATACAGACTCAATCTCTATAACGTTTCCCGTTTCTTCTAGTCATGGGCAGCAAAGCATCAGATCTCCCCAATTAAAGGTGTGACTATATAGTAGCGACCACGTAAGCTAGTATCAATTCGGGTCTGCTCGAATATCTAGATTATGGCACCCAGCCGATTCAGTACATATACATCCTCTAAGATAAAGATCTCAATCCCACGGTCTAAGTCAATCTAGAGTAGCTACAGTAGATAATAGGCGTCAACCCGTGCGAGATCCCAGATGGCATGGCCTTGAATAACGGCCGGGCTCAGTCCCTAAACGACGTCTTATTCTATTTAGGGATTAAGATCTAGATAGGAATGCCGCCCGGAGTTACCCTTACAACCTTACTCCTAGTTGTTACCCTGACGAGCGTAGACCAGGTCACCTTTGATATATTCTTTTCGTAGGCCACCGTCGTGTAACTAAGACTGTAGGCCGTCGCAGTCTCTGGAAGTCCCACAGCCAGCCTTCGGGACCAGTGGATTAGCTAGAAACGATCTAGAATATATTTGATCTAATAGTGGCGGATCTTAATCAGAAATTCGATACCCCCTATTTAAATAACAATCCGATGGTTAAGGCGCAGCTATAGAATGCCCTACTAATCATCGGCAGCACCGCCTTTAGTCTCCAACAGCAGCTGTTTCACTTAGATAACGCGGTTCTTAGGGAAGTCCCAACCTTCAGCGGCGTGGCGGATTCAATAAATTCACTTTACGTTCTGGTGCTACTCGGACGAACTTTCGACATTGGGCCAAACTAAAGTACATGGGCGATGATATGGATGATTTTAGGAGAATGCTATCAGCGTATAAGTTGACAATTAATACTGCTCTCACAGATGCTAACCTGTAAGTCACTGTTGTAAGCTTTAGCCCCCTTGTCCTCTCAACTAATTAGCTTAGACGAAAATCGACCGTTACCGCGGAAGCACTTGAGAACTTTGAAGATCTTGTGACCGCCATAGAGGATCTGGACGCTCATCTTAAAACCATCGATGAGAGACTGGAGCATATAAACGGAAAAGATGCATCAGGATAAGACAGAGATATGTTGGAGCTTCAAACGATGAAATATCACTGGTTGAGCACAGAGAAATGTAATGTCTCCAAATTTGCGCCCGAGTGTCCGACCATATTAGTATTCAGATTACAGCCGTTGGCAGTGGCTCTCTAAGTACATCTGACCTAGGTACCTTACCAAAAAGGCTCACCAAAGCGGGTCTACAGGGATGCAGAGATAGCCTCAAGCGAACTTCCGCGACGTTAAAGAGACATATACTTAAATAGTAAAAAAGATTTTCAACATTTTTCATACAATTACAGGCTTCAGAACGGCTCAGTAACTTCATGCCCTTTACTGTACTGTACATCAAAACCGGAACCGTCACTATTACATATACGTGCACTCGAGGCCACCACTACCTCAATCCACAACTCTTCACCCAGATCCCCAGGCTGATCGGTGTAAAAGAACTCCCCGAGCAGGCGTCGTGCCTGATTCCTGTCGCTGAGGCCAAGATGCCGCGCCACATGCGCAGAGTGAAGAATAAACCATGAGTAAGTGTTTTTGTTACCCTTGGACGCCAACACTCCTAAAACAAGCATCCAGAGTAGCAAGTCAGGCGCGGCCACCAGGAGGTAAGGAACTCGGGGTGCAAGAATGTGCTTGAAGGTTTCCACCATGTGGCGCACGATGGGCAGAGATTGGAGATGGGAGACACAGGCCCATAAGTATACGATAATGGAGTAGCGGAGAGGTGGGTTAATATAATCATTCATCTTGTGTGATGTTGAATTGTTGGCAGGAATAGCGGAGAGGAAGTCATGTTGAAAGATGGGGAAAAGATCATTGTCGGTGGGCCCTACGATTTCGGGATATGCTTTACCAAGCTCGAAATGCTGGATGAGCCTTGTGAAGATCGTGAGAAAGTCCTTTAGAGCCGGAGAAACCTCTGTGTACCAGGGGGAGCTAGTAGTAAAGCGAGAGCCGAGAGTAGCGACATAGGGTGGGATTACGAAGCCGATCGCGTAATCATCATCTGGCCTTGGATGAAAAATGGCGGGCTCGTGAAGTACCTCGCTGCGAAACTTCGCCGACATTGGGATGATCGGCGGTTTGTTATGTAGGGCAGCATACCCCGAGACAGCGCTGGTCGTATTAGCCACGAACACAAAAGACATTAAAAGGGGGTTTGTACTGGTATACGCTAGAAAGTGTCATGTACTCGAATGCATCAAGACCGCCAGCTAGTTCTATAAGCGTAGCCAGGCCTTTCATATGCGTCTGCAGAGCCGCAAATTCGGCATTGATAGTCTAAACAGGCTAGTTAGCAACCAAAAGAGCCTCAAACTTGACTCATTAATTAGGTCAGAACTCTATACCTCGATTGTCACGATTGAACCAACAGTTAATACTGTAGACTCTGCCACTGCAGTTACGGGATCCTGCAGTAAATCATTCAAGGCCCTGATGGCGTTTGTTCGAGATTTTATGCAATCTCTAAGTGACTTTTGGCTTGCTACAGAAGAAACACCATTGCGAGATTCAAGAGCCGCCTTGTGGCCAGCCCCGATACAGAGTTTGGTGTGGAGGAGCGCCGGGGAAACGAGCGACCTGTCAGTCCACCAGGTGTTCATCCGGTCAACATTAAACGGATAGGATTTGGGAATGACGTATAATCTGTCTGAGAATATTTTCAGCGCCAGCGGCGAATATGAGAAAGTTAGTAGTAAGCAGACGACCTACAATGACGAAAATACACATGCATGGCGTTGCTCATTGGCACAGGGTAGGCGTGAAAAGGGTCGGCATGGTTCTGGCTGATGACGGCGGATGCTCTGACTGGCAACATACTATTGTCATATGGCGGATGAGGGATTTGTGTCTTCTTTGGGTGAACGTTTTCTATCTCCTTCTCTTCTCGTTGCGGCGTACGGGCACTGAACGGCTGGTACGATTTCAACCGATCAATAGCCTCTTTCTTCCTTCGCTGATCGGCTTTTTTCGCAACAAATGACCTTATTTCCCTTCTCATGCTAGCATATGGCGAAACATCAGCCTTGGTATTCACAAACATAAACCCACGATTCCCCGGCTGAGGTATGGGGCGTCGGGTCCCGTCATCTATCGGGGTCGATGTTTCCTGTGAAGGAAATATTAGAGACTGAGCTTATCTTAGACGCACGCACACATACAGGCATGGAAAATTTGCCCTCGGGCGTTTCATCGAAGTGCATGGCCTTTTAACAACTGCCCAGTGATGGTAATATTTTCGCGATTGTGTGAGGGTGGGTCGATGGGCGATAAGAGTGCAAGCGACAGTAGAAGAGACCAATGGTAATCTTCATAGCCCCGATTCGCAATTCGAACTTTCTGGTTCAAGCTTGGGGCTCAAATCCATCGAAGTGATGATCCGGGATGGTTTCAGACCAGAGTAGGGGAAAGGAATGCGGGGGAAGGAGAGAGAAGTGCTAATGGAGCCACGACTGCCAATAAGAGTTTCCAAGAGTCCCCGCCCTGGCGGGGGTCAGCAAACCGTGTCTAAACGAGCGATAAGTCGGGAAATTCTCCGGCCAACCGTCCCTGACTCGTGTATCTTCAGAAATAAGCAGTAAGTCTTCATTCTATCCAGCACCCGCTGGATCAATCAATCTTCCGCGCCTTTCAGAGATTGCTGGCGTCTGTGGAGGGGCTTCCTCTGGATGTTTGGGGGCCTGACAATGAGGGATATGAATCAGCTTCGGAATAATTGATCTTGGGCCGCCTATAGTACCTGTCAATTCTAGTTGGCAGGTTAAGCTCAGATTACATAAAACATTGGTCATCCTTAGAGGCTTAAAATAGTCAACCCCGATAAGAACCTTAATTCAATTATAGCACTGTACGGGAAGCTTTTTTTTAAAAAAAAAAAATGTATATATATATATATTTTAAAATATACTTTAAGGCACCATTATGAACGCAATATGGCTATATTGCCCTGTATGTATGAGGAATATGAGGCGGAAACTGGTGGTCAGCGTCCGTAGGGGGGCTATATTGTTGAACTAATCGCTGACCTACTGAAGGATGAGGGAAGCAATAAGTGAAATGCGATTAAGTGGACAAAGGGACTCTGGTATCGCAGAAGATAAGAGCGGAAAGAGTGTACGTCGTCCATCGGACCTGCCTTCTAAGGGTTGTAAGATGTCTGCCAGTCTAGGACGCCGCGGGAGAACGAAGCAGGCGCGGCCATGGCCAGGGTTCGGTCGCATTTCCTTCTTTATGTCGGTTTCGGTTTAGCTGTACCTTCCTAAAGGGAAGGATCCTATTAGGAAATCTCAAGATCTATTAGCTCAATCAACACCGATTCATCGCGCTGTTAGTAAAAAAGCGTCTTCAGATTCTCAGCGCCACGATCTAGTAATCCTCGACCGGAACCGCAGGGACGTACGGGCAAGGGATCGTCCACAACGTCTTTCTAGCCGACAATACAGCATATTCTTGCTTACCAGCCCTCGATTTACGAGTCAACCCCGAGTTCGAACGTCCACAAGTTCCTCCGGAAGCCTGACGCGATGCGGCATGGCAAGCTTGTAGAGCATTACCGCGGGAATTCTTTTAATCGAAATAAACGCACCGTACCCGGGCCTCGGCGTGGAACAGCTTTCAATTGTCATTATACGCGGTGGCAACTAGGAAAGCAAGTAAAGCTTGACTAATGCTCAACGCCTTCAGTCCTTTAATAAGATATTTGCTTCTAGATACATTTCATTTAAACCGTTATGCCTCTGTCCTTCATCTCCGCCTTAATGTCCCGAATTGCCACCGGGACTCCCCACTCACGCTACATCCATCCCCACGATTCCCCATTCCCCACATAGAGTATCCCATCCTTGATAGTAGAGGTGGGGAAGAAATGCGTGACAATTGACTCCAATTTGAATTCAATTTAAATTGTTAACTGTTTTCCAGGTCGATTTTTTTTCACCCTATTCTCAAAAGGCTAAACCCGTCAAGTATCAATTCAAACCGAATTTTTAGGAGATACTTGACCAAAACTACTACACAATGTCACCTTCTGTTCTTCACGACGAGACCTTCGATGAGGAAGTTCCGATCCTAATCATTGGTGGTGGCCCATCCGGTCTATTATTGGCCTTCATGTTGGAGCAACTCGGCGGTGCGTATGCCTTCTCTCTACTATCATATCATTGACATTCATAATGATGATGCTTTAGTTCGATCACTGATTGCTGAAAAATATGCGACGAGGTTGGCTGCTCCCAAGGCTCACGCCCTGAGCCCTCGGTCACTCGAAATTTGTCGCCAATTTGGACTCGACGTGAACGATATTCGCAGGGTTGGGACCTCTCGCAGCGATGCCTATTGGGTCAACTTCATCACCAACTTGGCTGGCGAGCACGTCGGCAAATTGCCCTACGAGCGCATGGACGCTGAAGTGCTTAATAGTACCCCTACTGTTAGTCCTCTCCAAGCCATCTCGAGGGCTTCCAAACGCTAAATTTTTATCTAGATGATTCACAATATCCCACAGCCTGCTTTTGAAGAGCTAATTGCCAAGAGGCTATCTAAGAGCAACCTGGTCGAGATTCGCAAGAACCACGCATTTGTCGACTTGAAACAGGTGAAAACTGTACCTATTCTTCTTTCCTGTAACGCTTACTCATTAAATCAGTTTGACGGCCACGTTATCACGACAATCATGAACCGTGATTCAAAAGAAGCTACCAAAGTCCGCTCAAAGCATGTGGTTGCCTGCGACGGCGCAAAGAGCGCTGTGCGCAGCTTCCTTGGCATCGAAAGTGAGGGCGAGGATTCTTGTAAGTATCAGATCGCTTTGGGCCACAATACTCTAGATATTAACGACCCATTCAGATGAAACAATGATGACTATCCACATCAACGCAGATCTACATCCCATCATTAAGAAGCAGGTGGGCATGCTCCATTGGGTTATGGACCCTTTGGTATCTGGATTTATAATCGCCTATGACTTGGCCGGGAATCAAGTTCTGATCTGCAATTTCGACGTGAGTCCAGTATTAAATCGCTGCAGTACATCACTACTGACCCATCTAATTTAGTCCGGAAAATGGCCTGTCGAATCGTGGAATGAAGAGCACTGCCGCAAGGTCGTCGACGCTGCCATCGGGGTGAATGCTAAGTACGATGTTCTCAGTTTCCATCCCTGGATCCTGAGCCGAAAGGTCGCCAAGTCTTACAGCAATGGACGAGTGTTCCTGTTAGTATAATTAAATTGCTTTCTCGATTTTCCGGGATATTGTTGACAAACAAACCTATCTCCAGTGCCGGTGATGCCGCTCATTCCTTCCCTCCCACTGGAGGCCTAGGCCTGAACTCTGGGCTTGGTGACGTCCACAACCTGGCTTATAAGCTAGCCGCGGTGCACCATGGCTCCGCCAAGGACGCTATTTTGGATACATACCATGTCGAGCGTCGTCAGGTTGCTCTGGTTAATTCGAAACAGAGTGTGAAGAACGGAAAGAAGATTTTTGGTTTGCTGAAGACCCTCGGCACTACTGATCCTAACATCGACGTTGCCCGTCACAATCTATACCAAACGATCCATGATGAAAAGGCTAGGATCGATATCAACAGGGGCATTGAAGATCAACGTGAGCATTTTGATAACCTTGGCCTACACATCGGTTACGTATATGGCGACAAGCGCATCCCAGACAATGCATCCGTGTATGAGCCAATCTGCGTGCCGGGAGCTCGTCTGCCGCATGCCTGGATTAAACTCATTGATCTCGAGAAGGTGCAACTTCCTGCGATTGACTCATCATACGTTGGAGGCGAATCACACAAGGTAGCAGAAATGACCTTTTCTACACTAGATCTGTGTCGCTTTGACGCCTTCACTATCCTAGTTGACAAGATGTTTTCCTCAAACTTTGAGTCTGCCATTCAAGAAGCTGTCAATCAACTTCCTGAAAAATTGGCATCTGAATTATCGGTGCAAGTTGTTGTTAAAGGTGTCGACTTCTTGCTGCAGCCGGGACAAGAAAAATGGGATGATGTGGTTCCTTTGAAGCAGGGCCTGGCGGTATTGGTGCGTCCAGATCAACATATCATAGCCGTGTTGGATCGGAACACAGGCGCGGCTCAAGTTTTAGAGGTTTTGGGGGGTCATTTGGGCTGGTAGACAAGTGACACGGCCAGGGGTGGACGGCCGTTAGCAGAGACCTTCCCGGAAGATCCCCGGCTAGTAGCCACTAGCTTCGCTATTAGAAAGGCCAAGGGCCAAAGGTATGCAGCAATGTGGAGGTGAAAAATATAGTTTACCTGGTTCAAGGACAGGTATTTACTAGAAAAATCTCTCTGCAACCTAATCTCTTTCACGTGCCTAATTGATGAGTAGACTCAAGCTAGAATTGTGGTCGCATGTCAATGCAGATGGGGATCTCTTAGTGTGTAACCTGGCGAGGTAAAACTACTGCCTCAAAAAATGATCTGCCACCTGAGCACGGGGTGAGTTAGTCACCTTGCCGCCCTGAGCAACTTGATCGCTCACCCTATGCCCAGGCTGATCGGCCTGTTTAGTCTTAGTTTAACTTTCCGTTATATACAAGGTCCTTCGGCCAATCTTCCGATAACCAAGACTTCCTCATCCTCCATTAACCTTGGGGCCTGTCAAAGCGATGTCTACATCCCCAACGACGACAGGGATGAGTTGTATGGAATCCACATCGAACAAATGTTGATCGGAAACGATAAATGTGGGTGGAAGTAACGATTAAAAAGACTTGAAAAAGGCTATTATTGACACAATGTTGACGAGTCGATAATGTTATCGTATTGAATGTTATTCCACTGACTGGGTTAGAAAGTAGCATACTTTCTTTGGGCTCGACTCTTTATTAATTATTGCCTAGGAAGCCTCGCCAATCGCCCAATAATATCCTCCATCTCTGCCGAAATTAACCACCGCGAGGCAACTGTCTTCAAATTGATCTGTAAAGTATTCACCTCGTGTAGTAAATTCACCGAGGTCATTGCATCATTCTCGCCGGTTGGATTCAACGAATTGATTAGTTCCTTGGCCCCGCTGAAGTCAACAGGACTAGGAGAAGCAGAGGTCAAGGTAGAAGCCGAAGCAGACATATTATCGATGTCCTCTCTTGTTTGAGCTTCACCGGCCAAATCGCATTCCGCTATGATACCAACCCACACATCGTGCCATCGCAGATTTTTGGGTATTTTGACCCTGCTCTTATTCCCAAGGTGAACAGCTATGAGAATCATGGCAGATGCAAAGAGGCAGCCGGGAATATGGATTTCGTGAGTATGACCGCTGGGTATTTCGTTCAACAGACGTATTATGGAGACCGCATGGAGAACGGCTCGGAACGCTTCGACACTTTGAGCCCAATTGGTGAGGTTGAAGTGGCGCGGCAAGCCTTTGACGGGAATACCGCTGAGGACTAGCGGTAATTCATACGCGTCGCAGATGCGGCGGTAGAGAAATATAGTCGGGGTGGAAAGCTCGATACACACGGCATGCCAGCAGATTAAAGTCTGGAGGGAGTCGATGCTGCGGGAGTTGCAGAGATTGCCCTCATAAATGTTTAGAAGACCTTGGAAGATCTGTGAGCGTGTAATGATTCCCAAAGCAGGGCTATCAACATCGTGTAGTTCGGCGATCAATGATTGCAGTCCTTCGAGCAAGACCGCGATGGAAAGTCGCGAGAGCTCTAATGGTGCTTTGGTGTAATCGTTTGCACATATTCTGATGAAAAGCTCCGAAAATGGAATCCGCACATGCTCTGTCTGCTCCATTTGAAGAATCCACTCGTCGGCCGTCTCGGCCATGAATGCAGCGTCGGAACATGCGACGCTGATTTTATTTGTGAGATGACGAGCGCTAGCGGCGGAGCCTGACGCTCGTGAAATGAGCCCGTCCAAAATATAGTGTCCGAGTACTGCTCGCTGTTGAACTTCTGCGGCCACCCAAATGCGCCAGGCGGTCTCCTTGACTGCTGGTTCTGCTTCCACTTTGGGTATAGTTGCTAGTTGAAGATCATCCACTGTGTACATGCCAGACGTCCTTGCCCAATAAAAACCTAATCCATGGAAGACAAAGGCGGTTGTCCGAATACTGGGATTGCGAGAAAGTAATGCGTATGTTTGCCCCAGAAGAGCCGTTAGGACTAACTGGATACCATCACACTGGTCCTGCGACCCTCGCAGTTTGATCAGGCTCTGCCAGGAGGCTGCGACCGCGGTATGCCCCAGTTTCCACAGTATCTCTCCTTGCTCCACAGCATCGGTGACACAGACAAAAAGAGAACCCAGAGCAACCATATTCAGCAACAGAGGGGAGATACAGTCCCGCACGGAGAACGTAGGCTCGTGGATGATCGGAAAGGAGGGAGATACTCGCCCAAAAAATTCTCTTAGACACACATCCACGAACGGAGGGGTAACTCCAGTGTTGCGTAAGTTACTGTTAAGTCTCGTAGATAGATCATCGATGAGCTTGTGAAGTTCGTCCACCGCATGCTGGCCCGGGCTCCCTTGGCTCCCCTGGCTATCCGCTGGGGGTACCGAGCGTAGACAGCTTAAAGCTGAAATCAGTGGATAGGAATTATCCGAGATGTCTGCCATGGGTAATAGCAGCGACGAACTGTTGTTAAAATCTGGTAGCAGCCAGTCAAGGAGATTATCCGATTCATGCGTATAGGGGCTAGCGAGGAGAGACTGGTCGAAAAGCCTGGGTTGCTCTGAGTCGAGATTCACCGACCTTAGGGAATTTAAAGGGGATGTCGGTGTTTCGGGAAGCACTGCATTGCTGGTCATAGCTTGCTGCTGAAGTGCCATACTGGCGTTGGGAGCGTGGGCGCGCCTGCTCGTATGCAGCTTTCTATGCCGATTCAGCACATCCTGTCTGCCAAAAGATTTATTACATTGCGTGCAGAGAAATGGTTTCAAATTTGTATCTGATTCTCATCAGTTGTTTTCATTTCTTCGACAAAGGAAATTGTCTCCTTTGCTGTACGAGTATGGTGAAGACTCACGTGTTCTCTTATGTCTCTAGAGCTGATTTTAGCGTCGAGGTATAATGCCACGGGTAAGGATTACAACGTACCGTAAGATGCTCTAACTTAGTGTAGGCTTTATCGCAGACGCTACAGCGAAAATTTCTGGAGTCACCAGCTAACTTGGCTCCGCTTGTGACGGGGGAGGATACCATGTCCGTGGCTAGTATTGGCAGGCAGGGATGTACAAAAGCGAGGGATAAGTGGGAATTGGCGTGTGGGAAGGCGGGAAAGAAGAACAATCGGGTGGATTGTAGGGCGGACTAGGGAGAGCACTTGTTGCAAAATGTGTGGCCTAAGGCCACTAAACCGATACAATCATGGAAATTCCACAAGTCTGGCTATATTCTACCATTACTGAACCCTCCGACGACTCATCTATATAATAGTACACGAGCACATGAGCCATGTTGCTACTCAAGTAGACCGAGTCTACGTCACAAATGGGATTATCCTACTATACGTGCTATACCAGCGTGATCTTTTTGAATGTGTACTAATTAATGCTGATCGAATCAGAATATAGTATATCGAGCTCTTGTAAATCCCCCTATGAATCGAGAAGTACAATTTTGAGTGTACTTAAGAGTTTCTTGCAATCAAACGGAGCTCAGAATATACAGATTTCTGAGAAATGCAGATCTGCACAGTATTTTGGTCAGTGGAGCACCGGGTTCCAGCTCAGCACTACCCAAAGAAAGTTCAGCACTACCCAAAAGTTTTCCGACGAATTCTGGGTATTGCTGAGGTACCAGATCTCAGCAATACCCAAAATTTTCTACGTCTTAATAAGTTATAAAAACTACTCTCGTCTGTAATTATCATGATTATATAGGATATCACTAAATTTCAAATACAAAATCCTTCGAAAAGGTTGTTATATGGAACAATATAATGTGATTTTGAGCCCTGAGTCTGGTACCTTAGCAATACCCAAAATAGTCAGCACGTTTTGGGTAGTGCTGAGCTGTGTGCCCGTGGAGCACCGTTCGCGAATCAGTCCACAGTTTATTATTAGTCAATGGTTACCCCATGAGGATTTGAAGGTGGGGATATGGGGATGTGGGACAAGGCCTAGGGTAAAGTTTGAAACATGGTAAGGATAAGAAGACGGTAGTCGTGCCATTGATAGGCATAGTACGAGCAGGGATTTACACTCTGTATACCCAATATTATTACTAAGAAACTAACGACCGCAATTAGCCATCGGTAGCGCTTGTGGTGTACGGCAGTAGAAGAGAATGTGCGATGTGCGGAGTGACATCCAATTTAGACTAAATTGCGTTGTATATATAGGGCTTTCTCAGATATCTTTCCTAGCATGCTTTTTGTGTAAATCAACAGTAGCCAAGATCGTCCTCTCTTCGGTGGCATGTTACAGCAATACCATAGGTAATTTTTCAGATACCATAGCCCTTCTCGCCTCCGGCGAAACTCCTGGAATATCCCCCAGCCAGAATCGCGACCGTATCCGAATACCGTCCGGCTCGTCTTTGATCAAGTTTATTAGACGACTCATGTATTTGACCTGGCGAGATCCCCGGCGAAGTTTTCATGGACAAGGTGATGCCCCGCCAATATAGGTGCTATCATTATTGCATAGGCCTAGCCACTCCGAGAAGACATAGTCGCGAGGATGCAAAAGTTTGTACTGGTCTGTAGTATAAATTCAGCCGAAACACCAATCTATCAGAACACCCCCTCATGTAGGTTGAGGCTGCAACGTGATACATACCGTCATTGGTGGCCGCAACACCAGCCTTCATTAGGAGGTAAGAATGCTCAAGAAGGAGCCTAGCATCGGAAAGGGCGAGGCCTCATAAGAGCGAAGTCATCATAACGTAGATTATAATTACCCTTGAAGATATTGAGCGAAAATTAAAGCAAAGTAGTGAAAGAAAAAAGTGCGCTCAAATAATCCCCAATCCGAACACTCGTCAAAAAGTGAACCCGAGATTAACGTATTACACAAGCGAGCGAGCCCCACCCAACCGAGCGAACCACCCCAAAACACTATACTAAAGGCGAATTTCTAGGTCATTGTATATCAACAACGAGCGGTCATTTTTACTTGATTCTTAGTAAAGAATGTTTTCTGGGCATTGGAAGTAGTAAGGTACAGCTAGCATATTCAAAATTTAATTATTTACACGTAATACCAAAATACGCTACCATAGACCGATGTATATATACATATCTGTGTTATCACACTCCAAAGTATATCCTATGTAAATAAAAATTCGTATTATAGTATATTAAATATCAATATCACTTAAGATAAGATGATTAGCTTCGAGCGTTGAAATATCAAGTTGTGAAATATTACATCTAGTATGTTGGTTTGGGGTGGCTCGCTCGCTTGTGCAATACGTTATAGGGAAATTCTGGGAGAACAGAGTGGGGAAGGTGGGGAAGGTAGGGAAGCCTCCAAGGTTCAAGATCTCTTAGCACTATAGGGCTTCCATATTAATAGATACATCGCCACGAGAAAGGCAATCACACCTGAATCTGTTTTCTTCCTCAGAAAGATATTCTAGATATATATGACAAAGTTGAGCAACAGCATCCAGAAGCTCCGGGCACGGAACTTTTGGTTCTTCAAGACCACTTAGCCAATTCCCAATACAAGTTCGTCACACGCGGCCAAAAGCGCCGACTACTTATTCACAGCCATCCCTCGATGACCAGAATGACTCTTTACCATGGCCACGATATAAAAAGTGGCTCATATTCAGTAATGGTGTTTATTACACCTTCCGTAGGTCTATCACTAGGCCTATAATAGCCGGAGGTATGCAATCAGTCCCCTTTATGGCTCGCTTTTCTACACAAACCCCCCTAGGGGTAATATGCCGCGTAGGAATAGTTCAGCTTGCAACCTTCTTCAAACGGCCCCTCTCCGATGTTACATCTAGTAATGGGGCAGCCTTAATCTATCAAGGCGTTGGCACGCTATTTTGGTTGTAGGTAACTCTGATTGCCTAATAGCAATAGACAAAGAGAGACAACTTACTTATTTGCGAATAATTAATTATTATCAAAGACCCTTAGCAGTCAAACTCGGTCGCCAGCCAGTCCTCACGTATAATCTTTTTATAGGCGTCGCCTGTGTCTGGTTGGCGATTGCGTCCCAGAAAAGCTTTACAACCTTCGTTATTACTCGGGTTTTCCTCGAGTTCTTCGAAGGACCTATTGAAGCGATAGTTCCCAGCATAGTAGCCGATATCTTCTATCTCCACGAACGTGGAGAAAAGATAGCTATCTATAGACTATTGGTACTCGGCGGTAACGATCTCAGCCCACTGGTATCCGCGTATATTATTTAAAGGTTAAGCATACGGTAGGCGTTTCATATCGTTACGATTTTTATCAGTGTCAGCCTAGTAACGATGTTTTGTCTTATGCCAGAAACAGCCTTCACTAAGGCCCGTCCTAAGATTATCCCTATCATTGCCGAAGAAACTAATATGATTAATAACAATGAAGGTAAGTTATCGTACAAAGACGTTAAAAGAGCGTCCTCTAACCTTACGGCTCAATTAGAATCGTAGCCGTCAGCTTTAGAGAGGCGACCACCTATCGGAGCTCTTCTAAATTAGTATATCATGAATTATCTTTAGGGTCTATATTTCGGCGGCCATTTATATTAATGATTTATCCTACTGTTCTCTAGTCAAGTCTCGCCTATAGCATAAGTCTAAGTTGGAATGTCATTCTAAGGTGCCTCGTCGCCTAGTTATTTTTGATTAATTAATCAATAAATCAACACTCTATTAACCTAATACAGCTTAACTAGTGGCTTAATAGCTATATAGGCGCTTCCTCCGGCGGTAGTAAGAGTAATCCGAACGCCAGCCCACGCGTATAAGACAGTAGATATATAGGAAAACGGCGTATTACTATATAAAATCAACCTAAAATAGTACTGAAACGCCCTTATAGCCCTTATTTCTACGATATATCCTTTAATTTACCCTTATATTAGCCTACTACTAAGATCTAAGAAGGAATCATAGTATATAAGCCGCGTATTAAGACTTCTGATCATTCAGAAGTCTTGATGGACCTTTTGGTTAGTGGACTTCTACCCGTCTAAAGCTAATTAGTCTATATATCCCTACGTTATCGCGGACTATAGGATTACACTAATTCCTCTATATCTCTATCTCTACCTTCCTTCCTCGGTATCTAAACTATCTTCCTACTTTAGTCTCGATTAGTAGCGTTCGTTAGTATTAGTTATATTCTTCCTCGACCTCTCGGTTAGCCGTAGTTTTAGTGCTCCTTCTACCTATCGTCTTTACCCCTTACGCCTATCTTAGTAGTTTTATCGCTTTCTAGTAGTTCTAGCTCGATCTTAATATACCGGAACTATCCTAGAAGGCCTATTTAAAGTATAAATTCAGCTATATAGTACATAGCCTATAAGTACAATATAATTATATTATAGTCCGTTGAATCCCTAAGATCAGTTATCTGGATCTTATTAGGAAAGGTTTTCCGTAGATTAGCGTATAATAGGTACTATATTAAGATATATCTCAGAATCTAAGAATCTTTACTATAGTAATGCTAATCTAAGTCTACCGCCTTAATTTTAAATAAGAAGTAATTTAATATAATATTTATAGACTATATCTAAATTAGAACGGAGGAATATAGTTTTATAAAGGAATCTTGATTTTAATATTCTTTATTAAGCTATTTTAAGAATTCCGAATAACTAAGTAGGAAGAACCACTCTTTAATATAAAATAAAAAGGAGATAGACCGCTAGCTTTTTAGATTATAACTAGCCCGGAATTAACTCTTTATACTAAATAAAGATTCTTAGGAGCTTACTAGGATAAGGCAAAAATATCTATATATTAGAAGATAAAAAGATACTATTATAAATTACTTCTAAAATACTATAATTAATATAATCTTAATTTTAAGATTTAGATATAATATATAAAGAAAAGATAAAAGGTTCTTAACTTAACTATTATTATAATATAAAAAATCTCTTCATTCTAAATTAAAAAGAAAGATAAAATTTAGTATTATTATATTTTACTTAATAATAAAGATATATAATTAAAATCAAAATATTACTAAATTAATTAATTTTTATTATTAATTCTTTATTTAATTAATAGTCTTTTTTGTTATTAATAGATCTTTATAATTCTAAATCTTTTTTTTAGCTATCTAAAGAATAGTATTATATAAGATTATTTAATTAAATAATTAAATTTTAATCTTAATATCTTCTAAAGTAATCTATAAAGATTAATCTTTGATATTATTATTTTTTTATTAAAAAAATAATAAATTATTTATTTAATTTTTATAAGAATTAAATAGAATATTATTGATTGAAATAATAATTAAAAAGCTTAAAGAATAGAGTTATTTTTAGAAAAATAATAAAAATTTAAAAGATATTTTTTTAATTTAAAGAATTTATCTATTAATTTATAATCTAAGAATAATAAAATTTATTTAAGAATCTTAATATTATAATAATTCTAAAAAGATTCTTAAAGTTTTAATCTATATTAATTAATTAAAATTTATTAGTCTTATCTAGCTTCCTTTATATATAGGTACTATATAGGGGTTTACTATCTTACTTTTCTAGTAGTAGATATAGAGAAAAGATAGTAGTAGAGCTAGCTAACTAAGCTATTAGTAAGAGGTAGTGGTACCTATAGGAAGCCTAGAGGTCTATATTATAGCCTAAAGGGCTAGGCCTCTTAGTTAGTTAGCCTATCTTTAGCTATAGCGTAGGCTAGAGAGGTCCGGTATTACGGACCTTAAAGAGGCGCGGGGGCCGTAGCTATTTGAGGGGGAACCGGGAACTAATCGTTCCTTAGACGCTAGACACTAGCGTCCTTACGTAGGTTTCGGTATACTTAGGTACGCCCTAAGGGCACTAAGTGTGAAGGGCTGAAGTAAGACTTAAATTCAATCTAACTAGGCCAACATGCTGTTTACAAAAAGCTTGGAGAAGAGAAGGAGTGGATCAAGCGGAGTAACAATAGAAGTAAGTATATAGGGCGGTGGCAGAACGGAACGTGCGGGGAAGGCTATGTGGTAGGGCCACATAGTAAGAAGCGGGTCTAACCCGTGATATTACCCCCTCCTAGGGGTCGTCGTCGGAGGGATAAGCGTCATGCGGCGTAGGCCGTCTACTAGACGCGCTGGAAGAACGGGAGCGGGAAACAGGGCAATCGGAAATCCAATGATTTGAGGAGCCACAGCAGTAGCACTGGCTAAGTAGGCTTCGTCGAGCACGACGGTATTCGCGATCTTCATCGGTATAGAGTGTAGCTGTGTCGATCTTGTCCTTAAGGTATTTTGCAGGATCCTTCGGGGGCCCTAGGGCTGAACTAGTAGGTATAGCTGGCTTGATTCTGGCTGTTCGTACGCGAATCGGGTCAAGGTCCATTAGGTCTAGCTGGCTTTGGCGAGACTGGGTCTGGCGGGTCTGGTTCTGGCTAATCTGGTTCTGGCTAATCTGGTTCTGGCGTTGCTGGTTCTAGATAATCGGGCGCTGCTGGCGGCGATCGTGGCGCTGGAGTAGTTCAATATAATCATCGTATTCGAGATCGAATAGAGTATCATAAGATTGCTCGAGGATCTGGCGTAACGTGGGCCGTAGGCCACGGTGTAGGGTAATCGTACGAAGGAGATCTTGCTGATGGACCTTAGCTTCATGCGATAGACGTTCGAATCGGGCGAGGTAGGCGACTAGGCTTTCGTCGTCTTTCTGGCGGATATTGGCGAATCGTAGCACTGCATCTTGTTTCTCACGAGGGTTATAACAAAGACGTTCGAAGTACTGGAAGACTGCTTCGGGTGTTGGGTTGGTTTCGCGAAGATGTAAGACTGAGGCTTGCTGGGATGGCTCGAGGCGATCGTAAACGTAGTCAAATGCTGGTTGACCGACTAAGCCGTCCGACCGTAGCTTTGCTTGAATAGCTGGAAGCCACGTCTTTAGACTAAATGGTCGGCCGTCGAATCTAGGCGGATCTGGTAATCTGAACTGGGGTCGAGTAGGCGTAAGGGCTTCTAGCTGGCGTTGCTGGTCGACGAGTTGTTGCTGGAGTTGCTGGATTAAAGCGAAAAGGGGCTGGTTCTGGTCCATTTCGGCGGGGAATCGGGGGTCTGGCTAGGAGGAAAAGAAAATCTGGCTGGCTGACTGGATCTGGTACGACTCGATCACGAGAAGGAAGCTTTTTGTATGTGAAGGGCTGAAGTAAGACTTAAATTCAATCTAACTAGGCCAATATGCTGTTTACAAAAAGCTTGGAGAAGAGAAGGAGTGGATCAAGCGGAGTAACAATAGAAGTAAGTATATAGGGCGGTGGCAGAACGGAACGTGCGGGGAAGGCTATGTGGTAGGGCCACATAGTAAGAAGCGGGTCTAACCCGTGACACTAAGGAATATATTATAAGGGAAGCCGGAAGTAGTCTATAGCTAACCGTTATAACTAATACTTACTTACTCTATAGGATAGTTAGTGCGATATAAGGAACGGCTACCTAAATACGTAACTATAAGGTATATAATCGGGTATACCGTACGGACTACGGGAATAACTAGTCCGGTATACTACTAATATTCCTAACTATAGACCGCGACTAAGAAGGACTAGATACATAAAGATACTTATTTCAGTATTATATTAGTATTATATATTTAGTTCTTCGTGATTAATTATATTATATTACTTAGTTACTACCTTTAGTACTTTATACTTTATAGTTTACTTTTAAGATAACCTAACCTATAAGTAGGGGATTTACTCGGTAGTAATACTTAGTAATTAACCTACTTAGCGTATACTTCTAGTATATTCTATAAGATACTTAATAGGATCTATCCTATAATAAGGCTTTACGAAGTAATAGTACGATTAAGAGATACTCTTAGAATCCGTAGTAGGACTAGATAAGTATAACCCTTTTAGCTCTACTTATAGTAACTAGTTAGCTACGCGTAATATATTAATCGCCCTATCTTTAAACTATAAAGTAAAGTTATTATAGTATATAACGATAGTACTTATAGTAATATATTATTCTCCTCGGAGAAACTACTAATATCTCCTAAAGAACTAATAGATATAGTTATCTAGCTTTAGGAGTATATCGCTAACCTAGATAATCCTAACGATCTATAAAGCTCCCGAAACCGGAGTTCTTCGAAGGAAGCCGATCTAAGCTTTATAGCTTCCTCATATGGATAGAAATATAACTATATATAAACCCTTAGATTATAAATAAAGATAATAAAGTAGTATTTATCTCTATTTATCTTCGCGGATAAGCCTTCGAATAGTTCGAACTATTTATCCGCGAATACTAGGAAAAGACTAATAAGGATAAGTAAAGCGATACTACTAAGGAGATATTCGTATTATATATTATATTTAAGAAAAAGCTTAAATAAACCTTCGGCGATATTAATACTATCCGTAGCGCTAAACGACGCCTATAATAACTTAAGTAAACCGGATCGGCTAGTATACGCCGCCGATTTCTAGTAAATTATCTCCTACTTAGACTAGGATAAGGACGCCTATTACGCTATCTTCGAGGATAGCCTAAAGGATAATATTAAAGATAAATTAGTATAAATCGACCGACCTAAGACTATTAGTAAAATAGTCGAAATAGCGATCTATATTAATAACCGACTATATAAGTAATATCTCTAGCGTAAGAAAATACGCTAGTAGAGAAGCTAAGAATAACGTTTCTTTAGATATATCCGCCGCTACGAGGGTAGGCGAGGGTAACGATAATAGTCTAGGGAATCTTCTAATAACCCCTATAGACCACGACTAATAGAGCTCGATATAGCGAGACTCCCTACCGAAGAAGAGAAACGATATAAGGATAATAACCTATACTTTAACTATAGTAAACTAGGATATAAGGCGCGTAAATATAGTAAGCGTAATAATATAAAGCTATAGACGTATAAGAGTAATAGGTAAGTAAAGAAGAACCTATAACTCGGGAGGAACCTAGGGTTAAGTAACTATATATTACGACTATATAGCTAGAAAAAGAATACCGTAGTCTAAATAGTATAGTATACGCGAAGAAAGAAGCTCCCAAGGAAGAGGAGAATATCGAGAGTTAAAGATAGATCTAGTACGGTCCCTAGAATACTATCGACTTCTAGGAACTATCCAATAATTCCTAAGACTAAGGGATAGGGATCCTAAAGATACCTATCGAGATTCTAGAAACCCTAAAGATCCTAGAAACTCTATCTTAATTCCTAGAAACGGATATAACTATTACGCGGTGCCGACTAGTCACTATAAGTTAGAGCGTTCACGGATTATACTTACCTAGTTCTAACTACGGATACTAAGAGTAGCTCTTAATCGTACCGTTACTTCGTAAAGCCTTACTACGGGATAGATCCTATTAAATATCTTATAGAACGTGCTAGAAGTACGCGCTAAGTAAGTTAATCACTAAGTATTACTACCGAGTAAATCCCCTACTTATAGGTTAGGTTATCTTAAGGTAAACTATAAAGTATAAAGTACTAAAGGTAGTAACTAAGTAATAATATATAATTAATCGTAAAGAACTAAATATATAATACTAAATAAGTATCCTTATATATCTAGTCCTTCTAATCCTAGGCTACAATAGATTATAGCCCTCGCTATACCCGGATTAGACCTTTAAGTATAATCCGGCTATATAATATTATCTACTTATTATATCCTTAGGTATAATAGGTTACGTAATTATTAGGCTCTTTTATAACGTAGTAGTTATACCTTATAACGTTATCTAATCCTAATCCTTACTAACTAATCTAAGTTAATTAGCTATTAGTGTTCCTTCTCCCTATATCAGTATTATTATATAAGAGATTCGTAATATTATCCCTTTCTTTCGTAGGTTTTTATTCTTAAAGATTATTTAAATAATACGCCCGTCCCCTAGGTATATTTTTTATGATTTTCCTTCTTATATTATTATCCCCTTATAGTGGTACTAACTATATCTTTAAAGGCGTCTATTAAAAAGAACCGCCTATATTATTATATCGAGAAGGAGGGTTACTATATAGTTTCTCCCTATAATTACTACGTTTATCTTAATAAGTCTTATATTAAATCTAGTTTATCCGATCGCTATAGCGAGTATATTTATATTAGGAATTTAAAGTATATAATATCGAAGCTAACTTATTCCGACGCTAAATAGCGGCGTTTAGTAAAGATATAAGAAGAGATTATTAAAGCGCGCTACTAAGCCTTAATCGCGAGTTAGGAGGCTATAGCTAAAGTTATACGTCTTAAGCGCTATAAGGCCCTTCTCCGGAGCCGTACCGGCGACTTTATTACTTATAATTATAAGGAAATTACTAAATTAGAGGAATTAGAGCGTCGTAAAAAGGAGGAGCTTAAGCGTATTAAATAAGAGCGCCTCGAGTCTAAATAAAAAAAGTATAAGGTAGAGAGTATCTAGGCCGCGACTAGTGTTTCTCGATCTATTAGTACGACTAGTAATTAAGTTCTTATAATAATATTAGAGGATCCTACTCTAATATAGTTATTAAATAATCCGTCGTTTTCCTAGGTTAATCTAGACGCTTCCTTATTTAATAGTATTATTAAGGGTTCTCCTTCGTCTCTTAATAGTACTATTAAAGTAGCTAGTAATAGTCTACTAGGTTTTTAATAGGTTCCTATATATTTTCTAAGGTATCGTATCCTCTCTACTTTACTAGATAGTAGGGTTTTTTACTAATTCTATTTATTACTAGGATTACTTCTACTTTATATTCGTTTTTAGTTTCTTCTTCGATTTTAATATTAGTAGCGATTTCGGCGTTCTTAGGTACTTTTTCTAGTAATAATATATAGAATATTATATAGATATATTATATACTTTCTAGTAGCTTTAAACGATAATTAAGTAGTCCTATTTTTTCTTTAATTTCGAATAGTCCTAATTTAAGGTAATTAAGTTTCGCGTTAGGTTATCTAGTACGAATATTATATTATAAAAGATAGACTTTCTTCCCCCTTTAAAAATCTAGCGCCTCCTAGCGTAATTAATCGTAGTAGAACTTTATATATATATTTAAAAACTTAATATCTCTAGATAGTTATAAATATAATTACTTTAGCCTAGTAATTAGTAGTCGTAATAACTCCGCGAGTAGCTATTTTCCGATTAGTTCTCCGAGGATTATAGGATTAAGCCTATAATTTACGAAGAATAGTATCGTTTTAGTAGTTAAGTATATAGTATTATTATATATAAATTATACTATTAGTAATAATTCTATTTAGTTATCCTATTAGAAATTTACGTAGTATTAAAGATATTACTTTAGAGTCTAATTAAGTCGCTCTATTTATCCGTTAGTCTATAGGTAATATATAGTAGAGAGTCTATACTTAATACTAAGTTAATCCGCTAATAATTACTATATATTTAATATAAATAACTTATCTCTATCCGAGGTAATCTTATTTAGTATCCTATAGTTAGTAAATATATATCTAAGTAATAGGTTAGCTATCTATTATATAATAATAGTTTCTATTATTAGGATTATATATATATATTTAGTTAGTCGATTAACGATTACTATAATTATATTATTACTCTCCGAAATAGATAGTTTTATAATAAAGTCTATAGTAATTTATTTCTATAGTTATATTAGTATATCCTCTATATTTAAAACGCTAATACTATAGCTAATAATTCCTTATTATAGATATTATAATTTAATTCCGTTAGTATTATTTTTTATAACTAAAAAGCGATAGGTCTAAGCTTATCGTTTTATCCTAATTATATAAGCTAAGCTCTTAGTACGAAGTCCGATATATCGGTTTCTATAATAATCGGCGTATCGTAGTTAAAGGTTATAATAATAACCTCTTTTATCTTTTTTTTATATATTTCCTTAAGCGCGGTAAATAATTTCTCCGCTTTATCGTCCTACTAGAATAGTACTTCTTTCTTAGTAAATCGGTATAATCCTACTATATATTTAGAGTATTACGGTACTAGCTTCCGGTAATAATTAGTAAGACTAAAGAAGCTTTATATATTTTTAACGTATATCGATATCGGCCATTTAAGTATATTTCTAACTTTATCTTTCTCTATCCTTAATCTATTAGGGCTAATAGTATATCTGAGGAAACTAGTATTCTAAACGTAAAATTTATATTTCTTAAGTTTAAGTATAACTCTTACTTCCCTTAATTACTATAGTACTATCTTATTATACTAGATATACTTTTCCTTAGTTCTTAAAAATACGAGAATATTATCGAGTTATATAATAATAAACTTATCGAGATATCCGTTTAAAACGTAAAAGATAAATCGTTAAAATAATACTAGTACGTTAGTAAGTCCGAATAATATAA